TGGAACACGGAACATGGAACACGGAACATGGAACACGGAACATGGAACACGGAACATGGAACACGGAACATGGAACACGGAACATGGAACATAGAGTAGCTTAGTAGACCTTGGGATGGGATACTTACATGAGGAATAAAGAGGTAGTCTTTCCGTATATTATACATCACTCTATAGGTATTCTATGAGAAAACGCTGGGGTGAATTATTCAGATCTTATTTTTCATGCTTATCTTACACCTATGCCTATAATTTTCTATCTGGTTGATTTATTGGCATTACTTTACAGTGATACCTTGCTGTTCTACCCTATTTATGCAAAATTCACCTCCCAATCTAAATCTTTCAAGATCAAAAACCAATCAACGACATTGCTTCCTGTAGGGTTTTCCTTCCATACCTTCTCAATTAAGGCTTTTACCCTATCAACATTCGTTGTTCCGTAACTCTCAATAAATGCCTCAATTCTATTTCTCATCATCATTTTATCAGCCCGAGTAACACAGTGTATACCTGCAATAAACACAGGAAACACTAACGATGCTTGCACGGGCGTACCAATAGTAATATCTAGACATTTTGTTAAATCGTTGGCCAAAATTTGAGACTCTAAAGATGATGGGTTGATCTTCATTACTGCTTGGCGAATAAATAATTTAGCTACAAGTTGGAATGTCTCGAATACTGTCAATTGCAACTCTAATTCATCATCAGTCAAGTCAATCAAATCATCGGTGCTCGGTTTGGCGGAGTCAATTTCGCGCTCAAGGTCCTTTGCATGCTCGATGATGCTAAGAAGTAGCCTGGATCTCTTAGTATGGAACGAAGTTTGCGAATCTGTTTCCAGAACGTAATCTTCTATGGAATCAGGCGACGTAGACGTATTGTTAGAAGACATTTCTTCGGGATCATTTTCTCTGACGTTTTCTCTGATGTAGTACTCATGCAAGATCTTTTTACTTTCAAATACCAAAGAACTTATTTCTCCAATTATTTTGTAAAGTTTCTTGCACACCCCCAATAATGGGTTTAACCTTCCTCTTGAAAATCCTGGGATATCTTCGAATATTAAATCATACTGGGAGGACGGGAAATATGTACCCCTATTGCTCACTGATGTTGCAAGCAAATCATGGTAAGCAAAATTGGAAATGAGCCAATTTTCTTCTCTTGTCTGATTGAAGTTTAAGATTCCACCATTGGAAGATAAAACTTTCCAACACCAAGATAGATAGACGGACCACCTCTTTACATCACCTCTAGAAATTTCAGCTCCGCATAGAATAAGTAAGGTAGCTAGCTTCAAAACAGATGAATTCCTATCAAACGATGATTCCGTAAATGCATCTCCATTTTTGTTATTCTTAAGATTCGTTCGGTTGCCACTGATATGATCTAATGCAATGTCGATGTATTTGTTACCTTGCTCTTTCCAATTACCTCCTAAGTGGAAACATGCCCAGGCCAAAATACTATAGAGGACTCCTTTGTCTTGATGTGCTAAGGGGAGGAAGACCTTTTGGTAAGAATTAGAATCATTCTGCGACGATGGAGCTATAGATATTTTGTTAGACAAGGTTTCAACGTAATAATTGTACAAGAAGAACTCTGAGCTATCAAGTTGAGGAAGTAAGCCAGGACTTTTGGGAATTTCTGGCAGAAGCATAGATGATGCTGAAGCAAAAAACTGGTTAAAATTAGGTGACGTGCAGTTATTGTTTTCAAATTGGTAATACATCTCATATGGCGAAAGGGGATTGAGAGAAATAGGACTAGGTCGTATTTCGCTTTGTCTACGACTACCTATTACTAGTTGTTGTGTTTGTTCCGAATCTCTTTCTATAACTTGACCATTTTCATCAACTAGTGTTAGCTTGCTCGATTCTGCAATATGATGAGGCAGCTGTTGTTGGCTTTGAAGTTGCTGATGGTTCTTGAAATCTTTCAAAAAATTGTAGAATATAGCATGCGGCGTTTGTTCTTGATCAAGCGGAGCATGTGCTATAAGCTGATCCTCTTTCAATAGAGAAGCAAAAGAAGGCGATAATTGTATGGAAGACCTTTTCGACTGTGGATTTTTACCACTACTATTGGATAACGATTCTTCAAACAGGGAAAACGAAGGTAATGCATTTAGAAGTGGAGGAGGTGATAGTGACGGTAGTGGTAGTGGTGGGACACTTTCATTCGCCTGTTTGAACCTCTTTCGGGCCAGATCGTCGTTTGGTTGTTTGTCGTCACTCTCATTCTGGCTTAGTATTGGCTCTTTAATCTGCTGTTTGTTCTCATTTTGGACCTTTTCTCCGTTCAGAATTAGAATCAGGTCTACGCTGGGTTCCTTGCTCATCTCCTGAGCGTCCTCTTGGCTCTGCTCCAGAGATTGACGATCTTCATTCTCCTTTTGGAATTTGGATTTCCTTTTTCTTAACTTCTGTCTGCTCTCTTCTTCCTCCAACTTCTTTCTAATCATTCTTATTTCGTCCTCGGACATTGTATCCTGATCAATCCAGACACACTCTTTATGGAGTCTTTCACAATCTTGGCACACCGGCCTTCTTTCACCACATTTCTTCTTTCGTACTTTACATGTCAAGCATCCGTTCCTTGAACGCTTTATCCTTTTCCCTATAGGGGAATCTTCTGTATCATCGGTATAGTTGCCAGGACCTATTCGATTTATTTTTAAATCTGCGATGCTGCTAGTTGGTGCCTTGTACAAGTTATCTTGAACTTCATCCTCCACCTTTTTAGAGTCAAAAGTAACAATCATATTCGTGAAATTCATGGTGGGACTTTCTCTCTATGGGGAAAAAAGTGTTGGGGTCTATATCTATATCATAAGTTGAGACAACTGAAACGGTATGCAGATTAAATGTATAAAGTAAGTATAACGAACGAATGGATGTGTATATGAAAATGATTAAATGAATGAATGAAACTCCCCAAACAATAAAAAAAAAAGTAAAATACAAGGCACAAATATGTCAATATATATCGTTTCTCTGCGAAGTATTTGGTCTTGCAGGGTAAAATAATCCCAGACGATAACTAAATGCCTTACGTTCCTAACAGAATGAAGCTACGTAACGCAGCTAATAGTCGGAAATTTGCTACAGTGCATAAACAGCTTTTTCCTAGCTGATGCATTTCTTTTTCTCAATTTCTTTTTTCTCCGATTGGAAAGATAAGAAATCAGATCATCGAGTGAAAGATAGAGAGACCATAAGATGGTAGGGAGTGGAAGGTAAAGTGTAAAGTATGGACATGATGCAAAAAAGAAACAAAGGAGAAAACTAAGAGGGAAAGGCTAATAGAGGGGCTAGAGGAGATTGAATAAGAACTGGAACAGAAAGAGAAAGAGACATTTCCATGCAAATGGGTTAGCTATTTTCTCATTTGGTGTGTTCCAACAGACAGGCCCACACAGGAAACTCACAGCCAACGCAGCATAGCGTAGAATCCCGAACCCAAATAAAAGAAGGTGAGAAAGGACATAGACAAGAGAAGTAAAAGGGAAGATGAATAAAAAGAATGAAGAAGGTCAATAAAATCTGGAGCAGAAAGAGAGATGAAGACCTTTCCATACAAATGGGTTAGCTATTTTCTCATTTGGTGTGTCCGACAGACAGGGCCCAAAAGAGGAAACTCACAGTCAATGCAGCATAACGTGGAATCCCGAACCTAGAAAAATAACCCATGTAGTGAGAGAGTGAAAAGAAAAAAGTGAAGAACAGAGAGAAAAATACACACAACAATTTATAGTATTAAAATGAATGACTAGCAGAACTCTGGATTCTGAAATGGAAAGACTAAACGTTTGGCTGTTCGAACCTTCTCAGCCTTCTCAGCCTTCTCCTTCTCCTTCTCCTTCTCCTTCTCCTTCTTCTTCACTAAGTTACACTCAGTATGCCATAGGCCGCTTCCGCAGGTCGTTTCTCCGTACTCAAATTTACCCTACTAAGCTACCCTCCCCAGCAGCCCCTCAGTAACTTCCTTTCACATTCTATAACATTCTTTTATTCGCGCACCCACCGTCCATGTGCACTCCTCCTTCCTATTTCGCTAATGGTCACTGGATCCTGGTTCTCTAACCGTCGACGACAAATTAGAGGTACTGTGTATTACATAATAATTGTCAGAGAGGCAATAGTGACAACGACAGAAAAAAAAAAACCAGAAAAACTCAAACTTATCTCTACTCTTACGGTTATTATATTTATATATTTATAAACTAGGATTTAATATTAGAAAATGTCATTAAAGCGTATTAACAAGGAATTAGCAGACTTAGGAAGGTATGTAAAACCAAGGCCAAGTAGAGTAGGCGTCTAGATAGGCGGGAAAATCGAAAGAAGAGGAAAAATTTTGAAAACGCAAAAGCTGAGGAAATCGAAAAAGGGGGTGAGATCCGTTGATCTACTTCCAAGCACACTCTAAGACCATGAACTCTCACCAGAAGGATGTCTCTCGTTAGAGAAAACATTCAAATTTAAACTATATACTAACATCTTTCACACAGAGATCCCCCATCTTCTTGTTCAGCCGGACCAGTCGGGGATGATTTATATCACTGGCAAGCATCTATCATGGGACCACCAGATTCACCATATGCTGGAGGTGTGTTCTTCCTTTCCATCCATTTCCCAACAGACTACCCATTCAAGCCACCTAAGGTTGCTTTCACCACCAAAATCTACCACCCAAACATTAACGGAAATGGTAACATTTGTTTAGATATTCTTAAAGATCAATGGTCACCAGCTTTAACTATTTCTAAGGTTTTGTTATCTATCTGCTCATTATTAACCGATGCTAACCCAGACGATCCTTTAGTTCCAGAAATCGCTCATATTTACAAGCAAGATAGAGCCAAATATGAAGCTACTGCCAAGGAATGGACCAAGAAGTATGCTGTATAAAGGTGTAGATTGAATGGAACTTCAGGGCGTGAGATCAGGAATGAAATCAGGAATGAAATCAACATGAAGAGGGAATGAATCAAAGGGAAGTAAGTGTAAAAAAATATCGCAAGAAAGGCTAAAAATAAAAGAGTGTCGAACATATCTCTTTTCTTATTCTTTTAGAGTTATTTTCCATAATTAATGCATTAGAGTTATTAAAGTTGTGTAGGTCAAGTTTCTGTCTGTCGGGGTGTATCCTAGTAGCAGGGAGGCTCAAGGTTACTTCCAAGTACTAATAAACATAGGTGCGCGACGGTGGTTATGTACGTATGTTGTTATTCATGTCCAAATATATATATATATGTACAATTTCATAAGTTGTGAGGTGGTATCCACACCTATCCTTATCTTCTGTCTTACTCTGAATGTGTTTTTCTATGGGATGACAAACTTGCGATCTCAGTCCTCTGCCACTTTTTCCGTTTAATCAGCCAAAACAGGATGGAATTTCAATTTTTTGAAAGGGAAACCACTGGCCCTTGACTGCATTATTTCCTCTTCACTCTCGATTTTCTCCTCCTCTTCCTTTATCCATCTCGTTCTCTTCGATGTCTTGTCTCTCCCCACTGTGGAAGAACTAATCCATTAGGAACTTGGGGTTGTTATATGCACACCCACCTTGATCAACATTGCAGAAAAAAAAACTCGATATGAAATTTCACACCTATTGAACTTACAGCATACACTGGAGCAGATAAGAATCGTGATTCAACTCTTTATACGTCATTCAGCTTTTGACAATCTCAGTTTTGTTCTGTATTGATAGCATCCACAATTTTCAATTCAATTTAACTTTACTTTCACTAAACATATTGAGCTAGGCGTACGGTAATGGATAAGCTATCTTCCTTTCAAGGCAACAACATCTTGAAGTTGTTTGAACTTGCAAAGGAATTAAGTAAGTTAAAGTTTTTTGAAACTTTTGTGACGGACTTTCAAAATAAGATTCTTTCGTTTATTCTCGAGAAAGATGACTTGAAATTGTGGAGAGATTTTATAGATGGGAACTGTACCTTAAAGATTACTAGAGATGATGTATCTGAAGTCAATGGTGAAGATAAAGAACAGGATAGCATTGAAAGCACTAATGACAACACCTCTAACAACAATGACGATGTCGAAGACCACGACGATGAAGAAGACGATGAAGAAGCATTCGATGAAGGTTACGAACCGTTGCAAAGTTTGGCTCTACACGTCAGGTACTTGCTTTGGGAGAAAGCTATCGATTTTTATTATTCATGTAAAGAACTCGATAATTCAGTCAATGATATTGAAGAAGTAAGCGACGATTACGAGCTAATAGACCGAATTGATCGAGAAGTGGAAGATGGAGATGGTCTGAAGAAGGCTGGTGAAAATGAAGAGAACAAGGCTGAAGAGGTAGTGAAGGTGCGAAATGAGGAAGATGACTACGATGATGATGATGACGAAGATGAGGAAGAAAAGGGACAAGATACCAAAGATAATGATTCTAAAGTCGATAACATGGAAGAAGAATATGAAAGGAATGAAGAAAATAGGATAATATTGACGATTCCAATATCAGTTCTAAAAGATAAGAGCAAGAGCGATGTTCCTGAATCTACAGCCATCAATGGAATTTCTACTGAACCGAACACAGAAGGTAGCAAAGATCTTAACGGCAGCAATGCTGCTATTGCCACTGATGCAGCTGACGCTTCTGCTTCGACATCCCCCACTACAGATCAATCCCTCATCAAGGAATTTAACAAAATCTACCATAATTTCGAATATGACAGAGAAACCTTAATGAAAAGACGTAAATTGGAAAAATCCGATAAGCAATTGGAAGAGTCCTCATCAGAGCAAGATACCAATCAAAATGGAACTGGTGGAACTGGTGCTAGCACGTCTACAGCTGGAGGTATAAGCACCAAGGAACAGCAACAGTTAGGAATAAATTTGGGTTCCGCGTCCCACTCTTTAAAACACTTACTCAAAGCAATTCTGCATCAAAGAGATGAAATAGACTTAAACGACTTTGAATTAAGAAGTTTATTCATGGACGTCAGGAAAAATAGAGGTAAATGGGCAAGCGATGAAAGAGTTGGACAGGAAGAATTATATGAAGCATGTGAAAAGGTAGTTATGGATCTAAGAGGCTATACTGAACATTCTACTCCATTCTTAAATAAAGTTAGTAAAAGAGAGGCTCCCAACTACGGCCTTATCATTAAAAAGCCCATGGATTTGAATACTGTTATGAAAAAACTAAAGGGTTTACAATACCAATCAAAGCAACTGTTTGTTGATGACTTGAATTTGATTTGGAATAATTGCTTGACGTACAATGCGGATCCTAAGCACTTCTTGAGAGCTCATGCAATCGCAATGCAAAAGAGAACTAATAAATTAGTTCCATCTATCCCAAATATAACGATTAGAAGCCGAGCGGAAGTGGAGAAAGAAGAAGAATTGGAAGAGAAAAACGAAGCAGCCGCTGCTGCTGCTACAACTGAAGGTGGAGCTGGAAAGGCTACTCAAAAGGGGAGGAAAAGAACCAAAGCTGATGCTGACGAAGTGGAGAATAATGACGACAACAGCAAAGAAGAGAACGACCGAGACGAAAATAAAATCAAAGAAGAAAAGGATGATGAAAGTACTAAAATAAAAGAAGAAAATGGTACTGCATCTGATGATATTGATATTGAGATGGCAGATGCATCTACTATCACCAACGGTACGGTAGGTGGCGGTGGCGGAGAAGATGATGACGAAGAAGAAGACGATGTTGATGTAAACGTTGCTGGAGATCTTGATGAGGAAGAAGTCGATCTCGAACTTCAAGCTTGGAGATCGATGACTGCTAAATCGCGTGCCAACTATTGTGCTAAGAGATCTGAACTATTCACTGACTCATTTTCTCTTAATCCAAATGCAGAAGCAATGACCAGAGAATCCTACGAGATGAATAATTTCAAGCATTACCTTAGTAACGATCAAGTTGTGTCCAAGTCGTCGAATCTACTTGAAAGTGATGAACCATATTTATTGGAATATGATGTAATGGGGGGTTTGCCTGGATTGGTATATTCAGGCTTAGACTCGGAATCTGAATTGAAAAGGGAGCAGAAGTTGGTAGACTTGTACCTTCAACAACTGGGAGGGGATGTTAATAATATTAAGTCCGATTTTGTCTTGCCCTTGGATTCTGGTTTAAATAAAGTCTATCATGACATTATTGGAAAAATCCAAGATATTAGGAAAATTTGCTTCAAAATTTCATTGATTAGACAAATGCAAACTCAACAATTTGTTCACCATACCCAAATGAAACAACCTGAAGTGGAAGATATCAAAGAAGTAGATATAGATCCAGTTTCAAAATTGTCTAATCATGAACCATTCAGTTCAGAAGTTCAATACGGAGTGTTGAGAAGAGCAGTTAGTAAGATAGCGATGCAAACTGGTTTTGAACTGACTGAACCTTTCGCAATCAATGCTTTGACACAAGTTGCAGAAAAATATTATGGAAATTTAGTCAAAACCTTAAAAATGCATTTGGAAACAAATTCAACAAATAGGTTAACTTACAAAGAAGCTCTCTTGGCTACATTATTAGAGAATGGTATAAACAAACCAGATGACTTGTATACGTTTGTGCAAGAAAGGATTGTCAAACAATATGATAAATTAAAGGACCTTAAAATCAAATTATCTAATTTTTTGAAGGAACTTCTCAGACCTGGTTTGGAAAACTTCAATGAAAAATCATTTGCTGATAACAGTGAGCAATTCATGACCGGTGACTTTTCAAGTGACTTGGGTGATGATTTCTTTGGCTTCAAAGAGTTGGGACTAGATAAAGAATTCAAAATGTTGAGTGGGGCAATTCCAATATATTTACTTCACTCCAGATTACATAACAATTATGCAGCAACTGGTAGTGTGAATAAAAAGAACAAATATGAAGATTTGAAAGAATTGAAAGATCCTAAGATTTATGCTCTGGAAATTACTCAGCAAATTGGGATCTTGCGACCTTTCTATTATAAATTATTGGAAAAGACCAAGACTCAGTATATAAAGAGTAGAAAGAAGAAGGGTGAACTGACTGAATTACCACCAGATGATAAATTTTTATTGATTGAAGATGAAGAGTTACCTCAAAAGCAGCGTAATATTCGTCCGAGGTTACCACCAACGGGTAAGATTGTTTCGGTGAAAAAGAGAACCTTGGCAAATGGGTTCTACTTACCGGACGAAGAATAAAATCGGAAATAACATATGAGAATATAGATAGCATAGAGTTTAACCAGATAAATGTAAAAAGATCGACCCTACTTATGAGCTCTAAGTGTAGTTGCCTGTAATTAAACATATTTGCTATACTTCTTTCTTAATTTCACTTCAAAATGCTCATTATCCTTCGTGTATGATTATTTATTATTATTCATACTTATATATTCTTCTTCCCAAAGTTACATTAATTCGAATTAATTAAATTTCCACACAATTTCTTAAATCTTTTTGAAAAATAATTCTAATGTTAGAAAGAAGCCAAAATGTACATCCACAGCAGAAAAGTACACTATACATACAATCGGACTTCCCACGAAGTTTTAACTTGAAAATGTCACCACTCTTCACTAAGTTTCTACCATGTACTTCGCTTCTCTACTGTTCGTAAAATTTGTGTGGGTGTTCGAGAAATTGCAGCCATTTCTGCATATAGTACAGCCACGTGAGAGCTATACACATCTTCCAATATCAGTATGAATCAAGATCTAATGAAGTATACTTCATTGTTTAGCTATCACCGCATATCTTATTTAATATTGGTATTTATGTATTAATATGTCAAGTACTGATGGTGTAGAACTATCACAGAAAAAAATTCAAATTGGGAGGTTAGCTGACCTCTCAAAACCAGAATTAGCGAAGAGAGATATATTTGGTAGGACGATACTACACTTGCTTGTTCTAACAAACAGATACGATCTCTTGAAGCGTCTATTTAAGAACCCAGACTTCAAGTCCATATTATCAGCTACTGACTACGAAAATGGTTGGAACTGCATGCATTACATGATCTTTCATAAAAAGCTCTCAAGCTTTAAGGCGCTTATGGAGTACTTTAAGGCCCTACAGAATAATACCCAGTTGCACGAGTTGTTAAGGTGCAAGGATAGGAGCAGAATGACTCCAATGCAATTATTAGATAATGATTTTAAGGATTTAATGTGGGTGCCCGAATACATAAATGAAAAAAACGAATATCATTTACAGTACAGATTTGCCAATGATTCGATGACCACCGATGGGGCCCCAACAAGACCTAGCCGGGCATCTATAAGAAGCATCAATGATTGGTGGGATCCTTCAAGAGGGGGATCTGACATCTTCGTTTATGGTTCTAATAAGAATAACAACCTTGGGTTAGGAGACTCTAATGACAGAGCAATACCTTCAAAAGTTCCGAGTGACTCGTTCATACAACAGGATCTTCAAGGCGATGACTTTGTTCAAGAATTGCTAAGCAAACAAAGATATAACAATGTCATAATATCAAAGTACCACTCTCTTATAGTGACTCAGTTTGGTGAAGTGTACTCTAGTGGCTTGGGAACCAGAGGTAGGTTGGGCCATGGGGTCAACAATTGCTATAAGTTCAAAAAGGTTCTCTTTGATGAAGATGACGAGATTCAAGTGGTGGCAGTAGCTTCATCAAATAACCATACCATTGCTCTTTCTCATCAGAATGAGATATATGGATGGGGATTGAATAGTTACAACCAACTAGGCTTCACAACGTTGACATCGGCTACATCTACTTCAAATTCAATAGGCTCTCTGTCCAGTAAGAAGTCTTTAGGATTCACCGAATTCTGCGAACCCTTACCGAGAAGAATTTTGAATGGAGAATTAAAAAAGGCAACTACATCTTTCAAAGGAGTAATTGTCTCGAAGATTCATTCACTTGTATATACAAAAAACGAAATATTTTCCTGGGGACTCTGCATTGGACAAATGGGAATTACGGCGGATTCGACTTCAATCCCAGGAGAACAAAAGATTAATGGCGTAATGCACAAGGGATACGTCCAGGAGACTCCCAAAAGATTAACCATGAGAGATGATATTAAACTCATCTCTACATCTGAAACATGCATGTGTGTGGTGACTGTTGACAACGATATTCATATATACTACCAACACCAACATATTAAGCTACCAAAGATATCGCAAAGCAACTATAATAACAACAGCCAATTCCACTTATTCAAACCGACTATTCTAACGAAACCTGTTACAATTAAGAAAGTATGTGTTAAGAATAATGAATTAGTAGTTTTCTTACTAGATAATGGGGATATCGTTAAGTTAGAGGATTTTAAGAACCCAAGATATGTCAAGATTTGGAAAGCTCACAATTATGATATGATTGTAATGGATTTTGACTTATCAAGCATTGGAAATATCATATTATGTACTAGAAATGGGTCTGTTTTTGTAAAAAGAGGTTCCAACTATACAACGGATGGAAGTAGCAGCACTAATCTGGGCCACAATTCCGGAGGAATTGTTGTGAATGCCCGTAAGAATTCTATGAGTGAATCTTCTTTAAGCACTCCAATAGTAGGAAGTGGTGTTAATAAATTCAGGCAAATAGATCACTTGGGGAAGATTGTAAAAGTTTCCTGTGATGATGAGTTTGTTTCATTCGGCTTCATTAGAGATGAAATTGACTCAATACCTCAAAAATTGCATAAAAATACATTTTTCAACGACTTAATGTTTCTTGAAGGCATACAAGAGCATAATTTGTATAGAAAACAGGACGAGCTTTTCATTGCAGATGGACCAGGCAATTCATATGTTAAGGATTTCTTGTACACCGTAAGAAAGAAAAATACCAGGGAAAGACAGAGATCATTGGTAAATAAATATAGGATTGATGAAGCTGACGACGAGGATGATGAAGAAGAGACTGTGCAGAAAACTGCTAAAGCTGAAGGTTATACAGACATATTCTTTCAGAAACACAAGGAAAGATTTTCTACTAAGCATAAGAAAATAAACATGATTGATACATTTCAAAACGTTTCTAAACTTGAAAGGCAACGGATGTTTGAAGACTTGAAATATTCCACTGAAGAAGACTTGCTTACTAGGCTCGATGATGAAAATAGTAAAGGCTTTGACTCTTTCATAAATTTAGCTGGAAATGGATATGATCCATCCGTAAAGATTGGATTTCATAAATTTATATTTCTGGAAAGATCTAAATTTTGTAAGGAATTGTTCCAGCCTAAACATGCTGATGAATATTTCAAGGTCAATGACATTACAGGTAGATTTGACGCTCTGACTAATGAGCTTATTTTCAATAATCACATCAACTTAAAATCAATTATCATACTAATTCATCTTTTGTATACGAATGATGTATTAAATATTTGGGACGACTATCCGATAGGTATACATTGTCCCAGGGACATAAAGGAGATCAAAACAGATTTTGACAAGTTGGTTACGATATTGAAATTGTCTCAGGCTTATGGAAAATTGTGTAACGCTGAGACGTACTTGAAGAGTTTAAGCCAATCAATCAACTGGAATGATATGGGGCAAAAATCGAAAGCAGACTCTTATGATGTCCTTGTCAAACTCAAAGATGGCTCAATTTGGTGTCATTCGTCCATGCTCATTGCAAGATCTGCGTATTTTGAAACTGTACTCTCTAATCGTTGGGATACTAGTTGCGATAGAATTATTAATTTTGATTCTATCTTGAAGAATCAATTCGAGGTAGTATTAAAATACATCTATGGGTACGATGAAACTAAAATCTTCGAAGGATCTCTTGGTCAGCTGGAATACAGTTCAGATGAATTCATTAACAATTTACTTGATCTTATTGAAATTGCTGATGAACTACTATTGTTTGAATTGAAACTGTTGTGTGAATTAGCGATCAAGGATCTCATTAATATGGATAACGTCTTGATCCTTTTACAACATGCAGACTTCCTATCAGCAAAGAAATTGTTTATGAATTGTGCCTGGATTCTATATAATAATCTTGAGCTTTTGATGTTTAACCAATATTTCAGGGAATTGCCATTAGAACTCTTAAAAAAAGTTGAAGTGCAAATTAATTTTATTTCCAATTGTAAAAGACAAGATTTTGTGTCCTATGGGGATGGTATAATATCACTTGAAGGAGAGGTAAATACAAAATTACTTGACGATTGGTTCGAAAGAAATTCTTCTCAATTGGTAGCGGCATTTCTCAATGATACGGATGATTTTAATGAAAACTTTGTTCAAAAAATAGGTAGGAAAAAGTTTGAACCATTGTTTGATATAAGGAAAGATAGCTCAAAGAAGAAGTCAAGATCTGTATCCATAGAAAAATCGAGAACACCTTCCATATCTGATACGAACGATAGAAGTTCCTCTTTTAGTGGAGCTAATACCGAGCTTCAATCAGGATTGGCCACCTTTAGAAATGGGTCAATTGGAAGTCGACTGAGCATTAATAATTCTGCAATTGATGATGATGCTGAAGAGTTTGAGCAAGTATCAAACAGTAGAAGAAGAAAGTCTAGCACTCCCTTTGTTGCTGCTCCTACATCTATGCTGCAGGCGAAATCATTACCTGATCCTATCAATGCTGGTATGAGCTTGGTGGGGAACTCTCTTTCCAGGAATTCATTTTCTTCAGAGAGAAAGCCTTCTTTGCCAGGGTTAAGTCCTCATTCAAATTGGGCAAATCCGGCTACTGGTAATCTCAAAGATCAACCTATACTTGGTATTGAATCCGAGAAGAAAACTAAATTAAAAGTTGCTCTGGTTCCAAGGTTATCTCAGAAGGAGAGAAAGAAAAAAGCATTGCAAATCAATGATCTGCAACCAAGTCCCATCAGCAGCAGTTCCTCCACTCTCCCTCCTTGGGCGATTCCCTCAAGCAGTACTACCTCCAAATCACCTACCCCATCACCGAGTTCTTCATTATCATCTTCATATACATCGGCCAGCAACTGGGCAAATTCAACTTCAAATACTGTTCTTCCAGTACTTGGATCTGGTGGTAGCAAGACATTCCAGAAGCAAAAGATGAAAAAGAATCAGCCAAGGCAGGTCAAATCATCTTCACCCTCACCTCCTCCCGTCTCTCAAATATCACCTTCCTCATCGTATTTGTCATCCAGCGTACCCCCAGGTCCGACCTTAGCAGAAATTATGATTCAAGAGGCATTGAAAATTGAAGAGCAACAAATTCGAGACAAAGAAAGGAAATCTTTGCAAGAAATTCAACAAGAGCAAGAATTTGATAAGTGGTGGAGTGAAGAGACAGCCAAATTCCAAAAACTTGCAATATCCACCTCACAAACCACGAACAGCAACAAGAAGAAGTCTAAAAAGAGGTACAATTCGATCAATTAGACCGTAGCGTAGCATCGGCTCCTACCATAGAATGAATACTTCATATTCTTGTAAATATATACATACATACATACTTCCCTAACTTAATTTCATTTAGTAATCTACATCCTCAGGAAACCAGCCGAATTCTTGAAGGTCAATAAATAGGGCATCCAGCACTTCTACCTTTTCACTTCTTAGTATCTCTGCCTGTCTAAACTCTGAGCTTGAGTTACCTCTTGGAGATATCTTACCTGCGCTCAGCACCACTCTCCACCAGGGCAAAGCTTGTCTATCTAATTGCTCTTCTTCAGGTAATTCTGCATTTAGTGCTTGTACAATCATGTCCAAATGTTTCATTGATGAACCAACCTGCCTAGCGTTTTGGGGTTTACCAAGTAGATATGCTATATGTCCATATGAAATTACCTTTCCATATGGTATTTTAGATGCAACTAGATATACAGCTAAGTAGAACGATTTAGATTCATCGGTCAACTTCATTATACGGGCCGCAAAGATAGAATTAAGTGTATACCCAACTAAGAAAAGAACTGGCGAGAATAAAATTTCCATGAGCATAGCAATTAAGGTTTGATGAGATTCTGAGATGCTACAAGGTAAATAGAGAATAGAGTTGCATATACTTCATTCTACATTATTAATTTTTTTAGTTCCTATATTTATTTAACCTCTAATATACATTAATTTAATTTAATCAAATGTAAATTACTTATAAAGCTAATAAAGCACCAGCAGCTAAAGCGGCAACACCGGCAGCGGCGAATTGCTTGTTAGCACCGTTTTCCCAGGTGGTAACGTTGGCAGCGGTGGTAGCGTTAGCAACGGAAGTGGAAGCAGCTGGACAGTCAGTGACGGTAGAAGCACATGAAGTAATAGTAACTAAAGTGGATGAGGAGTCGGTTTCAGTGACAGTGGTAGCAGAAACTAAAGCAGCAGAAGCTAAGATGGCGACGGTGGAGAATTGCATTTTATATATATTAAGCGAAGGACTAGGTTGAGTTATTTCTGAAGAAAAGAAGAAGAAAAGGGTAAGAAAGTATTTAGAATATTTGGGGACTGTTCTTCCATTTATATATTGGGAAGATATGGGACCAGTTGAAACAAAAAAATAAAAAACAATAGCAAAAAAAAAAAAAATACCCAGAGCAATAATCCCCCGAAGACGCAAGATAGCAAATTTTCATGCGTCAAACCAGTCAGACGAGCATGATGCATGAAGATACAACAGAAAAGGAATTGTTTTCGATTGTTTTTTTTTTCACTAACTTATTAATAAATTATTGAAAATACTTTAATATTTTATGATGACTACCAATGGAAGAGTTCATTCAATGAGATGAGAAATGCTAGTGTATGAGGAATTAACCTTAAGTTGTCTACTGGCAAGGAAAGAATTGAAGTTAACCTAAAAAAAATTGCCTCGTCAAAGAGTCATCCCGACTTTGCTGTGCCCCTCTTATGTCTGTCAAAAACTCAGTTCAGAGTGACTCGATGCTTGTCTAACATTTTAGGTTTCTTTTTAATTTTCGGCTCAATTGTTCCAGTGGAGGCGCACATGCTTTGACGGGATCCCGCCTTTGCCAGAACGAAACAAGCAATAGATTGACCCGATTGGGAATATGGATTGGGTGGCCTGCATCTAGTACTGTCTAAATGCGGAATACCGTCGCAGGCAGCTGTTATGAGCGCGCGGAAAATGAAGGAATTTTTCTCCGTAGTATTTCGGCCCTCAATTGTTCCTATGCAAGGAGCAAGTTCGGTGCCAGATACATGTCGGCAAGTTCGAGAAAACTACGAGCAAGATAAGACACCTACTGGCAGGCTGGTTCACAAGCCTTATTCTTGGGTCCAATTTGCAAACTGGGTCTCTTTTTGGGACGAATTTCGATCCAATGCCAAGGAAGCTAATTGCTATCGAAGGTAAAAAAGAAGGAATACTATTGCATAGATTGTCGAAGGAAAAATAAACGAACAAGAGAACGTCCAGCCTAAAACACCACCAACGCCAAAGTGAAAAGAAAACAAAAAAAAAAAAATAAAAAAAAATAAGCAATAAAATAAGCAATAAAATCTGAGCCTAAGCGCGCTCCACGAGGTAGAACCGCAACGTCTTTATTGCACCACTCATTGCTATTGTCAAAAGTTTGTTACAGAGGAAAATGCTACATGTGGGTGAACTATATTACCTTATTGTAGTCTGCTTTTAGATTTGTATTGTCATTCGCTTTCTGTAATTCACAGAGTACAAGCCCAATGCGTTAAAAATTCATTGAAATGCGTGACATGATAAAGGAATACCTTTTTCGTCTGCCCTTAACTTAACCAGAGTACCTGGCTAGTCTGGTGGTTTCCTTTAGGGGCAACTGCGTAAAAATAATTATCCCGAGAACTGGCTAAAATTTTTTTCGATGGGAGGTCTCCCACACATTTCCCCGATGTAGGTGCACTAAAAAAGTTTTTTTTTTTTTATTTTTTCCGGTAGAACAACATACACCAGCTAGTCTCGTATCACAACAATAGTACATCCAGCATTAACCTTGCACAAGTTTTGAAGAATACAAACGGTTATTTATCTTCTGTTGCTGGGAATAATTCTAGAACTGCTCTCCATAATTATTATTATTATTATTATTATTATTATTATTATTCTGATTGTCGTCATTTTCATTTGCGTTATGAATTTCACCTGTAGGCTCTGGCTCAATGGGTGCAAATTTTTTAGTTCCTGCCCTACACTCTCTGATCAATTTTTTCACTTCCCTGATCTGGGCCAATAGTATTTGATAGTATTCTTCCTTGGACTCCTCTAAATCTAAGCTTTCAATATCCGTTCCAAGGTCGCCCAAATTCATTTCTTCCAATTCTTTATTTAAGACGGCATTGGCATTTGTCGCTCCATGCAGAGCTAAAACAATTCTGGCCACATCCATCTGTTGATCCAAAGCTAATTTTAGCACCTTAGACTCGTCTGATCTCCATTGTTCTAATTTGATATTAATGGTTGTTTGGCTGGAAGGAAAGAGTGTAAGAAAGTACAATAATAAATCCTTCCACAAGTTATTCCAGGAATCGTTGATCCAGTAGCGTAAACCAGTTCTTTGTTCGTCTATGGCCAAGATGAATTCAAAATCTCTTTCTCTATCTATGGCAATATTTATGCACTCATTTCTTAAATCACTTACCAAACTACCAAGCCCTCCAAATAACCCATTAGTAACTCTAAGAATGGTTACTAATTTAGAAGCTAACCTCGTATCTATCCTTCTATTCACGTCGATACCGTTCAAAAATGTTCGCTCGATCCACCCACTGAGTCTGCCATTAGTGAAAAAAAAAGCGTAGACAATGCTACCGACAGCAGCTATTTGCAGTATTAAGGCAAAATTGTGGAATATAAGTTCATGCAACCCTAGCATGTATATGACAAATGAGTACCGGACCATGCGACTAAATATCTGCTCTAGGTTAACCATTATAATACCCAACAAAACTAGATGAATGGGCTGACCTGCCTCATGCCTACCATTATTACGTTCACCGATGGGTTCTTCAGGTTCACGGACTGCGGCAGGAACAGGGCCAGGGGCAGGAATATCAGGAACAGCAGCAGGAACCTGAACAGGTTCAGGTATCGGAACTGCACCTGGAGCCGGGTTTGGGACTACACGTGGAACGGCAGGCATTCTATTCATTATATCTTGCAAGATCTGAATAGGGTTTTGGTTTGCGTTCCGACCGTGGTTTTGCACAGGAGCTTCCACTGAAGCAGGGGCCTGCTGCGCTTGACTCTGGTCATACTGATTAATTTTAACATCTTGGATCAAACTTTGTCCATTTTTTTGAAACACTCTGTTTAATTTGGCCTTTCCAGAAGGATTAATTAAAACATAAGGATCATGAAACCCATTATCCACAATCATACATTGAGATGTATTCAATGTGATTGTAGTTTCTTTATCTTCTCCTTCCAAAAAGGCACTAAAGACATACTCCAGATTCACAAGATCAGACTGGTTCACTAACAACTTCTCGCCATCTATATTTGATTCGATGGTTTCAAATGTTTCTCCAGTGGGGGTCCATTCCACACCATTTGACACTACAATTTTCAACAGTTGGGACAGTTTGAAGTTGTCTTTCACGGTTCTGGTCGGAGTAGGGACAAAGTACTCTTCGCCGTCCACACGATCTTGGACAATGATGTGTAGTTTCACATGATTTCGAGGAATCTTCAATATATCCACAATAGGGCCATTGGAGTCTTCAATTACTTCCTGAGACATGTAATGCAATGAGAAGGGACTGCCAATATGTTCAGATATTTGTGACTTCACTTCATTGATGGATGCAAACCTATCGACTTCAAACTCTATGATACTATCCAAAGACGTGGACATTGCTCTGATATGGAGGGTACTTGGGCTATAAGGAGGACGCAAGCACGCTAGAAGAAATACTTCAGATAGTGGAGAGACATCCAACTTTAGCGCAGCCGATAGTTTGACATCTTCATCTCCTTCACTTGTATCATTGATTTCTGTATAATTTCGCCCTTGCACCAAGTAGAACTTCAAGTGCTCCCTTCTTTTGTTCGACACCTCCCTCTCCAATATATAGTCCTTCAAGGCGTTAACTCCACACTCTATAGACTCTCTGAATTTTAACGTCTTGTCTCGATAACTGATCAGAATGTCAAATAGTTCATCAACAGGAGTTCTATGTACAGGGATACTTCTTGAATTGATAAGCGCCAAATCAACTACAAGGTTCAATGTATTCTCGCCAGACTCTAGAAATTCCGAGATCTTCTGATTCTCACTGCTTACTGTAACTCCATTGGCTTGATACTTCAAAAACACCGGCTTTAGAAAGTTTTCACTCGACTTCTTCCATAGTAAGCTCTGGATATCTCGCCAGCAATGATCCAACGTAAGATTGAATTGGAATTTGGTCACCAACCATTCATTGTTGGTAAAAGTTTCCGGTACGTTAATATAATTAATGTCTATGAATATGGGAGTAGATTGTTCCATAGATGCAAGTAATGTACTTTGACGGTGATAGATTAGACTTGCCACTAGCTTTGTCACCAAGCGAGTAGTGTTCCAAATTAGATGCTGTGTCACAAAGGACTGCATATAAACTTTCGCTTAGCTCATCTTCGGTGCTTAGCAAGAAGAGCTCAGCGCAAGCTAGGAGATGCCACATTGCAATTTGGTTGGGACAAGGAGGGGGTTACAGGTCGGGGGGATAGCTGAGCCAAATACTGTGCATGCAAAGACTTACTGTAGATAGTCAAATAATTTGACAAATCATTTGATGTTTCACGGTTTCTATACTTGTTTTGTCATTTTATCATTAATGTATTTAATATGTAAAAGAGTATATTCTATCTATATACAAGTAATTTTGCCTTGATTGATTCTTTTGTAAACGTTCTTCCACCGTCTTTGTCTTCGTGACAAGGTCGCCCCCCGCCAATTATCTATACCTATAGAACATTGCAACTTGCTCCTTTCCACAACTACCACTACTTTTTGATAGCATGGTATCTCTTACCTCTAACTGCGAAGATGTTGTGGTTCGCCTGAAATGTTTCAGTAGGATTTATATCAACTAAATCTAATTTGGTAGACCCAAAGAAATTTTCAGTCAAATTCATCAATATGTCCATTTCTTCGCTCAATGGATGTTTCTTCAACCAGTCGAATTCTCTAGTGGCATCCTTTTCGTGGTATCCAGTTATATAGATTGGACACTTGGAATCCAAGAGTCCCTTTAAACTTTCATTCCAGTGGATCTCATCAGCTGTGGCGAACCCCGGATGGAAAAGGAAAAATGCATCCAAGTATGGGTCAAAGGGGAAAAGGTCACCCATTTCATATAATTCATGGAAGTATTGAGTATGATAATGCAAAGTTATTTGTTCATCAAACCTCTCTACCAAGGCTCTACCGTGAGGTTGATCAGTTGATCCAAACAGCCTAGTCTTTGGATCGAAATAACATTCTGGCCCAATGAAATGGAATTCAAACTTAGTTTCTGGAAATAAGTAGCCAAACTGCTTCCAGACGTAACCTGGCAACATCGACTCCATCTTAGATCCAACAATGAAAATTCTCATTGGTCTGTCCTTAAAAATGGAAGAACTCTCGTCTTGCTTGGAGTATGGTGGGTATAATGTATAACGCAATGCAGCGAGGGACTTAAGACCTTCTAAAGTTAAGGCTTCCCCAGCTGCATGCTTCTTAGTCTGCTGTTGATAAGGTGAGAATCGATGGAACACAGAAGCAACAGTCACTGGGTAAGTCAATACTTTGGAGGCGGCAGCCAAGTTGAATTCTGTATTCATTGGGCTGAAATCACGGGTATAGAAGAAGGCATCCCAATTCGACATGTTGGGGATACAGTCCTTCTCCTGTTGGCCTGGAAACACAAATTCATCAAACTTACGGCCCGATCTTAAGTCATGTTCATACAAATTAACTTTCTTCAATAAATCGTATGTCTTGGTATCGTGATAGTGCACGTCACCAGCCCACGCTGCCTCATCATGATGTGTTGGGATACCTGAGATAGGACACACGTAATTCACTGACTTGCCTGTAGTTGGACAACGAGCTTTCGTTCTTATGAATGCAGCACGAGTACGGAGATCTTCGTATGGAGACTCGTCCCATGGGATAAGCTGATGCTCACCTGCACCACCATTTGCAGAGGTTGAATCCAGTTCAGTTTTGTTCAATGCCAACAAGCTAAGAGCCCCCTTTAATAACGAAAAATGTCTTACGGATAACGAGAGAGGGACACTCTTCGTTATCCTACCAGTAAAGACAGCACCTTTAACTAAAACCATGCTTATTCGGAGGAGATGACTACTGTATATTCCTTGTATCTTATTTTCTCTTTTTGTAACCGCCTTTTGATTTAATGAGTTGATTTTTCATTGAAAAATTGGAATGGGACGGATTATATGCAGGTCACGAACATCGGTCATTGAGGGTACGTGAATGGAAGGCTAGTAGGCAATATTGGGCGTGTTGGAGCAATCTTCTTGCTATTTAGGGAAAGGCTCGAGCTCTTAGGTAGTTCACTGGACATCTCTTTACTGAATTGGTGCTTTTTTTGATGCTAAATTGTTTTGGGTTTGGACGGAGATAGGGATATATGCAGGAAATACATAGCTTAGCTAGTGCTAGCCAACCTGGCACCTACAGGTGTGGAGCACTTGCTGGACTAGTATGATTTTACGTTAGGATATGTTTCCATTTGCTCTATATATTTTACATAAAACCTACCTACGTTTGTTCTCTCATAAATCTCATAATTCATCGTGAGGGTGTTCAGGTTCAACTGATTCTTTTTGTTCATCATCTCTCTCCTTTTCAGCTTCGGTTGCAGGAACATACACTATGACGGTTTCTAAGGCGGGCGTGACGGTGACTGTTGAGTAAGCCATATATTCTTCGGACGCACTCTCAGGGTGCTCAGCAGACTCTAGTTCACTCTCAATAGAGACAGCGCTAGCTATTATGTTTTCATTGGACTGAACAGTCAGTTCTGCAGTTTGGTCATCAGTCAGTTCTCTGGTTGGCTGCTCGACTGTTCCTAAAACTGAACCAATTGCAGGTGATTCTTCTACAGCCTCCATGTTATCAACAATCATGCCCCCTTCATCTTGATCTTGGGTTTGTTCAACGTGGTCTAACTGTTCTTCTTGAACTTGGACCTCAGTTTCGTCATGATGATCGTCAGCATTCTCTCGTGTATGATAGCCCTCAGGATCATCTGGAGGTGCTTGCTCCTGGTGTTGCTCCTGCTCGTACTCCTGCTGGTGCCCCTGGTGTTGTTCTTCCTTCCCTTCCTCCTCCTGCTGGTGCTGTTCTTCCTCCCCTTCCTCCTCCTGCTGGTGCTGTTGCGGCCGTTCCTTGATAAGTTTCATCTGTTCAGCAATTTGCTTGGCAATTTCTTCTTGTTGCACACTACTATCCAATCCTTCTTTATCCTTCACAGTGACAACGAATGAAATACCAGGCTGTTCTTGTGGTGGCTCAACCTCTCTCCTCTGTTCAAACTTCTGAAAATTTACTGCTCCATTAGGCAGCTGATATTCCCCTATTTCCACAAAATCTCCATCATGATCCACCATCGTTTCAGGATTGATTAATTGCAAGCTCAAAGACTTAATCTCTTCTTCTCCATCTCTGCTAACTTTCACCAACGAAATGAAATTACCATAAAAATCATACATTTCAAACCAGATAATAAACGTATCATCCCAAGTTATAAATTGCTGCATCCCCGTATTTTTATCTATCAAAGGTGATAGTATTTTTCTCCCAATTATATTGTGAAACATTCTACCAAACTTATTAATCAAGTCCATATTCGATTCATACTCATTATTATACACAATAACATGGCGGTGCTTAAAATAAGAATTTTCACTCGCTATTGGGGTTCTAGAAATTGCCAGAAAGAATCCCTGTCCAAATGGACTCAAGGTATAGTCTGACAATTGAATTTTGTAATCGTTTCGGATCGGAAACAAGTCTCTTCCCTTGATTGGAACTAAGTCTTCCTCAGTTCTACTCTTCAAAAACGAATCCACTGTTAATGATTCATAGTCGTTGTTGCCATCTCTATTCCAATTTCCATTTTCATGTTCCTCGTGCACCTCAATCTCTTTACACCCAATTTCGATGACTTCATCCTCCACTTTGCTTGGCTGAAATTCCTTCAACTGACACAATTGTGGGACACTTATCACCATTTGATATTCGCATGTCTTAATCTCGTTAACGTCAATTACATGAATGTTTCCACCTCTTTTAGGATCACATTTGTAGATTATGTCTATAGTTCTTGGTTCACCAGTCCAATCACATATCCCACCATCGGTCAACGTATGCTCAATGAACTTTTGGGTACTATGTACATTCTTCTGGTTAAATGGATTTATAGTGTCGTCATTAATTTGGAACTCTTTAGGATTAAGTCTTTCCAGGTCCTTCTCTTTCCAATTGCATTGGTTTTCAATCTTGGTTTCTTTAAAGTTCGAGCCTTCAAACTTCCCCAAAACGAAGATAAAATCAGGATTCTCTGGCTTGTGCTTTTTCGTCTTGATGAAGTACTCCATGTTTTCGTGGTATTGGATGACTTTATCTCCAAAACAGTAAGCAAAGGTGAAGTACCCTCCGTTGAAACCGTAAGCAAAAACACATTCTTTGGTCGAGAAGGAGGAGTTCAAAATTCTTACTGCCTTGCCCAAGAGATCAGCTGTTGGTTGAGCGTTCTCATCAACCAAAATAGAAGTGTCGTTAATTTCCACTTGTGGAATGTAGCACAAGTAGTCCCGAGAGTTAGTGTCTTGAAGTTGCGTGTATGTAGATTTCAACACCTGGAAATGTCCGTTCTGGCCCACATCGTTATTGCTATCGTGATCATTCAATTGTAGATAGCTACTTGCAAGATTAGAAGATATCTTAGAATTGTGAAATTTCACAGAATATTTGGGGGGAATGATAATATTTGCATTTGAAAAGGGTAGTAGAAGAAGAAAATATATGAATATCATCCAAGTTTGTGCCTTATTGGGTGGTAGACAGAGAAATTTAAACATGAACAGGCCCGGCTCCACTTGATTTTGATGACAGGCGTAGCTCCAGGTGTCGCATATCGAATAAAACCTGCATATAAACACGACACAGTAGCTAATTTCCTTGCTGTTTACAGCTACACCCCCACTGTCCCTATTGAGGAAATGGAAGTTCATCTCAAGAGCTATTTCATCTGCTACCACGGACTAGAAGACTCTACCTTTTACGAAATAGAATGCTTGGCTCGATTTTAGAATCCGTTTGAAGTGTCCACAGTGCTCTATCCCAAACAAGTAATGACTGCATATAGACACACAGTACATGGGTTGTTGCAATTGTCGCGTGTATGAAATGTATCACCCACGGCCATGTTATAGACTCTTGGAGGGATCAATTGTGGCCAGTTCTATATATTAACGTTGGTATGAGCTTCTCGCAGAATTCTTCGCCTGGTAATGTAGTTCCTGGTTTGACAACACCAAATTTAAACGATGGTGAGTTGTCGAACAAGAGCTCATCAACCCATTCTTCAACGAAAGCTTCCAAGACTGGTCCTCCACTGAAGGACAGCAAAGAGAACGATGTGGACACCGAAATTAACAACAATAAACTTAACAATTCTGTATTTGAGATTGCTCTGAACTTGGAAGAGAGATTGAGAGAATTAAATCATAACGTTGATCAGCATGACGTTGACGTGAACGCTAGAATAGATAAGCTAGTTACACGAATTAGAGCTCTAGAGAAGAAGATGAGTAGTTAAGCAAAAGTAAAACAAGTGTGGGCTAAAAACACTAAAAAAAAATAGGAGAGTAAACGTAGAATTAGCGGGAAAATTACAAGGGAGTCAAAAAGTACGATACATCGCAATTTAACTAGTTAACTCAATACTGTGTTGCTCCTCTGTTTGGTTAAGAGATATGGAAAGTAGAGAACTCATCACGGATTATATGCAGGTCAACAACATAATATACATAACATTCACCACTAGAAGAAAAATTTAAGTAGATGAACTACACGCCAGTGATAGAGGTACCTTGTAGGATATAGTGTAGAGAATGAGTAAGATACGAAAGTCAAAGAACCAGCAAAGAAGAGAAAGAGCGAAATTGAAGAAAAAGGAAGTGAATGGGAATGAGATTGGTAATAATAGCGAGCAAGCCAACCCTATCGATGAGACTGTGGAACTGGAAATACCTGAGGTTGCAGTGATAGATAAGGAAAGTACGAAACAGATAGATGAAAACGACGATGTTTTATTTGCACAATTTCAAAATGTATTCCAAAAGTTTGAAAACAAAGAAGAACACCAAGAAGGTCAAACTGAAGAGCTGAACCCAAAAGGTGATCTATTGACTGAGGAAGCCGATGATGATTCGTCATCTGCCTCTAGTTCAGATGAAGAGGAAGAGGAGAACCAACCACTTTCTAAGCGTCAGCTTCGTAAATTGAACAAGGTTTCACTTGCAGAACTCAAATCATCAACATCAAGACCCCAATTGGTGGAGTGGTTTGACGTAGATTCGCATGATCCATTCCTACATGTTGCGCTTAAATCGCAACTTAACTGTGTACCGATTCCTCCCCATTGGACCAATAAAAGGGACTATCTTTCCGGAAGGAAAGGGGTGGAAAGGGTGCCTTTTCAGCTTCCGAAGTTTATTTTGGATACTGGGATTCAAGATATGAGAAACACTGATGCAGAAAATGAAAGCACATTAAGGCAGCTGCAGAGAGACCGTGTTCAGCCTAAGATGGGTAAGCTTGATATTGATTATCAGAAACTCCATGACGCATTTTTCAAATTTCAAACGAAACCAAAGTTGTATGCCTTTGGAGATCTTTTCTATGAGGGAAGAGAGTCGCATGATGAGTATTCAACTGAAGTAGGAGTAATCAGACCAGGTATAGTGTCTAAAGACCTAAGGAGAGCATTGGGTATGCATGAAGATGACCCAAAGATTCCCCCTCCTTGGTTGCAGGTAATGGCAAAAATAGGAAAACCACCAGCATATAAGGACTTGTATATACCTGGTTTGGATATGGAATATAATAACGAAGGTTACACACATCTGAAGGAAAAGAGCAAATCTACTGTGGGAAATGTAGTAGAATTATTTGGCCAGATAACGCTGGACATAGAGGAGGAAAGTGAAGAAGAAGGAACCGATGACAGTGAAAATGAAGGTGAGAAAGAAGAAGCTGCGGACCAACCAGATTATGAACCTGAATCTGAACCTGAATCCGAGGGTGATCATACTCAAAAGACATCGATATCAGAATTTGGTGGTACCAAAGCATCATCCAAACCCAAGGGGATTTCCAGCACAGAAAATAAACCATTATATCAAATACTACAAGAAAATGATAAAGCAAGCAATAGTCCGCTTACAAATAAGGGCTACGATGTTTCCATTGAAGCTACTCCATCAACAAATAATAAGAGACCAGCTGCAGAAACTAATACGAATGAAAAGAAAAAGTTCAAGTTCTAATTATGTATATCTAAAGTATTATAAATATTAATTTCAAAATGGGAAATTTTCAAAACTTTTCTCGTTTGTAGCATTCAAACTGCCATTGGCACTATCATTAGTATTTTCATCAGTATTTGAGAAAAAGTTTGCAAAGTAAGAGTCTGGGTTAAGTGGTAAGGGATCGGTTGAATTGTTCTCGAAGAATGGGGTATTAATTGAATTGAAAATATCCCCTGTTCGCGAATTACTATTGGATTCAAGAAGGTTTAAATAGTTCATAATGTCTGTATCAATTTCTTGAAATATTTCTTGAATTGAATGAGCGGGAGCTGAAGGTGATACTTGTGCTTGATTTGTTCGCACAGAAGAGGTACCAACTCCTGTTCCTAAAGAAGAGCCCGTGCCTGATCCTAAACCCAAGTCCAAATCTGGACCTGTGAGAGCAATAGGGACAGAAGGTATATTCTCATTCGGATTTAAAACTGCTCGAGTCGGTATTGTTTCAGTAGTGAGCGGTTTACTTTCATCAGATTTCTTCCTTCTTTTTGTTTTGCTTTCCAGATCCACATTATTATCATTTGTCATCTCGTGTGGTATCTCTAAAGATTCAATCTCTTGGTGTTTGCTTCTTTCCATCAAGTTTATCAACAAGCTACTTCTAGTTGCCTTAAGGTTATTAGCTTCAGGTCCAGCAGGTAACGGTGAGCTTATATACTCTTCGGAGACCTTTATCCATTTCTGAATCTTGGTTAAAATTTCATTCATTGCTTGACAAATTCCCAGATTGTACATCTTTTGATTATTTGAAATGATGGTAGATATCTTTTCAAAATAGAATTCAACATTAATCTTTATGGAAGATTGGTTTGGAATATTTGATGCTTGGGACTTAGATAATAGTTTCAACCTAATTAATAAGACTAAGGAATGCATTGGTCTATAATATACAAATGTTGGGTAGTTGACAGTTTCCTTTTCATTTAATTCGATGTAGGAATTTAAAATGTTTTCACACAATGTGACCACCTTACTTATTAAATTGATATAAGTGATGTAGTATTCTTCGGGTTGTTGCAACAGCAGTGGATGTTTTAGGTGTTTTTCATGTAAATGTATATGTAAAAGTTTATCATACATAGCCAATGAAACTTGATAATATAATATAGCAAATAAACTTGCCTCACGACAACCTGACTCTATGAATCCACTATCTTTGAGTAAATTAAAGAATTGGATTTCATAGTTCTGAGCAAGAAATGTGAGCTTGTCAACTGGTAAGATAGATGGATCCCCTCCAATCAAACTGATTGTCAAATTTTGAGAGGTAGACGCCTTGCTTTCATTTTTAGTAGACATTGTTTGTGAGGTTTGTTTCCCACTATCAATCGACAACACTTGATAAATTTCTTGACTTAATTTAATTGCCTTAGCATAGCAGATAAGATATTTGTCACCTCTAGACAAGCTCTTGGGATGTTGTTCTAATTTATTTATAGCCAAATCATGATTATGAGACCAGTTTACCAACTTAAATCTGTATAGAGATAATCCCAATGACCCACAGTTGCAGTATACACTCAAGAAAGTTCTTAAATCGTTACGCTCTTCAGAATTGTCATCAGCAACTGAAGATCCAGGTGGATATGTCTTGGCAGTCTCATCGCCGAGGCCAATACATAAGGAGACATTCAAGCTTAATAGCAAGTTTACCAGATTCTTAAAGTGACCTAACTTATTTGGAGGTGGGCTCCAGACCGAGAGGATAATACAAATCTGAATCAATTGAATGGTAAACCCATCAGCTTGTATATAGATTCTATGAGACAAAAATCTTTCCAAGTAGTAATTTAACAACACCTGTAAGTTTCTATTGTCCACAGGAGTGGACAGAAATCCATTATGGTGGATTGTAGTTACCGATATACATGAAAGAAGCAAAAGTGGAAACTTGTCTAGCAAGTACTGGAAGTTGCGCAGTCTTTTTGTAAAAGAAATTACCGGGTAGTAAGGGAGCATTTCATTCATAAAGAACTCAAATCTTTTCTTACACTCATCCAACGATACACGTTTGTGTGTGTAGATGAGTTCCTTGGCAATATTGTGACTATATGGAATCTGAGGGTATTTCAAGAATTCTATGGAGGAACCACTCTCCACGGTAGTGGAGGAGTTAGTGGCCGTAGTGCTAACCAAAGTACTAACCTTCAGGTATGCAGATAGTATATTTTGCTTTAAGATTTGCAAATTCTGTAAACTCTCGGGTACATCATCAGGTACTCGTTTTGAGCCTTCGAACAATGCTAAGGTTTCATGAACTGAGTCCACCAAAGTCTTCAAGTGTTTCATTAAAGTACCAGGTGGAGAGTCAGCCGTAACACTCGTGGGTCCAGAAGCCTCTGAACCAATGGAAGTTGTCACACCAGCAACAGGCGTTGTACTTTTAGTCGTTGCTGCCCGCAGTTTTCTTTTCTTCCTTGCAAACTGAGCAGTTGGATCTTCATCCGGGGAACATTCAACACCAATTGAAAAGCATCTTTTGCACGCTTTCACAGTGGGGTCAGAATAGGAGCATCTCATCTTGAGCCTATGGCACCTGGCGCATGCTCTTACTTGACGCCACTTACTTTCAAACTCTTCCTTTTGCATAGTCGCTGACATAGTGGATAATCAATAAACAAAGTATTTTAATCTCAATCGATGATAAGCATTCCGCTCTTATCAATGGTAGGTCCTAAAATATTACAAATAATTCAAGCTCTTGCAGTATACACAGTGGTTCTGATATTCGTACAGCAACGATACACGACTTATAACGCACTGGGGCCTAATTGCTGATCTACTGCACTCGTACACATTCAGCCGTATCGCATATTTATTGGCGAAGGAGATGCCCGAGAATGTTACATGCAAGTGCTCACACCCTTCGAGAAAATCCAGAAAGATAAGAAGGACCCACCTAAACAAGTCCAGAAAAATAATTTAAAGTACATATATGTGATTTTATCTGTATTTGTATATTGTATGTTGATCTACATGAATTCTTATCTAAATGCTATAATCTAAAAGTAACTATTCTCAAGAATGATTTTATTCCTTTGTTGTCAACTCTGTTGATTAATTTTTTTTGTTTTTTTTCAAGGTGTGATATTTGTAAATCATCTTTATTCTATTATAAAATGAAGTACATTTTTTTCTTATGAAGTTGGGGGTGGTATTTGGTGATGGTGTGAAGTGTTTGGTTATTGTTTGTATTATCGTTCATTAATGTTGTTGCGTATCTTTCTTAGTGCTTTTTTTTTCCTCTCTCTTTTTTTTTCTCTCACACTTTCTCTAGATATCGATGGATGGCTTGGAGTCAGTGATCTTGTCGACTTTGGCACCAAATGAGGCTACACACTTGGCCATGGTTGGAGAAGATCTGGAGATAACATCAGTGAAATAAAAGTTATCAATTGGGTTCTTTAATGGAGCTCCAACTGGTGATACTCCAACGTTAATCTTTGACAACACATCAACAATACCAATCTTGGAAACTTCAGTGGAGACAGTCTCGATGACTTCATGTCTAACCAAATGTGGAGCTATTTCACCCATTCTGGTTCTAATGGCGTATAAATCATCATATGGTAATGGTGCACTTAAGTATTCAGATAAAGCTCTAACAATTTTCCAATCTTCTCTAGCTGAGCCTGGAGCATTGGTAGCAGCTCTAGTAATCTGAGTTCTACCTTCAGTATTTACATAAGTTGCTGATTTCTCTGTGTATGCAGAACCTGGTAAGATTACATCTGCAAAGGAAGCACCAAGATCACCATGGTGACCTTGATAAACTACAAAGGCATCCTTTGGAATATCCTTGTTATGTAATTCATCAGCACCTAATAAATAGATGAACTTGGGCTTAGATTCAGAGTTGGATCCTGAGGAGACACCGAGATCCAATGCTGCGGTACGTGAAGCTTCACGATGTAATAAATTAAATCCATTCCATTCTGGAGTATTGAAATTGGATTGCTTGGCAACGAATTCACCAACAGTCTTGTAAATGGCTTCAGCATCTTGCAGTTCAGCAACACCGGAACCAATAACGATTAATGGTCTCTTGGCTGACAGCAACTTCTTACCGAATTCACCAGACAAGGTCTTCTTCAAATCATTGACATTGTCACCGAAATGTTCAAAATCAAAAGTGGATTCGAATTTCGTACCAACGAGTCCAATTTCCAAGTTGGATCTTAACCAAACCTTTCTAATTCTAGTGTTTAATACAGCAGCTTCAAATCTTGGGTTAGTACCAACTAATAAGATTTGATCAGCATCTTCGATACCTTCAATGGTAGAGTTGAAAATATAGTTGGATCTAATATCGACACCATGGGAAGAAGTGGCTTGCTTGACATCAGTGGTAATATTTTCAGAACCCAAGGTGTTAGTTAAATCTTTCAATGCAGTGATGGCTTCTCCGTCAGCAAATGTACCAACTATAGATTTGAATTCGTCACCCTTTGGTTGAATCTTGGTGTAAGCGGCAGCAATGGTGGATAAGGCTTCATCCCAAGTACCAACTTCGAATTTATCACCATTTCTGATCAAAGGAGTAGTTAAACGTTGAGTCTTTAATCCATCACAGGCAAATCTAGACTTGTCAGAAATCCACTCTTCGTTAATTTCATCGTTAAGTCTTGGTAAAACTCTCATGACTTCAATACCTCTGGCGTCAACTCTGACGTTAGATCCAACTGCATCCATAACATCAATGGTTTCAGTTCTCTTTAATTCCCATGGTCTTGCTCTAAATGCATATGGCTTAGATGTCAATGCACCGACAGGACATAAATCGATAATGTTACCGGACATTTCAGAGTTGATGTTTCTTTCTATATAAGTACCAATTTGCATGTCGTTACCACGACCAGAGGTACCCAATTCAGGAGCACCTGCTATGTCATTCATGAATCTGACACATCTGGTACAGTGAATACATCTATTCATGGAAGTCTTGACCAATGGACCGATGGCCTTGTTTTCCACAGCTCTCTTACCAACAACTTCGGTAAATCTACCACGGTCGGATCCGTATCTCTGGGATTGTTCTTGCAAGTCACATTCACCACCTTGGTCACACACTGGACAGTCTAAAGGATGGTTCTCCAACAACATCTCAGTGACACCCTCTCTGGCTTTGGTGATTCTCTCAGACTTGGTATTTACAACCATACCGTTTTGGACTGGCATGGCACAAGAGGCAATAAGCTTAGGCATTCTCTCAACATCAACAAGACACATTCTACAATTACCGGCAATCGCTAACTTGTCGTGGTAACAGTACCTTGGAATGGTAACACCGGCCTTATCAGCGGCCTGGATGATCGACGATCCAGCTTCAATGGAAACCTTTCTGCCATCAATGGTTACTTCCACATCTGCAAGGGAACGACGAGATGTGGAGAACAAACGGCGGCTCGATAAAGCTCTGAATGTTCTAACGGATCTACTTGAAAGCATTCTTCTACTATGAGGTTAAGGGGGAAGCTATCACGTAGTATTTATGGGTTGGTAACTGGTAGACCTCTTGTCCTCTATTTTTCTTGTTTCTGGGTGCTTCCTCTTTTTTTTTCCCCTACTAAAATCGCTTGTATACAGTTTGAAAGCTTTTCTTAGAGTAATAGGAATAATTCACATCTGATTCGCTGAATTGGAGGGTGCGCGGGGCCGGGTAATTGGCTATTCACGTGAAAAGCTGGAAATTTAGAACATTTTCGACCAGTCCTGCAGATATGGCTGCAACATTGGAATGGTACTGATTGTATGTAGTAGGGGCTAGTTGGTACTGGGGGTAAGGGGGGAGGGGAATAAAAAATGGTCTGGAAGAGAGTATGATGAATATGGCTTTATAGTTTTGTTGTGTGGTGTAAAATTGGAAGTAGAAATATATACATGAGCATAGGTATGAGTCTACACTTACTGGGAACTTTGGTGGGCTGTTTGGCTCTTTTCGCATTCGTTATATATGTGACCTACAGAAACTACGACTATGATTATGTGTTGGGCTATATTGGGGTCTTGATGTATATTTCGCTCCGGAAAAGTAGCTACTTCAAGCTCACTGTGATGCTTTTGGTGTATCTATCACTCAGGCACATCCAGAACGGGTATTTTATGGCCTACACTACATTGTTAATATGCATCATCATGCGAATGTACTATCCGCACTGGGGAGCCAAAGTACAAGATTCGGTCTTGCTGAGGATCAGTGCTTTTTTGGGCTAGGACCGAGGTATACCGGTAAGAAAGACGGTAAATTACTCCAGTGACCATTCAGATAGAAACAAGTCTGGCACTCTAGACCTGATTCAGTACGTATAAGTGATAGGAAGCATTCCATTGGTGTGGACTATTGCCTTTAGAGTGGGATAGAATAGAATGTTCATTACCTTGGAAGAGCAACTGGACTGGGCCAAAGGGGGAGGCTGTCCTCTTAATCCAGATTATCGTTTATATATATATATATATATATATAAATATATGTGTATATTCATTTAATTCATCCAATTATATACTTATAACCCCACCCTTAAGTTCATATTATTGCAATCCACAAATATCATCTATCTTGCAATAGATGCAAATGGGTGCAAATTTAATGAATCTTTCCTCACCTTACTTTTTCTCCTCCTCAGGTGATAATCCCATGAACAACAAGAGCAATCCTGGTACAATATACATCCAATTCTTTTGAACAAATGATCTGTTGTCAACCTCTTCTTCCACGTCTTCTCCCGCTTCACCACTATCTGATGCTGCATTGGAGTTAACTCCGCCTTTCTTAGCAGCGTTCTGTTTTTGACTATGTACAGGATTCAAGATTGGACTTGGTCCCCTTTCTTCTCCGACAACGATCAAGTCCTGCTCTGAGTTTATGTCCGGGTTAATCAGGATCTTATGTATCGTACCTTCATTCGAGTCTCTTTTCACAAGTAGTTTAAGTTTTCCATTGTCAGATTTAGCCTCAACATATCCAAAACATTCATGGTTAGCTAAATCTTCAGTCCCAACGCAGTAATCGATATTCGCAGATAATGAATTGACTTGATTGAATTTAAACTCGTTGGATTCAGTTGCAATTATCGATCCAATGTTTATTTTTGATGTTCCATCAAGTGGATTGGCAAAAATATTTATGTCTGCAACGACAGTAGATATTAATAGTAAAATTGGTAAGTACATGGTGCAATGTGTGTTGAAGAAAGGTTTACATTACAATTCAATTTTTTTTTTTTTTTTGAGTCCACTTTCATTTTGGCACAAGCGTCGCTAAATTTTCAGAGTGCGACGCACTAACCCACAACTGTCGCGTACACTCTAGTGAGCTTCAGTATTTGAGCATTGTAGGGCCGAGTGAGTATACATACATATATATAAATATATATACATGCTGATACTAGCCCGTAGATTTAAATCCGTGGACTGTCGATCTTTTCTAGATCATGCCAGGACTAATAATAAAAGTATGCAGACTACAGTAGCATTAGGGTCACTTTATGAAATTCTAGCTAAGGAAATCATGACGAATAAACTTGATATGCGTGATATGGAATGCTGTGGAGGCACTGGAGATGAGGGTCTAGACATCTTTGGTAAGTGGAACTTGGAAGCTTATTTCAAAAGTAATAATAAGAGTAGGCAAGAGTATGAACCAAAAGACTTGATACTGAAGAGAATGCATGAAAAATTGGTTAGGCCCATTTTGAAAAACTCAGTAGAATTCAAAGAAACTTTTCAGCTTCCAGTAAAAACATCTTCGAAATCTTTAACCAACGGTGGAAATGTGTTGGTTCAATGCAAAAATACAAAGTCTCCAATCAGTGCAAAAGTCATTCGTGAACTAGCTGGTATATACTTCTTCCACGTAAGAACTCAAGAAGATAGTAAGAACACATTCATGTTTTTAGTGGCTGCGAAAAAGTTAACAAAGCAAGCCAGGGTCCAATTCGATACAGCAAACTTCCCTCTAGTTTTTTGTCGAATATCTCCATTGAAAGTGCAGAGTATCATGCAAGATCCATATGATATAAAGAGTTGGACTGGAGGTAAGCTAAAGGAGTTTTACTGTAATTCGTATTCCAACCAATTACTAAGAGGTTTAGACGTAGAAGTCCAAGTTAACGAAATGATTAAGAGGGAAGAATAAAAGTTATTCGACAGAAATGTTGAAGTTTGAAGGGATATCTAAATGATTTCAGCATGCTACTCATCTTCAAGTCATATTTATCATTATTTATTATTATTAGGATCAGCATTATATAATTTGGGGTTGAGAGAATCAACTATGGATTGCCATAGACTGTAGTAATTAATGTGGTGTACCCAACCTTGGTCAGTGTAACGTGAACTGCAGGGGCGGTCTCAAGCACCACGACAACATGAGTTGATGTCGGTGAGCTTGTAGAGCTAGTAGTCGAACGTATTATGGTAGAACTAGGGGAAACCAAACTGGTACTTGATTTCGTACTTGGAGAAGCGCTAGAAGATGAAGAAGATTCATCTTCTTTTGAGCTTGAAGAACTGGTTACCGTGCTTAACGTAGTCGGAGTAGAACTGATCGAAGAACTTGATGTAGTTTGATCAGCTTCTGTCGTCGTTTCTTTATCGGCTGGTGTGGAAGTACTAGATGAATAGCTTGAAGTAGCTTTACTGCTTGAGAGTGAGCTTGAACTTGAAGTTGTCTTAGTCGATGTTGATGAACTAGATGAAGTCCTAGCAGTAACTGAACTTGTCTCTGTTGAAGATGTCTCAGTTGAGGAAGTTGGATTGACTGAAGTACTTGAGGTAGTCGAGGATGAGGACTCGGGAGTTTTAGTCAAGCTTGGAAGCGTGGTTGTGGTAGTAGTTGTGGTAGTAGTTGTGGTGGTTGAAGAATACGAAACTGATGATGAACTTGTAGAGGTAGTGGTTTTGGTAGTAGACGTACTGGTGGATGTAGTAGCTTTGGTAGTAGACGTACTAGTGGATGTAGTAGCTTTAGTTGTGGTCGAACTGGTGGATGTGGTAGCTTTGGTGGTAGTCGTACTAGAAGTTGTGCCAGCTTCCAAAATACTTTTCATTTGTTCAGCATAATTGTCGCCATCAGAGTCAGTATTAGCCCAAGCCTGGGATGCATCCCATAAAGAAATACCACCGAATGAAGAATCGCTTTGAATATCAGCCAAGTATCCCAGCACAACACTGGAAGAACTGTATCCTGTACTTGCTGCAGTAGAAGATGCTGGTAAACCTAAGAAAAGCTTAATATCTTTGTTAGGCGATGTATTCTCAGCATACGACTTCCATGTATCCCAGTTGAAACTAGATCCTAGCATACAATAATTATTATAAAATTGAATGAAGGCAAAATCGACATCAACACCACTGAGGAAGTCTCCGACGGAGGCATCAGGATATGGACATTGGGGTGCAGCGGAGAGGTAGTACGTTTTAGAAGTATCTTCAGCAAACCAAGTTCTCAATGCAGTTCCCAAGGCAACGTAGCCAGTTTCTTCGTTGTTTTCAATATCCAAGTCAAATCCGTCAACGACTGCAGTACCAAACGGTCTTTCAGTTGCGGAACCACCACCAAATGTGTTCCATAGAGTCTCGGCGAATGTAGTTGCTTCAGAATCCGAAGTGAAACCATAACTTCCCAGAGCACCACCCATGGAAAGGAGAACGATTTTACCATTTGATTGACATGTTTCAATCCCAGTAGCAATAGCGTCACATTTGAGCAAACCATCTGAAAAAGTATCGGAGCATGCGCTTGCAAAATCCAAACTCATAGTTGGGAATCCAGTAAGAAATGACAATAAGACAATGTCGACATCGTCAGATTCACAATAATATTCTAATGTTTCTTGTGTAGCTGAACCCCCAGCGGAATTTTGACCCCAGTAGACGGCAACATTTGTCTTCAGGGAAATATCAAAAGCAAACAGCAACCTAAGGAGTGAGAGAAATAAGAGAGAGTAAATCATTTGAATAAGGAGGGAATAATAGTTAGTATTAAAGGAGTGACTAAAGTTGAATAAAGAGTAGAGAAAGGTGGGTTAACTTTGTGAGTAACTGAAATGAGTGGCAGCTTCTCTAAGTTGGGTATCAATTATATAATTTTGAAACTAGAGTTGGACTAGTATTTGAATCTTCTCCTTTTTGCTTTTCGTTTAGTGCCTTTCATGTAAAATGTTTCAAAAATGTAGAGAGAATGATATCCAATATATAGTTTAAGAAAGCGGTAGTTCAATATCACTAATAAACGTTGATTCGTGCATAGAAAGATGCCGCGTCTTTTGAGCCTATCGAATACGTCAGAGAAACCAAATTGAAGAGATATATGCTGGCAATTTCTACTTATAGCATTGACTGATCTGTATCTAGCACTTTTTTTGATAAATTGCTGCAACATTTATTTCTCGGTAAGACCGTTTTATTTCGCAGCAATCTCAATTAGGAAGTTACCAGCATGGAAAAAAAGTTTGGAACCCTCGTAAATGAAACAAATTATTGTTCCAAATACCTTCTATTATGTCAAACTTTAAAAGTACCTATACCATTATACTATTATTGTTGATATATAATGAACTATGTCACATACCTGTACTTTTGTCAGCAACATTGATCAAAATGTGGAGAAGTTATTCTGTTATTCTAAAAACATGATGCTACTACCATTACAATTAGTAACCGCGACTTTTGCAAAAATTGAATTGGGGTCTTCTAACTGAGAAATAATGAGCATTTTAGCGAGCCAGCAATTTTAGAAACTACTTACGTGAAGTAGAAATCCCAAAAGGGAGTCGAAAGTAATCATGTTGCTACATTGAGATGAAGCGCTTCCGTTTCCATATGACCTCTATCCTAATCTAGAAACATGTATGCTCAAATTGGGTCCACGACCAAAGTGAATACTAGAACATCACATCATGGTAGATCTGTAAGATGACATGTAGAAGTTTTACCTTTAGGTTACGTCGATAATCTCACATACCGATCCAACATTGATTTGAAGCAAGTGGCATGTGGGCTGAAAGGTTGCTCTACAGAGCTGAGAAAGGCAGCTGATAGTTAGCATAGTGATGAACTACATGCAGGACACACATAGGTAGCGTTTTCACTACTACTTCAATGTATAGGTACAGTCAAGAACAGTAACTGTTGGCTGTGGAGTAGATTCCATTCCATTTATAGAGCTGGATACATTGACGAGTAGTGACAAATCTTCAACCGTCAAGGTAGGAGCCAGGTAATTTACTTTCCGAATTGCTTTCCTTTTAAGAAGTACCACTACTACTACTAGTGCCTGCGATTGCTTTGAGATCAAGATTTAGACTGAACAAGGCATGAATAGCTAAGAGAAAAGAGAGAAATTCAGAAAAAAGACCTCAGCAGAATGCTTGCATAGGTCTACTTTAACAGACATTATTTCCAGTAACATAGAGAAGTGGAGCAGATGAAATTTCGCAAGATATAGTTGAGGGAGCCAAATGCGAACCACCACGGCAAAGTTACACATGTATGATTTGAACAACAATCAAATTGTAGGGTGCATGAGACACGGTGCTCCCAGATACTTCAGTTACTCCTGCCACCGATTGCTGTCCAAACCTAGAAATAATCGAGCCAACTTTCATCACATCAGTTACACACTTTACAGCACAATGTGGACAACAATATTGACCCATTCGGTACGCGGAATAGTCTGGAACGTCCATTTTAGACACTGCCATGCCCAATAAGAGGAAAGGATTTATTTTCGGGGCCCCTATTCACCAACAAAGGTAGATGTCTCTTAACTACCTCGCCGAAAATGTGAGACACAAAATCAAACCCCATGTGAAACGTGCATAATTTCGCCGAAATTTCGCCGGGTGTTCGTATGTTACCAGATTTAAGTTTATTGTTAAAAATAAAATAGTACAGAGTTGTGTATTTGTCCTCTACGGCGACACCCAGCAAAATTGCACAACAAAGTTTCGTTGAATTCTATATAAACCCCAATTCCCCCCTTTACTGGAATCTTTTAGTTTCAAATATTTTTCTTTTCCTTTTCCTTATACAAATAACAACTTTTGTATTTGGATAATATTAACTCTTCAAATTACTGCAATATGTCTGCTTCTATTCAATTTAACTCTGAAAAATCCGTAAAGAAGGATAACACTCTTTACACTAAGTTCACTTATGAAAACTCTATTGTTGAGACAAGTGAAGCTGGTGCCTTCTCTGTTACTCCAACTGCAATTGACTATCAATTCAAAGTTGATTTAACTACTCCAAAGACTGGTTTAATGTTGGTAGGTTTAGGAGGTAATAACGGTACTACTTTGGTCGGTTCAGTCTTGGCAAACAAGCATAACATTTCTTTTGAAACTAAAGAAGGTGTTATCAAGCCAAACTATTACGGTTCAGTTACCCAATCTTCTACTATAAAATTAGGTGTGGATCAAGGTGGTAACGACGTATACGCTCCCTTCAACTCTATTTTACCATTTGTTAGTCCTAACGATTTCGTCGTAGGCGGGTGGGATATCAGTAATGCAAACTTGGCTGAATCTATGAAGAGATCTCAAGTTTTGGATGTTACATTGCAAAAGCAATTGTACCCATACATTGAACAAATCACCCCATTACCATCAGTTTACTACCCAGATTTCATTGCATTAAACCAAAAGGAAAGAGCCAACAACGTTTCTAACTTGAAAGATGGTGAAGTTTTCACTGGTGACAAGTGGGCCGATGTTGAAAAGGTGAGAAAGGATATCCGTGACTTTAAAGAAAAGAACAGCTTAGATAAAGTTATTGTGTTATGGACCGCAAACACCGAAAGATTCTCTGAATTGATTCCTGGTGTCAACGATACTGCTGATAACTTATTGGAAGCTATCAAGTCTAACCATGCTGAAGTTTCTCCATCCACCGTCTTCGCAGTTGCATGTATTTTAGATCAAATCCCGTACATCAATGGGTCACCGCAAAACACCTTTGTCCCAGGTGCTATTGAATTAGCTGAAAAGCACAAGACCTTTATCGGTGGTGATGATTTCAAGTCGGGACAAACGAAGTTGAAATCAGTCTTAGCTCAATTCCTCGTGGATGCAGGTATCAGACCAGTTTCCATCGCTTCCTACAACCATTTAGGTAACAATGACGGATATAACTTGTCATCTCCATTACAATTCAGATCTAAGGAAATTTCCAAGCAATCCGTTGTCGATGACATAATCGAAAGTAATCAAATCTTGTATAATAAGGAAAAGGGTGACAAGATCGATCACTGTATTGTTATTAAGTATTTACCAGCTGTTGGAGACTCCAAGGTTGCCATGGATGAATACTACTCAGAATTAATGTTGGGTGGACATAATAAGATTTCTATTCACAACGTTTGTGAAGATTCATTATTAGCTACACCATTAATTATTGATTTAGTTGTTATGACCGAATTCTTATCCAGAGTTTCTTACAAGAAGGCTTCTGAATCTGACGATAAGTACGAAGACTTCTACGCCGTTTTGTCATTATTGAGTTACTGGTTAAAGGCTCCATTATCTAGACCAGGATTCAAGCCAATCAATGGTTTAAACAAGCAAAGATTGGCAATTGAAAACTTGTTGAGATTATTGGTAGGATTACCAGTTAACAACGATTTAAGATTTGAAGAGAGATTGGCTTAGGGCTGTATATTTATTTATGGAATGAATGCAATTAATAGTAATAAGATGTAGAAGGGAGATTTGAGGAAAAGAAGGGTAAGGTATAAGGAAAATATATAGTTGTAGGATGATAGAGGACTTACATAAGAGGAAGATGTAGAGAGATATAGAATCAGAGGAAACGGAAAGACAAGACTTGTGTAAACTATGAACAGAGTACAATATTGAACCACAACGAAAATTATACAACGGCAATCCCAACATTTTAAGAAATGGAACGATATTCAACCAGAGGAATAGCAAGAGACGATTGGGTCAACTACAAGATTGGCTATGAAGAAAGATGGAAGAAATACAACAGTAGTTGCAAAATGTTTTTCTTCTTGTACCTGCACATAAAGGTGCTGCTGTTGGACAATCTTATTATCAACAGACCTTCGTAATTGCGGCAATCTAGGTTGAAAGGAAGTACAAGAGAGGGGGAAAGCAAACCGACCTTGGTGATTAGACTAGAAGATAGAAGAGGGGATCGCTTCAATTCCAGTCTTGCCACTAAAAATAAGAATGTAGAATAACCTAAACTGCGGCCCCACCTCTCAATAGTTCAGTTCACAGTTTAAAGACGAAAAGATACGAGAGAGTATCATGCACTTCATTAAACATCATAAATAGAGGCTAAAAATAAAAAAAAATTAAGAACCTAATTTGCAAAAGATAGACATATACTAAGCTGCATGTGGTGTAAGGCACAAGGTACAAAATTAATCAATGAATGTACCTAGTAAACTCTATGCTTCACTCTATGGTGTAAGTGAGAGCTCTTAACAGCACCCCTCCCTTAGTTAGCTACTGCAGACAGATTTTTTTTTTTCTTATTGTTGCGGCAATCTTGTGATTTTCTTGGATAGAGAAAAATTCCCTTAAACAGCTTGTTTCCCGTCAAGCGCGGCTCGGGATACATAGCACAGTGGCAGCATTCGCAAATTTTGTTGGGTTGCAAGTTTCCTTCCTTAGTAAAGAAATGATGCTGCGATAAGGCATGAAATTGTGTGGTCATGTGCTGGCATATTTGACAGTGATTTGAAAGCCACTTTAGAAACAGGCGCTGAAGGTGCTTTCAGTTCAGAAGATAGGAAACAATTTATACGATGTAGTGCTTCTTTGTTATGTCTAATCCTCTCAGATTGCTCTTGTAGTGTGTCCCATTGAGAATTGTCCAACAAAATTTATTTTTTCTTGTAATGTGGGAATTTTTCGAGGCATACGACTGATCTACTGTATGTGAAGAAAAGTGATGATTAAAAAGAGAAGCGACTAAGCAAAGAAAGAAAAAAAAAAAGGCAAAAAAAAAAAAAAAATAAAAGGAATTCACTTTGTAGACGGAGATTGTTGTAGAACCGAAGCTTTACAGAGACCACAACACAACAAAACTTTATTAGCAGGTTGTTGTTGGATTTTAAAAAAGAAGTCTCAGGAACAGAAACTAGTGCATATGATAGGGGCGATGTGATTGTATTTATATAAAGAAGTTCGAGGGTCCTCAACCACTTTGCTCCTCCCCCCCTCACTTCTGTCAAAAACTGTATATACTGTACTTCACGTATTTAATAAAAATTCGTTTGAATCTAATCTGTTTAGTGACGTAATATTATCACACGCTCGCCCTTATAAAGATTTTTTGTTTCTCCGCAAATTCAAACAAAGAGCAAGATATTTTTTTAACTGAAAGAAAGGAACCACCTATATTCACAGACATAAAGAACGTAGTAAGCCAAATATACAATACCTTACACAAACTTTAGATAGCCAAGGCAATTACCAATCATCTAGAGTAGAAAAATAGTTAAAAAAAATAAAAAAAATCAAGGAAATCATTCTCACTACAAATTCAATAGCCCTCCCAGCTTCTGAATTTAAATCTGAACTGAATCTCACCTTAAAAAGTTTAGTTGCCCTTAACGCATTTTCATCAATTGTTTCAGCATAGAGTATTTTTATTTTTTTCATTTTCAAATATTATTGCTGTTTGCTACACCAGGAAGGATAACACAACCAGCATATCACTACGAATTCCATTCATATACTTTAAATCCAGCTTCCATTCCTCAAGCTTAATTTAAGTGTTCGTTGCCATCAAGAACAAAAAAAAAAAATCTGAATTTACCCCTCCGTGAAAAACCTGATATAGGCAAGTTTTCATACAGCCTATTTCCTCATTTTTTCCCTATTTCTGCTGTTCTCCTCGAATTTCTCTGCAGAATTTTAGTGCAAAGTCCCGTTTAAGCTTTCTCTCGGCGTCATAACGAGGAAGGGAGGAAAAAATATTATTTATATAGACCAAGCAAGTCAAGAAATAGAAAAAGAAAAAAAAAAAACAGAAAGAGGCTACAGGAAAGTAGTAGATATTACTAATAAGTTAAAAGGTTACTGATATATTACTCCCACGTATTACTAGTGACTACTCCTTTATTAATTTGAACAAGAATTTTTGCTAATAATGGTTGCTCTTACAGTTCCAGTTGGTGAAGCCAGACCAGGTGAAACCGCACCAAGAAGAAGAGCTCAGCAAAAGGATGCCCCAGTGGAAAGACCACTCGATTCTTCCGCCACCAATTTCATTGAATTTTTTGATGAATGTGTCAAAAGAAATGGAAACAGAAAGGTTATGGGATGGAGAGATCTCCTCGAAGTCCACGTTGAAAGAAAGGAAGTGACCAAGATCGTCAAGGGTAAGGAAACCAAGGTTGAGAAAGAATGGCTCTTCTATGAAAATTCTTCTTACAAGTTTATCACCTACCAGGAATTGTCCTCTTTGATTAGAACTTATGGTAAGGGACTTGTCTCATTGGGATTGAAGCCACAGGAAAAGTTACATATCTTTGCTGCAACTTCCCACAGATGGATGCAAACATATTTGGCCACCCAGACCCAAAACATCCCAATTGTCACAGCTTACGATACTTTGGGTGAAGCAGGATTAACTCACTCTTTGGTTCAAACTGAATCAAATGCTATTTTCACTGACAACAACTTGCTCGGAGCTCTTGTTAAGCCATTGCAAAAGGCTCATTCCGTCAGATACATTATCCACGCTGAAGAAATTGACCCTAATGACAAAAGAATGGGCGGCAAATTGTATAATGATGCCAAGGAAGCCAAGCGCAAGATTTTAGAAGTTAGACCAGATATTAAATTCTATTCAATCTATGAAGTGTTGAAATTGGGTGAACAAAACTCACATTTGCAATTACAAAAGGCAAAGCCTGAAGATTTGAGTTGTATCATGTATACCTCCGGTTCCACCGGTGATCCAAAGGGTGTGGTCATTTCTCAAGAAAACATTGTCGCAGCCGTTGGTGGTGTTTCTACCGTTGCTGGAAGAGACTTGGTTAAAAACTCTGATAGAATTATTGCATTTTTGCCGTTGGCCCATATTTTTGAATTAGTTTTCGAATGTGTCGCCTTATGGTGGGGTGGATGTCTTGGTTATGCCAACGTCAAAACTTTGACTGATATCTCATGTAGAAACTGTAAATCCGATTTAGCTGAATTTAGACCAACCATTATGGTTGGTGTGGCAGCTGTTTGGGAATCAGTTAGAAAGGGTGTCTTGGCCAAAGTTGCCAAGGTTCCAGCTTGGAAACAAAAATTATTCTGGGGTTCATTCAAGGCAAAACAGGCATTTGCCAACTATAAATTACCAGGTGGAGGAATCTTTGACATTGTATTCAAAGAAATTAAATCTGCTACTGGTGGTGAATTGAGAGTTGTGTTGAACGGAGGTTCTCCAATTTCAAGAGATGCCCAAGTGTTTATAACCACTTTAATTGCACCTATGCTTATTGGGTATGGTTTGACTGAAACTTGTGCCAACACCACTGTTCTTGACCACAACCATTTCGATTATGGTGATGCTGGTACCTTGTGTGGTTCAATTACCGCCAAGTTAATTGACGTTGATGAAGCTGGATACTTTGCCAAGAACAACCAAGGTGAAATCTTATTGAAGGGTAAGTGTGTCACTAACGAATACTACAAGAATGAAAAAGAAACTGCTGACAGTTTCACTCATGATGGCTGGTTCAAGACTGGTGATATCGGTGAATGGACTAGTACTGGTACTTTGAAAATTATTGACCGTAGAAAGAACTTGGTTAAGACTTTGAACGGTGAGTACATTGCTTTGGAAAAATTGGAATCTATTTACAGATCCAACCCTGTTGTATTGAACTTGTGTGTATACGCTGATGCCAACAAGGTCAAACCAGTTGCCATTGTTCTACCAAATGAAGCTCATTTAAAATCTTATTTGGTCAAAGAAGGTATTTACCTGGAAAGTAAAATCAATGACAAGGAATTATCTCAGTTATGTCATGACGAGAAGGTTGTTTCCGCAGTTTTGAAGTCCCTCTTGGGTACTGGTAAGGCCCAAGCCTTAAAGGGTATTGAATTATTACAAAACATTGTATTATCAGATGATGAATGGACTCCACAGAATGGTTTTGTTACCTCCGCTCAAAAGTTACAAAGAAAGAAGATTTTAGCTGCTAATAAGGAAGAAGTTGATGAAGCATATGCCAATTCTTAAAGACGAATGAGGAGGAGGAGAGCACGCGAGAGGAGGTCTATGAGAGATATCACTCCGCTTTCTCCAGGATCACTGGAGAAGGCTCCCTAACCTCCCGTTTTAGTTCTAAAGATAATTTTTTAATATTTATTGAATTTTTGTTAAGTAAACTATAATGAATAAATGTATTCTGAAAATTAATGTATTAGTTTAATCTAAAATGGAAAACGATCTACTATGTATAGTACCTGGAATTAAGTAACTCTAACCTCCGTAGACTCCCTTGAAGCATGCCTTGATTTGACTTGTGGACATTCCTTGATTGAGGCACAACTGTAATAAGATTCTACTCTTTTGTGGGTTGATGTACCCACTAGCCACGTTTGTCTCAAATGGTATGTCTTCTCCAGTTGTGCTTGAGTGGAAAGTCTTTGGTAAAGAAGCCTTTGGTACCATTCCATCTTGTGAACGTTTGGAGTATACGACTGGAATATTCCTGTTATGAACCAAGTTACCTACAAAATCAAAACTCTTTGATGACAACGAACCAGCACCCATAGTTGCGAATACCAAACCCTTGGCACCCAACTCAGTTACAGCCAATTCAATAAGCTTATTATTTAAGCCCTGGTGTCCATATATAATTGGGACTTCAGGGAAACTTGTGGTTCCAGATATATCAAAATATGTGATCCCCAATGGCTTCTCCGGTGGGAAGTAGTAGTGAATTTCGTTATTGACAAAATGTCCAATGTCACCGTGATTGGAAGACTTAAAAGTGTCTAAAGAGTTTGCATTGGACTTGGTTATATGGAATCCACATCCAATTCTATCATTCAAAGCAACAAGAACTCCTCTTCCCCTAGAAGCTTTATTTGCAGCAATTGAGATTGCTTGGTACAAGTTCATGGGTCCATCTGAACTAATTGCGGTGGATGGTCTCATGGAGCCACACATAATAATTGGTTTAAAGGTGTTTACTGTCAATTGCAAGAAGAACGCTGTTTCTTCCATCGTATCAGTCCCATGGGTGATAACAAACCCATCGTACTTGGATAAGTCTTCTTGGATCTTTTTGTGTAATTGTAACAAGTCATCGGTACCGATTTCTTTGGAGTCTACATTCATAACCTGTTCATATTCCAAGTTACAGGTAGTGGAAAGGTCTGGGATGCTATTGATAAGATCTTCGATAGTCAAGTCAACTTTGTAGCCTGCGGTTTGGTGCGAACTGGATCCTTTAGATGCAATGGTTCCTCCAGTACCCAATACTTTAATAGTGGGTATGATGTCTGTAGGTGCAGAATCTGAAAAATTGGAGCTAACCACTGAATTTGACCGGTATTTAATCCTGAAAAGTGGCCTGTCTCCATGGTATGGATCTATGTCGATCTCATAGTCCGAAGTGTTATCTGAATACATTACTGGGTGTGTTTGTATGACAACTAGGGAAGCTAACTAAGTTCGATGCCCAAAAAAAAGTAAGGTTGGGGAAAAACGAGTGAAAAATTTGGAGCGTTCTAGGGCCACTAGTGAAAATTAAAACCAAAGAATCAACTAAATTGGTTGAATTACTTAGGTGTACATTTTTACACGAGATACTTTACAAAGCTCATTTCACATACTTCTGATAATATGGGATTCTTCTCCAAAGACGAATCAACGCCAAGTTTGCCTCCTAACAAAACAAAAAGAAAGGAATGCTGGGACGCCAGAGATAAGTTCTTTGAATGCCTTACGCTGAACAATATAGACAATTCATTGGATCCCAAGGAAATGTCTAATGTAGAATCGAATTGTGGACAGTTCAGAACGGACTTTAAAAACAAATGTGTAGCAAGTTGGTTCCAATACTTCCAAGAAAAGAGATACAATGACTTAACAAGACAAAGGTATATTGCAAAGCTTGAAGCTGAAGGTGCTCAACCCTTGCCGTTCAAAATAAGCAAACAGTAAGATTGCCATGATAATGAAAAAAAAAAGAGTAAATAATTAAGTATTTAGGGAAAGTCGAAACAAACAAAGACAAGTGTATATAGTATAATTCAAAATCCAAAGATCTAGATTGGCAATGTAGAAGATATAGTCTATAATTTAAATGTAGATGTCGTGGTGAGTTGTACAGTAGTAGCTGTGCATGAGTGCCTACAATTAGATAGTCCAAAAATGCATTCTAAGTATAATTACGCTTAAGGGCGCTACGCTGGAATATTTTGGTTATATGGAATCTCCTATACACCTATGCTGATATGGTAATTGGATCTGACCCAACTACTTCACTTCTTCCTCCATCGCTAGTTATTTCTTCAAATACAACACCCCATTCGTACGAACCCTTCTCAAGTATAGTGAAGCTAAGCTCCGACTCCATGCTCTCACCAGGCTTTATTACCCCGATTGACTTTTGAAGCACTCCATGTATTAACAATTTTCTATCAATGGAAGCTAAAGCATTCTTCATTGGATGCCCTGTGGGGTAAAGAACATTGTAATCCAAGGGTATCGGAACAAGTCTTAAAATTCCTCTAATGTCATTCAAAGTATTATTAGACACCTGGGTATGAATTGAATAAAATTCTTCTGTTTGTAACGTATACTTCAACCCTTCATTTTCAAAAACTACCTTACGAACGTCATTTTCCCTGCGAATACTCAGTTTCAACTGAATCTTTGCCTTTACCAATTCAATCACCATCTTACTGTTTAATCTGATACTTCTGAAATCAATCACTCCTACTCTTTGGCTGTTTTTAGATTTCCAGGTACCACTCAATTTTTCCAACAAAAGGTATCTTAACCAAAAGAGCTCTCTCATTTGCAAGTCTTCTTCTTCGCTAATCAGATAATTTTTGATGAATTGCTTGTTCATTAGCGATGGGATTTTCCTGGTCAAATCATACTCAGTAAATAAGATCCTCTTGATAGGTAAAAATATTCTAATGCTTTTTTGAGATTCCAATACTTCATCAATCATGAAAGTATTCCTCTCATCAATTTTGTAGTTAATTTCCACTTGTAAGCTTTTCGACCATGAATTCTTCAAATCAACTATGAACAAGCAGTAGTCCGATGCACTCTCAGTCAGTAACAATGTTTCCAAATATTTCAAAAGTTTATTGAAGGGACCAATTCCATTGGAAGCTACAAAGCTCTTCATAGATGTTTCAATCAATGGTAATACGTCACATCCAATAATCTCTATTGAAGGTACAATTGTCAACTGGATTGGAACGTGAACAAATTTCACAAACAGCCTATCCAAGGCAGCTTCATCATCTCCTATTTCCTTATTTGAGTATTCTAAAATCATTTTCAGTTCCTTCATTCCCTTCTTCCCAGTAATTTCATAATCAATTGTCAAATTTGTTTGAGGTAATATTTTTTTATATTTTGAAGAAATGTCCTCTTTATTTAATATTTCAAATGGCTTGAATTTCAAAAGGTACCATTCTATTTCATAAACTTCTGATGCAGGGGTATTATTAGTTAAGTTGGAAAGTTTATGATTTAAGGGCTCAATTGTGGAATCCCAAAATGAAAAAGATAAATAATTAATTAATTCTGTAGACTGATTCGTTAATTCAATTGAAAATCTGTACTTCTCTCCCTGTAATAACATGAGCCAACCATTATTGAGCAGGATGTTGCTGAGTGAAAGTATTGGCTGCTGTTTGATGACCATTAATTCTAGTGAGCTGGTATTGAAATTATCAGATTTAGAATCATTGGTATTACTATTTTGACTATCACTATCCACTTCCAACTTCGTTTCATCGGACTTTATCTTCTTTGTCGCCAGTTTAACCTTTTCATATCTAGCAGCTCCTTCACTTTCGATAATTCTGAAGAACCGACCCTTGCAGTTGGAAACAGATACGTTAAATCCAATAATTTTGAGTTCGCCAACTGCCAAAGGTTTGAATGAAACAAGAAATTGTCGAATTGAATTTCCAATGATATTCAAATGGTTGTTAAAAGATGAGGTGGAAGAAGATGAAGTAGTCACCGCTATACCAGTATTTCCATTACTTGGTGGAGCAATCAATGAATTGGTCGGTATTGCTGGTGTAGATGAAGTGGCGTTACGTAGTTTGGAAAGCAGCTGCTGTGGCTTAGAAATGGTCGATATATTTCGTCTTGCTGCATTTCCCAAATTGGTAGATGTCATTGAGTTAGGCAATATTGTTGTCATTGCTGGTCTTAATAGGTTAGTAAGAGTTTGAACCTTGACACTTCCTTCAGCGGTTACAATTTCAAGATCACCAATTTCAATTTCAAATGCAAAAGGATTTTGTAATGTAACTGTTAACTGATAAACGTCGTCAGCCATTATTACCTTATCTTTATTGAATGCAGTTTTAGATTCCTTGCTATAAGGATTAAAGATGAATGGCTTATTTGGCTTCTGAGAGTTACTTGAAGGATTTGAACCTTGGCCATTCTTTATATATTCTTTGAACGGAACCAATTCTTCTTTTGTTTTGTTTAGAAATTTTACCTTTCTAACTAGAAATGGATCCCAGTACGTATTCTGAACTGGCAAATTATTCATTCTTGAGTATGAAACTAATTTGTCAAATGTTTCTTTTATCCAAAGTTGATCCTCTACATCTAAGCAGTGGACATATTTTGATAGCAATAGGGAACAAATCTTAATCGAATTCATCCAATCTTTTATTGTTTCTGAAATTTCAAGACAAAGCTTGAGAAATGGGATTTGAAGCGTTACCCATTTTGGGGTTTCTATATTGTAAATGGAGAAAAGAGCACTAAGGATTTCACGAAAACCTATAGAATTATCGATTTCATCCACAACAGATTCATCTTGTGCATGTTTTGCTGAAATGTCTTTCTGTAATTGTTGTTTAAGTTTCGGCAACATACTTGCTAATAGGACTCTTAAGATAAATGCTCTTTTCCTCTCCAAGCCAAGGTCATCATAAATACTTGCTAGAGTACAGTAGACTTTGCACTGTTGTAGAGAGTTCATATCAATCAATTGAAACTGGAATACTCTGTCCATTTCTCTGATTATTTCAATTTTGGTAAAAGTTGAATCCTTAATTTCGTGGTCCTGTCTCCGATCAACTTTTAGCGATTTAACAATGCTTTCTAAAATACTATTAGGATTAGCCTCCCTTCCAGACATGTAAATGTAAACCATAAACTTGAGATACCTAAGTAGCGAGTCAATGTAAACATTATCTGGCACCATGTTTTCAAAATCATTACTACTCATTTGGTAGGATTGGAAGATTTTGCTCGAGACGTATTTTATGAACTCTGGTATTGGTAAGGCATCAAAGTTATTTGGATTTGCTGATGCTCCCGTAGATGACGACACATTGGTGATTGCAGGGAGCTGGAAATTCACGATGCTGCTATTTGAATTCCGTGGTGAGTAAATCGAATTCCTCTTGGTAGTGCCAGCATTGGTATTTGCTGTCGAATTTCTAGAATCTGTTGACAATCTCGATACATTGGGTATGGTAATTTCATCAACCGGAGTGAATTTAGATTTGGGAATTTGTAAGATGTTATGCAAAAGATTTGTCGGTAACTGGTAATGTACACCCAAGTACTGGAGTAATATGGAACATATTCCAATACCTTCCAATGAACTCCCTAACCAGAGGTGATCATCACATTTTTTCAATAGTAAGCAGGCCTCATTGAAGTAATGGAGTGCATCCGAATACTTACCTGCTAACAAACGGAAATTACCCATTAGTTTGGCTTGTCTTCCACTTTGTCTCAGCTGAAGTTTTGATTTGTCGCTCATGTTAAAGCCTCCGTTAGCTTTTGCGCTAAAATGGCCACTACCACTGACGCTACTATTACTGCCGTTGGTGCCATCATTATGACTCATGTTGCTAGTATTTCCATTTGAACTGCTACCATTACCGTTCGAGGAGGCTCCATTTGCACTTAAAGTAGAGGAGATAGACGTAACGGAACCGGACAGGATTCTCTTTTGAGCCCTAGCAATGGTTGCTGGTAGCATATAACTGCTGGTATTCAATGAAACTGGTGATCTTAGCGTAATAGTCAGGTACGACGATGCATACACTTCAAGTGCATTCAAAAAGTTTTCTCCTATGCCACACATTATCGTCTGGATATTGGTCTCCTTCCCGCTGTGGAAGAAGTTCAACTTCGACGTATGATCTGATGGAGACGGTAAACTACAATTGGGCGTTTCAAACAAGATGGTATTGTGAACAATGCACCCTGGGTACGAATTGGCCAAGCCCGTCGAATGGTCTGCCGAGTCATGCTGCTCATTATACTTTCCTATGCCTATCACAATAAACACTTTCCGATAAGGTTCGAAATCATAAAGGAAAATAGACGAGCTATCAGGGATTGACGTCAAGAACTCAAACGCTATTTGTCCCTGAGGGAACGTCTGTGGGTTGAAATGAGCCAACTTGGGTTGTGGGGTCAAATCAAGTAGTCGTATCTCAGATCCATCGTTCTCGAGCAAATCAACATAATTTTCAAAGTCTCTTCGGCTGCACCCATTGATCGGCACCAACAACACTTTCACTCGAGCCAGTGACGTATATGAGTACGTATCAATCGTGGATACAGACATGAAGGATAATATCTATAGACATGTACTTTTAATGTACTGCTGTTTCAACTTCACTGGTTCTCCACGACGCTTTTCCCTTTAAGTTCGTTACCACGCTAGCAGTTGCAGTTGTGATTCTCGCGTAGCGTGTAGCGTATAAAAAAAAAAAAAATAGCGCCTACAGCCTAAAGAGAAAAAATTTAGGGACGCCAGATAGCGAGCCTCTGTTTGGTAACAGCACGTACAAAATTGAGGAAGGCAAAATCAAAAATTGAACAACAAAAATCAGGCACAGTGGAGAGCAGAAGAGTGTCAAGTAACACATAAATATAGATACCTGTAATTGTTATTGAGACAATTTTTATAGTAGTAGACTGAGCCTTGGATCGACGCTACGAGTTCTTTTTTTTTTTGGGAATAATTTGAGTGAATTTGAATTTCAATTAAGATAGTTATTACTTAAACACACACAGTAAGTGAATCGACGACCTGATGCCTGGATTAAGTTTCGATAACTACCAAAGAAACCATTTCTTAACTACAAGAGGTTATGGCCAGCCTACTGCCACATCAACTGGTACCACCATTGTAGGGTGTAAGTTCAAAGGAGGAGTGGTGATCGCTGCAGATACGAGAGCCACTGCTGGACCTATTGTTGCTGATAAGAATTGTGAGAAGTTACATAGATTGGCACCCAAGATCTGGTGTGCTGGTGCAGGTACTGCTGCTGACACCGAGATGGTTACTCAATTGATCGCATCCAACTTGGAGTTGCACTCCTTACACCAAAATAGCCAACCCAGAGTGATTACCGCATTGACCATGTTGAAACAGCACTTGTTCAAGTACCAAGGTCATTTAGGTGCATACTTAATTGTGGCCGGTGTAGACCCTACAGGAGCTCACTTACTTTCTGTCCAAGCACATGGTTCGACCGACATTGGTCAGTACCAATCCTTGGGTTCAGGTTCCCTTGCTGCCATGGCAGTCTTGGAAAGCCACTGGGTTCCAGACATGTCTAAGGAAGATGCCATGAAGTTGTGTGCAGATGCAATTGAACTGGGTATTTGGAACGATTTGGGTTCCGGTTCCAACGTGGACTTGTGTGTCATGGAGGTTGGCAAGGATGCCGAGTTATACAGAAACCACTTGACTCCAAACGTCAGACTGGAAAAGGCAAGATCTTATAAGTTTGCTAGAGGAACAACTGCAGTCTTGAGGGAAAGTATCAGAGATATCTTAGATGTTGAAGAAACGGTAATAACCTTTGGATCAGCGTCTGTTGATGCTATGGAAGTAGATGCATAATGAAGAAGCGATGGAATTAAGTAATTAGAAAAGAAGATGAAAGATGAAAGATGAAAGATGAACCTAAGAAAATGACGAATTGAAATAGAAAAAAAATTGGATATAATTTTGAAACTACTCTTAGTACCACACTGTAGAGAGCAGGGGAGGCTGTTAGTTAAGCCTCATGCTAGTAACAGAAGCAAGGTCCTCACTGTAGGCAACCAGACAGATGAAAAGTTCCATAAAATGTCTTGTTGAGCCTGCATATAAGACGATGATTTTTCACTTTTCTAGAACTTTCGTAAGCTTCACTATAAAAGCTGGAGGAGGTTGCACCAGTTCCAGAACTGATTCAAGTTCGCTGAAACAGCAACAAAATGGTGGTGAATAATCCTAACAACTGGCATTGGGTCGACAAAAACTGTATAGACTGGACAAGAAACTATTTCAATGAAAAATTGGTAAAATTATCTGCAGAAGATGAGAGCAAGACTGTGGAAGTTGCTTCTGTATCTTCAATTGAAGGTGACGTCGAGGTTTGTCAAAGAAAGGGGAAAGTTATATCACTTTTCGACTTAAAAGTCACTCTTGACATAACTGGATTTGCTATCGATGCCTCCAAGGAGGAAGGATCCTTTAAGGGATCCATAGTTGTACCCGAATTGGCGTACGACTCTGAAGCCGATGATTTGCAGTTTGATATCAGTATTTATAATGAAGACAGCACCAACCAAGGTATGAGGGTGATTACAAAGAACAAGTTGGTTCCAAAATTGAGAGAAATCTTGGCTGGATTCGGGTCCGACTTGATTAAGACACACAGTTCTGATATCCAGTTGAGTAGCGATAAGGTCAACTCACAGTTCACAAAGAGTAACCAGGAAAGCAACTCTGCCAAGGCAGCTGCAGGAGCAGCTGCCCCTACTGCTTCTGTAGCTGCTCCTACTGCTTCGAAGACAGTAGCTTCTACTCCTTCCTCTACGAAACCTGCATCTTCGGTTCCTAGATACAACACTGCTACGCTCCATCTCGAGCCTACGTTCAACACTAGTGCTGAGCAGTTGTACATTACGCTCCTCGACCAAGCTCGTATTGCCGCCTGGTCCCGTTCTGCACCTCAAATAGATGCGTTCCCACCAAAGGAAGGGTCTACATTCAAGTTATTCGGAGGATCGGTCAGTGGGAAGATCTTGAAATTGGTTCCCAACGAACAGATCACCCAACTCTGGAGATTAGAAGACTGGAGAGACGGCCATTTTGCTACATTGGACATTCAGTTGGTCCAAGGGCCCAGCGAAACAAAGATGGTAGTCAAGTGGTCAGGCATTCCTGTCGGTGAAGAAGACAGAGTACGTGGCAATTTTGAAAATTACTACATTAGATCGATTAAGATCACCTTTGGATTCGGCGCTGTTTTATAGAGTATAGGAATAGATGCACGAGTAGAATATTGCTGTGCACCAAGCTGTAGAAATTGAAGTAATTGTAGACTAACTACAACAACAAAAAGAACAAAGAAGGAAAAAAAAGAAAATCGTGAGTAAACATGCACTCTTATATGCATCGTTTTCCATCCAACGCACTGCACTGCACTGACTAAGCCAACTACTACAAGTATCCGAGTTATTTAACCTCACCAAGGCATAAATGCTTAGTAGGGAATTTAGCAAAGATAACCGGACGGAATTTTTCACCCGATGCGGAATAAATTTGAGCAAAAAAAAAAATCCGCTGCTTAATGAGGAGCACTATAAATCAGTCGATGGAAAGTTAGAAGAAACGTTCATTAAGTCTTCTTCTTGATACATAAAATTAAATCAGATTTAACACAAATAATATGTCTGATACAACTGGAAAAGTAAGTATATAGTACGAAATAACGGGGGCTGGGAAACAGAGAGAAAAAAAAAAGGATGGAATAAACAAGGATTGTATTTCGCTGAAAAACTGGATCAGCCTTACACCACCAAGTACTACCAAGGTAAATAATGCCAGGCGGCCGTTGATCTATGGAATTGATTGATTTTCATGGTACCAATTCTGATTGATCCTTAGTTACATATTTCCTTTCTTTTTTTTTTTTTGTTTCCCTCTCTTTTCCACTGGTGATGTTGTTGCTCTTACTAACAGTACCCTTGTAGACCATTACTTGTAAAGCTGCTGTTGCTTGGGAAGCAGCCAAGCCATTGTCAATTGAAGAAATTGAAGTTCTCCCACCAAGAGCTCACGAAGTCCGTATCAAGATCCTTCATACCGGTGTCTGTCACACTGATGCATACACATTGAGTGGGGTTGATCCAGAAGGTGCCTTCCCAGTTGTCTTAGGACATGAAGGTGCAGGTATCGTTGAGTCCGTCGGTGAAGGTGTGACTAACGTGAAGGTTGGTGACCACGTTGTTGCCTTATACACCCCAGAATGTAAGGAATGCAAGTTCTGTAAGTCAGGAAAGACCAACTTGTGTGGTAAGATCAGAGCCACCCAAGGTAAGGGTGTTATGCCAGATGGTACCTCCAGATTCAAGTGTAAGGGTAAGGACTTGTTACACTTCATGGGATGTTCCACCTTCTCTCAATATACTGTTGTTGCTGATATTTCAGTTGTCGCCGTTAACCCAGAAGCTAAACCAGATAGAACTTGTTTATTAGGATGTGGTATCACCACTGGTTACGGTGCCGCTACCATTACTGCCAACGTTCAAGAAGGTGACAACGTTGCAGTATTCGGTGCTGGATGCGTTGGTTTATCTGTTGTCCAAGGTGCTAAGGAAAGAAAGGCTGCCAAGATTATAGTCGTTGATATTAATGATAAGAAGAAGGAATGGGCTGACAAATTCGGTGCCACCGACTTCGTCAATCCAACTACATTACCAGAAGGCACCACTATTGTTGACAAATTAGTCGAAATGACCGACGGTGGTTGTGATTACACTTTTGACTGTACTGGTAATGTCCACGTGATGAGAAATGCATTAGAAGCTTGTCACAAGGGTTGGGGTGTTTCCGTTATTATCGGTGTAGCCGCTGCTGGTAAGGAAATCTCCACCAGACCATTCCAATTGGTCACCGGTAGAGTTTGGAAGGGTGCAGCATTCGGTGGTGTCAAGGGTAGATCTCAATTACCAGGAATCGTTGATGACTACATGGCTGGAAAATTGAAGGTTGACGACTTTATCACTCACAGACACCCATTGGACAACATTAACACTGCCTTTGAAGACATGCACGCTGGTGACTGTATAAGGGCTGTCATTGATTTGTAAAGCCAGCTGCCGGTACGCACGTTGAAGTTGTAGGTTACATGGACTTTTCTGTATCGGGCGCAATAAGACAAACACCTACATCAAAAAAAACAGAAACTATATATATAATTTAATACATCTTCCCAAAATTCGGCCTGTCTTGTAACTTGTAGCATTCGAATTGGAATAGTGCGACACTTAATATTTTGCACCCATTAAGACCCAGTAAGAAATGCGAGTGTATGTAGAAAATGGAGCAGTAATAAATATACTCCATTGGTGCCATGGATTCTTTGTAGAGACCTATTTGCATAGATCTATTTGTAGGTCGTTCTCTTGCTATGTCCTCTTTACCGATTGTATGGAAGCATTGCTGTCATTGCTTCTGAACTTAGTATATATTTCTCATGCGAAGTGAGAATCGGTGATGAAATCGAAGAGTTTAGAAAGCTAGGGCTGAATAAAGTCTGGAAAAGGACCGATATGCACACAAAATGGTGCAGGAGAGTACTACGTTTCGATATAAAGAGAGTTTCCGACAAAATCACCAAGAAAGGTACGAATTCATCCACTCTTTGAAGGGTAAATGGCACCCTGTGTCCACTCTATGGCTTGTGATCGCCTAACACCACGCCTAAGTTTTTCGCACCTCTGCCTTCAACTCCGAGAATTTACTGATAGCACGTCAAAATGTGACCAAACAGTGAGCAGAGATCTACCAAGACAAACAGATGGCCAGGGCATATGATACCATCAGAGTGGATCCAGTGACCTAGTCCTATAGAGCACCTTCAGCTGTTACTAAAACATGAGCCAGATTCGTGAATAATGTTCTTGCCCGGTGTACTCCAGTGGCCCTGCCCGGTGCACTTTACCGATTATATTTCTAGTGCTGCACTCTGGCTGCGAAAAGTGCTAGCATTAATCCGGCCAGTTCCGAGACAGTATCTACACATATAAGGGAATGAGGTGTAGAAAGTATAGTAAACTACAAACCAGGCTGCAAACAGAAGAAATAGAAATTGACATTCGAACTCAGTCGATATGGTATACAGAAGTGTTCTTCTCCTGGCACCGACGCCCCAGCTGGCCCATATCACTCGGAAGTCTTCATTCATTTCTACCTAATTTTTTTTTATTTAATTTTTTCGATTCTCTTTTTTTTTTTTTTTTTTTATTTTCTCTAATTTCCTCCTACTCCGAAATCTTGTACCGGAATTCTACTCGGTCAACAACTCTGCCCTTTCCGCGATCGCTATTGGCCAATATCCCCCAGTTCAACTTATATACCGGAGGGGCCCGCTTCATAGCACCAAATTTTCTCTTGTTCTCCCTAGTAATTTCGAAAATTCCCTTCCCTGTTGATTTCATCAATACGAATCAAGCACCACAAAAAAAAAAGTAGGAGGAAAAAGAAAAATTGAGCTTCCGTTAACTTCTTTCTTCTAGCACTAAATACATATTCATTTATTCCATAACACAATGTTCAGACAATTAACTAGATCCTCCATTGTTCCAAGATTCACCAGATCTTATGCTGTTGCCGGTCAATTCACTGGTCAAAAGGGACCAAACGGTAAGTATACCGTTACCTTGATTGAAGGTGATGGTATTGGTATTGAAATTGCCCAGGCCGTCAAGGATATCTACGCTGCTGCTAACGTTCCAATTGAATGGGAACCAGTTGATGTTACTCCATTATTGATCGATGGTAAGACCACTTTACCTCAACCAGCTGTTGATTCTGTTAACAAGAACTTGGTTGCCCTTAAGGGTCCATTGGCTACTCCAGTCGGTAAGGGTCACACCTCAATGAACTTGACCTTGAGAAGAGCCTTCAACCTTTTCGCCAACGTCAGACCATGTAAGTCTATTGTCGGTTACAAGACTCCATACGATGACGTTGATACCGTCTTGATCAGAGAAAACACCGAAGGTGAATACTCTGGTATTGAACATACCATTGTTCCAGGTGTTGTCCAATCTATTAAGTTGATCACTAGACCAGCATCTGAGAAGGTGATTAGATACGCTTTCGAATACGCCAAGACCATCAACAAGCCACACGTTTTAGTTGTCCACAAGGCTTCTATCATGAAGTTGTCCGATGGTTTATTCGTTGAAACCGCCAAGGAAGTCGGTAAGGAATACCCAGACATTTCCTTGGATTTCGAACTTTTGGATAACACTTCCTTAAAATTGACCGCTGATCCAAACGATTACAAGAACGTCGTTATGGTTATGCCAAACTTGTACGGTGATATCATGTCCGATTTATCTTCCGGTCTTATCGGTGGTTTAGGTTTAACTCCATCCGGTAACATGGGTAACAAGGTTTCTATTTTCGAAGCCGTTCACGGTTCTGCTCCTGATATTGCCGGTAAGGGATTAGCTAACCCAACCGCTTTATTGTTATCTTCATGTATGATGTTGAGACACATGTCTTTGTTCGAAGACGCTGACAAGATTGAAAACGCTGTCTTAAAGACCATCGCTTCCGGCCCAGAAAACAGAACTGGTGACTTAAAGGGTACTGCTACCACCACGCATTTCACTGAACAAGTTATTGCCAACTTATAAGCGAATCGAGTATACGAAGGAGAGAGTTAGTCAGTAAATAAGTAAAGTAATCAAAGAAGCATTTAGAAGTTTTTTAAAAACATGAGATACAATGAAACCAGTGAAGGACGCTTTGTAGCAAAGACAAAAGTAGAGAGTTATAGTAAAAGTATAATCTATTTGTTTGTATATGTATATATGCTATGACGATAAAGAGTGTGCTTCAGAAACGAGGATAAGCTCATTTCTTTTCGTCCTTTTCGTCTTGCCCACCGTCAACCGTTTCCACTTTCTTTTCCTTTTCCAACTTCAAGCTCTCTAATCCCTTTATGACTTCCAACTCCTTCAATATCTTGTTTGCACCTTCGACAATGGCTACATGCTCGACCTTGTGGACCCTGTCCTCATACTCTTCCAAAGATTCATCCTTCTTCAACTCAATTTCTGTCACCAACACTGGTTCACCTCTGTCTACTTCAGCAATAACCTTGTGGATCATCACACCTCCTCTGGTAATTTTACCATCTTGTCCATCTTTCCAACATCTGTCTATAGCGTGAGTTCCGTCGTAGGCCCCAGGGAGGGCAGGGTGTAAGTTAATTATGGTAATACCAGCATTCTCCAACGGGATAAGGATTGCAGGAGAAAGAATTAACATCCAGCCGGCACACACAATCAAATCTGGTTTGACGTAGCCTTCGGTGGTGATTGTATTTTCTTTGTTCCCGTATATCAACAAATTGGCAAGGTCCTTGTTGAATTGTTCCCTTCTCTTTCCTCTCTCGACCTTTTCTTCCTTAGTGGTGCCCTTGTAGTAGTCCTTTAATACATGTGTTTTAATTCTGGATATTTTGGCCTTTTCTGCCCTTTCAAGTCCGTAGGCGGTGGTACTGGATGAGACAACCTGAGTGATGATACCATTTAAGTCACCCTTAGCCTCAGAGTCAATTAATGCTTGAAGGTTCGAGCCTGATCCTGATATAAGCACTGTGATGTTAAGAGTCATAGTGTAAGTTTACTTTCTAGATATAGATATATATATGTATATATGTGTATATGTACAGGTAGAGATCAACCACAAGAAGATTTGAGCTATACTTTCTGTGTAGCACTACATTTTTTTTTTTTGTTAATTGATAATTTTTCAGAAAATCAGTGACTCGGCCCATGGGCCACTGGAGAAGTGATGATGGTAGATAGCAGGTAAGAGGGCAGATCGAAGGCACAAAGTGGGCGCGAAGCGTCTGAGGGAGAGGGCGTTACTGGAATCGGAAATAATGAAGGATTATACGCCCAGTTCAGCCGGAACAAGTGGTGCAACAACGGTCCTAGCTTGCAAGATAGCCAGTTGTGGAGAGATGCGCTTTACATTTTCGCACCTACATTGGAACAGAAAGACAGAGAGAAGTAGAAAAGGCTGCAGCACTCGCTAGTGGCCACTGAAGCAATAAGGTTTTAGCATTGTGTCTTGGTGTTTCTACGGGTCATACTTTTTAGATCCTGCCTGACCTATATGAACCAGACAAGCTGGAATGTTCTACGGTTTGCCGTCCTCCTTCTGACTAAAGAAAAAAGGCTACTCTTCGAGCTACGGAACCAAGTTGGAACCCATCTCGGGAAGACCACGGTCACGTGCCAAATCACGTTCACGACAGACTGAAATATTTCACTCTTCTTTCCCCACCAGGAGCAGGCTGAAGAGCAGAACTGCACCACCAATTGTAGTAGCGCAAAGAACAAACCCCCACCCCCCGAGACCCTCAATCTAACATTCTACTAGCTAATTGAGCCCAACCCCTCGTCCACTCCACGCATTTGTGATCCCTCTCTTGCTCCCCACTAACGTCTCTCCATAACCCCAAATAAAATCTATGTCATGTATGTGCCTTTCCTTGCCTATCAGTTCGCCTCCGGGTAACGTGTAAAATCTGGAACGGGACCAGAATTACCCGCACCGTACATGACACAAAACCCCCTACAGTAAAATTTTTTCCCTCAGATACAATCCCATCGCACCTCACCACCCAAAGTCGTTCCCCTCGTGTCTACAGTTCCCACTACCAATGGGACTTTGGAAACAGACAGAGAAGTCAGAAAAAAAAAAGTTGGTACAAAAAAATTTCTTCCTACTTCTAATTTTTTTTTTGTTTCGTCTAGCTAACGTTCAAACAATTTCAAAATGGGTATGTAATAGTATAAAAAGATCAAGAGAAGTAAGCGATCGATGAAGTCGAGAAGGGAGATAGTCTTTTTAGGTTTGTGTTGTTGATTTATTACTGGAATATCGTAAGACTGGAAAATTGTGCTAGTGAGAAAAACGCTTTAGCTTCGATAATGATTAGTAACGAGAATTTTGATTCGATAAATCATGGAGTTTGCCATCGAAAACGATGCAATAAGCGATCAATCTCACAGTACGGAAGCATTCCACTACTCTGGTGATACCTTTATACACAAATACCTACTATGACTATCTCGTTTGTCGACCTTCTCTTGCCATCGCTTAGGGTGGGAAGGGGTTGGACTGGAATTTTTTTGGTGGTGAAAAAAAAAAAGTAAAAAATTTTGCGATTTTTTTTCCTTAGCCTGAAATTTTGTTAACCCTTAGTGAAAGTCTCTCTTGATGATAAGTTAATATGAAATTTGTCCTTATAGGATACTAACAATCATTCTTTAGTCGCTTTTACAATTGAACAAATCCGTGAATTGATGGACAAGGTTACGAATGTTCGTAACATGTCCGTCATTGCTCACGTCGATCACGGTAAGTCTACCTTGACTGATTCTTTAGTCCAAAAGGCTGGTATTATCTCCGCCGCCAAGGCTGGTGATGCCAGATTTATGGATACCAGAAAGGATGAACAAGAAAGAGGTATTACTATCAAGTCTACCGCTATTTCTTTATATGCTTCCATGCCAGAAGAAGATGTCAAGACCATCGCCCAAAAGACTGAAGGTAACTCTTTCTTGATTAACTTGATTGATTCCCCAGGTCACGTTGATTTCTCCTCTGAAGTCACTGCCGCCTTGAGAGTCACTGATGGTGCCTTAGTTGTTGTTGACTGTGTTGAAGGTGTCTGTGTCCAAACTGAAACCGTTTTACGTCAAGCCTTAGGTGAAAGAATTAAGCCAGTTGTTATCATTAACAAGGTTGACAGAGCTTTATTAGAATTACAAGTTTCTAAGGAAGATTTGTACCAATCTTTCGCCAGAACTGTTGAATCCGTTAACGTTATCATTGCTACTTACGTTGACCCATCCATTGGTGATGTCCAAGTCTACCCAGAGAGAGGTACCGTTGCTTTCGGTTCCGGTTTACATGGTTGGGCCTTCACCGTCAGACAATTTGCTACCAGATACTCCAAGAAATTCGGTGTTGACAAGCAAAAGATGATGGAAAGATTATGGGGTGACTCTTACTTCAACCCAAAGACCAAGAAATGGACTAACAAGGACAAGGACGCTGATGGAAAGACTTTAGAAAGAGCTTTCAACATGTTCGTCTTAGACCCAATCTTCAGATTGTTCGCTGCTATTATGAACTTTAAGAAGGCTGAAATTCCAACCTTATTAGAAAAGTTGGAAATCAACTTGAAGGCTGATGAATTAGAATTAGAAGGTAAGGCCTTATTAAAGCTTGTTATGAGAAAGTTCTTGCCAGCTGCTGACGCTTTAATGGAAATGATTGTTTTACACTTACCATCTCCAGTTACTGCTCAAGCTTACAGAGCCGAAACCTTATACGAAGGTCCAGCTGACGATGCTTCTTGTATCGCCATCAAGAACTGTGACCCTAAGGCTGACTTAATGTTGTACGTCTCCAAGATGGTGCCAACCTCTGATAAGGGTAGATTCTACGCTTTCGGTAGAGTTTTCGCTGGTACCGTTAGATCTGGTCAAAAGGTTAGAATCCAAGGTCCAAACTACGTTCCAGGTAAGAAGGATGATTTATTCCTTAAGGCTATTCAAAGAACTGTCTTGATGATGGGTAGAAATGTCGAACAAATCGATGACTGTCCTGCTGGTAACATTGTTGGTTTAGTCGGTGTCGATCAATTCTTATTGAAGTCCGGTACTATTACCACCAACGAAGCTTCCCACAACATGAAGGTCATGAAGTTCTCTGTCTCCCCAGTTGTCCAAGTCGCTGTCGAAGTCAAGAACGCCAACGATTTACCAAAGTTGGTTGAAGGTTTAAAGAGATTGTCCAAGTCCGATCCATGTGTCTTAACCTTGATGAACGAAGCCGGTGAACATATTGTCGCTGGTACCGGTGAATTACATTTGGAAATTTGTTTAGCTGATTTACAAAACGATCACGCTGGTGTTCCATTAAAGATCTCTCCACCAGTTGTTTCTTACAGAGAAACTGTTGAAGGTGAATCATCAATGGTTGCTTTATCTAAGTCTCCAAACAAGCATAACAGAATTTACGTTAAGGCTCAACCAATTGACGAAGAAGTCTCCTTAGCTATTGAATCCGGTAAGATCAACCCAAGAGATGATTTCAAGGCCAGAGCTAGAATCATGGCTGATGAATTCGGTTGGGATGTCGCTGATGCCAGAAAGATCTGGTGTTTCGGTCCAGACGGTAACGGTCCTAATTTGGTTGTTGACCAAACCAAGGCTGTTCAATACTTATCAGAAATTAAGGATTCTGTTGTCGCTGCTTACCAATGGGCTACTAAGGAAGGTCCAGTTCTTGGTGAAAACGTCAGATCTCTTAGAGTTAACATCTTAGATGTTACTTTACACGCTGATGCTATCCACAGAGGTGGTGGTCAAATTATCCCAACCATGAGAAGAGTTACCTACGCTGCTATGTTGTTAGCTCAACCAGCTATCCAAGAACCAGTCTTCTTGGTTGAAATTCAATGTCCAGAAAACGCCATTGGTGGTATCTACTCCGTCTTGAACAAGAAGAGAGGTCAAGTTGTCTCTGAAGAACAAAGACCAGGTACTCCATTGTTCACTGTTAAGGCTTACTTACCAGTTAACGAATCCTTCGGTTTCACTGCTGAATTAAGAAAGGCTACTGGTGGTCAAGCTTTCCCACAATTGATCTTCGATCACTGGGCCGTCTTAGGTGGTGATGTCACTGATCCAAACTCCAAACCAGGTGCCATTGTTAAGGAAAAGAGAGAACGTCAAGGTCTTAAGCCTGAAGTTCCAGGTTACGAAGAATACTATGACAAGTTATAAGCGTCATAATCAGCACATATCTGTTTATAGTTTATTATTCATAATATTGGAAATTTTCTTACCTTGAATTTTGGTTTATTCGTAATTTCTTGTACGGAATATATGATACTTTTAAAATAATAACACGAGAATTGTAGTAAAATCAATTAATTTAGTTTGTAGATGCAAGTGCAACTATTATGACCATGACGATGGTTCAGTATTTTATTTTTTTCATCATGTGGAGAAGTTCTGCAAAGTGCACTTTATAATTTTACTCAATTACACAGTGAGGGTTAATCACAAATATTTTCTGACGGCGACTTACTATCGGCGCCAAGGACGGAAAGCATCGAAGCTTTAACTCCTTCTCAATTGTCGCAATTATGAACTCATCTCCCTCTCCAATAGAAATTAGATCTAACTCAAGAGCAGTTATGCAAGGTGTACAGGGCTACGTAATTATTCCTAAGTTTTCCGCAGTATCCGATTAGAAAGTCTAAGTTCTAACTTTAAGAAGCCGTCAGTTTACTTATGTTGCGATTGAATGACTCCTTTACAAGCGGTAGAGGAATACACATATAAGGAGACCATAAAAACTCAGATATATAGGATGCCTTGTCTTCGTAATTAGTCCCCTTTCTCTAGAGTTGCAACGTCTTTTTGTTTTCTGTAGAGTGTTCTATTAGAGTGAAGCAAGTGTATTGTGCTGCATTTATTTTTTAGCATCACATCACGCTAGCAATTACTAATACTATAGAGGAAATATTAATTTTTACTTTTCGGCTAATTTGTAAAACATCCGGCCGAATCGGTGGTGTACCAGGGGATTGAAATAAGAAGACAATTTCTTTGAAGTGAAAGAGCTGAGAGTAAGTAGTTGATACCAGCAGCTAAAGCAACGACGCAATGGTGAATTATACCTTCATTGCTTGTGGTAATTTGGCTGCAATATTTTATATACTCAGATACAGACATATTCAAAGTCGCATTGTATATTCCGAAGACTTACTCTATTTAACAATTTTAGTTGTCATACTTGCTGCTTGGAACATTGTAATTTTACTCTCTAGTGCAATTCATTCAAAACTCAATGATGCTTATATATTCATAATCACACTAGTATCAATCTTATTGTTTAAGAACTTTTCGTTGGCAATTGTTAGAGTAGTGGAAATGATTTCCTTTCGAATCGATTCGAATGCAACTACTTTCATATCCAATCGCGATGACTTGGAGGGCAACAGGAAGTCAGTTACATTTGATGATACTAAAGTTGTGCTCAGCTACCTGGAAGAAAACTCCTCAGTAACCTATCACCCCGTTAGAGTATTTCCTTCCATAGATGATTGGAAGTACTGGACGAAGAAGTGTGCTAAGATATTGGCTATCTACCTATTCACTATGGTACTGTGTATAATCTTATTACCTAGATCCATGATGTTTGTTTCTACAAAAACACTATTTTATTACAACGATTCATTCTATATTAAGACAGATCACGCATTGTTTGCACTTGAGATAGAATTTGTAATATTTATGGTTGGCAAATTTAATAGAGTATTGAAACACCCTCACTTTAAGCACTTCCCATACATTACAGCAATTGCAACCATTTTCATTTGGGTGTACTCAGGAGCACTCTTGCTCGTAAATATCAATTGCATAATCATATTCAATGATATCATATCAATAATGAAAGATCCGGAACTATACATAGCTGACTCCGACAACTTTATATCTATGCTTTCTACAAGTTTAATCTTAACATGGCTAGATTGTTCCGCTGATGCTTCAACCTTGTGCAATAATGAGAATGCGAAAGTTCAATTTATTAGAGAGATCATGAGACAAACCTGGTCTGTAGTCAACTCTATAAACTTCTTACTAGTTCCATTGATAATATGGATTGTTATTATTGAAATTAGATTCAGAAGAGCTTGTGTTTAGACTGTGTACATAATATACGACTTACGAATAACCCAGACTAAGACTAAAGAAATAGTCTAGCTTACCAGATCTTGCACCCAATACGAAAAAAATAGTGTTAGCCATGTTCAGGAAAGTTAGTCCTATTTTCCGTTCTATGGAGCTGCAGCACCCAGGGCTCAATTTGGAAAGACAGAGAGCTTGCTGACATCTGAGAACATCTTGCTGTTAACATTGCCTAATATGAACTACACGCTCATTTTATTAAGTTAATACACCCTGCTACTATTATTGACTCCTCTCGAGCAGTAGCTAGGGCGGTTACATACCACCCAATGTGTCAGGTATCTTTTTTTCCTATCCTCTCTATAAAGAAACTCCGGGCGTTATAAGCTTCCCAATGCAGAAGGATTTTACGCAATCACAGATCAAAGTCTGCGCGGGAAACCCTTTCCCTTTTGGGCTCGATAAGACGGTAGGCTGAATCATTATTGGCACCTTTTATCAGAGGTGGTCCAGCACTGGAAATAAGTATAAATGATATATAAAAGTACCTTAAACTAAATTCTTTTTTGCTATAACTGTCTTCATCTACTCCTTTAATAATTTCATTAATTTTTAATTAGAAAAGTAATATGGAAAGATTGCAACAAATTGCCGCACAAGCAACCTCTTCAGCTGCCGCTCCACCTTTACCAGCTCATCCTTTAGATCCACTTAGCGTTCAGGAAATCGCTGCTGTCGCTGGTGTCATCAAATCTAAATACAAGGGTAAGAACATTGTATTCAACACTGTTACTTTAAAGGAACCAGTCAAGAAGGCATACTACAACTGGAAGGAACAAAATGGTCCATTTCCAGCAAGATTAGCCTACTTTGTTATCATCGAGGAAGGTTTTAACGGAGTGCACGAAGGTGTGGTTGACATTCCTGCCTTACTGTTACTCGAATTAAGAAAGTCTGACTCTCTTCAACCAATTTTGACCGCTGCTGATCTTCAAAACACCGAAGAAATTGTGAGAACTGACCCAGCCGTCATTGAACAATGTATCTTATCGGGCGTTCCAGCCGATGACATGAAAAACATCTACTGTGATGCTTGGACTATTGGTTACGATGAAAGATGGGGTGCTTCCAAGAGATTGCAACAAGCTTTAGTGTACTGGAGATCCGACGAAGATGACTCTCACTACTCTCATCCTTTGGATTTCTGTCCAATCGTTGACATGAACGAAGGTAAAGTTATCTTTATTGATATTCCAAACAGAAGAAGAAAGGTTTCTAAACATAAGCACTCCAGTTTTCACCCAATCCACATTAAAGAAAAGTTTGGAACCAAAGAAAACCCATCTGGTTACAGAAACGATTCTAAGCCAATCAACGTTACTCAACCAGAGGGTGTTTCATTTGACATGGATGGACATATCATGAAGTGGTCCAATTTCCAATTCCACATTGGTTTCAACTACAGAGAAGGTATCGTTTTAAGTGATATTACTTATAATGACCACGGTAATGTCAGACCTATGTTCCACAGAATTTCTTTATCCGAAATGATTGTTCCATACGGTAGTCCAGAGTTCCCACACCAGAGAAAACACGCATTGGATATTGGTGAATACGGTGCTGGTAATTGTACTAATCCATTATCTCTCGGATGTGACTGTAAGGGTGTCATTCACTACATGGACGCTCATTTTCCAGATAAGACTGGTACTCCTGTCACCGTGAAGAATGCCGTTTGTATTCATGAAGAAGACGATGGATTATTATTCAAGCATTCTGATTTCAGAGATGATTTCCAAACTACTGTTGCTACTAGAGGTAAGAAATTGATTGTTTCTCAAATCTTTACTGCTGCAAACTACGAATATTGTTTATACTGGATCTTTAGACAAGATGGTACCATCAAGTTGGAAGTTAGATTAACGGGTATATTAAATACTTACATCTGTGCTGAAGATGAATCTCCAGGTCCATGGGGTACTCAAGTTTACCCACAAGTTAATGCTCACAACCATCAACATCTTTTCTCTTTAAGAATCCATCCAAGAATTGATGGTGATAATAACTCAGCAGCAACTAGTGATGCTAAGTCTTCTCCATTCCCAACTGGATCTGCTGAAAACATGTACGGAAATGCCTTCTACGCTGAAAGAACTACATTCAAGAACGTTAAAGAATCATTAACTAATTTTGAATCAGCAACAGCCAGAACATGGGATATCTTCAACCCAAACAAAATTAACAAGTACTCTGGAAAGCCAAGTTCTTATAAATTGGTCTCTACCTTTTGCTCTCCTTTGTTAGCACAAGAAGGCTCTTTGGTCCGTAAGAGAGCTCCATGGGCTGCTTCTCATACCCAAGTTGTCCCATACCAAGATGAAAATGGTGGTTACGGTAGGTTGTATCCTTCCGGAGACCATGTATGTCAATGGAGTGGTGACGGTTTAAGAGGAATGAGAAAATGGATTGGCGATGGTAAGGACGCAGTTGAAAACACTGATATTTTATTCTTCCATACTTTTGGTATTACGCATTTCCCAGCCCCAGAAGATTTTCCAGTTATGCCAACTGAAATCTTCGACCTTATGTTAAGACCAAGACATTTCTTTGAAGAAAACCCTTGTCTTGATGTCAAGCCATCTTTTGCAAGAACTACTAAGGAAGTAAAAGCAAACGTGAAGGGTGTTGACTCATGTACTTTAGAAGTCGACAAGACATCAAGATTGGCATTCTCAAAGACTTCGGCTGCTACTGAGTCTTCTTCATGTTGCTCTAAGAAGTAACTTGGAAAGGAGAGACAGCGCATTGTGAATAAGTTAAAAGTATAAAATCATATAACCTTTATCTGAATTTTAATTTGAATAATACACATTTTAATTACGTACATCTCAATTGAAGTATCAACATTCTTTCTTAATGCGTCTTATTTGCCCTTAGAGCAGTTTCATTATCTTTTCTTTGCTACAATAGGACTTAGTTGAATAGATCTATTACTCATATATTATTTATTAAATTTGAAATTAATGACCAGAAATAAGGACTTCGTTATAATGAATTATAAGCTTTAACTATTTCTGTACCAATGGATGCTGCAGATTGGGGGTTAGCACCAGTGACAATTCTGCCATCCACAACTGTAAAATCATCCCATGGTCCTTCAGGGCTAATATATATAGCCCTGGTTTCCTCTGCAACTACTCTAACGGTTTTGAGGTTATTGGAAGCAAAAACACTGTCAAGGTTCAAAAGCTTCTCCCCTTCGTCAGTGAAACCAGTAACTTTCTTTCCTTCAATCAATGGCTGACCAGTTGTCTTATCGAGCAAACCTTCGAAAATAGCAGGGCCATGACAGACAGCACCAACAATACCGCCTCTAGCATATACATCAGCTGCAATACTTTGTAAATCTTTTGCATTAGGGAAATCAAACACTGTTCCATGACCACCAGCAGCGAAAAAGATGTCATAGTCTTTGGAGTTAAGTTCTGATGCTTTCTTAACATTTTTCAATGTCCTGTTGAATTCAGATTCATCATTTGTCAATGTTTCATAATCTTCTGCGCTCAATGCATCCTTTTTGATGGAGTGTTCATCATAACCCCATTTACCAGTTTCCGAAGCAAATTGGATTTTGTAACCAGCAGCATGAAATTTTTCGAATGGGTGAATGGCTTCGGTATAGTAAAGCCCAGTCTTTTCTCCAGTAGGATGGAAAACTTCATTGTAAGAAGTGATTGCAATAATTACGCTAACCATTGTGCTTTGTATTTTCTTTTTTGTTTTTTATATGATAATATGTGTTAAACTTTTCAATTTCTTACTTTGTATATCAAAAAATTGTTGATAGAATGAAAGAATATGGTTAAGTTGTTCAATTTGCACCCATATTTATAGACTAGCAAATGGTTGCGAAATGTAATCCTGAGAGCACCGAATTCCGAACTTGCTTACATAATCTCGAGGCTTACGCATCATCGCTTACAGGAATTCATTCGTTTCGATTCCAGCTCGTTCGTTACTTACAAATCGACTTCACAATTCTTTATAAGCATTAGTCTAGCCTACTGACTTACTAATATAGCTTTGTAAGACTCCAATGTTCATTTCACCTTACACTCTTTATATAATTTGGGCATTTAACTTGAAGCTTTCAAATTGCAACCACCGCTCAATACAGATGAAAAGATTTAGTCAATATGCAGGAACCCTCAAGAATATCGCTTGTCTTGGCTCTGCTATCAAACTCGATGAGATGAGACCTAGCAAGCTTAGTACTGGACGTACAGCGCAACCAATAACTATAAAATGAAGTACATTATAGAACATATGGAAGAAGGTTTCTCTGAATGGGTTATTTTAGAGTATTCACAAATCATAAGAGACGTTGGTAAGGAAAATTTGATCTTAACATCGTTACCAGAATCTACTACTGAAAAAGATATTCCTCAAAGGTTGTTAGACTTGGGACTACACTGGACTACTAGAGAATGTGTAGAAATAGATGGAGGGTTGGATTTTTCAAGAGTTTGTTTATTGGATCCAGCTGCTGAAGTAGACTTGACTCCAGAAGATTCCTCTAAGTTTGATTATTTCGTATTCGGTGGTATATTAGGATCACACCCTAGAATTGATAGAACTGGTATATTGAGAAAGAAGTACGGTTTTGCAGGAAGAAGATTGGGAAAGTTGCAGATGACTACCGATACTGCCATTAGAACCACAACTAGGATAATTGAAAACAAAACCAAGTTTGAAAATATTAAGTTTTTAGACTACCCAGAAATCCGTTTCAATAAGTATGAAGCAACTGAAATGCCATTTAGATATATAACCGACGAAAATGGAGAACCAATTTTACCTAGGGGCATGTTGGAACATATTAAGAAGGACGCAGAACAAAGTATAGATGACTTGTTGATAGAGTGAACGTTGTAAAATATATATAACAGCTTTATTAATATATTGTATTTGTAGCATATGTACTTAACTTTATTTGAAATTATCCTTTATCTCTCTGTTGTTCATTTTACTTTTTAACGTATAAGGCAACCTTCTTGGATTCTGTAGAATCTTTATCAGAGGAAAGTATCTCCTTCATTATAAAACCGGCAGTATCCTTATCTTCGAAATAAGAAACATGTGAGCTTAACGCAGAGAGTAAAGAAATGTCAAAAACCCCCATTGGGAGACAATAGTCGATTCTTCCAGACCTATTTAGCTCATTGAGGATACTTAAATCTCTTTCTCTCATTTCAACAATCAGTGCAGGGTTCGTTTTCGAGTCCCCTTTATCAGAATCAGCAACTATTCCTCTAAGTATATCACTCAAAGCATCTTCTTCATCGACAGACTTCTTCTTCTTCTTCTTCCTCAGTTCCTCCACAATAGAGCCATCTTCCACAGTTTTATGCTTTTTCGTGCCAAAAATTGAAGCTGTAAGCTTTTGATGAATGGCTTCACCAAAGCTAGCTAATTCCTTTATCTGCGTATTCAACCCCTTCACTGCAAATGGCACTGATTCCGGCTTGAAATTGGCGAATTTAGGAGAAACCAATGGTTCCATTCTATATCCAACAGGATCGCAAGGATGGAATATATTATACAAATTTTCACACTTTGGAGATGACTGCAAATTTTTAGAAGATCTCGGATCGAAGGACTCGGACATTGAGGATCTTGCACTAATGTTCTGTTGAGTTAAGAACTTGAACACACCAACCGGAGATCCAACGCAGAACAAGCTATCCACATCAAAGCTTAAATCTTTCGTGAGATCTAAATCTTTGGGCCGTTCATTATACTGCAGTGACATGATATCAAATGCTATCGCGGACCCAAGAGAATGGCCCAAAATATGAACTTTTCCATTAAAGCCTGGGTTTTTTTCTATATAGAGCTGATACACTTTGTTGAGTTCCAGTATTACTATTTTGAACACTTGCTCTATGTAATGGGGCTCGTAATACAATAACACATCCAAAAGAACATCGCCAACCATGTTTCTTAGAGATTTGACTCCATCAACATTAATTTGGGAGAGTTTCGGTAATCGGTAATTTCCATCATCATCAAAACTTTCGAAATTCTTAGAAGGTTGAAAATCTAATCTGTGTCTCCAAGAAATTGGGAGCACTTGAATAGTGTTGTTTTCCAAATAGTCCTCATCTCTCTCCTCTTCATTTTCGTGAGCCAACTTGACATATCTTTCATCTGATTTATATACATCTTTCATGGTATTTCTCATGACATTGACACTATGGGTAAAATCAATAGATTCATACTTACCGCCGAGAACCTGCCCTATTCCATGAATACACAATATGAGATGATCAACTCTACGGTTAGCCTTAGCCTTTGTGCTGTCATGATCATAGTCAGCTTCCAAAACGTGTCTAGCCTTTTTATCTACTTCTTCCTCTGATCCTGGAGTAGCTGAATCAGTAGCATCCTGTTTTACTGGGTTAAATAGTTGGTTGACTTCATTTTTGAACGAATCTGCAAATCCTGGAATCGGGTTGTCGGGCAAGCTATCGAATATTGTGTTACTTAGATCATCTGTGAAGCCTCTCTGAATTTTATCAACGGAAAGCAATGCAACCCCAGGACTTGATGAGATATTTCTAATGACATCAATTTCAAATGCACTATTGACAGTATCAGGAAATAACGCAGCATACTTCTCATCACAGAATAGTATCAACTGGCCATTTCCTAGATTAATAATGTCCTTTTCATTTTCTACGATAACTTCATCTGCTTTATCTTTCTTAATTGCATTTGTGAGCTTATTAAATTGGATTACAGCGTCTTTCGAAGCCTTGGTCACCTTTTCAGCATTTGTAGACTCTGCAGAAGAATCTAACACCTTTTGTTTCTTGAGTTTGATCTCTTCGTTGAAGAGATATGGCTTCTTCGATTGGTAGCCTACCTCTATTGCCTGCGAAAGTGAATTAGGAAGAGGAATTCCATCGGAGTTAAACCAAGTACCTCGACGAACTTCATATACTGGACCCTGCCAGTACACAGGTGAGAGAGTCATCTCTTTGATATCAACCTGGAACAATCTGTCTTCATTAACTTCAATAGTATGTGGCAATTGCTTCTCTTGATTTTCCCCACCAGAAGAATTCCTATGAATTGCTTGAAATCTTTTCTCCAACCTGACAGAGTCAAAAGCGGAAAACGGAAGAAATTTCAGAGCTTTCTTATCTTGATCAAATTCGTACCATTCGGGCTTAGAAAGAGGAACATCTGTAGCATAGTACCACTTAACATTTAACTTTGGAACTTCCCCCACATTTTTAGAATCAGTTGCTGTTTTATAGAGAAATGATTGTGACAGAAACAGTCGAATCGATTGTGAAATGGAATTCAAACACCTTTTACGGTAAAGATACAACATTTATCAGCCCAAGCCTCTAACAAATTGCAATAGTATATGTATCTAAAGGGCGTGCGAGACGAAGTTACCTACAAAACAACGGTGTATCTCTAACATGAATCTTCTACAAAGTATGCTGCATCATTGATATCTCCTGCATACGAAAAAACATCAAGCTCTGCCGTGCACGTGATCATAGCATGGGAAGCTTTAACCTTTAAGCTATGTCATTACTAAAACTTCCCTGGGGTTCATTGTTCGCTCATGACGATGGGTTCTATTCCGAGAAAGTATGACAACTGAGTGTGGCATTTGAACTAGTTTCTGCTCTACTGATCTCTGTATCTCACAATATAACTGTCCAATTATTCCTATAAAGTACATATCCCAAAGTGAAGAAATTAAAAAAATAAATGAAGCATTGACTTCAATGGAAGAAACCCAGCAATGTCTAGTAGGCTCTACAATCTTGTAAACGTATTGATTCTTCTTGTCTCTCTTGTGTTGCTGGAACACTAAGTCACCCCTTCAAGTGGCAATTCAAAGTCTCCGCTAGGCCACCGTAAGATCGCAGCTTTTGAAAAATCACTGTATTTCATGCTACCCAAAACCTTCCTACCAATTCTGAGGTAAATAGGAATATCACCATTCTTATCTTTGAATCCATTCTTCAAGGAGCTATTTATCAAAGTAGATAAAGTCTCTGAGTGAAGTAGATCCGTTAAGTTCATTGCTTTGTCCGTAGTCAGACCGACATACCTCTCAATGTCGTTGACTAACAATGAGTACCCGTTGTATTTAGAATACAAACTTTCATCTATTGGTGATAATAGTGTGGTATTGAGATCTTGCCAATTCAACATTCCAGAACTTGGATTGAAACCTTCAAAAGCCGGCGGGAAAATAATTCCTTGTGGATCATCTCTTCTTAATGAACCAGCGGTCTCTGCTATTGCAGCCAATCCCCATCTAGATGCCCCAGATAAGAATAGACCCAAGAGTATACCCTGGAACATCAATGCTGTTTTACCTCTTGTAGCACAGCCAGGTATTAACAACATTGCTAATATGTAATGATGTATCCTTAACGTTAGTCCAGGAAGTGATGCCACGAGGACTAAACCTACGACAAACAAGGCATAGATCATTAAGTACTTTCTAAACCTCCCTGAGAGCCAGATCTTATAAGCCTGGATGACAGCACAAGTGAAGATAAGCGATATTATCGATCCCACTGCTATCAATGCACCTGGTTGAGTTTGGAGATCCAGAATGGTCAATCTATCTACTGGTAATCGGTCAAAGGTAACATTATTCAATATACCCAACCAAAACAATGGATAGAAAAGGAAAAGTTTATACAATACCGAAGGTTTTCTAATATTCTGGCCCTCTACTTCACCATCTGGAATTGATAATGTTTTCGAAACTGAACAATGCCATAATACGTATAGAATGAAACATGTGGGTAAAAATCTACCCAAGCACAACGATATCAAGTCAGCAAAATTCTCCATATTTGAGGCATCCACTGTCCGTGGAGGGTCGGTTGCTAGTGCAATAGTCCAAAATCCAACGGTTGTAATTGTCCAGAACGTTACTGAACCCGAGGCTAGGTACACAATAGGCAAGCCTAAAAAGATATTAATTACCAAAATTAGCAATCTTGGATCGTAGCATTGCAGATAGTTACTCTTCAATTCTTTGAACGCAAATGATGATTGGAAAAAGGAAAGAAATGGGATGGATACATCAACTCCGTAATGACCTATGGTGGAAGGAAACAGAGGTTGACCCCCAACATACTTTATTCTGGTACAACCCCCAAAAAATGGCGAGATGGTCCCGCTGTGAATGGCTGCTCCACATGGAAAGGAATCTGAACGATAAGGACGAGAAATGAATGATCTGCCCTCTGGATCATCGAGGTCTTTGGACATTTGCAGTTTCTCCAATGATCCTCCTCCAACGTAATATCCTCTATACTTGATAAGCTGGTCACCAACAGGGAGGAATGAGAAAGTAAATGACCCCCGATCACAAAGGGCCGGACATCTAAATACCACCTCCTTATCTTGGAAAGATGGACAAAGCTCTCCATTAAAGCCACATTCTCCATTCTTACCATTCCAAAATGATCCCTGTGAGAGACATGATATCGGGATTACCACCGAGTCCGGATCTTCAAGATCAGAGGGTGGGACAGTCAAATATGGTATAAGAATATTGAAGCAAATCAAACTCCATAGCGACAAATATATAATTAGGCCCACGATCTGAAACTTCTTTGGAATAATCTCCTTCAACCGGAAGGGGAATGCTTCCAACTTCGGAAAATATCGTATCGGCCTAGGAGGGTTATCCTTGGGCAGTGCAGGGCCCTCCCATATCTTTAAAATAAATAAAAGTGGAAGAAAGAGAAACTTCTTTCTATTGTCTATGTTTTCCATCCACTGGGGCTGTACGGGATATCCATCCCCTGCCTCAATTTGCTCTCCTTCCGAGCCAGGTTCCAGCAACAAGCTGGCACCTTCTCGTGTATCCAGATTTGCCAGCTGCTCTCTGAAGCTTTCATCTACGTACATATCTGCAGACAGCGGAGAAGGTGATAGGTCTTCCAACTCTATACCATATTTATTCCTGGAAGTTATCTCTGTTTCATGTGCCATAGTCATTCAAAATTTCTGTTCAAATTCTAGTCGTGTGACATGAAGCTTATTTTGATCAAGTACTAAGTTACAACTGTCAGCTTGGAGTTCAGGGCCTAGCAGTTATTTTCTGAGCTATGTACAATTAGGAGCTACAAAAAGTTTAGGTCGAGTGGAATAAATGTCAATAAAGAGTTCACCAGGTGAAAAACTGTAAAACTAGATAAACGTAAGATGTCGTGAGTATCTCCGAGAAATACGAGAAAAATGGAGCAGGTGGTAGTGTAAGTATTAGAGTTATGCTGATGGAGCAATATGTGTACCATGAGCACTTAGAATTGCACCGCAGCAAAACTTTATTATTTGGAAGGAGGTTCTCGATTCTGCCATTATTGGTGCCAAGAAGCGATGGAAGCTATTCCCTTGTGTCGCTTTTGGTAATTGTACTCTTGCTTATGCCTAAACGCATAGCGCTTAGCGTATGGAAAATAATATTTTTTCCGCCAGACGCCGGAGACGCTGGTGAGCCTTCGTAGTGCAACACCGAGCCTTCTCTCTTAGTTGTATGCTAACCTGGTGATACACTTGGTTAGACCTATATTGCTTTGTGAATTAGCATGAAATTCGCTATTTACAGCGCAAAGTACGCTGGTGATGCCAGTGAGTCTAAAAAGTATAGCACCGAATTATATTCTTTTGCATGCTGATAAGCTACACCGAATCTTTTGCCTGCTTGTACGCTAAATCCGCTGAAAACTATCTGAGTAAATCTACAATGTGGGGTTGGTAACTTTACATAAAATTCATTTATTAGTGTACAAAGTAAAATAGAAGCAAATTTAGTATTGAAAGTCTTCCTTCTAACCTGAACACATAGTACATGATTCAGGGTTGTCAATTGCACAAGCAATTACTTTAGAACTGAAAATATCTGCTTCAGACTCTTCAGTAGCTTCCCCTGAAGTAGCAGCAGTGTCTTCTTCCTTGACTTCTACTATATCATCAATAGACTTATCTTCAATCTTTAAGTCAGCAACTGAGTTTTCGATTGAAGTTGGTTCGGTGGATGGAGATCTGGCAGAATCAGTATCACTTGTAGTTGTAGCGGAATTTCTGGCAATGTATTTTCTTTGTTTTAATTTATTTAATGATGCAATGGTATTACCTGCGGCTTTAACAGAATCTTGATCAACAGTAAATTGAATAGCGGCAGCTGCTGCTTGTGTTCTCAAATAGTACATACCAGTCTTTAAACCCTTCTTCCATCCATAGAAATGCATAGAGGTCAACTTACCCATAGTTGGATCCTTGATGTGAATATTTAATGATTGAGATTGATCAATAAATGCTGCTCTGTCTGCAGCCATATCAATAATATGTTTTTGAGAGATTTCCCAAACAGTTTTGTATAAGGCTTTGATTTCATCCGGAACATTGGCTAATCCTTGAACTGAACCATTGTTAGAAATAATGTTGTTCTTCATGTTATCGTTCCAAAGACCCAAGTCAACCAAATCTCTTAATAAATATGGGTTAACAATTTGGAATTCACCTGCTAAGACTCTTCTTGAATAAATATTTGAGGTGTAAGGTTCGAAACACTCGTTGTTTCCTAAAATTTGTGAAGTAGAAGCAGTTGGCATTGGAGCAACCAATAATGAGTTTCTTAAACCATGCTTTGCTAACTTAGCCTTTAATGAATCCCAATCCCATAATTCGGTTGGCTTTCTATTCCATAAATCAAATTGTAATAAACCCTTGGAAGCTGGGGAACCTTCATAGGTCACATAAGGACCTTCAGTTTGAGCCAATTCAATGGACGCTTCAACAGCACCATGATAAATGGTTTCGAATAATTGAATATTTAATTCCTTGGCTTCTGGTGAGTCGAATGGCAATCTTAATGCCATGAATGCATCAGCTAAACCTTGAACACCCAAGGCAATTGGTCTATTTCTCTTATTTGAGTTTTCAGCTTCTGGAACTGGGTAATAGTTACGGTCAATAATTCTATTCAAATTTCTAGTAACAATCTTTGAAACTTCATGTAATCTTTCGAAGTTGTACCATGAACTATCACCATCCTTTTCAACGAATGATGGTAATGCAATGGAAGCTAAGTTACAAACAGCAACTTCATCTGGTGCAGAGTATTCAACAATTTCACAACATAAGTTGGAAGACTTGATGGTACCCAAGTTCTGTTGGTTGGTCTTTAAGTTACAGGCATCCTTATATAACATAAATGGAGTACCAGTTTCAGTTTGTGCTTCCAAGATGGCGTACCACAATTTTTGTGCCTTGATGGTCTTTCTACCCTTACCTTCACGCTCATACTTTTCATATAATTGCTTAAATTCGTCACCGTAAACTTCTGGTAAACCAGGAGCTTCGTTAGGAGAGAATAAGGTCCATTCACCATTTTGTTCAACTCTTTCCATGAATAAATCTGGGATCCACAATGCAGGGAATAAATCTCTAGCTCTGATTTCTTCCTTACCGTGGTTCTTTCTGATATCAATGAAGTCGAAGATATCCGCGTGCCATGGTTCCAAGTATAAGGCAAAGGCACCAGGTCTCTTATTACCACCTTGGTCTACGTATCTAGCAGTGTTGTTAAAGACTCTAACCATTGGAATGATACCGTTGGAGGTACCGTTAGTACCAGCAATGTAAGCACCGGTAGATCTGATGTTATGGATATGTAATCCAATACCACCAGCACTCTTAGAAATCAAGGCACAGGTCTTTAAAGTGTCATAGATACCATCGATGGAATCTTCCTTCATGGCCACGAGGAAACATGAGGACATCTGAGGGTTAGGGGTACCGGCGTTAAATAAAGTAGGAGAGCCATGGGTGAAGAATCTTTGAGACATCATGTTATAGGTCTCAATGACTCTTTCGATGTCATCACCGTGTATACCCAAGGCGACTCTCATAATCATATGTTGAGGTCTTTCAGCTACCTTTCCGTTGATTCTTAACAAGTAAGATCTCTCCAAGGTCTTAAAGCCGAAGTAGTTGTAGTTGAAATCACGGTCAAAAACAATTGCCGAGTTCAACTCGTCAGCGTGCTTTTGGATAATTGCATAAACTTCATCAGAGATCATAGGAGCGTGGGAACCGGTCTTTGGGTTGATATATTCGTATAACTCCTTAGACACTTGAGAATATTGCTTTGTAGTCTGCTTGTGTAAGTTGGAAACAGCAATTCTAGCAGCTAAAATAGCGTAATCTGGATGGATTGTGGTCATGTAAGCAGCAGTTTCAGCAGCTAAGTTGTCCAATTCAATGGTGTTGACACCTTGATAAACACCGGAAATAACTCTTTGTGTGATGGCAACAGCGTCGACATGATCGGTATCTAAACCATAACATAATCTTTGCACTCTGGCAGTGATCTTATCGAAACGGACTGGCTCCTTGTGGCCATCTCTCTTATAAACATACATGTCTTCTTAATATACTTAAATTAGAGTTTAGAAAATTCTACTTAAGAGAAAGAAAGAGAATGTTTTATCACTGTTACAAAATTTTTTATAACTGAAGGATGCCTGCTCCGTTTTATAGACGCGTAATATCAAAAATCAAAACAAATAAATTAATAATCTCACGCGTGACTTTGCTAGATTTCAGAGGTTTAATGCGCGTTACCCGATATACGGATTATTAATTGTAGGGAAAAATCAGGATCTTTGTTTACATTTCGGTGGCAGTGTTTTGATTCTGCAGCTTGAAATTTAAAATGTATGGAGACGTGTAAGCTCAATGTTTTTGATTTAGACGTGTTAGGTTGTTTTGGAAAGTTGCGTGAAGCGCCATATCTTAAGTGGTATGCGGGAGTGTGATCGAAGTGTGGAAGGTCAATAATGAGAAGGGGGAGGTCGCAAGAAGGCAAGAGGGTCGTTAACTGAGTCAGGGTTCCTGTTACATAGAACGATCCGTAGAGCACGTGCCTATGATAATGTAAACACTATGAAGGAAAGGGATATTGCATGGTGCCCTACTGCTCTCGAGGATTCATGATGGTTGAACTCTTATATTTATTACTATTATTCTTTTTTTTTTTTTTTTTTTTGTATATATTTTGTCTTGCCTTTGCCTTAGCCTTTGTTCATGCTCAGATCACCATGCGTAAGCCGTACGCTAAATGATGTCCGAGAAGGGAAATAGCAGAGTGAGTAGAAACGGAGATTTGCAAATATTTTATGTATGCATGGATTATATAGAGTACCAGCTTCTTGAGGCGCCTGTTTTGATACTGATACCAGGTTGAGCAGTGCTTGTTGCATTCTTTTAGCACACTATGGAAAGATTTCGAAATCGGACAGAGAAAAAAAAAATAATATAAATAAAAATATAATTTACAGATACGCTACCGGCCGATAGTCACGTGCCTCAACAGAGCTGGTTTTAGAGTGTGATCAGTAGCCAAGTTATGTCTATTCTACAAGGGCCAACTACTCTAGGTTGGATAGCCTACATACACTTTGACAAAGTGACTTTTCATCTTCTTCGTCTGCTTCATCTTCTTCGTCTTTTTCATCTTCATACATTCCTTGTACCTACTTATCTAAAATAAATTTTTATATTACCTTTCAATTGTTTAGTATCCATGTCGCATGAATCAATTGCGTTTGGTATGTCTGGTCGAATCACTACTTGGATTCTTCCTTAGATAAATCACTAGATGTTTGTTAGTACGCCTACTGGCTAAATTAAAGTGAAAGAGAGTCGAATAATACTTACTTGACCCACTTTTCCAAGTCAAAGTCTTCTTCCTTAGAAGCTGAAACAGGAGCTGGGGTTGGTGTTGGAGTAGCCTTGGCATCTCCACCACGAGGGTATGCAATAACACCAGCAGCAGTACCCAAAGTAAGAATTGCAAGCTACAAACTGTTAGTATATCCAAATTCTATAAAAGTCAAAGAGACTGCACATAACCCGATTCTCCATGTTCGGAATACCTGCATAGAGTATTAAGTTCATTCATGGCCAAAGGTCACCAAAGCTCCATCAGTAGCTACAGTTAAGGTGACTTTCGCTGGTTTTAATGTGATTTTTTTGGCGAATGAATCCGAGATGTTTCTCAATCCCGCCAAAAGATACAAAAACAGAGCAAGGGAAGAGACTGGAACTTCTATCCGAAGTGATCGCTTATGTGTACTCATTGGACTGGATTCATGTGTCTAGAGGAAATATTATAATATCTTAGTATATATATATCACTTCAACATACAATGTGTGATGGAACTTGTTTTCCGAAAATAGTGTAAGCAGCACCCATTGTTATATAATTCAATTGATTCAATTAAGTAAAGAAGAAAACGTCCTTTAACTCAAGTACCCAAGAGCTTCAGTTTTTTTCTCCCACTAGCAATCCATATTGCATTTTAATTTGATAGTGGGCATCTGTATATGCAGGATTACCAAGTAATTGTATACACTACTATGTTCGTATGGGGGTATAGGCCAGTGTAGATGCAAACTATGATGTTCATGATATAAATAGTGTGTCTGTATATCCTATGAAGTCATTCTTGCGAATTAACAGTGGATGTTGCTGTATGGAAGCTTAGAAGTATATGATATAGAAAACTTGTGTCATATACTTTTATGGGTCAGTGGTATTACAGGAAGACGCTTTGTATAGAAACGACTGAGCTATCAATTGGTATGTAAATATGTAGGAGTTACTATATGTATGTGGTTTCGCTCAGATTACACTGTAGCAAGAGAATGCATAAGAATCTTTTTCCTTCTCTCATTTTTATACTCCTAGGGTTAATTATGCTGAACATGCCCCTTCCTTCTTTTTGGTAATGGCTCGACCTTTACCCTCCACCTAAGCCAAACTTGCTTGTCTCCAGTAGTTTTCAACGTTAAATCTATTCAATACCTGCAATGCTTCGTTATCATCTTGCGATCTCATTATTGACCATTTTTGAAAAAGTAAATCTTTAGTTTGCCCTTCCCAAATGATTTTACATGTATTATTGGATAAATCTGGTGGGATGTAATCATCAGGAAGTTCAACTTCGTCACTTTTTGGTGCAACATACTCTTTCCAATCTATTCGCCTTGTTAACAATTTTTTATAAAAGTTAATATTCTTCAAGCCTCCTTGAACAATTATCAAATTAAACTTAGGATTTAATAGACAGATCCCCATCAATTCTAGTTGTTTGGCATTGATGTCCAATTTGTAGAAGTTTTTAGTGTTGGATAGATCTTCTATTTTGTAAACAGTAGTAAAGTATCCCTTACTTAAGTCTTCCAAATTCTTCTTATGGGCTTTCAGATGAACTTCGTCCTTGGTCAATTTTCTTGCTTCATTTTCTCTCATATGATTTTCAAACCTTTCTTGGACTTCTTCTCTAACTTTCATTTCAATACCCGTGGGATCTTGAATGGCCTCATTGGTTAACACATTCATTAAATTAGACAATTTGATCTTGGGTGGAGGTGGAGGATCCAAACCAAGTTTAATTCTATCCTGCTTATCCTTATGTTTAGCAACTCTATCGTTTCTTCGTATTCTCTTCCTTTCCTTCTTAGTTAAATGCATTGGTTTGGAATGCTGGGGTAAATGCATTTCCCAAGGTGCTGGTATAAAGGAAGGATGCTGAATGTAATGTGAAATAGGAGCCAATTCGTTATCATATTCAAGATTAGAAGCACTCAAGTCATCATAATTTCTGGTCTTAAAATAGGGTTTATCCCACCATTCTACTGGGGGAGGGTAAGTTGGCTTATAGAACTGTTCACCGATATTTTCATCAGCAGTCAACCCATTTTCTTGGTATGTCCGCAACCTGTCTTGTTCTTCTTTCTTTTGTTGAAGTTTTGCTCTCATTTCATTACCCCTGGCAATATACTTGCCCTTTTCAACAAACTGTAACGCTCTACTGGGTCTACTGCTCGCGAGATGAGAATCTGACTGGTTAAGATACGGGTTTATGGAACTCGGGTCAAACCACGATTTAACATTCTGTTTTAATGGGTTTTTGGAGGACGTTAGCGACGTTACGGGGAGTGTTGTCCTGAGAAGAGGATGTATTTCTACATCAAGTCCTCCATTGCCCTTGACTGATCCTTCCAGAGTTGCATCTTGAGATGACCCATCCTCGTGCAATACTTTGGCTCGTTTCTGCAATAGCCTAGCCTTAGCCTTGGCGATAGCATCGGAGTTACTTGTACCTCTGCTATCATACGATCTTTTCATTGTCAGAAGCGCTGGTAGTGTATATATCCCCAATCACCTATTTTATCCGATACTTCTGTGTTTATACCCTCTGCACCATTGCATACCTTTTGTTTTTCGCACGTACTAGAGCAAACACAACCTGGATGAGATGGAGTAGCAGAGCGCAAGCATTTTGTGCGCACTGGTTTGCATATCCCCGTCTCTGTACTGAAATTGTACCTTTCAAATACTTTACTGTACCTTTCTTTTGAACGCCCACACCAAAGGAATTGATATTAGGAGTATAGTATACTGGACTTCAATTCACACTAGGCTATACAGAGCATCCATTATAGCTTATAGGGCAAAACTATACAACCTGAGCAAGCAGAGAAGAAAAATAAAAGGAAGACAGTTAGCAAGAGCATCAATCTACAGAGTTTTTGCTTACTTAGCCAAATCAAAAATCAAATAGAACTGCAAACCCCATTCCAACCAAAAAAAAAAAAAAAAAGCACCAACCCACCCTAGTAGTTGCTATTTTCTTGTTCTTTCCTGTTTCATTATATATCACTACTGACTACTATACACATAGTATCCTTTTTACTTAGCATCATTTGCATTCAAATAACATGATCATTTCTAAAAGAAATTACCTCGAAAAAATGGAGATGGCAAAGCCCTTAAAGGGTTTCATAGATCAAATTTTGAATTGTCCAGATGAGGAATTGGCTACCCTTTTGAACTCACAGACAACATGGGAAAGACCAACAGGTGACTTGTTCCACTGGGTCCCAGTGTTGAATCTGTTTGACCAGATGTTTGCCTGGTATATTAAAAAGTACTCTTTGGATGAAGAATACCCAAAGTTGAAATTATTCGAGCGTGAAGATTCGGAGAGGGCTGTTGCTTGCTTAAGGTTTACAAGTTTACTATTTGAACATTGTACGAATAGATCGATATATGGTAGCACTGACAGATTGCACTGCTTAATCAACACTCCTGATATCGATGTCTTACTAGCAACGTTGGATTTGTTATTAACCATCAATACCAAATTTCCTACGACCAAGGCAACCAAGCAGAAATTTTTAAAAATTGCCAAAGTATACCCTCCTCCTGTCCCAACCCTGTTCAAAGTTGAACCTTCAAAGGACTCCTCGAACTCATCAAGCGAGGAGAAGGACATAAACGAGCAGTACAGTTTACTAGATACATTGGGAAACAAGAAATATCCCTCAAAGTGGAAATCTGTGCATTTCCAATACTTTAATGAAGCCAAGAGAGAAGAAGAACTGAAAAGGGCCAAAAAAAATAACAAAAAGAGAAAGATAGAGAAGGCTGAAGGTAAGGAGGTATCACTGGATCCATCTCCCAAGAGTGGTACTGGGGCCTCAGGAATTACTACATTTTCCTTGTCTGAAGAAAAAGTCAAATCACTTAGTCTTGAAGAGATTTTTGAAAAAGGCTGCGCTGTCATTCCTCAGGAGTTCTGGTATGACTTTGCACTCCACACTCTTACAATTAAATCTTTCAGTTCGAAACAGCCAAAGGCAATGAAATTGAGAGAAAAATTGTTACAAATGAAATGCCTCAGTATAGGTTACATCTCACGTCATAAAGATTCTGCATCATCCAGATTGTTTGAAACGCAGCCATTCATTTTCAGCTTCTTGGTTGACTTGATCCAACCAGAAAACTCTAAATTAGTCACCGACGAAGTGTATAGCAGTGCTGTAAGAGCCTTAGAAAGTATTTCATCGATGCGCACCGCACTTGGTAGTGATCTCTTAAGGTGTCTTGGAGGAAATGTGAGTCATGGAATTATGTTCCAGTGCATCAGAAATATTAATAAGAAAGTTGTTAATGAGGACCCAAATCTAAATGAACAAAACTATATTCACTTTTTTGATATGTTAGGTAATCTAATTGAACTGAAAACTTTGGTGCCAAGATTAGTTTCCGGTGGATTACTAACCGACTTAATGTCTTTTTTGAATATCAAATCGAAATATAGATGGTTAACCTCTGCCGCAATGCATTTGATAGTTTTACTATTGGAATTTTCTCCAGAAAGTTTAAATGAGTTTATCAATAGTGGGGGCTTTCAGAAGTTAATAGATTCTGTCAAATCTGAGGTAAATTTTGCATTGGAAAATCCAAATTATGGGGGAGGTGCACCAAAGGATGCCATTGTCTACTATTCGATTACTTTCAGACAGGCCAACTATATTAAAAATTTAATTGGGCTAGTTCTGCAATTAATTCAATCGGATGCTGGTGATAGGCTAAGAAATTTGTTCGATTCGCCATTATTGAACTACCTCAATGCCATTTTGCTCAATCCAAATGTGTTTGGTCCTACTATTCTTTCATCCACTATTGATGTTGTCTTTTACATCATTCACAATGAGCCTACTGCATATTCAATCTTAAATGAAGCAAAAGTTATTGATACCATATTGGATAACTTTGAAAATATCTTTTTGCCCAATGGAGCTTTATTAATGAGTTTACCTGAAGTTTTGGGAGCTATATGTTTGAATAACGATGGTTTGAAAAAAGTTATCGAGAAAAACTGCATTACTAAATTTTTTGATTCCTTCTTTGACTTGAGGTTTGCAAAAGAAATGGCGAAAACTGATCTGTCGACCAACATAGGGTGTTCAATAGATGAATTAGGTAGACATTATCCAGCTTTAAAACCGGTAATAATGAAGGAAGTTAAAAGAATTGTAAAAGATTTACCAAAATATGCTAATGAAATTCTCCCTGGTATACAATTCTATCAACATCCTACAGGCAATCTATTCTTGGGACTGAAGGAAGTAACAGTCGAAGATGAAGCTGATAGACATGAAATATATAACTGGGAGGCATGTGAACAAGCATACATTATCGACAATGCATTTTTCTTCTTCGGAGGATTGTTTCAAGACAGTTCACTGTGGGGAGAGCTTGCAATTACAGAACTTTCATATGAAGATTGGACCAATTTTTTAACTATCAGTAATGCTCCCTTCGATTATACTACGTCTGATTCATTTTCATGTCTAATAGATGTTTTGAAATATTTTGACGAGGAAAAAGGTGACTATGGTTTACCTCCTTTGATAAAAATTATAATGAAGAAAATGGAAAGCTCTCTAGTGCAAGCATTTATTCATTATGAAGACAATGAAACGTCATTTTTTGAGCAAGAATCAGAATCACTAACACAGATATTAAAGGAAATTAATACCTTAAATGTTCTCATGTATACCTTAACTGAAATTTATGTAAATCCAGGCTCAATATATTATGAAAGGGTTCATCAACTCGGTACTTTATTTGGTACAAATGAAGGAATTCACTTAATTGAAGAGTTTGGATTATTATTAAGAAGATGTATGATTGAAGAAATCTTGATTAGAACAAGATTACCAAAAGAGGTTGTTATGCAAACTGCTCCTTTAATTGAGGAAGCGGGAAGTGCTTCTTCTTTCCCCCCAGCTCAAATATTCTCTGAAGAGCCAAAGACCTCAACTTTGAATCCTGAAAAGCAAGACACTAGTGCCAAGTTCAAAAATACTTTGCAACTAAGATTCCTTTTCTATAGGTTTCAAAACTATGTTTCCACCATATATTGCTCATTGGGAAGAGTTCTCATGATTAAGAAACAAGATTATCTTGAAGCTGACTGGAGAAAGGGTGTTGTTAGACTTACTTTAAAAATCTCCGAAATTTTCACGGAGTTGTTGAACACAAATTTTCATTCTCGTATTGAACACGAAGAACCATTTTTGTTAGTGTTGATACATATTGCATTATTTTGTATGACTCACAAAGAAACTCAAAGATACACGGGAAATGAATGTGTTCAATGTGGTTTAGTAATTGGTTTGTTCCAGAATGGATTCTTCAACAAGTTGAAGGATATCTCGCTTACATCCTATGATTCGTTGTTAAAAATGGATGTTGAAGAAGCAGATGCAACCAATGCATTAACTTACATAAATCAAAGCAGAAGCAGTATGCTTAAAAATATTTTAAGTCAATCACTTACTATATTTAGTGAGATTACCAATAGGAAGAGGTATTGGCCATTGCTTTCGGCTGGGCGTTATTTTCACGATGGATATCCAGATGACACTGAAGAGGCATTAATTTTAAGTTTATGCCATCAAACTAGGATAATTGGATTTGAACTATTAGACAAAATAGTTCATCATGAAATTGGAAATTTTCAAAATGTTCCGACTCCAATAGTGGAAATAGTTGTAGATATCGCTACTAACGTTTATGTTGTCGTTCCAAGGTTTGAACATGCGGAGGATTTTATTCCATTTGATGTAGAAAATGTGTCCCCTCCATCAAAGTTTTTAAATATTTTGACTACGGAGATGACTCAAGCTCAAGCTCAACATTATCTCAAACATGCAAAGAATTTGATAAACTTGTCCAAGGGAATTCGAGCTGATGATAGGAAAAGTTTTGTATCAGAAGAAACATGGAATAACCTAATAGAAAAAGTTGCGGAATTAGATAAAGATGATTTAGTAAGTATTCCAAAAACAACTTATAGAGCTAAAAAACTAAATGAATTATTGGCCACTAATGATAAGACTTTTGTGATTCAGTGGCTCCGAATGATTGAACATTATCCCAAATGTATTGATTCAATGAGCACCTTAGTTGTTGGAGCTCGTTATAAGTATAGAGTCGAAGACACTAAGCTTATTTCATCATACTTGTATGACCTATACGACGAAATAGCTAACGGTACAAAAGAAAAGAATAAGCAAATGAATTTGATTATGAAATTATTCTCAAAACGACTTGATGATAACGATGACAATAGAGAGAACAATGAAAAATTCAAATCATTTATTTGTAATTGTTTGAAGCAAAAGGATAATTTGAATCAAGACTGGATTGCTGATGGTTTGTTACTTATTGAGAAATTTTTAGTATGGACTAGCTTACCCGTTGAGGAAAGGACTGAAGTTTTGAGTGACCAAAAATGGGTTGAGCTTCCTCCCTACCAAATGAGTAAAGCTGAATTTGATAGCATTTTAACACAATTGGTTGAAATTGATATTCCGAGTGTATCAAATATAAGGACAGCTATATCTTTAAGTAGAATATTCACGTTGAATGCTGGAAATCCTATCGTAACTAGAAAAATCTTTGCAATAGTAAAAGATTTTATAAAGTTGAATAAGCTGATTCAGCATGAAGACCGCTCTGTAATTCAAGAGTACTTCCTGTGCTTGACATGTCTCATTAGAAGATGCTTTGAAACAATGGAAGTGTTAAGAAGTATAATGACTTCTGAAGTTGCTTCGGTCGGCCGTAACAACTTTAGAGTGTCCTCAGATCTTCATGGCATTCTCATAGAGACAAAAGATCTAGCTTTTAGGGATTATGAATTGTTGATTGAGTTGTTGAGTAAAGAATTAAGAATTGAAAATTATGATGGCTTACCAATATTTTCAATGAAAGTATTCAAGGTGAAAGAATCCAATGCAGGTAAATCTTCGGATACTCCAATGGAGGATGCAGTTACCGAAGAGACTCAGGCTGCATCAGAACCTAGTTTCGAATCGTCGGGAATTGTTCAAGTACTTGTATCTGAGCTAATGGATAATTTTAAAGGTCTGAATTGGACTTCTGATCCACCAGAATTGAAAGAAGAGATGGAAAAGAAAGCTAAAGAGGATGAAAAAGCAAATAAAATCATTCTGAAGAAGCAAGCCAAAGAGCTAAGAGAAGCTAACGTTTTCAGAAATAAAAGCTTTTCTTACATATGCTTTTTGCTTCAAACAATAACAGAGTTGGTAAGTTCATACAAGCAACCCAAACTTGAATTCATTACCTTTTCCAAGAAAGGCAAAGATGAACTGAGGAAGCCAAGATCTACAGCTTTGAATTTTTTAATCCACCAATTGATTTCAACTCAACAACTTCTTCCTAAGAATGTCACTGATACTACAGTCGGTTCTGAAAATGAACGTAAAGCTGCAGTTGCATCGTTATCTAAATTATGCATCCTTGGGTTAATTTCCACACCTATTCTTGACGAGAAAAATACACCAATTGCAACTAAAGAAGATACAGATATGGCCTTTATTAGAAAGTTTTATGTCGATATCTTGCTGAAAATCTTCAAAGAAACTAATGATTCTATCAACTTGACACCTACTTTACGATATTCTAAGTTTATGGATCTAGCTGATTTGTGCTCTTCACTTATCTCAAATAAATTTAGAGATTTGATGGGTCCGGTTTTGAATAAAAATGCAATCAAATATGATACCTATTATCTTGGAAAAGCCATGATTGATAAACAAATTCCAAATCAAATAAGCTCCATTGCAGCAGACTTTGACCTTAATTTCCCTAATATCGACAAGGTGATCAAGATTTGTCTCAAACCTATCTCATTCATTGGTAAAATAAAGACTGAATATCAGTCATTTTTTGAAGAGGAAAATAAGCATCATCTTGATGGCGGTGGGGGCTACGAAGATGACGATATCGTCGTATCAGAAGATAATGAAGAAGATGGGAGAGACGAAACTCCTGATTTGTTCAGAAATTCGACGTTAGGTATGTATGATGTCGAATCAGATAGTGAAGAAGACGATGAAGATAATGAATTTGACTTTTATGATGATAATGGCCCACTTGAAGTATTAATGGATGGAGAAGACGTTGATGTTGAAGATGACGAGGATGACGATGATGATGAGGATGACGATGATGATGACGACGATGATGAGGATGACGATGATGACGATATGGAAGATGATGAAGGTGATAGTGGGGACATTGATATGGATGAAGAGTTAGACTTCCTGGGACGTCAAGGTTTTGTTAGAGATATTGACTTGATAGATGTCGTGTCCGATGAAGAGGACGAGGATGGAGATGAAGGTGACTCGGTAGTTGATGACGAATTAAATCTGGATGAAAATTCTGATTTCTATGATTTTGATGAAGGTGAAAGTGTTAGTGAATATGACGATGATGAATTAGATGGATGGATTGAAGCTTTCGAAAGTGATGCTGATGCTGATGAGGTGGATGGCTTAGATGCTGATGAAGATTCTAGTGTCATCCGAAGAACAGCGATTATCAACAATGCGAGATCTTCGAGAGGTAGGACTAGTAGTTCAGGAAGTGTGAACTCTCACAGCCACGGTTTAAGAGGTGAATATGCAGACGACAGTGATGCAGGCGACATTGGAGTAGAAGATAACTCCGATGAATCCGATGGTGAATCAACTTCCTTCAGAGCGATTGAATCAAGAGCCAGAGGACGAGATTTTGCAAACACCTTTTTTGATGCAATATTGCCCGTTGGTGCAGAGGCAATTGGATATGTTGGCGTAGGAAGTAATGGTATGTCAAGAATATTTGGGGGCTCATTTAGTGAAAATGGTGATGATAATAGATTATTGAGAGGCTCTATTCAAATAGGTGGAAGTGGGACTGCTAATGCGGGTACTGGTCGTGCTTCTGGTCTTAGAGGAAGAGGTATTCATGGTTTCGAACGGACCATTGAAAGAATTTTGCTAGGTACTAACATTAGAAAGCCCACCCGCCCTGATGATCCTTTAAACAACATGTACATTAAATCTACAAGAGAACGCTGGAATGAGACATTTAAAAAGTGCTATGTACCATTTACATTCAATGCTGAATTGGCCATTGCTCCAAAAATTCTCAATTTAATTAGTGACGAGAGCTTAAATATATATAGGGAAAAGAAAGAAAAAGAGCAATTATTGAAGAAAGAGCATGACGAAAAGATGAAGAAAAGACAAGAAGCAGAAAGAATCAGAAGAGAAGAAGAAGCTAAAGCAAGAGAGTTGCAGGCTGCAAATGACCCTTCTCTGGTGCAAGAACCAATTATGGTAACAATCGGCGATAGGGAAGTTGACATTAGTGGAACTGATATTGATCCTGAATTTTTTGAAGCTTTACCAGATGACATGAGAGAGGAAGTATTCACCCAACATGTCAGGGAAAGAAGGGCTAATGCGAATATTACTGGAGAGGACACAAGAGAAATCGATCCAGATTTCTTAGACGCATTGCCGGACCACCTCAGAGAAGAAATCTTACAGCAAGAGCTTATGGCCAGAAGGTTCAATGCCATGGATGATATAGACGATGAGGATGATGATGATGACGAAGATGATGGTGGAGAAGAACATGAGAATGGGGAAGAAAACATCATTCTTGGCGAAAGTTCCAGATTGGAAGATGGAACAGCAGCTACGGAAGGTACGTCTGCTACTGGAGAAAATGGTTTATCTTCAACTACTCCTGCTGGAAAAGCAGCTCCTACGTCCAAAGCCAAAAGGAGCTTCTTCACTCCTTTAGTTGAACGTTCAGGTGTTGCTTCGTTAATTCGTCTCCTCTTCATTCCTCAACCTATGAATCAAAGGGATTCAATCCATCAAGCCTTGGAGCACCTTTGCCACAATAAGCAGTCTAGGGCTGAAGTTATAAATTTACTTATATCTATTCTCCAGGATGGTTTGCATAGTCAGAAGTCTATTGAAAAATCTTTTGCACAAGTTTCCCTCCGAGCTAGATGTGGAAAGTCAAAGCCAGAGGGTAATTACCAATTTCCATTGGGAGGTACACCCGTCGTAATTGGTAATCAGATTATAGAAGCAGTTTTACATTTATTGGATAAAAACGTTCATATTAGATACTACCTTTTAACTGAACATGAGAATGTGTATAAGAAGAAGGGCTCAGCTCATACGACTGTTGGAGCCAAGGAATCCAAATACCCAATCAATTATTTACTTGGCCTTTTAGAGAATGATTTAGTCAAAACAGAACAGCCGTTCATGGATATTTTGGCTCTGGTTTTCCAACTTGCAACAAGACCATTACATATTTTAAAGAAAGTTAAGAATTCCAAACCACCTTTCGCTCCGCCATTCATTCCCGATCACAATTTCCGTTTATTGATTCAAATATTAGTTTCTCATGATTGTTCCAAGACAACTTTCAGGACTACTATCAGTACCATGCAGAACTTAAGTGTCCTAAAAAATGCTCAAAGAGTGTTTTCTCTTGAATTATCTGATCAGGCAACGTCTTTAGGGAAAACTCTAATTAGTGACTTGAATGCATTAACTACTGAAATAGTGAATGTCAGCTCCTATGATACCGAAGGGACTTCATTTCCTAAGTTTAGTGCATCATCCTCAGATCAAGCCAGATTGCTTAGAATTCTCACAGCGCTTGATTATATGTTTGAATCAAAAACTAAAGATGAAGATGAATCTAATACACTTTCTGGGGCTGATGACGATGAAATAGAGGAGTTAACGGGCTTATATAGAAAACTTGCTCTTGGATCATTATGGGATTCATTAAGTGAGATTTTGCGAGTATTGGGTGAGAAGCAAGACATGATGTCCAACGTATCAACTGCATTACTTCCATTGATTGAATCATTGATGGTTGTCTGTAAACATAGCAAAGTTAAGGATTTGCCAATTAAAGAGGTTGTATTGAAATATGAGCCAACTCACAAAAGAATTGATTTCACTAAGGAACCCATAGAGAATTTATTCTTTTCGTTCACTGATGAACACAAGAAAATTTTGAATCAAATGGTTAGAACAAACCCAAATTTGATGAGTGGGCCATTCGGTATATTAGTGAGAAATCCAAGGGTCTTAGAATTCGATAACAAAAAGAATTACTTTGATAGAATGTTACACAGACTGAAGGATGAACACCAGAAATTATCTATAACTGTTAGGAGAGATCAAGTTTTCTTAGATTCATATAGGGCATTGTTTTTTAAACCACAAAACGAGTTTAGGAATAGTAAATTAGAAATTACTTTCAAGGGAGAAGCTGGAGTAGATGCTGGAGGTGTTACTAGAGAATGGTATCAAGTTTTATCAAGACAAATGTTTAATCCAGATTATGCCCTCTTTACTCCTGTTGCATCGGATGAGACTACATTCCACCCTAATAGAACATCATATGTTAACCCCGAACATCTATCATTTTTCAAATTTATTGGTAGAATTATCGGGAAAGCCATATTTGATGGAAGTTTCTTGGATTGTCATTTTAGTAGAGCAGTCTACAAACGGTTATTAAGTAGACCTGTGTCCTTGAAAGACGTTGAAACCTTGGATTTGGAATATTATAAATCATTATTATGGATGTTAGAAAATGATATCACCGATGTAATTACTGAAGATTTTTCAGTTGAGACTGATGATTATGGTGAACATAAGATCATTGAATTAGTCCCTAATGGAGCTAGCATTCCAGTTACTGAGTCCAACAAACAAGATTATGTGAAAAAGGTTGTTGAATATAGATTACAGACTTCTATCACAGAGCAAATGGATAACTTTTTGATTGGTTTCCATGAAATTATAAATAAGGACCTTGTTGCGATCTTTGACGAACAGGAGTTGGAATTATTAATATCTGGATTACCTGACATTGATGTTGACGACTGGAAAAACAATTCAACATATAGTAATTATTCACCATCTTCACCTCAGATCCAATGGTTCTGGAGAGCAGTGAAGTCATTCGATACTGAAGAGAGAGCCAAATTGTTACAATTTGCGACCGGTACATCAAAGGTACCATTAACTGGATTCAAAGGGTTAAGTGGTAGCAATGGTACTTGCAAATTCAGCATACATAGAGATTATAGCAGCACAGATAGATTGCCACTGAGTCATACATGCTTTAACCAGATTGACTTGCCAGCATATGAGCTGTATGAACAATTGAGAGGCAATTTATTATTAGCGTTAACTGAGGGTCATGAAGGATTCGGATTAGCTTAAAGAAACGATATAGTAAAAATGTACAAGAATATATAATAATAATTATTATGGAAGTTCTGTTATGAAGGAACGTTTAAATTAATAGAGACCCAAATGTTTACTTCATTAAAAAATGTAAGTCGTAGATTTTTATCCACATATATATATATATATATATAAATATAATGATAGTAATTTAGTATTTGCTAGCTTCAAGTTCTAATTGCTCTAGCGATGTCATATGTTCCACCATGGAAAGATTTCGTTTGCATATTACGTCTATTTCATCCGACCAAAGTCCCACTTCTCTAATCATGGCTTCAGGTTCAATAGTAATTCTACCTCTTTTGAAGACATATTTAGTTAATGTTATGCCATAGATCTTATCTCCTGTATTCTTTGGGCTAACAAATTTTGACAATATGAAGATCCACTTCTTATCCCAAGCAATCACTTTACTATGAATTTCAAACGATTGAAATGGTTTCAATTCATGTTTGAAGTGAGTCTCTACGCTTCCGACAGGAATATAAGGTACGTTGAGCAAAGACTTCCTTTTAAAAAGGCCACTTTCATTATCCATATAGCGATAAAATATCTTCTGGAAAACCTTTGTCAATAAGTCAGTCCTGGCAATATCCAAATCTAAAAAGTATGTCGAGTTTGATTTGTGAAGGTACATATCCACCTCCATCGGTGAGACATATGTTTTGAAGGTTTGTGGTTCGAATATTGCCAACTTGTCATCATCAGAATTGTTGGTGGGTTTCTTCACAGAGTATCCGAAGGTATTGAACTTACCATTCCTATGATAACGAATTTTTGGAATCACTATATTCTTGATAACTGTGGAGTAAAACCTAATAAGATAAGCAAAGGGAAGAGTCTTATAAGTCGAAGCAAGGAATGCAATCAACAAATATTTCAGAAATGTTGATAAAGGAGGCATTTCAGATGTAAATAAAGCACTCAATTGCAGCTTCAGAAGAAGACGAGTAAGTAGTACTATCACTCCTCTTCAATTGAGTTTCTTAGTAGTAATCAGTCAATGAAACTAGTAGACAAATGTTGGATTCTGCACACGTTCAAAAATTGTTAATGCTCTGTATATAGTACTGGTGTATCAAGCACATGCCATTAGTTTGTTTCTTGTGACATACAACTGTAATTGTAAGCACAGCCGAGGAAGATGAAATTATAGGGAAATATTATTTTTCACTATGTTGATGGAGATGGATCTTAGGGCACTAAATCTTTTTTTTCGGAAGTACAGCCCAACATGTTGATATCTGTGATTCTCTTTATAGTAGTTTCACTTGTAAGTAGTTTATACTTGTTATAAAATGTTCCTTCTTTTACACCATAAGTACTACCTTTTCTTTAAATAAATATTGGTATCTTGCTTGACTTACACTATTAGCGTTCTATTTAATTCGTCTTGGTACTATTTCACTGTTTTTCCTCATGTATTGTTGTACTTATACAAATTAGTTACATTAACGTACCAATTTTTGGACTATATACACACACCATAAATATAATTTATATATCATTTGCTTGCTTTTTATTCCTTCATGTTCTTCTCGAACCCTTCCATATCTATTAATTTACCCCGTTTGTCGTTTATTCATATTATTGCATGCATACTAATGCCATCATTTTGAAGATTTTTGGTTACTCTTCAAAATTTTTCATGATGCAAAGCCTTTTCTTCTATTTTTGATTTTGATGTTTGTTTTGATTCTCCTCTAGTGTTTTGCATACTCTCCAGCGTACGGGCAGCTATTCTTCTCGACGTGGTTTGATACCCATTCATCTACATTGTTGAAATGTTGGTGACAAGCTCTGCATGAACCTGCGACCTTGTTTCTTTGGTCTTTCTTAGTTCCTGTTGGGTATTGGAAGTGGATAGCCTTCAAATGGTTCTTGAATGTGTCACATCTTGAAAAAATACCGGTAGAATGACAACAGTGATCGCCGCTTGTATTGCTCTTAAAAGGACATTTAAACTGTCCCTTATCTGAGCCAGTCTCTTTCCAGTGACACTTGACATGCCTAAACAAATCATTGGGTCTGGCAAACCCTCTGCTGCAGTACTCGCAAACATGGGGCCTTGAAGTTGGCTTTAAGTGTGTAGATTTGTGGGTAGCAAGGTTGGAGAAGAACAATTTACATTCTGGGCACTGTCTCTTCTTGCGAGGTTTCCAAGTTGGTTTGGAGGATGAGTTCAATGCGAGGTTTGCTGTAGATAAGGCTGAATTGGCAGCTCCAACATCATCGTCGTGATCTTCTGAGCTTGAGCCGGGGCCAGCCGAACCAATTTCTTCATGAGCTGAACCATTATCAACAGACGAACCGAAAATCAGTATTGGTTGCGGAGACCCTCTCTCGACGATTTCGTTATTGAAAGAAACCGGGGACAACGGGGTTAAACCTTGTTGCACTGAAAACTGTGCAGGATCACTCAACAGTCTACTACGACTTGATGATGACGATGAGGCAACGGCACAGAGTGCTGACAAGCTGTCGGTGGCATTGTTTTTGAAAGATGGAGACAGTATTGGACTGACGAATGGCAAATGTGAGTGAGTTTGCTGCTGTTGGTGTGGTAGAACATTAACCTGTGGGATTGGCTGACTGTATACCATCCTTCTAGCTGCCAGTTGCTCGGAAACTGGTATTATTGCTTGTGGTTGTTGCTGCACAGCAGTTGCAGCATATTGTGGGTATGGATACAGAGACACTGGAGTCTGGAGCTGCCCATTGCTGTTGTTCTGATATTGATATTTAGGCACTGGCAAGTCCAAGTCCAAAGAGTGAATCGATGGAAGACGATAATGCACTTGGTTCGATGGGATTACGTAAGACATTATGTAATGGGTAGATTTATAGTACTACGTCAATTTATGGTTTGATTTCAGTTCGAATAAAGCACACGCCAGTATAAATTAAAAGGGTACTTGGAACTTGTAATATCAAACGTGAAGTGAAAATAAATATTGGAAAAATCGAAATATCCTACTTAGCCAGCAGCTCCTAAATCTTGGGATAAGTCTATCTTAAATATAAAGAAAATGATACTGAACCTTTTCTCGAGCATGGGCGAAGTTAGCTGGGAGCAAGCGGATCGGAAGGTGCACGGCTGAGATGGAATGAAACAAGTTCAAAACCCCCTTCTTACCGGGAAGGCTCTAAATATAGGTGACGGATTTTCTTGCGGTGGAATCTACCAGAAATTTGTCTCCTAGTAAGTGGCGAATTCATGTCTAAACAGATTGAAATTAGGCTATAACGAGGCAATGGCAACTTCGAGGGAAAGCAAGACAGAGTGCTTCAGGTCATTCCAATTATACTCGATTGCAAGATAGCGAAATATTATACCTCCGGCTCGTTCACAATTTACATTTGGGCTCTACGAGGATGAGCCATTTACTTTTTTCACTGCGGTAGAGTCCAGAATGCCTAAAATTCGCGAGCTCCTATTTCATTTTCTTTTTTTTTTTTGATTTTTTTTTGGGGACTTTTACTTGCATTATGGATTTATGGCCGATTGTTCGGACCCCACGGCTAGTGCAGCCGTTCCTCTAGTGGGTAAGCCTTAGCTAAGAAAATAATCATATTATTAAAATGAAACATAATTAGTGTAAAAAATACTACAACACTACTACAGATAATACTCTGGGACCTTACATTATGCTACAAACTGACTACATTCATTGTACAACTCTAGCACCACTCTTGAACAGACGAATAGAGGACTGCTGAGTAAGTGCTCATGGAATAGAGAACCAAAATTTATCGCCGACATTTTGATTTCTTTTTTTTTTTTCATCACATTTTTTTTTGTTTGTTATTTTACCCTCTGTTTAAGCTTTATCACTCCTCTTGGTGGGATTTCAAGAAATTACAAATATTCCCGTTTCTCTATACGTTAGTGTAGCTAAGCGTTCCATATGCAGACATGACAGCAAAATCACGGAGAAAAAAAATAATCCAAAAAAAAATAGACTCAAAAATCTCTTGAGTGCTCGGCCATAAAAATAAGAATAGGGGTTTTTTTGGTTCATAAGGAAAAGTTACACTCCGGATACAAAATTCCGCCGATTCCGTCCGGGGATAAGCGAGGAAAGGGCTACTTTTGAGTACATTTTTCCATACAGCCCAGAATTTAGACATGAAAGGCTGTACTATTAAAAATTCTTGTATAGCGCCGCAAAGTACCAATGTTTCCCTTAAGCAAGTCAAAATCCTGTTTTCTCAATTTATACGAGATAATTGTCCTAAGCTCCTCTCCACTGTTGTACGAGAATTATACCCCATATTTTTGATTCTGTTTTTTTTCTTAGATATCCGCCTGCCAATACTTTTCGTTCCATACTTGACCGATTTCTAGAATTTCATGCAAACAGACTTCAATGGCTTCCGCTTTGTAATCGGGTATCTTAGAAAGCTCCAATGTCACTCTCCGCATAATAATTTGCTGATACTTTTATTATTTTGGCGCATTCAATGTGTGAAAATGTACAGTTTAATATTTTTTTGGCTATTACATCAAGCTAAGCTGGAGATCTTAAACTTTGTTACTAAGCGCGCAAAGTCTCCGACTCGGCCGAATCTAGCAATGGAGCTATTTGGGTTTGAAGGACGAAAAAGAAAAAGAAAAAGAGCAGGATGTTGTATTCATGACATTGGTATAACAAGCAAACAAGCGCTGACTTGAACGGATAAATCGCTAATCATATATATGCTCAAGTACCCTGCAGAAGCGTATATTGATATCATCCTAAAGAACTTGCACTGGACTCTCTCATAGCAAATCAGCCGTTCAGTGCACACACTCGTTATTTTGTTATATGCGAGCATCTCGAACGTGCGGCATATAACTTTTACTAGAACCGATAACCCTCTGATACTAGGATTGTTAATTTACTTAACAGGAAATAAGCTCTTTTCTCCTATAAGCGAAGGTACTTCTTTAACCGGAGATAATTGCTGATTATTAATTTTTATCTTCCGGACATATTAAACAGTTCGGTGATGAACCGAAGTGCTTATTCAAATTCAAGTGTTATCTGAATGTTTACATGGTGGAAATACGAGTGGCTGTTGCACCTATTGGATACTCTCCAATGTGTGAATGGGCAATGTCAGTGTAAATTTGCCAAGTGACAAGCCAAGCCCAGACTCGCAAAACGGCGAAGTAGAAATGTTTGGCCCCACACAAACCACCTGTTGATAATTTCTTTTTCTGGCTCACGTCCGTTTATGAGTGGAAAGTTAATTCCGAGCTATCTAGAGTGCCCAGAGTGCTCAAAAATAATGAACTGATTCACTTGGGTGTAAACAATGACCTTTGTTAAGGGTTCACATGGTTCACTTCTTGATTGACAGCTTTGCCATACGTTTGTGTCTATTTTTTTTTTTTTTTTTTTTTTTTTGCGATTGTCGCTAATGCATCGCACCAAACCGTCTTGCAGTTGTCTTACATACGAAGCGATTAAGTAAGCGTCTCTTCAACTCAATGTTCCAATTCACATTGCTGTTCTTGAGCCATGATTCTTATACGAAAGTTAAAGAGGTTTATCGATCTATTGCCACACGGCTGAGGGTATTGATCCCTGCTCCTGCCCAGCAATATCTTTATTCTTTCTGGACTACAGATTGCATCTTAGCCAATTTTAAGTTACGTAAATTTTAAATCTTAACTAGACCCTTAAAGAGTTTCTACAGTGGTTCACAACGTCCTTCTTCTCATCACAGACATCGAGCAATACATACTTTATTAGTAATTATATATTAATTTCTTCTTATACATAGTTACGAACAAAATGAAAGTCTTCGCCTATTACTGGAACTTCGGTAATGAAACCTTTGGCAACCTATTAGGTGAACTCCATTTGCTCACAGTTATATATTCTCTACTCCTCCATTGCCATCGATATATGTAAGCTAATATAAAGCTTAGAATGTCGATTAGTTTCAATTTCTGCAACATATTTACGCCTTTCTACTCTTAGCCTTGGTAGCACCTGCATCTACTCCACTTGAGGCTCCAACAGATTTCTCTGCAGTAGCGGCACTCTTTTCACCCTTCTTTCCAGCCTTCTTGGAAGCAGAGTTCTTGTAAACTCTAAGGTAGAAGGAAATGAATAAAAGTAGGTAACTAGTCAAGATCAAGTAACCGTAAGCAGCTGCCAATTCTGAACCATAACAGTCACCAACGTGAGGTAACCATGGCCAGTATGCATGGGCATAATGAGTGTAAGTGGCAAAGTAAACGAAAACCAAATCAATCAAAAATTGAATAATTTGAAATCTGGTAACCCATTCCTTCCACCACACTCTAACACCACGAGCACTAAGGAAGTAGTACCAGTACATAACTACGTGAACAGCCAAATTTAAAGTGATTGGAACCCACTCTACTGAAGTGGATCCAGTCAATTGAGTATAACACAATAAAGCAGTGGCACCATGATGGTAAGTATGCAAAAATAATAACTTCTTCTTCTTCAATACCAAGAATACAGTATCCAATAACTCTAAATATTTGGTCAAGTAGTTCAAGTAGTACAAAGTGACCAATTTTGGTGCAAACGCGTTTTTGTTACAAATCGCATAGAAAAGTCCATGGTTATACAAGATTGGTAACAATTGTTCAATACATAAGAGCAATAACCCACCAGACAATCCAGTTAACACCAAATTGTGTAATTGGAACAAAAAGTTCAATTTCAAAGCTGGCAAACTTAATTTTTCGGATAACGCTCTACCACCAAAAATCACAACGTAATAAACTGCAATGATCAGCAAGGCATGGTACCCATTAGCTAAAAAGGTATGATGATGAATAAACTCAAACTCATCTGCTGGGTATCCAACTGCAGTTTCGAAGATTTTGTTGAAAATTGGCCATAAATGTAAACCGAATGGTCTATCGATAGATGGTACAGATACCTCAATAAATTTTGGGAGAGACATATTACCGAAAATACTAACTCTTAGTACTAAGTTTTAAAAGGAAGCAATGATAACTTTCTAGCAACTGTGTTGTTGGATTTTTTTCATTGTTTTTTCTGAATGACGATTTTTTTTTTTTTTTTTTGGCCTGGTTGATTCAAACATGTGCAAGCGCGCGTGAAAAATTGGCGACTCTCTGGGACGTGTGCCCCAAAGTTGAGCCTACGGAATGAGAACCTAAACATGAAGCAGGTCAAGAAACCTGGAATTCGATCATATGGGGTGCTTACAATTACACTGTCGAAAGTACAGTTGCGTGTCAATCGGTATAGTTGGAAGTATGTATTCGTTATAGCCAGATTGCTCCGAATTGAATCCTTCACTCGGCCCCCCCCTCCTCTCATTCTTTGTCTACGCACCCTCGGTAAAATTGCCATAGCTTTTCATTCATTACTTCGTATAATACTATATACCATAAATTATATTAATACAACCTTACACTAGGCTTCCCCCTAACTTCTCTGCATTTGTGATTTGGAAGGAATCTCACTTATTTTCTGTTGTTGTAGTGGTAGGTGTTGTTGTTGCTGTTGCTGTTGCTGCTGTAACTTATTCTGCTCTTGCTGTTGTTGCAATTGCTTCGGCTTCAAGTTTAAAAAGTCAATTGACACAATGATATCATATCCATTTTCTTCACAAGCGTACAAAGCCTCATGCTCATTCAGATGTAAAAATCTGATATTCTCTCCAACAAGTGCACGTAGTAAATTAGTAGAATCCAAGTCTCTAACTTCGATGAATCTTTGTTCGAATGATATGATGTATGGATAAAATAAGGCTATATTCTGTGGTGTTCCTTCCCAGAATATACCCCAATCATGGCTTGTTCTCCAACCGTTCCTATTAATCAAGAATGAAAACTCACTGTAACTAACTAAGAAGTTAAAGCCTAATCTATGAATGGCTAATGGAGTCACTGATTCTCTTTGTGTGGCAAAATCTAATGAAGGATCTGCTTCATCCAAAATTGGTTCTTTCTTGCCCTTTTCAACAGATAAAATTTCAAACCCTTTAGTGCAACCAACGCATACTTTTGTTTTGAAAAATGAAACGGACACAGGTTCGGAATTAAATGTGAAGTCCCTAATCTCGTATTTCTTATTTCTATTTTTAGACTGCTTACTGTCAAATGGGTTGGAAGGTTCAAAGATACTAATCAGATAAATTCCACTACTTCCTCCCTTCTTGGCAGCACAAACCAAAAGTCTACCATCACAGATTCCCAGTTTGAAAAATCCTACGTGATTTAAGATCTCTTTACCACTTCTAGTGTTCTTTACATGATCTAACGAATCAGTACAAGAAAGGTCAAATTCATACAACGTCTTGTCCGACAAAATCAATAATTTCGAGTACTCAACCAATACCTCAATTTGAGTAACGTAAAGGTTACTGATAACCATGGTAGGATCAGAACAAATCTTTTCATTGGTGGTGGCACTAATGGAACGAACAGTTGATACCCAGACACCCAGATCAGTACCGTACAACAATTTTTTACCCCCGTAACAAGGCACGGCGCAATTAATTTTGTTGTTACCATGGAACCTTCTTGTCTCGTATTTACTCAAGGAGAAAATATCATTCTGCTGAATCAATTTCTTCTGTTGTTGAAAGATTTGTTGAACAACTTGCAGTTGATTTGTAACATCATCTGCAAATAAAGTACTGTGAACTTGATTCTTTCCTAATCCAAGGAAGTTCAACTGTAATTTAGTGTTAGACGAAGATGAACCTGTGACCGTGTACAGTGATTCTATCTTATTGGGTTTCAATCCAGTGTCACTAACTAACGAACCATCCAATCTATAAGCTAACAGGGATAAAAATGTTGGGAATTCATATCCAGTGTTAACAAACAAAAGAGGTAAGTAGATGGGTTTCTCAAAAATCTTATGTTGCTCTCTCTTATTTTGAACTTTGTGCTTCACCAACAACAAGGCATGTTCGAATAAGTATAGATCAATTTTTTCATTATCTCTTTTCCTACTCAAGGTAACTTGATATATAATTCTGTTACTGTAACTTAATTTGAAATTATACTTTTCTTCCAAAGTTTGCTTTCCTAACAATCTATGAAGGACCATGATTTTATGACGATCCGTCAGTTCACCAGTTTGAATATTAATTTTTCCCAATACCTTCTCGATTTCTTCCTTTGCTTTTAACAAATTCTTATAATCGGGTGATTCAGGCTTTGTATTTTTAATTATTCCACCCAATAATAATTGGTATCTGGCAGGTCTTTGTATACCTTTGATCAAAAATGAGGATAGATCTTGCTTTCTACTCTCGGGTTTCTTCTCAATTGCATCCAAGAACCTTGCGTACTTGATATTCACTTGCTGTTGTCTTTCATGTTCAAAACTGGCAAAGACCTTATTACCTGAATACTTAATAAACGGTTCAAAGTTGCCCACATATTCCAAAAATACATCAGCAAGAGTTTCTATTACTGGTTTTTGCTGTTGTTGACGTCTTGTTAATGATTCACTCATGCTTTTAGCTAATCTTAACAAATCATTAACACCTCCAAAAACAGTTCTAATAAATACCTCTCTTTCTCTCTCTGGAATGATATTATTGGCCGGATTTCTTAATGGCATAATGTAGAAATCAGTCATAAATTCCAAGTCCTTGACATAATCCCTTTCAGTGTAAATGAATTCATAAATTAGCTCTTGTCTCATTTTCTCTAATTTGTCTAATTTGTCCAAGATAGATTGAGGAACGGTTTCATGCCATAATGTCTTATTTTCTTCTTGATCATGCAAAGATAATCGTGATACCGCTCTTTTTAAGCCTCCTTGTGGTTTCAAATTGAGTCTTGCTTGTTGTTCTAAACGACGAGGACATGAAATACTATAACAGAGTCTATTTCTTGTACAAGTCGGAGAGTAACAATCAGTCAATATAGTGAAGACACCATTAACCCCGGTAGCAGCAGTTGCCTGCTTGCTATCAAGGGAGCTTTCATTATTCAAAGTGCCTCCAGGAGTTCCAGGAGTCGAGGGAAAGTTTCCACTATGAGAAGGCGTAATTGGGCTAGTTATATGCAGAGGGAGCTGTTGACTCAAAACTTGTTGCTGTTGCTGTTGCTGTATCAAAGCTTGTTGATGCATAGAATGCGCTCCTGCACCACTTGCGTCCACAAAGGATCCATGCTTGGAATTGCCAGCACTACCCAGGCCACCAGTATAATCATTATAAAATTCCACATCACTGTAGACGTGGTTAAAAGCATAGACTTCATGTACAGAATCTCTCAATCTATGAATATAGGTGACATCATGGAAATACTTTTGTGCATCCAATGATCTTCCTAATAACAAAGCTAAGTTTCTATCATTTGTTCTGATTATTCTACAAATGATATCAACTGCCATCTTACCAGTAAACGTATCATGATACTCCAATCCATCTTTGGTGTTAATAGTTAAGATTATGGAATCCTTGAAAACCTTGGCCACCTTTGAAAGCATGGCAGGATACACCGATGGTTTCCTGTGAACCAACGTTTTCGATGAACTTAGAGTCTGAGTGGATCCGACTCTATCGACAAGTTTGTTGTTATTGTTATTATTATTATTGTTATTAGAATGATTAAGTGAAGTTGATGAATTAAATTTTTTGGTAGATAAGGATGACAACTTGGAAAGAGAAGTGAACGATCTAGATTTCGATGAAAGTGAAAAGGTGTGATGGAGCGTAGTACTGGAATTGGATTTTTGATTGATTTGGTTAGACTGAAATCCGTTACCTAGTTGTTGGTGTCCTGCTTGTTGACCCACTTGGTACTGCTGCTGTTGTTGCTGTTGCTGATACTGCTGTTGATATTGAGCAGCGGCGGTCAAAGACTTAGTTCTACCATCTTGTAATGTTCCCTGCGAACTGACCCTAGATACTGGAGAGTATGCTACTGGCGTCGATACAATTCTTCTACCTGTGTTATTTTCCAACACTTGGTTTGTCTGGATTGGTGGGAGATTGTTGGAGGGAGCTCTTCTAGCAGTAGTCCTACGATTACCATCTTGTGGAGTATTTGGTCTGTTGTCGTAAGTCAAAGACAGAGCAGAGTTATTACGGCCTGAAGGAATAACTTGATGTTGAGGATGAGCCTGCTGTTGTTGTGAGACTGGGTAAGGTTGCTGTTGCAGTTTTGGAGCAAAAGGCTGCTGGTAAGCCTTGGGATGTTGTTGCTGCTGCGGTTGTTGCTGCTGTTGTTCCTGAGGGTAGGGCAAATTAGAAGGAGGAGGTCCTTGTCGTTGGCCCCCCGGTGGTTGTTGATATGATGCATGGTTTGGTGGTGCTCCGTAGGAATTATTGGTTTGATATCCTGGATCGAACGAGGTGGTGTGGGTACGCTGTTGTTCGAACTGTTGAGGATACTGTGACGCAGGGTTTGATGGTTGTTGTTGGTGCTGGTGTTGCTGATGATTCCACTGCATGCTGTTTGGGTACTGTAAATCTTGGCGGTAAGGATGTTTCTTGTGTTGAGGAGGTCCCTGTTGTTGTTGATGAAGTGGTTGCTGGTGAATTGGAGGTCCCTGTTGATGGTGAGGTGGCTGCTGTTGAGTAGGAGGAGCCTGTTGATGTGGTGGAGCCTGTTGATGAGTCTTTTGTGGTGCGTACTGCGGATTTCCCTGGTCTCCATAACGAGGCTTGCCCTGACTCTGCGGGTATCCCGAAGGAGGACCTGATGGAATGCCCTGGTGGTTTCCCTGATGGACCCCATTGGGGTGCTGTCCTTGGGGCGGAGCAGGATGTTGTCCCTGCAGAGGATATCCCTGTTGAACCTCTCCATAATCCCCAGCCATACCTTGTGGCAATAAATGAGCGGGGATTTGTTGAATATTCCCCAGATTCAGCCTCTGGTATTGATATGACATGTTCTTAATGAGGGTAGAATTCCTGTCTCTCCTATGTCACAAGTATTTTAAGCAAAAAACCTGAAAAATGCCTAAGGAATGTTCCTCTAATTAATCAACTGGGTTTATTTTTGTTTAAAGGAATTTTTCTACCAAGCAGAAGGTCCGCAGTTTTCAGAATTTCGGTTTTGTGGCCAATTTTGGTGGGCCCTCGTTATTTTCGAGAGAGAAAGAGTGAGCAATGAAAAGCTTATCGAAACGGAACGGTGGGAAAATGCGTGAAAGGTGTCAAAGTATGAGGGCCAGAGCTAAGTAATGACAGGTGTGAGAGGTGTTTGTCAGAGGAGACGAAGCAGAAGTTTTCAAATCAGGGCAGTGTGAACGGGGTTTATCTTGCTACTTGGAATAGGTCTGGAGCCTATATGTGACTATTTTGCATCAGCCATCCAATTGACTTGAGTCACTATGTAGGAAAAATAAAGTTAAAAATAAATATTCAATGGAAATCGAGAAATGCAGAAAGGTAGTAGCCGAAGAAATGATTGAAAAAAAAAAAAAATACAAAGTGCCTACCCACTATATTGATGGGGTACGTGTGGGTTTTCATTTATTGCAGTTAATGCATTTATGTGAAACTGTATATACAGCGAGTGTAAGTTCATGTTTGCAGTTCGTATGGCATCCACTTCGCTATTTCTTCATTGGTGTCTTAGTACTGTCAGAATCAGTACGTACGCTCTCCCCCCAAACATTATGCACGAACTGTGGAATGTGCAAATTTGTTTTTGCTCGCTAAAATCAAATGTCTATTTTTACACCTGCCTCTCCGATAGCGTAACAAGCTACGAGAAAACTTAAAAACAAAAAAGTTTATAACTACTGAGCTTTGCGATTCGGCTAGAACGGTAGTGTCTCCCCTCCCTACTGGTCAAGGTTCTATGTAGTGCAATTCTCTGGTTTGGTTCTGATAGTACGAACTCTTGTCTGCTCGTACTTTACCTAGGCTTTCTCACGTTTAATGTGGCATAGTCCTGTAGCTCGACCCGCTTGTAGACCTGTAGCTCGACCCGCTTGTAGACCTGTATATCGCCCTATTTTTTCCAGGCTGAGACCCATCCTTGTTGCACTTTACAGAGATACGATCATCCCCAAGACAATCCATTGGAACTAAGCTAGCACGCACCAGAACATGTTCCAGTGCATCTCTTTTACCTTAATTTGACGTGGTGGCCCGCCAGCTATCTCAGTTCTCAACAAAAAAAGCATTTAACTTCTGATATGAACTAGAATTAAGCTATTTTTGCTTTCACTTATCCGGGCGCCCCCTCCTCTCTTATTAGATAATCAGAATATTGTATACGAAGATTTATACTATTCTTGTAAATGTACCCTCATTTCTTTTAATTTATTTTTATTTTTATTTTTTTGCAGTACCATATCGTCCCCAATTCCTTTTGGTGATACATAATTCACACATATTCCCACTAAATCCGCCTCCTCATACTCCTCAATCCCTTCGGTCTCACTTCTCTATAGCCTACTGCGCGACTGCTCCTCCTCCAAGTTTGCACACTAAAGGGTGAGAAAAATTAAAGAGAAAGTACACGACTGGAGCTTAACTAAGATTACGAAAATCAAAATTACACTTCACTGGCTTCACTCCCAAGAATAACCAGAACTCCAACCATCATTGCATAATGCCAGCCTTACATTCAACATTTCTCTCTGAGCAAGGTGCAGATACAAGAGTCATTGGAAATCTTGCCGTGTTACCGATCCACTCAAAGTATAGGGGACCTTCCTATCCGCCACAACAGGACTATGATATTATAGAAGAAACGTTGGATTTATTCAGAGCCAATTCATTCTTCAAGAATTTCGAAATTAAGGGCGCTGCTGATAGATTGTTGATCTATGGCATCTTGTTTACTAGTGACTGCTTATCCAAATTGAACAAATCTATAACATACAAGGAGGCGGTTAGAACATTAAATAACTTGGCTCTCGATAGCTTTGCCTTACCGGGAGACATCGGATTCCCATTGAACAGCTTGTATCAACTGCCTGCAAACAAGAATGAAGCAGAATTGTTGAGATCGTACTTACAGCAATTCAGACAGGAATTGGCAGATAGATTATTGAAGAGAGTCTACAGTGATAGTGAAGTAGTTCCCAGTAAGCACTGGTTGGCATTTACTAGAAGAAGGTTCATGAATAAGAGTCTTTAAATGCAGCAACTCAAGTAAAACTAGATAAAATGAAATAAATATGTACCTTTCGTATACACTGTGGTGTAATTCGGCTCTGTTAAATACCTACGACAAATGGGATCCAGACACCGACATCTCTTTTATATTCAGTGTACTCTTCACCATAAATTCTATTTTCCAAAAACCACTCTTCGAACTCTATTCGTTTTCTGAAAAATACCGTTAGAATGACAATACTGATGACCAAACAGCCACAATTCCCAAGTAGAATCTCCATGCCCACAACGAAGTACCAGAACCCAACATAGCTGGGGTGTCTACTGTAGGCATACGGACCATGCTTTATCAATGGTCTTTCAATGCCATCTGTTGTCGGCTTATCGACCGCTATATAGTGAGAAAAGGAATCTCCACACACCTCCATTGATTTGTATCTTAGCCATTGGCCCATGATACTCATAGTCAAGCCAAGATATACAACCTTCCAATCATTGCAATTTGGTAAGAATGAATTGAATCTACTCTGTGTAAAAAAGTACTCCCAAATGTTCAAAAATTGCACCATGAGGAACTCCTTGTTTCCATTACCACCCCAAATCAAGAACAGCTTAGATGTTACTTTACTAGGCTGATATCTTGCTGTTTGAATGAACTCAAACAAATAGTACATACAGAGCAAAATGAGATAAGCATAAATATTGGAATATGCACCATGAAGACCACTCACACTAAGACTGAATATGCATCCTCCTATGATCACACCGAGTATCGTACTAGTAAGAGCAATCTCGGTAAGAGAATTAACCCTTGGATTATACATAACTAGTCAAAAGAAGTGAGATAAATGAAGAAATTACTAACAAAAGTTTACATAGTGGCCATTTTTGGCTTTTCTTAGCGTTCCGCATGTGGAACATGAAATATTGAAATTTATCATTTGCTTCTTCTTGACCCCAAGGGTATTGTCTTCGAGTATGTATGACCCTGCGAAGGTTGACCTAACTACGGTGGCTCTCAAGTCGCTAATCTTGGGTATAACATTAACAGTGTCGCTATTAATGATAATCTTTACGAGTTTTCAACTACAGATGCCAGTTTACGTATTTTCCATCTCGATTTTTCACTTATCAGAGTTTTTTTGTACGCTGATCTTCAACCTTTCAGAGATAGATGATGATTCGTTCATATTAAACGACACCGAGCTCTTAGCTGTCTACGGGGCATCGACTTTGGAATATTCCATTAGCCACTTCCTATTCCCTTTCCCGTGGACCACTACCTTAACCGTCCGTATGTATGTGGGTTTTCTTATCATCCTTCTTGGACAATCGTTTAGATCATTGGCAATGGGTACCGCGAAAGAATCTTTCAACCATTACATTCAAAGAGAACACAAGTCTAAACACAAATTGGTGACACATGGAATATATAGCATTCTGAGACATCCGCTGTACTTTGGTTTCTACTGGCTCATAGTAGGACACCAACTCTGGCTTGGGAATTGGTTAATGCTTGTAGTATGTGCTTACAAGCTTGGAAACTTTTTCAGAAAGAGAATCGAATTTGAGGAGAACTACTTGATCCTGTTCTTTGGAGAGGAGTACATAAATTATAGAAGACGAGTTGGAGTATGGATACCTACTATATAGAATGAATAGATCATCTACAAGTTAATTTCTGCATCTATCTCTTTTAACCTTTACCTGTATTTCAACTCTATCTCTAGTTTATCTGTATAGTTTATAAATATATCTATATATCCAATTTAATTTAATTTACTTAAAATTAATTTAAGTTGGCTTAACTCCTAAGCCGTTTACATTTCTGTACATCATAACACCGTTGTCACCTTCTACGAATTGACACCATCTACCAGATTTCCAGAGGGAAACCCACATATTTTCATCAGAATGCATGTAGTGGCTACCCATAACCTTCTTAATAGCTGCAGAAGCTTCTCTGGCATTGTAAAATGGAATTCTTGAGACGTAGTGATGTAACACGTGAGTTTCAATAATATCGTGGAGAATGTGTTGGCCAACAAATCCAAATTCTCTATCGATAGTGGCAGCTGCACCTCTGGCAAAAGTCCACTGTTCTGGTTCGTAATGAGGCATCTTTGGGTCCGAGTGTTGTAAGTAGGTGATGAAGACTAACCAATGGTTGACTAAGACATAAGGTAAGAACCAGTTAACTAATAAGTTGAATCCACCGAAGTTTTGATACCAGGTGTACAAGATGAAGGATTGAGCCAAGATACCGATATCACTCAAAACAATGTACCAGTAATCCTTCTTCTCGAAAATAGCAGACGATGGGTTAAAATGGTTCTTTTTCCAAGCTGGAATATCTTCTAAAGCTTGACCGGTGACGTTGGTGAAAAGGTACATAATCCATCCGAAAGTTTGCTGGGCAACTAATTGGTATAAAGTATAGATTGGGGAATCTTCCATGATTTCATCGACGCTGTGAGCACCTCTGTTGCTCAAAAACTCTTCCTTTGTCTTTGGAACGAAAACCATATCTCTCTTCAAGTGACCTGTGGCCTTGTGATGTTTACCGTGGGAGTATTTCCAAGAGAAGTATGGAACCAACAAGTAAGAGTGCAAGATCCAACCAACGGTATCGTTAACCCAGCCATAGTCCGAGAAGGCTTGGTGGCCACATTCATGGGCCAAGATCCAGAGTCCAGTTCCAAACAATCCTTGACCGTAAACATAGGCGGCCCATGCAAAGAATCTGCCGTATTGGTTTGGGATCAACTCAATGTAGTTGTTGGCAATGTAACCGGATAAAACCATACATGCAATGTCTCTAAAAACATAAGACAATGATTGGAAAACTCTTCTTTCGTAACAATGAGGTGGAATGGCACTCAAAATATCCTTGATGGTAAAATCGGGTGCTTCGAATGTGTTCCCGTAAGTATCCAAGGCAGTGAGCTTGTCGGAAAAACTGGCAACATTACCTCTCTTGGTAACGTGGGATTGTTGGCCAGTGCCACTGGTGGAACTGAAAGATGCTACTTTACTCATAGTTTTAAGGTGAGATAAGATACTAATAGACAACAGCTATAAAGATGAAAGAAAAGAAAGAAGAAAGAAGAAAAAAAAAAACTCCCTCCCACAAACCGAAAATTTTTCTAACGACTAGCCTGCTACTTATATAAATTATCACACCCACCCAGTAGCAGATCAATGCAGATAACTAAATTAACGACAGGAAAAAAAAAAAAAAGAAACGAACGGGAATTCACACAGCTACAGAAACGCTACACGTGCAAAGGGTTAACGGAAATGCACTTGAGATGAGACGGGAAAGAAAGTGGGAAGTTGGTGGGAGGAATTGCGGAGAGAATGAAAGAATTGGTGAAGAATATCGGCATTAATTGAGAGATCTTACTGGCTTAGTAGTAACGTATCAGATCTGTTTTGGTGCAAGGTGTGATTTTTTGGTTTAGCCTTGCACTTGCACATTTGTTGGATAAACTGTTGGCCAGGTTGCAGGAGAGGGTGTAGCGTATGGGAAAAATACGACGATTTCCCAATCAAGCTAAAAAAAAAAATAAAAGAATCAGTCGAGAGAATGGGTTAGGTGAGTTAAGCCGTTGCTGTAGAAACTTATTTTAAACATAAGAAATGGTATTGGATGGGTACTTTTCATTCTCAATGCCTACTTTGGTATCAGAATATTGGATTGTTTGGCTATGTTTTTAAATTCTGACGCAAAATAAGGTTTTTATCTCTGTTCCTTTCCAGCGACTTTTCCTTTTTTCACATTTTGTTTTTCCCATACTGGCGTTATTTTTTGGGTATGGTACAATAGTCAAAAGGAACGAGAAAAAAAAAAAAAAAAAGAAAACTGCTAATAAGAAAATAACCGCCTTTTTGTTCGGAAAACTGGGTATTCCGTGCTATAGCCGCCGGCATATTTGTAGCTACTATTGTTGCAATTGCATTGAGTTTCTGTTATAGGGGAGCTTCCTCTCTTACTGTGGTCTAATTACTCAACTGGATTGTCTGGTTGTTTCAAGTATGCTCCAGCTGTCTAGACAAAGAAAGCACCAAAAAAGGAACTTTAGGAGTGCATATACACACTTCCTTTAAACCTTGGCAAATGCGACTTTCTACCCACTCAGCCGGCCCCTAAAAGAATAGCGTACTGTTTTAGGAAGAAAGCATTGGCTCCACACGCTCATACCGCTACATATCTCCCGCGAATAGGTTGCAAGGACGCCAATGTGAAGGACTGGCGGATGAAGTCTAGTTCGGAGCCATCACACGCTCTTCTAACTTGTTTTACGCTGGTGTGATATTAAGCCCTCACCTCATACCTCTATAGGCATCCCCTTACTTTTCTAGGTATTCCCCTACTCCTATATCTATCTCCATACTTCTCTCTGTATCCAGGACTTGCCTCTACCTCCAAAAGCTCCCTCTCAAGCTGCGCACATAATTGTTCCGTCTCTCGCTTGAAACCTGCTGGTGCCCCATAGATCTCGTTATTGGCAAAAAGATAGCAGAGTATCAATCGGACCATATGCAGGATGGTTGCATTTACTTTCACTGCTATGTTGTGGGTACTGAAGTGTCAGTTAACATTTCAAAGTACAACACTGTCACTTTAATTTCTTCTAAGTTTCAAGTACCGATTATCTACTATCTTCTGTCTAGTTGCCTTCGAATCAGATTATACTTGACGAATTTTGAGCCGATGAATTTTGACTGGCTCAGCAGTGCGCAGTGTGCTCAGGTAAAGTGAGAGAAGTATTTTATTAACCTATGTACACATCATTCGAAGGATTGTAAATATACTAGTTTATAAAGTAGAGATGTCTATCTAATTCGTTCATATTTATCACTCTGCGCTCTTTCTTTTTAACTTTCAAGTTTCTAGGCTATATCCTTGTAGCCTCCACATCCTCTTACTATTACATTCATAAAGACTTTGATGCAATCCAAGTAATCCTTTATATCAACTTTCTCATCGGGCATAGTGTTGTATTTACCCCCAGGACCACAAACGACTCCTTCCATGTTCAATTTCTCATAGAGATGTCCAGCGTCACTTCCATAGAAGCAGGGTGGCCTTAACGCACCAGTGGGCTGTTTTGTTTCTTCAGGGCGAACACTTACGTAGCATTCATTCAACAATTTTACAATACTAGCATTGGGATCCACTTCGAATGGAGGCATAAAGTCTCCCTTTATACTGCTTACTTCGTATTTCATTCTGGGAAATACTTTCTTGGTTTCCTCTAACTCTTTGTTCAAATCCTCATAAACTATCGATGTATCCTGGCCCGGAGCATACCTTGCAGCTCCTGTGATGGTGACAAAGTCTGCAACCTGGGGTGCTCTCCACATCTCATAGCTGCGTCCTAAGCCACCTATGATAGTACCTACGTGACATCGATTGACGCTTCTATGTGTATCAGATTTGGCGCCATGAAATTTCAAATTGTTCAAGCGTTTGATTGCATCCATCGAGCATAGGATAGCATCTGTGGCGTCTTCTCTTTTTGACATATGCCTGGTGTCTCCAGTAATATCTACTTTGAAAATAGTCGAGCCTGCATGCATGATTAAGGCTTGTACATCAGTTGGTTCACAGTTGATAAAATAATCAGCCGTGTGTTTGTTGATGACTCCTCTTTCAATCAAGTCTACAGTTCCAACCCCGCCTTGCAACTCTCCGACAACGTAGGTTAATGTGACATCCTTACTGACTTTCCAACCATTGTCTATTAACGTTTTAACAGCCATGTAATATGCACAGCAACCTGATTTCATATTAGAAACTCCAATGCCATAAATAAAGTCATCGTCATATGTACCTGCATAAGGATCAACTGTCCAACCTTCCGTCACAGGATTAACATCGACATGGCCGTTGAATAAGAGCTTTTTTGAGTTTGGGTTTTTCCCAGTTCCCTTCCACACTCCAACAGAGTCACAGCGCACCATGCCATCAGCATTTTTGTCTGTGAAATAAAATGTCTTACTTTCAATTCCAATTTTTTCCATAGATTTAGTCATATACTCAACTGCACTTGTTTCAGAAGCAGATTTTGTATGCGACTTGATTTGAATGAGCTTTGAAAGAAATTCGAGACTTTCTTGAGCGTTTACTTCAGGTAACTGCATTTTTGTAGTTATTGCTAAATACTTGCTCAGAAATTCTGGAAATTTGACCAAAGAGAGGAAATGCAAAACCTTTTAATTATACGAAAGTACAATAGTATAGAGGCTTCTGCAGATGCAGAGATAAGCAGAAGTCAACTTTTGGCAGGCATTACTCACAATCAAAAACTCTCCTGTGCAACTTACGCTGAGTAATGCATAAACGAAGAAGTGGAAAGTGAAAATACAAAATACAAAATCCCGCCGTTAAAGGTCGCTCAATTGTAGTCGTAAGATAGCAGTACTATCCAGAGTCACAGAGAGCTGTCCATTGTCCTCTCAAGGAAGGATTTTCGCTCAAATACATCGGAAGTATTTGTCAAAAATGCCGTCTTATCAAATAATGTTTAATCCCCACTATATGTTATGCAAGATTATGCATGAGACGTCAAAGCTGATGTCTTTTTTCGCAAAACGGCTTTCAGTTTTGACCCTGGTCCCTACACACTGTGACTCCACATGGAATAGTTACCAGATAGTCTGTGATATGTGAAAGATTACTCCAGAACCCATGGAATGATATTGGCATAAATACCTGTACTTTTGCGATTTGATTTGATGTGTTTTGATGTGTTTTTACGAAATCACCTGAAGCACTGTATTGAACAATGTCAGACAATATTACCAGCGCCAATGATAAAGAAGCCTACGAGGTTTCTACTGGTGCAATTGAAAAAATCAATGATGTCACTAGCGGAGAACTCAAAATCAAAGATAGAGGGTTTGAGCTCTTCAAGGAAGCTGTTGGCAATGAAAAAGTTGAAGTTGACCCAAAGGAAAGCTCTAAAGTCGCCCGAAAACTCGATCTTTATATGTTGCCAATTATGTTTATTCTTTATGGTATTAATTATGTTGATAAAGCAGCCTTAGGTTGGGCAGTTTTGTTTACTTTCGAGGCTGACTTACATTTGACTGGAGATGATTACTCCTGGGTGTCTTCAATCTTCTACTTTGGCTATTTAGGTGCTCAATACCCAGCATCGTACTGCTTAAGACGTTTCCCTGTGGGAAAAGTCATTGGAATCACTACTGTGTGCTGGAGCTTTATAATGTTGGCTCATATGGGATGCAAAAACTATGCTGGTATACTTGTTTGTCGGTTTTTGTTGGGTGTCTTTGAAGCACCCATTAGTGGTGGTTTTGTCCTCTTTTGTTCCCTCTTTTACACTCGTAAGGAACAAATTGCTAGAACGATGTGGTGGGGATCTTCTCAGGGAATCTTTTATGTCATCTTCGGTTTGGTTTCGTATGGTTTGGGACATGCTACTAATAGCGCACTAAGTGAATGGCAGTTAATTTACTTGGTATTGGGTCTCTGTTCATTTGTTATTGGAGTAGCATGGTTGTATTTCATCCCTGACACCCCACTTGACGCCAAATTCTTAACAGAAGAAGAGAAAATTGTTGCAGTACACAGAGTTGCTTCTAATATGATGGGAGCTGCAACCCAAGGTGACAACAAGTGGGATTGGAGTCAAGTTCGCGAATGCTTATTCAAAGACCCAAAGACCTGGATGTTGATAGCATTCATCCTTTTCTCGATGTTGCCAAATGGTGGATTGACAAACTTTGGAAGTTTAGTTCTTGACAGTATTGTTCACGGTCGACTTGAAACCATTGCTGTCGGTATCGGCAGCTCATTCTTCTCATCAGGACAAATGTTAATCTTTTCATTCTTTGCCCGTAAATATAATAACTTTAGAACAATTGGAATGACTTTTCCAATGCTTTTGGCTATTGCTGGCCTTTCTGCGGTTTATGCAACTGATAACAATCCTGGTGCTAAGAAATGGGGTAGAGTATTTGCTTACTGGATGATCAATTCTTATGCAGTTACATGGCCATTCACTTTATCTTTCCTTGGCTCCAATTTTGCTGGTCATACTAAAAGAGCAACCATGAGTATGGTTTTATTGATTTTCTTTGCCGTTGGTAACATCATAGGACCTTTTTGTTTTACAAGTTCTGATGCACCTAAGTATACAAAGGCTCTAGCTACTAACTTAGGTTGCTTTTGCGCTTGTTTTGTTATTGGAGTTCTATTAAGGTTCTACTTGATTCGGGAAAACAAAATAAGAAATACTAAATATGGTGTCATTTCTACTAACGACTTCGATGAAGATGAAAGAATGGAGGGAATCTTGAACGGTATGAAGGATATGACCGATTTGAGCAACAAATCCTTCCGATACGTTTTATAAAATTTTCATAACCACTTCTATATATTTCAAACCAAGCGAGCCAAATTGGCTTTTCAATACTTCATGTTTTTCAATTAATTGTCAAATAAATATTATTACAAGGCTTAAATAATCATCTCGGAGGTAGAAATTCGACTCTATTTATTTTAGCTTGCAGTGGTCTCTTCTTTCTGATTAAGAAAGCGGAAAATGTGAAGAGGAGACAGCGACAGGTGAAGATTGGAGATGCCTTCCTACATAAACTGATAGGCATATTGTATCTAATTAGTACTCATCATTATGATTCAGGAGAAAAGAAAAGACTAATGATCAAGGAATAACATTTCTGTTGCCCAATTACAGTTGTTGGATAGTGAGTAGCATTTTTCGTAATTTGTTTAAAAAGGGTAAATCTTTTCAAAAGAGTATAAAGATTTTATTTTCATCATAGTTGTATCTACTTTTGATCATTTTCGTGCAAAAGGTCATTTAGATACCTTGCTATCGCTAAGCATTTCTCTTCTTCCAACTTATTACATATAACTTGAACTGATACTGGTCCCCCATGGAATTTTTCAGTCTCTCTGGCATAAGTTTCGTGCACAAACTTATCGACTTCAGAGATATAGTAGTTCTTTTTGTCTATCGGCTTATCCTTCGACACATCACATCTTGTCACTGGAACAGTTATGGAGCTGTAATCTAAGGCATTCCAAATAGCGTTGACAGGCTGTGGGACAATCTTGTCTATTAAGCACCCTGGAAACGGAGTGACAGACGAAATTATAGCATCCAACCTCTCACAGTCTTCCTTACCATTCCAGAAATCTAAATATTTTTTTGCCAATTCTGTTCTCTTCTTGTGAAGTTCCCAAAGTTCAGAAACTGCCATGTCCTTCCCATCTTCAACGTACTTAAGATGGGGATCTAAAGGTTCACCAGACTGCTCTATAAGTTTTTTGATACCAGCATATCCATTAGCACCATAAAATGGATATATGGTGTCCTTTATCTCTGTAAAGTAGGTGTCCTTCCAATCAATAATGTTATGACCCTTTTCAAGCAATTTATGTTTAACGATTCCTAAACCCCTAATCACTGGAGAAGTAGAAGTGGTAGTGCCATCGCTAGTCAATATTCCAATATTCAATTTAGCATTTTGATCTACCTCAAACTTTCTATACTCAAGTGGGATACAGCTTGGATCAAGATCATAATAGGGACTGCTACCTATGATAGTCTTCGTTACATACTCCACATTTGCAAGGCTATTCGAAATCACCCCGTACACTGATACGATAGATTCCTGTCCTGCTTGGCCACTGACAGTACCGTGTTTGGGGAATCTTCCACTCAGTGGCTTCAACCCATAGACCAAATTCAATCCAGCAGGGTGTCTTACAGAACCACCAATATCCGATCCGATTCCAAAATTCGAACCCTTCAATGCAGCAATTGCACCTTCACCACCACTTGAGCCTCCAACGTTGAGCAATTTGCGACTCCAGGGGTTTAAAGTACGACCCCAAAGCATATTTGTGGTCTCTGAATACATCATTCCTGGAGAGGTATTAGTTTTGGCTATAATTATTCCACCTAGCCTCTTAATTGCAGTGGCCATAGCAGCATCTTCGTTCTTCTTTTCAATAGAGGTACCAATAAACCCCATGGACGAAGCTAGGCCGGCTACATTGATGTTATCTTTGAGCGACACGACAATACCATGTAAGGGCCCCCTCAATTTACCATTCGTTCTAAAGTACTCATCAAGTTGCTCTGCTTCCTGCAAGGCTTCAGAGAACCTCACTTCAGTGAGGCAATTTACCAACTGATGTGCAAGCGTAGCACGAAAGCAGAATGCTGTCACTACCTCTTTTACAGATAAAGTTGCATTCTGATAATGTGACAAGAGTTCGGTAATCTCAAGATTGGTTATTTTCTTTTGATTGGGAGTTATGAAAGAAGATTTATCAATCAAATCACCGATATCATTCTGATCTGCGATGGGGCTAATTTTATCCTCAGATACCAAATAAGGCTCGAGAAGACTTCTTTGCTCTGCTAGTTTTCTATTCTTAATATCTTTCCAATTCATTACATAAGTGAAATACAGTAGTTACAATCTGGGTAAGTTGAAAAGAAAAATACACCTTTATCAATATGGCGTGAATTTACCCCAGACAACGAATCTATCGAAAGAACATATCGCTTCGTCTGCAGCTTGTTCTTGATCGGACAAGTCAATCTAAAATACCGAACTTAGCGTAAGCGGGAATAGTTGCAGAAATACCGACTTAAAGCTCTTATCTGTGGTAAGGAATCTGAAACAGAGTCAAATCTTTGAATGCTGCATAAAATGATCTCTTCAAGTAAATTTTCCGACAGTCTACTTTTTCGTTATCGATGCCGTTGGCTCAGAAGGAGCGAGCCGCAATGCATGAAGACGTTTCTAATTAATGCTGTTGAAGTGCGTGGGCGAGTGAAGCACACTAAAGACCACTGGAAAGTGCTCGTGCAAATTCGAGCCTCGTGAGGCTTTCTTGTTCTTTTGTATTCTATCATACATAGCTATGTATTCAGAATTTTCCTTTACCACTGCAATCTTCTTCTCAAGCTACGCGCTCGTAAATGTTCCGTATCTTGATTAGCACATCAAAATATCGCATGTAGATGTCGCTATTTAAAAAAAAAAAGGTAATAAAGTATAAGATTGGTCCATGTGCAGGATGGTTGCATTTACTCTTAACTACTATGCTAGATTATCTGGAAGAAGAAATGGTATATTCAATAGAAATATAAGTTTTGTATATAATTGCTCTTTTCATGGAAAACTGTACTCTTCTTTCTCAGAACTTGTGCTTTAGTCAGTTACCGTCCTTAAACAACTCGTGCGAGATAATCTCAATGGAATATCCATCAGGGTCTCTGATAAAGGCAATGTTCTTCATGCCACCCTGGTTCCATTTCACTGACCAATCAGTGGAATCTGGAAATTCCTCTTCAACTTCTTTACAGAACTTGGCAGGATCCTTGCATGAGATACAGGTGTGTCCAAATCCTTGCTTGGCACCACCCTCGGTACTGTTCCCGTTGTGGTAACCCTTGAACTCTGGATCCGATTCAGTACCCCAATTGTGGGTTAATTCGATAATACCTTGCTTCAAAGAAGACGTATCCCTATCGACAGAATCTTCTTTAAAATTAGAATCATGATCATATCCTATGAAGTATAATGAAAATTTCGCATTTTCATGATCATGCTTCCTAAACACTTTCATTCCTAAAACATTCTTGTAAAACTCAAGAGATTTAACAGGGTCTTTCACTCTGATCATGGTGTGATTAAACAAGTAAGTTGCTTGGTCTGTTAGAATGTCAACTTTTCCCTTTCCGTGTTGAATTAATTCAATCCAATATCCATTTGGATCCAAAACAAAGGCGATATCCTTTTGTCTCCCATCGCTTAATTTTTTTTGGAATTTGGCATTACTGGCTAATAACCTTTCTTCTACAACGTTAATGTTATCTACAGAAATACAAATGTGTCCGAACCCACGGTGTTCAGCTCCATTCCCATTGTTTAACGTGTATGAGTCGTCATCTTCAACACCATGATTGTGGCACAACTCTAAAATTCCTTCTCTAGCGGACCAATTCTTGTGAGAGGTTTCCTGATCATGTTCATATCCGAGCATGTAGAGAGTGAACTTCTTTTCCGGAAATGGGAAAGTTGCAACTACTTTGAATCCGAAATTGTCTACATAAAATGGAATTGAGACCTTTGGGTCCTTGATACGCAAGCACGTATGGTTGACTACAAAGGAATTGTCAAAGGAAGGCATCTTTTTGCTATCTTAAATTGAGTTAATGAATAAAACAAGGAGAAAGGACGAACCGAAGTGAATCACAAATTTCACATTTTATACTGGAGCAACTTATGCGCGGTTGCTTTACTTGGAAATGATTCCGGTATTTTAAAGATACGGACATGCAGGATTCCTAAGATGAGACAGCTCATTGGAGATAGTGTTACGGACACTTTCGGCTAATATAGCAATCATATAAGACGTGTGCTGGTGAGAGTTGCTTTACTCGACGATTCTTCTACATCTTACACACTTCGCTACTCCACCCCATCTACTTCTACCAGCAATGTAATATCTTCAACACCTATTCACTGAAAATTAAAGTTGATCGCACTCCCAAATGGCACCGCTTTGAAAATTTTCATGTACGTCATACGCAGAAAAGTTTTGTTAGGCACCGGACCTATACGAGCAGAGGTGCCTCGGTGAACATTGTCACAAATACCCACCTGTCTTCTTCATCGTATGGTTAAATCAATCATATATTTCTCATTTTTTTGGTAAGTTAGCAGTCCCTGGTATATACTCACCTGCCAATATGCTAGTTTCTCGATCATTGGCTGCCTTGAACAGAATTCCTAATACCTTTATTCGGTGTATTTCTTCGACCCCACATTTCAGATCATCGTATGGCAATAGTGGTGTTAACGCGGGCTCAGCGCAAAGCTTACCTCGCAGGACTTTAACTGATATCCAGCAATTGTATAGATCTGGAACTCCCATTTCAGTGGTAACTGCTCATGACTACATTACTGCTAAATATAGTGAAGCTGCGGGTATCGACATAGTGCTCGTTGGAGATTCCCTTGCGATGGTTGCATTAGGGTATGAAGATACCAACGAAGTTCCCTTCGATGAATTCTTATATCACGTCAAATCAGTGAGTCGTGGGAACAAGTCTTCGTTTTTGGTTGCTGATGTCCCATTTGGATCATTCGAAACATCTCCTAAACAGGCATTGGAAACTGCAATCACATTGGTGAAAGTTGGAAAGGCTCAGGCGGTCAAGATGGAATGCGGTAAGGAACAGTTAGAATATCTTCGTCAAATAGTTGACATGGGTATCCCTGTAATGGGGCATGTGGGAGTTACCCCTCAACGTCATAATGCCTTGGGTGGCTTTAAATTACAAGGAAATTCTACGGATAGAGCGGTAAGTATTTTTGAGGAATGCCTTCAGTTACAAGCGAACGGCGCCTTTGCCATAGTGTTAGAGTGTATTCCAAACAAGTTGGCCCAATATATTACTGAAAAGTTGACTATTCCGACCATTGGGATAGGTGCCGGCCCATTCTGTTCTGGTCAAGTTTTGGTTGCAGCCGATATGTTGGGAATGAACAATCCAAATATTCATAAAGCGAAGTTCGTTAAGCAATATGACCTACAATTTGAAAGGTCTGTCAATGCTTACAAGCAATATATTGAAGATCTTAAATCGGCCGAGTACCCTTCAGCAGAGTTACATGGTTATAAAATGAAAAGAGATGTGCTCGAGCAGTTCAAACAAAAGGCAGATCAAATAAATTGATCTCAGTAATACTTAGATAAGATAATCTCCCCTATATGTCCTATGCCCTGTGACATATGAATTACGAAAAGCAATACTACCCATTATGTTCCTTAATATATATTTACTCATGTAAAGTATTTATTTACATATGCATACATATTTATTATTATTATTTTTACTATTACTTTTGATTAATAAGGAGTATTCAATCTTTTCCATTAGATTGTAACATCTTCATGTATATACATTTTAGACTCTTCTATGTAAAATTGTCAACAAAATTGTACTTGAACTTAGTCCATCCTTTCAAACTTTTGGAGTACTCTATCTCGTCTATTTCTTCTTGGGATAAGATGTATCTATCAGTGTCAAAGTCCATATCTTCGAGCTTGACAAATTTATCTTTACCTTTCCTAACCAACCACCAGAAAACGAAACATGCTGGGAATAATAATAATTCAACGTAATTGGAGAAGAAAGAGGAAACATCCCATGGTGCAAATGCTGACCAACCCTGTACCAAGATGATAACAGAGACAAATATCACCACAGCATAAGGACCGTAAGGGTAGGTCCAGTTTTTGTAAGACAATCTATGGGTCTTACCTTGACTTTCTAAACCCTTTCTGAATCTGATACTAGTAATACCAATACACCACCAGGCAATTTGATTAGATACACCAACCAAATTTTGTAACCAATTCCATAAATCACCAGCACCAATGAATGAAGAACCGAAACACAATCCTCCACAAAACCAAGTGATAAGAACTGCAACGTATGGAACTTGCCATCTATTAGTTCTAGCAAGAAACTTTGGAGCATAACCTTCAACACCCATAGTGTATGCCAACCTTGATCCAGCATACAATGCATGATTACAAGCAGAAATGACAGAGGTCATAATAACTGCATTCATGAATGATCCTGAAACCTTAGATCCAACCATTTGGAAAACAATTGTAAATGGAGAAGTAGTGACACTCTTGGTGGAAAGATTTGGATAATCATATGGAACATTCATACCGATAAAGAAAACAGATAAGACGTAAAAGATTAAGATACGCCAGAACACGGTCTTAACCACTTTAGGCATTCCAACTACTGGGTTTTTCATCTCTCCTGCGGTCAACGCAATCGATTCAGTACCACCATAGGCAAAAGAAGCAGTTACAAAGATCTGGGCAAAACCTTTGAAGCCATCAACGAAGGGTGCATCTTTATAGCTCCACCATTTGAAACCAATATATTCATGGGAAGTGTTATGTCCAGCGTTTACAACAATACTAATAATGAAAAAGATCAAGATTGAGATAACTTTTAAAAGTGCCAACCAATATTCAGTCTCACCGTAGAACCTTACAGTGAAAACATTAAGAAATAAAATGAAAAACCAAAAGATTAAAGATATCACCCAAAAGTGGAAGTCTGTCCAGTAACTCATCACCAACTGTAATGCTGTAAGATCACTTGCAACTGATACGGCATCATTAAACCAATAGTTGGCTAAAATAGCAAACCCGAATGAATCACTTCCAAATCTCTTAGCGTATGTGGTGAAAGAACCTGAAACTGGCATATACGTAGCCATCTCTCCCAATGAAAGCATAGTTAAGTACACAACAACACCAATAATGAAATAACAAATGATTAATGAAGCTGGTCCACCGTTCGCCAATGATTTACCTGTACCAAGATATAACCCAGTACCTATAACACCTGCAATGGCAATCATATTGATTTGTCTAGTAGAAAGAGATCTACGAAGATTCTCTCTATATATGGGATGCAACCCATCTGTTTCAGATGTAGAGGAATTGGAGCCCCTGCTCTCCAAATCCGGTTGATCAACGTACGCAGTCTTTTTGTCCTCCTCTACAAGAGACATTCTGTATATATTGTGACTTAATTGCTAAACAGCAAGCACAAGTCTTCTACTTTTCGTCGAAACTTAACTAGTTATATACAAATATGCATGGAACCCATAAAAAAGAAATTTTTCAATAGAGGCTGACATATTGACGTCTGTGGCTGCAAAAGAATGAGTAGCGCCGTGATTACCAAATGTTAAAGAGAGAAAATAATGGTTGTTCAGAGTTTTTCGTAATTACACGTGAGTATTTTTTAGCAAAAATGTATGGAGAAAATCTTGCTGCCCGACAATTATTCCTACATTGGGGCCATCGGGGTCCTAATGCATCGCATGTCGCCTCTCTCACGTGATTAGCGCCTACGTTGGGGTTTTCGGAGTCCTACCATCGCATCGCTGTCTCCTCACTCACATGATTAGCGATCATGTGAGTGAAAATTATCAAGCTATATGTAAGGTCCTGATGAACCTTGATGTGCAGTCCCACTTGTGGTGTGCTTCACCTCTCAATTTTCCCTCAATGCACTGTGTACTGCCAAACTCGGATCAAAATGTGCTGAGGTATTGGATCGAAGGTCTTGCGGCCTTTTCAATGTGAGCTGAAAACTGTTAGCACAGTGCATGCATATTCGGATTTAGTCCCGACGGAACAACTGGGATAAAAGATCAAAATAGGATGAAAATCGTATTGTGAGTTAGAAGAACTTTCCTCCGGTGTGCTCTTTAGCTGTTATCGTAGCACACTTTTCGACTTCGCATTTCAAATTTGCTATTTCATCATCGTATGGTTAACTCTTCCCAGGGGTGGTGATGGATGTGTCAAATTTGTACTCCGTGCAGCATCCTGCATATACGTCCACCTCCATTCCGCTTTTTTGGTGCCGTTCAAGAACAACTCAAACAGCCGCCTATGAATGGAGAGTTAACACCCTGTTTTCTCTATACAAGTCTATCTAAACCCCAATATGTCTGAGTCAAGATCCTTACCTTACGCTCAAGAGTTCGTTGACTATGTCAACGCCTCTCCAACTCCATACCATGCAGTTAAAAATGTGAAAACATATCTCTTAGATGCAGGATTTGTGGAGCTTAGAGAAAACGCCAAATGGGACAAGCCTGCCAACTCAGGTAAATACTTTGTCACTAGAAATGGTTCGTCGCTTATTGCTTTCACTGTCGGTGGTAAATATGAGACAGGTAATGGTGTTGGTATCGTAGGTGCTCATACGGACTCTCCGTGTCTTAGAATTAAGCCAATTTCGAAGAAGACCTCAGAAGGGTTTATTCAAGTTGGGGTTGAACAATATGGAGGATTAATTGCACACTCTTGGTTTGATAGAGATCTTTCTATTGCTGGTAGAGTTTATGTTACTGACAGCGAGGGTAATTATGTTCCTAAGTTAATCAAAATAGACAAGCCCTTGTTGAGAATTCCTACCTTAGCCATCCACCTTGATAGATCAGTTAAGGATAAATTTGAGTTCAACAAGGAAACGAAATTGATCCCCATTGCAGGGCAAATCGCATTGGATAAGAACGAATTGAAGAACGAAAAGACCAAGAAGGATGCTGCTCATTCTTGTGCAGATGATCCAGCACTTCAAATGTCTCCCGAGCAATTCGAATCGGTGCAGTCGGTCATCACTAGACACAACGAATCGCTTGTTGAATTGATTGCAAAAGAATGTGGAGTTGAGCCAAAGCAGATTGAAGATTTTGAATTGGTTCTTTTTGACCACCAAAAGTCAACTATTGGTGGATTAAATGAAGAGTTCATCTTCTCCCCAAGACTTGATAATTTAACTTCGTGTTTCTGCGCTACCAAGGGTTTAATTGATTCGACCAAGGGGCTTCTGGATCAAGAAACCATTCAATTAATCTCACTCTTCGATCATGAAGAAATAGGTTCAGTTTCAGCTCAAGGTGCTGATTCCACCTTTTTACCTGATACGCTATACAGACTTGTAGATTTCGCTTCATTCCACCAAGTGATGGCGAACTCTTTCTTGTTGTCTTCGGATATGGCCCATGGTGTCCACCCTAACTATGGTGAGAATTATGAAGCTTCAAATAGGCCACATGTCAACAAGGGCCCTGTAATCAAAATTAATGCCAATCAAAGATATGCTACCAATTCCCCAGGTATTGTCTTGTTGAAGAAATGTGCAGAATTAGCTAAAGTTCCGTTACAGCTCTTTGTTGTCAGAAATGATTCTCCCTGTGGATCTACTATTGGACCTATCTTATCTGCCAAATTGGGGATTAGAACATTGGATTTAGGTAACCCGCAATTGTCCATGCATTCCATTAGAGAAACTGGTGGCACCTACGACGTGGTCAGATTGTGTGACTTATTCGAATCATTCTTCAACAATTACTACAATATTAGCACAAAGATCCAATGTGATGGTGCCAATTAATGTAAATACACTAACTTAGAAATATAATGCGTAAGTATGTATTCTTCTCTACGCCTATACCCAACTGCAATCGGTTGCATATACCAGCATACCAATGAAAATGCATACATATGTGTTCCTCACCACATTTCTGATTAATGTAATCAGTTGCTATGTTGTATCATACCAATGGAAATACATTTTCCAGGCTCTCACCAATGATATTTCCAGGAGGATAGTAAGAACAAATGATATACTTTCCCCATACTTCATTGCAATACTTGTAAGCACAGCCTATTTGGGACGTACCATTCCATATAACTTGGGTAAAATGATCATAAGTATCTTGAGTTTTGTAATTGTATGACTGGCCCTCGTCATACCATGCATTTACAGAACCATTTGGCGTGTAACCAATGGCCAAGTTCTCTCCATATGGCCCTCCAGAATGAACAAGATCTCCCGAACAATCGTATTTAGAGGCATAGGAGTAAGCGTAGTCATATAAAGTTGTGTTCCAAGCAACCTGCTGGGCATTGTGTAAGGACCTAAAGTTGTTGTGTGCCGCTAACATTATGCTATCGAAAGAGTGTGTAGCCACGGATGTGGTTCCAGTTGAGCTAGAGACTTTAGTTGAGCTGGAAGCGATGCTACAAGCAGTAGCGCTAGTGCTTGATCTAGTGATTGCAATATCTGTGGAAAATGTTTTTGAAGTAGATGAGGTAGTGAAAATGCTAGAGGTCGACTCCAGCTCTGTAGGGTGCCTCACCGTTGTCGTTAGTAGCTGAATAAATACAGTCAATACTTCCAAATGCGTAACAATAATCATCAATGCTTACGTCCTAATGTACTAACTCTAATATAATCCAGCACTATGTAATTTGTTCCAGATCAACCAAAATTACAGACAAAACAGTTTAGAGTGTAAAATATTTCTGCCCATATAAGCTCATTTCTGATAGACGAGTGCGATCGCTTCTAAACAGACCAGAAACAAGAGCAAAGAAATTCCTAGACATGCCTGGTGGGCCATGTAATGGCCATACAATTTGCAGCCATTCTACTAAACATTCTTGAAACATCGAAACGTGACTTTCTTGAATTTGAGTTTTTCTGCAGCACAAAAAAAAAAAATAAAATAGAGAAACAGAGCACAGCCACTGGTGGATCAGCACAGTGGAAAGCAAGTGCTGGAAATAGAAGTACCAGGAGAGAGTCTTTAGTCTATAGGCATTATGAATTTAAGATTTGTAGTAGGATTGTTATCAATAATAACGACAGTGATCTCGTTCCATGCAGTCCCTGTACTTTTTGCTTCTCATAAGCTAGTGAAAGATATTCGGTCTTCTAAGGAATTGACAGAATCTCACAGTGCTGAGGAAGTAACTAACTTGGCTAAGAAACTAATCACGCAGTGCTCGTCTAACCAATATATACTCGTAAATATCCCTGGATTGAGATTAGAAGATCTTCGTGTTAGCGAGAAGGATAACTGGCCATTCTTAAGGAAGTATCTTACGATGTCGTCGACTGTACTTGGGGTTCCTTGGTGCGAAGACCCGATTGATTTGAATTACTTGGAAAAGTACATAATCAAGACGTGTAAGGCAGAAACCATAAATGTGATACATGAAGATGATGAAGAAGTAAATGAATATATTGACACCAGGGTCAGAGTTATAAAAGTGGAGTTAAGTGAGTTGTCAGGAGATAGTTTAGCCAGAGAGGGACAGATCAGAAGGTATGACGATTTGATTAGGAAGATCTTGAGAAAGCTACCATCACCACACTACTCAATTATAATGACCTCATCCAAAGTAGTTGAGAATCATTTTACACCACATCACATTATTGAAGGGCACCCTGAGAGATTTCAGATTTTTAATGATATTTTCAATGACCCCAGTAGAGAATTTGATGTAGAGAGGAACGACAGGTTCCATGAGGTGCCACCGGTATTCTCTGCACCAAGACATACCAACGATAGATATTTGGCTAACAAGAAAAAAGACGAAATCCATTTTTTCGACTATGAATTATGGAAAAAAAATGAACAATTGATTATGACCATAGTGGTGATGGTTTTAGGTATAGCATTCTTAAAGGTCACTAGCATAATGAAGTACGTGTTGGGCAACTTTAGTAGAACAGGAGGTGATAAGAAGAGAGATTGAATGGATGCAAACTAAGAAAAGAGGATAAAGGCATGGGGTAAATCTTGAGTAAAGTAATAAGAAGAGAGTCCAAACAAACAAGAACATGGGAGTCTCTCGAAAATAGAGAACTTTCCTAAAACGGATGCTAATAAGCTGGAGATTGAATGGGTAAAAGGATGATGTGTCTCTCAAGAAAAAGGTAACTTCCGTAAAACGGGCCAAGAGGAGTATGGGGCGATTAAGAAAAGAAACTCAAGGCTAGTTCAAAGGTGAATAAAAAAGAAAGAAAAAAAAGAAAAGGTATCAGCGTGTTGGTTGTTAATGTGACCAGAATGGAGGAGAAAATATAGAGTATTGCCCATGAAGTGGAAAATATTGAGAATGAAGAATGAAGAATGAAAAATGAAGAATGTGGAAAAGTGGGAACTAGAAAGTGGAGTGGAGTGGAGTGCAGTGCAGCTCAGTGGAGTCAGAATCAAGGTGGATCAACTTGATCCCTTATCGCTCTCCGTTGGATTATTCGTAACCACCACATTCGACAAGGCACCTTCAAGAAAAAGAATAAAATAGAAGGGTAATCTACGAATTACGGATATTACAAATAATACGAATAATTCTTTCTGGCAAGTGAGTACAATATGCCTGAAGGATGACACTTTATTCCGGATCCCACATTTTTAGTCTACTTGCCTTGCTGATACCTAATCTCATTGTATTGAGCTTCCTTCTTCAGCTTACTCAACACTTCTCTTTTTCCAAACCATTATTTCAATATGCACCTCCCAGCCGAAACCTGCATTGGGAATAAATTGATTGAGATTATCGAATGATTTTTTTTTATCTTCTTTATTTTTTGCTGTGTGAAGCTCTCGCTTAGCTAAAATATTTAGCAAACCAACGAATGAAATCGAACTAAAGCTTAAGCAGTATTTTTGTATGTAGCTTACATTTCAGTATCGAAACAATTAGGATTGTTCAAGTCATAGTAGACATATAAAATATTATTGTTCCGGTTCCCATTAATCCAACTACCACTGCTATTGTTCTTCTCTATATTATTACTATTATACTCTTGTCATTCTTATTCTTATTCTTATTATCATCATTCTGACTTTTGCATGGCTCAAATCGTTATTCCATTCCTTGTTTCCTTCTCACTTTTGCCAGGCTTTAGAGTATTGACGCACAGGCGTAGAACACATGCACTATTTCTTTTTTTTATTATTTATTTTTGGTTAGTGGCATATCCTAGATTCAGGATGTTGTGTACCTTAAACACGATATGCTCCGATGACTTCACCACCTACATGTAGACGGAGTTAATTGGAAAGTGCCACTGCGTTTATAATCATCTGACATGAAAGTAATTGGTGTAAATCGAAAAGATGCAGAAATGCAATTTATCGCAAATTCGAGAGGGTTGCATGAATCACCAGAACACAATAGAACGTCTGCAAATGGTCATAGTATCAAGCTAAACCAAGCCAAACCAAACCAAACCAATCTAAATGCAAACTCGCAATCCTATCGACACCCACCATATGGGGCATTCTTATTACACGAAACTTCTTTTTCTTATTGCCTATCACTTCCTTGATAACCCCAATTCCAAACATCATACACCTCGGTGTCGAATTCAGGTATTCTCCATGAATTGTTTTTTTTTTTTTTTTTTTTTTTTTTTTTTTTTTTTTTTTTTTATTATGACCAGACCTTCATGCATGGCGTCAAAGTGGAATTTTACATTACAATCAGCTGAGAAATTTTAAATTCGATCATCAGAAATTAGATAGAGTGGAACTAAAATACGCAAAAGTTACTTTGTTGCACCATATTCAGTGCAACCGTAAAAGAGAAAATAAAGTTAGCGGGCAAAAAAATAAAAGAGGGGACCAGATTCAAACGTTTAAACTGCAAAATCGACTGATATCTATTGTGGGTTGAGTTTGTGTGTTCGAGTTGAGCGTCCATTTCGATTATCGTCATATTGTAGCTAGAATACCTGATGTAATAGGCTTGCCTAAGACGTATGTGCAAAGAGTCTTAATTTTTAAAAGTTTTTTTTTTTTTTTTTTTGCAGTGCATTCTTCCTGAACTACATACAGGACTTTTGTACGCAAACTGAAAGGAAACCCACTTTATTTGAGAATCACATTCACGAAGAGAGTTTAGGCGCCATCAACCATCCCTTTTCTCAGCCAAAACCGTCCATTCTTGAATAAAATACAGCGCAAAGGTATTTTAACATCGTTGCTGGAGAGGATATTCTTCTTAGGAAAAGCAGACCCACCCAGGTAAGAAGGAACAGGCCCCGCCTATTAGTAATATTTTACAGAGGGAGAGAGAAAGCGAGAAAAAGCCAAATTTGCAAAAAACAACTCAGAGCCAAAGATTCCAAAAGTCTACCACCAAGTCCCTCGCACTCATAAGATTACATTCACACAGTACAATTGTAGACGATGGAGTACTTAAAGTTCTCAACAAAGCCGTCAGGCGAGCACAAAGATAAGCATCATATAATCATTGTAGGAGCAGGGATAATAGGAGTGTGTACTGCCTATTATCTAACAGCACATCCCAAATATGATCCTAAAAAGTATCATATCACCATTATTGAGAGTAAACGTGTAGCCGGAGGAGCCAGTGGGAAGGCTGGTGGATTATTGGCGCTTTGGGCGTTCCCTCAGCAGATCGTGCCCTTGTCATTTGATCTCCACCAGACGCTAAGCAATAAATACAACGGTGAAAAGGAATGGGGATATAGACGTCTCACCACTGTGTCGTTGGAGGGAGACTTGAGTGGGGTACAAGATTCCGAATCTGACTACTCTTCAGAAGATGAAGAGGAAGACCAAGGGGAGGCGGCAATCACACAGCATCGTGCAACAAAAGGTGATCATTTAGATGGTTCTCCTTCATCCACCTTGACCACACCTTCCGCATCTAAATCATCGATCTCTTCCACGAACTCAACGTCGTCATCATCAGCATGGTCTGCTGCATCGTCATCTTCGAATACAAACAACAATATAGATCCACACCCCAAGAGCAAGGAACAATTAATAGAGGAATCTTACACGCATATCGTAGATAATCAGGACAGTGACTCATCAGCTGAGAAACCCCCCAAGAAAACCGCTAGGAACACCCGTTCCCTGACAAGAAGGAGTAATTCCAGTGCTTCTCAAAAGAACAAGCTCCCCTCAGATCTCAAATGGATTAATTCAAGCTTAATCGACTCCTGTGCATCACTTGGAGGAACTGATACCACGGCACAAGTGCTACCATATAAATTTACGAATTTCATGTTGAAGAAGGCGGTGGAGTACAGTCAGGGGTCCATAGAATTGATTATAGGGAAAGTTGAAGAAATTAAATATTCTATGGAAACAGGACAGGCAACAGGTGTGATATATAAGCCTTCATCATCGAAGGCGGCTACTGTTGACACAGTGAACGAGCGGATCGAACTAGGAGGTGATCAGATTGTATTGTCAGTAGGGCCCTGGACTTCTAAGATTTTACCTGATTGCCCTATTTCTGGATTAAGAGCACACTCCATTACAGTGGCTCCATTCAAAGATCAACCAGTCTCGCCTTATGCTATTTTCACAGAGTTGAAAACTGGACCTACGACGTATATTTCACCTGAAATATACGCTAGACATGATGAAGTTTACGTATGTGGAGAGGGTGATTCGGCAGTGGACGTTCCAGAGACTACAGATGATGTGGAAGTTGTGAAGTCCAAATGTGATGAATTATTCAGACAGGTTGGTAAGGTATCACCAAATTTGAAGAGGGGCCACATTTTGAAGAGACAGGCATGTTATTTGCCGGTACTTGATGTACCTTCTTCATCTGGTCCATTAATTGGTGAAACCAATGTTGAGAATTTATTTTTATGTTCTGGACATTCATGTTGGGGGATCAACAATGCTCCAGGGACCGGGAAAATTATGAGTGAATTGTTACTTGATGGAGTTTGTACATCGGCTGATATTTCAGGATTAGATCCTTCGTTGTACTTTGACGCAAGTGTCTTAGTAAGCGATGATGAGGATGATGAATCCAGTTCAGAAACGGGGGATACAGACAGCGAGTGGTCCAGGCATTAGTTGTGGGAAGAATAAATGGGAAAAAAATACAACACACTAAGTATTTTATAATATATATTCGATTGGTATGGGTATCTGTAGAGAGAGAGAGCTCAATCTTCACACCACATCTAAAGAGTAGGGCGACTTGCATACGTCTTGGTACCGTTAGCTTCGACGTTCTTTCTCTCATAACTCAAATTTGATCTTCTACAGTTAGTATACTGCTTGCTAACTACAGCTACTGGAAGACGTTGAATGCTTTCTTCGAACCTGAGCCCTCCCCTACACACACACCTTTATTACTATTCGATTTTCTTTTATTAAGTACACATAAAAAAAGAGACGCTAGATTATACTAACATCCACCAAAAGAAAATATATATCTTACAATGAATGCATTTAACTTATTTTATTTAAGAAGTAATTTAGTTTCTCTTAGCGAAACGTCTTGGACCTCTTTGAGCAGAGATGGCGACGGTTTGGATTGGGATCTTGAAACCTAAGGCCTTGACTAAGTCAGCAGTTTCAGAGTCAACTTCTAATTGACCGTTGGTGTGAGACAAGTCTAAAGCAGAGACTTCTGGAACGTATTGATCCTTTCTTTCTCTTTCTTCTTCTTGTAACTTGAAGGAGATACCTCTAACTGGACCCTTTTGAATTCTCTTCATCAAGTGGGTGGTGTAACCAGCAATCTTGTTTCTTAATCTCTTGGATTGGATAACAGCGATTTCAGAAGTTAATCTCTTGTTGGTTTCAAAGTCCAAGGTTAACTTTGGGTAGAAACGTTCAATTAAAACCTTTGAGGCTCTCTTAACAGTCTTAGTTCTAACACGACCCTAAATATATAGTTAGTAAAATGCCCGTAGCTAATATGTATGGTATTGTAACAGATCGTAACAGCATCCCTACGGATCGAAATGAAATGAAATGATATGGTATGATATGATAGAGTAGCCTAGGGAAAGGAAATGTCCTCCCAGATCTCTCTCCCATTTATATCAAGAGCTCTATTTCCTCCAAATTTGCTCTAATATGTCCATCTCTTGCAAGTCATTCCAAGGAACATCATTACAGTCTATCATTTCATCGTTAAAGGTAGTCCTTTTATGCCGTGAAAATTTTTTTTTCATTCCCTTGTTATTTCATTTTGGTCTACAGTAGGCAATGCTCACCACCACAATGTCATTGAATCCACTACATTTCCCTTTATTCTTTCGTTCTTGGTGGTTCACTCTTGCAGATCGTCTGTAAAGATACTGTTCACAATACTTCCAACGTGATATCACTATAGTACATACCATCTTGCTTGTTTAATATGTAGTTTATGTGGTTACGAAAAGCTATTTTTCAGTTTTTTTTTTCTACTATGTTTAAAATTGGAAATTGTTACACCCTCCCACCAGTGCGGGACTGCGTACAACCATCGTGTCGAAACAAAAATTTTGTCGAAGGACTGTACACAGCGACTTTTTGCGGATTGTATGCAATGCTTGAGGGTAGTAGTGCAGCTGGAGAATAATCTGGGCGGGTGCGCACTGGAGATGCACGTGAGCAGTGTGACTGTTGTTGGAGGTATGGGCTACTTTCTTCACACTGCGATAGGGGATTAGATAAGCAGCTGGGGGAGCACCAGTACTGAGAGTGGAGCTCAGGTCAGCGTGGATCTCTACTGTCAGGTACAGGGTATGGTATGATGATATGGGCGATATGTTGCAATTTACGAAACAATGAGAAGGATGCTTCCTTTCTCTACCTTTGAGCAAGGGGGCCAGAGCCTTAAATTGTATTTTTTTATGGAAGTATGTCAATCGCCCAGTAATTTATACGTCGTTCTTGCTCTGTACTCGTTCTTTGTTCTTGTTCTTGTTCTTGTTCGGTACTCGTTCTTGTTCTCGCTCTCGTTCTCGTTCTCATACTCGTACTTGTAGACTAGTAGGCGTCTCTAGATTACTGCTAGTAGCATGAACTTGCTTTTCAGCCAACACCTTAGCTCGCACTACTGGTTTCATTTCCTCTTATTCCAGCTCTTACACCATTTTAGCAGAGTTTCACATACACTACCGTCGCACTGATATCCCAGCCATCTCCTTCTCCATCTCTGGTGCATTTTTGACTAGAGAATCAGGCTCTTAGCACGCCGTTCTCTCACTTCTGGACGGTCGAAAAATTAATCCTAATCATTTGACCAGAATACCAAATACAATGCTGTCGCAACAGTCTCACATTCATCTCCGCTCATTTCCATTTCATCTTCTCTGCGTCTCCGGAGTCTTGACAGTCGCATCTCGTTCTCTCTATGTCCTTCCTCGATGGCTGCAAATTAGTTGATGATTTTCCTAAGGCCATGATCCTGCATATATCCATCTATGGAAATTCAAAGTTTACAAATATGAAACACCTCGAGCACACCCTGTTCCCGTTCATTGGACCGTACCGAGTGTAATCAATTCGAAAATTCATCTCAGTTTCTGTATAAGCGGTAGGAAATACCGAGGGAACCCAGAAACAGACGAAAGATTCGAAATTATAGTAAACCAAAGAAGGTAAACGCAGATAATCAACTGTCTTAGACTGACAAAGCAGCTGAATACAGACTGAAGCTAAATTAGTAAACTCAAGTAACACGTATAATATCAGTCAGAGCATGGATAACAAAGGGAGATTATACCACTGTGATGTCTGTTCATCGGACTGTACCAATCGTATAAGAATAACGTGCGCTATCTGTACTGACTATGATCTATGTGTGCCCTGTTTCGCAGCTGGTTCTACAACAGGGGACCATAAGCCATGGCACGATTATCAAATCATCGAGCAAAACACGTACCCGATATTTGACGAAGACTGGGGTGCGGACGAAGAGTTGCTCTTGATCCAAGGATGCGAAACATTTGGCTTGGGGAACTGGCAAGATATCCTGGATCATATTGGCAGTAGATCGAAGGAGGAAGTTGCTAAGCACTATTTTGACGTGTACTTAAATTCCAGAGAGTATCCTCTCCCTGAGATGAACAAGGACTTTACAAATATATCACCAACGGAATTCTTAATCAAAAGAAAGGAGAGATTGGAGGTCAGGAAGAACTTACCGTTACCCCCTCCAAAGACCAAGCCAGTGGCATCAGTTCCGCTTTGTCATGAAATTCAAGGGTATATGCCTGGGAGATTGGAATTCGATCATGAAGCAGAGAACGACGCTGAAGTGCCCGTGAAGGATATGATTTTCGATCCAGATGATCTGACTGGCGACATAGAATTGAAGTTGACCATCTTGGACATATACAATTCGAGGTTAACCACCAGAGCAGAGAGGAAGAGGATCATGTTGCTTAACAATTTGTTAGACTACAGGAAGAACATCAGCAATGACAAGAGAAAGTCCAAAGAAGAAAAAGAATTCATGAAGCAGATCAATGCATTTATAAGGGTCATGACGCCTGACGATTTTGAGTCCTTCCTGAGAGATTTGCTAACGGAATTGAAGTGCAGAATCAAGATTCAGCAGCTTCAGAATTGGAGAAGAAATGGGATAACTACATTGGAAGATGGGAACAAGTTTGAGAAGGATAAGTTGATCAGGGCTGCGCAGTACCAAAGGATGGGGAATGGATCTGGGTTGGCAGCAAGACACGCCACCTCTGGCACATCTTCATTCAATGGCTCCACACCCAACACGCCCAATGGAGGTATCAGCAGCGGTAGAAAGACGTACCTGTCCAATGCAACCTCACCTCCACCCGACTTCAAGCCCAAGATTTCCAATAACAGAGTACCGTTGGATATCTCGCACGCCGCGGACTTCGATTTGCTCTCAGATGAAGAGAAGCAGTTGTGTGCCACGTTAAGAATGTTGCCAAAGCCATACTTGGCTATAAAAAATCAGTTGATGAAGGAGGCGGTGAAGAACAATGGTGTGTTGAAGAAGAAAGATGCCAGACAGTCATTGAAGATCGATGTCAACAAGGCGTCCAAGATCTATGAGTTTTTTGTACAAATGGGATGGTGTACACAAGGATAGTAAGGTATTAGAGTGTTTATGAAAGTGTACCTAGGGTCGCTAGTTAAGGGAAATTGGGGTGAGTGTAATCAAGAAGATGTTCATTGGCCCATCGATGTGTGTAGTATTATAGAAAATAGACGAATCATGACTAAGCTTCCTCTGGAAATTAACTAATTACTGTTTTTGTTTTTGTCCTTAATTGCTATCGAGTGCAAGCAACCACACCAGCCATCTGTGGTTCTTCCTCTGCCCATCCCTATCCCATCACCACTACTTCCTCAGCCCATCTCCATCTCCACTAAGTCTAAACGCTCCACTGTAGGTACAGCCTTTCTGGCTCGCATCAACATCGCACACAGGGCTCGCAACCAAGACGCCTAGTACGCTTCTCGAAATGTTTCCAGTTGATTTAAACACTTCATCGTTAATGATCCTCTCAAAACAGCCTTGAACTGAACATTCTCATCTCAAGCGCAACATGAAACTCTTCCTCACTACATCATTGTTGCTTTCCACCTTGGTTTCGTGCCAGTGGTACCCTCAAGACCAAAAATCCGAGATCCCAATCGAATTCCAGGGATACGAAACTGGACAGGAGATCTACTTGGAGTGCATCCAAAGAAATATAGATAACGGTGAACATAAATTCGACGAGAAGGATCGAATCATATATGCACCCTTCCCCAAATGTAAGGAAACAGGAAGTGCATTGGCTTTGAAGTATGGTGTTAGCGAAGACATAAACTGTACGATTGCGTTTACCGATGAGCTCTATCATTTGTTTCAGCTCTACATCCACGAAGATGCTCCATTCAGTTGCAGAATCCCCATCAGTGGTGAGAAGGACTACATCAGAAGAGGTGGAGCCTTCATCCCCTTAACTTTTAACTTCAGAGGGGAAATCCACGACTCTCATCTTGATATTGACGACTCCATCAACCTTGTCGCAATTGGAGCTCCTATAAATGACAAGGAAGGTACAGTAGTGAGCGCCATTGCTTGGTCCTCAGGAACGAATGCCACTCGTATTGTTATTGGAGACTATCTCACGCTCAACCTTGGAATCCGCTGGCTAAGTGGAGTCTCGCCATATGGGGGATCCTCCAAGGAAGCATTGAAGAATGCAGCACTTCCCTTTGCTGATGGCTTTTATAAACTCCCCAAATCCTTCATGAGTTTCAGTACCGAGCAGTGGTACATCTCAATGTTATTTGCTGGTTTGACTGGTGCAGTGGTGATGTACCTTTTCACCTATTTCACCAAGACAAACCGTGCGAAGCAACACAAGTGGGTGGATCCAGAGGTGGGATTCACGAAGAATGACTAAACTAAACAAAGGAGAAGGGAAAAGAAAACTAAGAAAACACCAACGGAATGCAACTTTAAGTATGTAACTTTTATTAAATATACAAGGGACCCTAAGAAAATGAAGGAAAATATAAATTGAAAAGGATAGAGTGATTCTGCTTATTTGCTCGTCAAGTATGCTCCTTTAAGTTGAACTAGGCTCTAATTCTTACACTTCTTTATGATGGCTCTCAATAAGCCCTCTACTCTTTCAGTTGGCTTGTTATCTTCATCCAACAAGAATTGATTGGTCAATTGCTCAACGAACAACAGCGTCAACTGTTCCTTTTCTTTGGGGTTAATTATCTTCGCTTTATATGCCATGAACTTGTTAACAGCCAACTGCAAAGATCCAGCAAGGTTCTCACTCGCACTGGTGACCTTTCTGATCGGTAAAGTGATGTCAATCAAATAAGTACTGAAATTTTTCTGGTAGTTGGATTGTAAGTAGTTCAATACATGCATGTAAAGGTAGTCCTTATTTAAATCGTCAAAATGATCCACAATCTTTAAGAAGTTCTCCACAATCTCAAATGTCTTTGATTCTTCAGTTATTACATTTGAATTGGCTGGGATAGTCTTGAGGATAGCCGGAATACATAAATCGAATACAGTTAATGCAACGTCCCCTCTTAAAGCAGGGTTTGTTTCAGGGTTGCCAAGTACGTTCATATCTGCTTCAGGTAAATGTTTCAACTCTTCTTTCATCACATCCTCACCAGTCTGTTGTGGCAATATTATCACATCACTGTCGACATCCATGTCAGCAGAGTCCTTGTCTAATGCTTGTTGCAAGTTATCGCTCTCGCTTTGCAAATGGTCTTGTTGTTGCTTTTGAGCAATTAATCCTAAAACCTTTCTTCTGGCCAACAATCTGGAGATGTATGTCAATTCAAATTGTGCATAGGATAACCACAATTCCAAAGACTCCGGGTTGAACCTCAAACCTCTCTGAAACAAAACTCTTGCACCTTTGGCGTTGGCATTGGTTTCAAATTCATACTTGGCTGCAGACAACCAAGCATCTACATTTCTAGGCTGCAATTGTAATAACCTAGAGTACACCTTATATATCACTTTAATGGCTCCATTTGCTTTGGCAAACTTCAAGTACTGTCCCCAGATACTCAAATCTCCTGGGTATCTCCTGGTAGCTCTGTCGAATATGAATAAAATTCTTCTTGAACCGGCCCAGTCCAGTAAGCTCGGCTTGGTTTCAATCAAACCAACCTTAGATAATCTGTTATATCTCTTCTTTCTTAATTTTTCTAAATTACCTTCAAATTCTGCATACTTCAAATAATCTCTAGGTTTGGATCCTCTACCTTGGATACGATGTTCGAAGTCGGTTCTTCTTCTCATGATCATCGTGATTTCATTTTTGTCGAAAAGACCTTTCTTGGTGAGATCTTCGAGCTCAGGAACAGACTGCTCAAGAAAATATCTAACCTTTTCAGCCATTGTCACCCTTTTTCTTTACAGGTCTACCTATCGGTCCTGGAGTTCTTTGTACTCATTTTTTTTTTCAGCCTACTGATGAGATGAGACTGATTTACAAGTTATATGCAGGTCCAGATACTAAGTTGGAGATGTTGTGTAAATGTTGACTTTATGGGGAAGATATTCCAGAGTTAGAGCGGGCAGTGGGCAGATACGGTAGACATGAGTTGGTGTAACACAATGTAGACGTTGATAGTCACTGGAGTTGAGTTTACACCGGTATTTCATCAGTGATAATAATAGACACTAAATATTGCAAAATAAAAAAAAAAGGACAAATGCTCCAGGAGGGGTTTGAACCCACGACCGTCGCGTTCCTCACACGACCGTGACTTATGGTATAACCAAATCGTCGTAATACGGCTATAAGCACGAAGCGCTAACCTCTGCGCCACTGGAGCACCTGCTGAGGAATTTTTTAGTTTTTTACGCTAATGCGAGGAAATGCATAGGGTTCAGTAGACATGGGCCGCCTATCTATGGGGGAATGTATCGCTAGGATAACAGATGTATTTTTGCTTTTGAGGTAGCTGATATGCCCAGGAACCCCGGGGCCATGCTCAAGATGTAAGTAGACGCCATTCTGTAGAAGCAGTTTTTTAAAAGCATTACCAACAATAGGAGTCTACAGTTGAAAATTGGCGAGAGTTCTACATAGAGGAGGAGGATTACATCTGGAAATTAGACTATTGTCACTAATTAATTTGACGCTATACTAAAGGAACTAGGGGACAATCAAGTTGTTTCCATAACAAAACTAGCAATTTTCTACTAGCATCAAGTTCATGCCTAGAACAGTTCAACGAAGAATTTGTTAAATCGATCATCAGTGACATGCCATCGATCTAGTCTGAGGAGTATCTTGGCCCCAGAAATGATGGCCAAGAACAGCACCCACTACAGTTGCAATCATGTACCAGCCGTTGTACGTCATGAAGATTAACATGAGCATGAACGAGTACCCAACTTGAAATCCATAAGTCAATGACTTCAGCCATTTGGCATATTTACGAATGAGAGGTGCTGAGTTGTTTGCTGACAGTACTGGAGCCACTGAGGCAGTGTTGGCTTCTCTCTTATTGAACCAATATTTCGTGTACTCGTAACCCGCAGCAATAATTACAATGGCTACCAAAGTAGCTAAGAATTGCGGGAAAGTTTTAACGTGCCACCATCTATATACCACACAAGTGTTTTTCCAATCCCAAGTGAAAAGCATCTAGTGAAATGTTAATAACAAATACAAAAAAAAAAAAATATGCTAAACAAAAGTGTCCCTACTAGGTGACCCATTCTGATTGTTTATAGGGGTGGAGGTTCTAAAAGCCCTCCCTTTGGGGTATTTTATCATTTGAAATACATCCTAAAAATTGAGTAAATCGAACTCTACTCAGTGTATTTATACTTACATTCATCGAGCACATTGCGGGCATGTCGTGGTCCATATCTGGCATTGAATGGTCCATGCTGGATCCGGCGTAATGTGAAGAGTGGTCCATTTCTATAAAAAAAATATGTAAAGGAAGAAGGATTCCAAAATATATACCAAGAATGCTCCGTAAATTAAAAGCCAACAATAATAGCACCAGAAAAAGAAGAGCAAATTAATCCTAGAGGTGAATTATACTATTGATGAAATAGATAACAAAGTATTTCCGGTAGAGCTGGTCAGAAGCCTTGTTTGCGGTGTATATACAGGACAACAAACAATAGCCTGATTTGAAGCATTTGTAAGATGTGCACTCGATATACACCTGGCAGCCAGCAGTCAATATCTACGTACATTGGGCATGAAGATCACCACACCCGAAGAAAGAGAAGCGCATGGGGCACATGTTGCAGCTGAAAGTATTAAAGGGACCTTAATTGGGGGCTTAACGTCAAGTGCGATTTATCTTTACATTAGGAGGTACCGTCCCGCACAATTCAGATCGTTCAGTACCAGCGTAAAGGCATGCCTACTAATTTTACCAACTATTGGGTTATGTTCGTTCTGGGCCGAGGAAGGTTCACGGGAGTTTGATATGAAAATGCACTCGGAACTCGGAAGCGATCTAAAGCTTCTACAAGAATATCAGGATTGGAAACACAAGTCAATTGGTGAGCAAGTAAAGCTTAGCTTGCTCGATAACAAGTTCAAGATCCTCTTTGGTTTGTATGGTGCATCATTTTTCGCGGTACAGGAACTTTCCAGAGGGAAGATAGGCCCTGAAGCTCAGGCATTAGCAAGAAGGAACTATTCCTTGGGATTTGCAGCAATTTTCTTAAGTATTTTAATTGGGTTGTCTAGACCCGAAAAGGAAGCGCCCAGCGATGAGTGGAAGAAGTATTTGAAGAAGAAACAGTAAGTATCTTCCAGCATCTTTGCCTCTTCTACCTCTGCTTGCCATACTTTTTTTTTTTGGAACCCTACCTAGGTAGCATCTCTCCTGTATATAACACATTAATGATTCATGGTTTTTTTTTTTACTACACAGTAGAAAATTTCAACTACTAGTGGCTAACTGTTGTCTTAGATAGGGTACATCTGTTGATACATCGTAGATATATTTGTTTATATATCATCGTAGATATACTGTAGCTATAACTGTACAGTATGCCGCCGAAAAATAAGAAGAATAATGGCCCAGTGAAGGGGAACAAGAAGCAAAAGGAAATCGTACAAGATGAAAGATTCCAGGCTATTGTGCTCACGGACTCATTCGAGACTAGATTCATGCCCTTGACTTCAGTTAAGCCAAGATGTTTGTTGCCTCTTGCCAACGTCCCGTTGATTGAATATACATTGGAATTTTTAGCTAAAGCCGGTGTCAATGAGGTGTACTTGATGTGTTCTTCTCATGCAGATCAGATCCAAGAGTATATTGAAAACTCTAAATGGTCTAGTCAAGAATCCCCTTTCAACATTTCTACCATATTATCCCTTGAGTCGAGGTCGGTAGGAGATTCAATGCGTGATTTGGACAATAGAGGGTTGATCACCGGAGATTTCCTTTTGGTTAGTGGAGATGTGGTGACAAACATTGATTTCAATAAGGCCATGGCCGTTCATAAGCACAAAAAACTGTTGGACAAGGACCACATCTTGACCATGGTTTTGACAAAGGCTTCACCTTTGCATAGAACTAGGTCTCCTCTTGATCCAGCCACCTTCCTTTTGGACAAAAAGACAAATAGATGCATCTACTACCAGCCAATCCCACCCATTAGCAATGCCAGTAAATCTTCCTCTGCCAGTATAAATATAGACCCAGAGTTATTAGAAGACGTAGAGGATGAAATGCTGATCAGAAACGATCTTATTGATTGCCACGTTGATATCTGTACTCCTCATGTTCCTCAGATTTTCCAAGATAACTTCGATTATCAATATTTAAGACAAGACTTTGTCAATGGTGTATTGACCTCCGACTTATTGAAAAAGACCATTTACGCTTACATCATCGAAAATGATGAATACGCAGCGAGGGTGGAAAGTTGGGCTACCTACGGTGCTATATCACAGGATATCTTAGCAAGATGGAGTTACCCATTAGTTCCTGATGCTAACTTGTTGGACAATCAAACGTATACGTACGAATTCAACAACATTTATAAAGAAGAAAAGGTTATCTTGGCCCAATCCTGTAAGATTGGAACAAGTACATCCATTGGAAGCAAATCAAGTGTTGGAGAGGGCAGTCACATTAGTAAATCTGTCATAGGTAGGAATTGTCAAATTGGTAAAAATGTTAGAATTACCAATTCTTATATTTGGAATGACGTTGTGATTGAAGACAATTCAGTTATAGACCATGCAATTATTGCTCACAATGCTAAGATTGGTGCTGGGGCTACCATTAATCCAGGTGTTGTAATTGGCTTTAATGTTGAACTTGGTAAGAATAAGACAATTGCTAACAATGTTAGAATTGTTGAGAAGCCAATAGAAAAGGAGGATGATGAATTTGATAATGCTTCTTCCTTTGGGTCTGATGAGGAGGAGGAAGAAGAGAGTGATAATGAGGAAGACGAAGTGAAGAAGCAAAGTACTAATAATAAGAACATTCCCTTGTTTGAAGTTAAAGACATTGATTTGGTCGGTGAAGATGGTACCGGGTTTCTCTACACTTCAGACAGAGAGGTTGACGATTCGGATTCAGAATATGAAGTATCGAGCACTTCTAACGCTCCATACTCTGGAGTACTTTATCAAATGCAAGCATTGAACTTTTCAGACGACTCAATCGCTTCATTGACAAACCACAAACACAAATCAAAGAGACGTAGCAATAAAAATAGAAGACTATCATCTGCTTCGGTTGTTTCCACCGATTTCGAAGGTGGATATTCGGAAGTTGACGATGACGAAGAAGACTTTGATAAAGAAGGTATTGCCACGGTTGAAAGGGCTCTAGAAAATAACCACGACATCGATACAGCATTACTAGAATTAAATACATTGAGAATGTCCTACAATGTCACATACCATGAAGTCAGACTGGCTACAGTGCAAGCATTATTAACAAGAGTTGTTCATTTTATATCTACCGACACCTTAGAAGTTAAAGAAGCTACAGAAAAGATTTTCAGAACTTGGGGCCCATTGTTCAGAAGACAAGTATTTGATGAGGAAGAACAAGTTGACTTGATCCAAATCTTACAAAACAAGTCTGTTATATTAGACAATACCTATAACCAGAAAATACTTTTCTTTGCAATTAACATTTTGTATGACGAAGAAATCATCGAAGAAGATGCAATCTACTTATGGTGGGACAGTGCAACTTCCAATGCTACCAAAGAATTAGCTACTGTTAAGGAATTAACTGGTAAATGGGTCGATTGGTTGAGAGAAGCGGAAGAAGAAAGCGATGAAGATTAAGATTAGCTAATTACTAATACATATATAGGTATAGACGTCAATTATTTTATCCATGCGATATAGTTCAAGTGTAAGTGCCAAATGCATCTCAGTTTGTGTTGCACATCGCATATCGCATTTCGCTTCTACAAATGGGTGCAAAAAGATTTTGACTTGTTTGTACTTGAGGAACATACCTAAAGCAACAGCAATTGTCAAGAAGAAGCTGCGTTGTAACTCAAATTGTGTTTCTTCTCATAACCTTGCAGTGAAAACGTTGGCTATGGAACAAGATGCAAGTTATTCATTTAGAAGATTGAGATCTCTTAAGGCTCCAGGCACATTTGAAGTCAGCCTACCGCTTAATGATCTCAAGTCCTTCAATAATACTAAAGATCCATCTACACTCAAGTTTTCCTCTGAACAGGAAGAACAAGCAGGTGTTATGTTAGAAGCTTCTAGGTTGAACCAGGACTTTACTATTTTGCGTTACCCTGAGTCGGCTCAACAGAGAAGAGTCATATTGTCTCACACGCCAGAGCTTTTGAGTTTGAAGGAATCAAGAGTAGAGAAAGTTCAATTATCTGAAGAACTGGAAGAGGAAGAAAAAGAAGAAGAAGAAGAAGCTGGTGATCTTAGCAGCAAATTGGAGGGTAGTAAGTTCAAATATAGAGACGATGAAAATGATGAAGAGGTATTTTATGAGGCTTCTCCTGTGATGCAGATTAAACCCTTTCTTCCCGCAAGTGATTCTTTCAATAATTTTGAGCTTCAAGAATACACCAACTTCAAGCTAGACTCCAGTAACATCATTCAGAGAAAGATGGATAGCGAAATTTATTATCCTTCGCTTCTTCGGGAATCATTTTCTCCTATTGTTGAAGTGAGGTTTGAGCCAATGGGCAGGCCATTGATTTCCAATTCTATGCCATTGAATCTAGAGATGCTCATTTGTGATGCAAATCAAATTATGATAAGAAAGTCAGCTCCATTCTGTAATATTTACGATAGCAATACCTTTAGGCTACTTCACATTTTGGAATATGAATTCGACTTGCTTGATGCAAAGGAGGAGGGCGCTAACGAAGAAGTAGACTGTGGGTGGTTAACAAAATTCAGAAGATTAGTATTCGGGTATCTGGAATCAGAGTACAGTATTTTATATCCTTGGCAATACTTGAGCTCTTTCGAAGAATCTAAAGGCGAAGTGTGTAGAAGCTGGGGTGATGATATAAATCTAGATCATGATGAGGGGGGAGAAGAGATGATACGTGGGGAAGAAGAAGAGGAAAAGGAAGATGAAGAAGAAAGTGAAGTGGAAGAACATGAAGATGATGGAGACGGTCGTAGATAATAATTCCGATTATATTATTAAGAAAACACGAATATGATTAGTGAGCTCTATGGATTATTCATATGTAGGTGCTAGCGTTTTGCTGCTGATGCAATTGATTTATATTGCTCTCTTGTTAATTCAGCCTGCTTACTCAACTCTTTCAATTCCTGTCTTTCAAGGGAAGAATAGTAAATGGATAGGCCCGGCCATGAACCCAAAGAAACCACAAGGTTGGCTGCTTTCCACTCTTTTCTAATTTGAGTGAGCACATATGACTTTAAGCCCGGAATATTTGCTAATCCTCCAGCTATTATTATGTTCTCAAGGATTCGGGATCTTACATCGATGCTAGTCTTTGCAATGAACGATATTATTCCAGGGATTAGGCTCGTAACAAGAGATTCTACAACTTCATAGCATATAGATTTAGGTATCACTATGGAATCTGTGAATCTGTGTTCTTCAAAAGATGATGTCTGAGACCTATCTTTTCTTACAAACAATGATGTCTGGATGAAGTTCTCTACAAGTTCAAATCCGGAAGGGGAACAAAGAAGCTGATCCAAAGCTGCATTCTCTAAATCAAGAAGCCTTTCCACTATTTTATAGTGCAATACAAGACCTGACATATGGCTCGATGGGAAATCTCTTGAAGATATCAAACGCAAATCCATAACGGATGTTACAATTGCCGACAGCCATCCTAAATGAACTACTAAACTGTCTGATACACCAGCACCTACAACTTCCATGATTGGTTCCGGAATCCAACAAATCGACTTAAATCTTAATTTTGACAACAAAATTTCAGCAATTTGGTTCTTTTCTCGATTAGATGTATACACTGGCTCAATTAGGATGGCTTTACATTGAGACAGTATAAGTAACAACGACTCAAGAAGCTCCAGTACGGAATTCTGGATTTGAAAATCTCGGCTCGATGCCAAAGAATCTTCGTCCATGCTGAAAATTTTTGAAACTTTCTTGTGAAGAGGGATATTCAACAATGAAGATGTCAAAGATTCTCGTTGTTCAATAGTCAATGCCTTATCATGTATTTCATAGTCAAGAGGGAAAGCGTCTATGCATGCTTTTTTATTTATGTAGGAATGTCCTATTGCTTTAGTCTGGGGAATCGAAATGAATTTTGATCTCGGAGCAAATTCACCCAGAAGCCCTATTCGAACATACCTACTTCCAATTTCAACTAAAACGGTTTCCATCCATGAACCGATTGAAAGAACAAGAACAAGTAGAGCAAGAAAGCTTGCAGTGCTTGTATATTGGTATTCAACCAACAGAAGCCAGGCTCAATGTACATATACATATCTGGGTCACGCGCATATCACGTGCCCTGCTTGTTTTTGTATTGAAAATTTACAGAAAACGAGCCTTCAAGGAAACCGATTGACCAGAATAAAGGCTCTCATACGAAGTCAATCTGTTACTTAATCGATAGTATTATGCTGCTCGAACCTGAGATACTACTAGAGAAGAGACAGAATAAATTAGCGGAGCTTCTTCACCTCGTTCAGGATCCACTTTTTGAGAGAGTTTCTAAGGAAGGGCTTGAGGGATTGAAGGAATTTCTTACTGCCAATGTGGTGGGTACAGTATTCAAGCTTGATTCCTTTGCAAACGGGACTACGCAGACAGTATCCGAAATAATAGGTGATAGGATCAATGGAGATCTATTCCATACGGACTTAGAAAGTGGCGCCTTGCCCCAAGGTGCTGAAGAGCGTGATGTGCTTCCACAAAAAAGACAAGCCGATTCCAACATTGAGGATGAACCCCCAGCAAAAGTACTAAGATCTGGATCGCAGGTAAGCACTGGTCGTCCAGTCAGAACCAAGTATGAGACTCGAAAACAAGCTGCATTGAATTCTATGTCACGCCCACAGACACATACTCAGGCACAAGCATCGAACCAAGCAGCTCAAGTGCCATATACTGCCACTCCAGTTTCAGTTCCTGTATCCTCCAAGCAGAATATTGTAGCTTCCATTTCAAAAGCTAAGTCATCAGAGACCAATAGGGAGCGTAGCCACAACCCCAAAACGCAGTTTCTTGATAGAGATATCAGCGATTTGGACGTCCTTACTGTTCCGGAACACTATCCAACCAAACCCCATGCGGTTTCATCGTTGGCAGAGTTGTATTATCTTACGCAGACATTACCGTTAATCAAACTTTTACCAAGCAGTCACAAGGCACTCATGTCTGAGAATTACGAACTTGCTTTTCTTGAAGGGAAGATAGCGGTGTTGTATTCAAGAATAGAGGAATTAAAGAGACAAGGGAAATGGTCTTTAAGACAGCCTATAAAGTACAAGGATCCAATGCAAGGTAGCAGCCACTGGAGTAATGTCTTGGAAGAAGGTAAATGGATGGCATCTGATTTTAAAGAATCTTCTAAATATAAAAAGGCGTGCTGTTATATGATGGCACAGGCGATTTCTGACTATTGGACATATGGTAAAGATTTGGTTTGCATTAAGCGGAAGGGCGTGAGACATATTGAATCAGCTCCAAAGGCAGATCTTGAAGAGGAAATACTAGGAGAAACCATTCCTGACTTGGTACCCGAGATTAAGGAAGACGCAAAGGATGCCGATGGAGATATAGTAGATGATGATGAGGAAGACCAATTTGTAGATGCTAAGGCTGTAAATTCTTCCATGGAAGCAATTGATGTTCTGACTCTTCTAGAAAAAGATCAAGCGGTCAAAGAGGAAGACATTGTAGAGGAGTCAGTGAGCAAAAATGAAGAATGGAAGAGAGGGCCTCCACTTTCAGATGATCAAAGTAACTACCCATTCAAGCTTCATGTTAATTTAAATGACTTGAAGAAAATTGATCAATCGCTTATATTAAATTTACCGAAGTTCACTGCTTTTGATGATGACACCAATAACACAAAGGGGCCATTGAAGACAGCAGACAATTCTCCTTTGACCGCTGTCTCAAGATTATTGTATCCACTTGAACAGGATGACGACTGGTATAAGGTCATTCTCACCGAAAGTACATCAAATTCCAAACAAGTGACTTCCGCAGGACCTCCAGATTTCCAAAAGGGTCTATTTGGGTTCCAATCGCATCGCAGATTCAATAGTTTGAAACCGCCAAAACCACCATTGATCAAAAACATTGAATTCAGATCTCCAACTATTTGGTTACCACAGGATGATAAGTACTTGATTCATTACGTTGCAGAGTTTTGTTTTAACTGGCAACTTATTTCGGAGCATTTGCTGTCCTCTGCAGCGAGTATGAAAAAGTACGAATCAAATATTGAGAGAAGAACTCCATGGCAATGTTTTGAAAGGTATATTCAATTGAATGAAAAGTTTCAATTTTCAGACATGAAAGGCGTTTACTCGTATCATGCTCAGCAATGGTTAGAACAAGCTCATAAGGCACAACTGACTACTAAGAGAAGAATATCCCCACTTGGAGTTGGTAATGAATCCATTCAAAGAGGTCATAGAAGATTGCGCTGGGCTTCAATGTTTGATGCAATGAGAAAATCAATGAAAAAGAGGGAAAACAGCCTGGCGAAGACTACTTTGAGAAAAACAAACGAATTTGGAACTGCTCCTGGAACAGGTGCCTCAATTGTAAATAAGAGGCCAAGTGATAAGGTGCCGTCACCAGCAGAACTTTCTAGATTGAAGCATGAAAGAGACAAGTCAATCCAAGAAGCATACATAAACCAACAAGCCACTAGAACTAGAATGATGGCTGCTGTAGCTCAACAACAAAAACAGCAACAGCAACAGCAGCAGCAATCACAACCACAATCTGGTGCAAATCCGAACGGCGGTAGGTTGCCTCAAAACAATAATGGAGCGAATCCGCAACAGAAAATATCTGCGTCTTCTTCAGGTTCTAGTGCAAATGGATTGGGTCCATCAAATACCAGTGGCATGGTTCAGCAGAATGTTGGCTCTCAAGTTCAAGGTCCAAAATCTAGTATGCCCTTACAACAGGGCCACCAACAAGCTTTGTCACAAGGGCAGCAATCTCATGGATCAATTCCTTCGCAGAAGCCACAAAATCTGACAAATCCAATGATGAAAAGGCCAACTTCGCCTGGCGGAACTCCATATACTGCTGAGCAAATACAGCAGTTGCTTCAAATTCAAAAGCAAAGGAGATTCATGCAACAGCAGCAACAGCAGCAACAGCAGCAACAACAGCAACAAGCTCCCTTATCTCAACCACTATCTCAAGATATGCATGGCAAACCAGTAAGTGGATCGTCTTCCATGATCCAGAATCAAAATAATCCTAATATGGGAAGATCGTTGGCGAAAAACAATACTATGGGTATGACTTCAGGTACTGGTGTAGCAGGACTGGCTCCTCAATTACAGCAGCAGCAACAACAACAACAACAACAACAACAACAACAACAAGCATTCCAACAAGGCAATAGGCCACAAGCTACTGGTCCCGGTTCAGGAAGCAAAGCAAGGATTCATTTTGCTCCTGCGCAAGTTTCAGCTATCATTAATTCTATTCAAACGAAGAATCCCAATTTAAGTAAGGAGCAGGTGACCAAGTTGGCAGCTACCTATTTAGCAAATCTTCAGCAACAGCAGCAGCAACGCACGCAACAGCAGCAGCAACAGCAACAGCAACAGCAACGCACACAACAGCAACAGCAACAACAACAACAACAACAAGGAACACTCCCTCAACAGCAACAATACATTGGTGGACCTCAACAGCAACAAAGGAAGCCCAACCAAGGGCAGTACATTCCAGCCCAACATCAAAAGCAACCACAACTTGCTACGCTTACCCCACAAGAGAGAAATCAACTTCAGATGCTCAAAGCTTCTAGAATTGCCCAGCAAGAGAAGCAACTTCAGCAGCAGCAGCAACAACAACAACTTCAGCAGCGTCTCCAACAACAGCAGAAACCTGGAAGTGGTCCTGTTTCAGGAGCTTCGAGCCCCCTTGAGGGCGGGTCCAATATGTCCAAACAAGAATATGAACAAAGGAAGAAAATTTTAATGCAGAGACAGCAGCAACAGCAGCAGCAACAGCAACAATTGCAACAACTCCAACAAAGTTCCCAATTGCGTCAACCGGGAAGTTCTGCTACGCTGTCGCCTCAGGCTCAGAATCAGTCTCCGCCAAATCAATCTGGGAAACAGAATAGATGAGGAAGGTATTGTATAGAGAATTGAAGTAGAATAGTACATGCTGTTTGCATAGAAATAATAATCAAGTTAAAAATTTGGTGTTGACACCATGTTGTAGAATGAGATGAACTAAAGCTATGAAAGAAACTGAACTTATTCACAGTTAAGTTACGCAATTGGTGTGTACACCATGGCGTAGAATGAATTAAACTAATCTGCATGTAAAACAGAGCGGCTGCAAAATAAACATGTATATCATAGAAACAGCAGAAGCGAAAAAAAAAAAAGAAATATGCAAACCGGATCTCATACACTGCTTCCCCAGAGACGACTACTACAGCCAGAAACCAACTAGGCTTGAATACGGCGCCTTCATTGCATTATTAATGCAACCGTTTCTGTTTGATATCAGATGATGAAAAATCATACGAATTTTTCACTCGACCAAAAAAATTATCGAAAGGTGCGGCTTCCATCTCGTATTATCCTGCATGTGCACCATGTACGATCGGTATGATTTTTTTTCTTCACGTAAACTGCAAATCTGGTGATGAAGTTTTGCATTGCATCGTTTAAGCAAACATATTTAGTGGAAGAAAGTTGGACTTTTCTGTTGTATTCTAGAAAGAAGAGAGAAGGAAAACTGTAGGACACCAAAAAAAAATTAAAAAAAAAAGGTAGAACACAACTTGACAGGGAAGTAAAGTTCAAGCATTGTACAGTGAGAGCATCAAATAGAAAAGATCACAAGTATGACATCCACGCAATTTGATGTTATCGTTGTTGGAGCAGGGGTTGTTGGACCGGCAATTGCCACTGCTCTTGCAAGACAAGGTAGAAAGGTCCTTATTGTCGAAAGAAGTTGGGAAAAGCCCGATAGAATCGTTGGAGAATTGATGCAGCCTGCAGGATTGAAGGCATTAAGAGAGCTAGGAATGATTCAGGCAGTTAATAATATCGAAGCTACGTTTGTAGAAGGGTACTACATCAAGTATAACGACGATGTTGTGTCATTGAAGTATATGGAGAAATCCAAGGCACAGGTTACCAACCCCACTCATCCTGTGCCAGGGTGTGTCAAGGATGGAAACGACAAGTTGCTCTCAGACGGTGTGGTTGACGCCACGGATTGGGAGATGGATTCAAGAGTAAGAGGAATTGCCTTCCATCATGGAGACTTTCTCATGAATCTTCGTTCTATTGTGAAACTGGAGCCTAATGTGACTGCATTGCAGGGAAATGTCACTCAAATTATACGAGATGATGAACAAGTTGTCAACGGAGTCAAGGCTAAATTGACCAATGCTGATGGATCCACAGAGATTCAGACATTCAGTTCGAAATTAGTGGTTTGCTGTGACGGGATATATTCGAAGTTCCGTAAGGAGCTCTCCAAAGATAATATACCACACACTGGCTCTCATTTCGTTGGGTTGAACCTTGTGGATGCTAAGTTACCCATGCCTCATCGTGGACATGTTATCTTGGGTGACCATGCACCGGCTATTATTTATCAAATATCCCCACACGATACTAGAATCTTATGTGCTTATCGATCCACCACTCCACCTTCACAGACGCTGAATGAATTTCAAGAGTATTTGTACAACGAAGTTTTACCATCTCTCCCTAAAGAGACTCAACCTTCATTCCTACAGGCTTTAAAGAGCAAGAAATTTAAAGTCATGCCTAATCAGTATTTAGCGGCCAAGAAGCAAGGTGCTCAAAGAGGGTTGATTATGTTAGGAGACTCTTTAAATATGCGTCATCCATTGACCGGAGGTGGTATGACCGTGGGTTTGAATGATGTTGCATTGTTAGCTAAATTATTGCAGCCAGAAAAGGTTCCTGATTTACAAGACTATGATAAGATAGCCACCCAGTTGAAGCTTTTCCACTCCCGTAGAAAGAATTTGGATGCAGTGATAAATACCTTGTCCATTGCACTCTACTCGCTTTTCGCAGCCGACAAGAACTCGTTAAAGATATTACAAAAGGGGTGCTTCAAGTATTTCTTACGGGGAGGAGATTGCATGAGCGGACCAATGGGATTACTTTCAGGTATGTTACCCTTCCCAATGTTATTGTTCAACCACTTTTTCAGTGTGGCCTTCTATGCTATCTACTGTAATTTTATTGATAGAGGGTTATTGGGATTTTTAGTAGCGTTTTTTGAAGCCTTTGAGGTCATTTTCACCGCCATATATATATTCAGTCCATACTTATGGAAAGAATTGGTGTAAAGGACCTGTGGCTGAACCGATTTGTGAAGTGGGCATATGTTAGCTCAACTGCTTTGACTTAGAAAGCAGCTACCTGGGAAAGAACTGGTGTAAACTTGCAAATGATTTGTGAAGTACCTCTACCCCAGGTTATTTCAAATGCTTGCTAATTAAAAAAGAATTGGTGTGAACGCCCTGTGAGTGAATCGATTTGTGAGTAGCTCTATTTCAGCTTGTATTCAATGGCTTGCTAGCTAGAAAAAGACCAGTGTAAACGACTTGCAAATGTATTGAATTGTGAAGAGTGCTATCTCAGCTTATCTGCACTATCTTAGCCAGCACCAATTAGGAAATGGTCCAGGTAACAGCATAGTCAAATTGTAGTGGGGGGGAGAAACTGAGTGAAAACCAGGATCCTGTGTGTTGAAATAGTATCCCTAGAAGCATGTAGTGTGTAGTAGTTCAATGATATATCTACTATACCATAATAACAGTAGCAAGTAGCATCCTTTAATCTCTCGTAGCCTTACCGATACATCCTAAGAGTGCATGCAGGGTGCTTTTAGGTTGTACTCCTCAGGAACATGTCAAACTTTAGTCTCTAATCTTCTCACTTAAACGTCGAATTTGCATGAAATTTCATGCGGCAGGCTCCCAAATGCAAGAGATTTCGCATCTAAACGTGCCAAGGAAAAAAAGAAGCCTCAGCCTCCAAAGCAACTGAAAAAGTACACAAACTTTACAAAAGAAGCGAAGTGTATTGGCTCTTCTTCGTCTACTTCCAATTTTTGATACTTATAGCTTCTGTTTTCGCTATATAAGTCAGTTGTATTGGCAGTAACTGTAGTTAACCCGTTCCGTGTGCCGCAATGCCTCTTTTAGACGACTCTGCACCCTTGTTGGGCAGCTCTAGACAATCCAAGTTAAGTTCGTTCAAGACCGATGTGTTTGACACTTTCAATATCACCATTCGTTCGTCTCAGGTCAATTATTTGTTGGTTTTTGTTCCATTGGGAATAATTGCTGGAATTTTTGAATGGTCTTCCAATGCCATCTTTTGGATTAACTTCTGTGCTATTGTCCCCTTGGCCTCCTTGTTAGCCTTTGCTACTGAGGAACTCGCTGAGCACGTTGGTGAAACGTTAGGAGGATTGTTAAATGCCACCTTCGGTAATGCAGTTGAATTGATTGTTTCAATAATTGCGTTGAAGGAAAATCAAGTTAGAATTGTCCAAGCATCGATGCTAGGATCCATTTTGTCCAACTTGTTGTTGGTCTTGGGTATGTGCTTTGTTGCCGGTGGTATCACCAGGGTGCAACAGACTTTCAACCAAACTGTAGCTCAAACTATGTCTTCGCTTATGGCATTGGCTACCGCAGGGTTATTGATTCCAGCTGCCTTCCACGCATCCTTACCTACACCAAAGGAAAAGCATGGATTCCCAGAGCCTGGTTCCTCTGACGACTTGATTTTGTCCTTGTCTCGTGGTGTTTCTATTATTTTGTTAACCATCTACATTTTGTACTTGGTGTTCCAATTGAAGACCCACAAGGCCTTATTTGAAGAACAATCTTCCCATGACACCGACGATGTAATGATTACTTCTGCTCTTCCAGGAAGCGGAGGCTCTGCATCAAATGTCCTCGAGGAAGGCATCTTGGGTAAAGCTGAAGAAAAGCACTTGACTGTTGCTGGTTCACTTTCAGTCTTAGTAGGTGCTACCATTATAGTTTCGATTTGTGCCGACTATTTAGTCGGATCTATTGATAACATTGTTGAAAGTTCAGGTTTATCTAAGACATTCATTGGGTTGATTATCATCCCTATTGTTGGTAACGCTGCTGAACATGTGACTGCCATTGTTGTAGCAATGAAGGATAAGATGGACTTAGCCATCGGTGTAGCTGTAGGCTCATCTTTACAAATTGCTGTTTTCGTCACTCCATTCATGGTTATCATTGGTTGGATAATTGACGTGCCAATGAGTTTATACTTCTCTACCTTTGAGACTGCAATTTTGTTTATTTCAGTTTTCATAAGTAATTTGGTGATACTAGATGGTGAGAGTAATTGGTTAGAAGGTGCCATGCTTTTGGGTACTTATTTAATAGTTGCCTTAGCATTCTTTTACTACCCAGACAATGTCGCTAATTAGACAAATTAGAGTATTAATTAAAGATATATATGTAGTGTTACAGTTATTTGATGATTAGTAGGATTTGAAGAATGTATTGTCGTTATATGCATAGTATGTTATATGAGAAGTATCATGATGTGAGTTTCCTTGAAGAGGGTGGATGTGTAGTTCGAGAAGGAAGACGTAGCGAGAGGTATTTGTAATGTTATTCCATCAGTTGTATTGAATGTACTACTGTATGCATGGTCTGGTATTTGAAAAGTATCATGAAATGAGTATTTTGTAAAAAGAGCGGAACATATAGTAAGAGAGGAAAGAAATGGCGAGGTCGATGTAACGGCTGCAAAACTGGTTAAGCCAGTGGTGCCAATTCTACTGCTTGTGGGACCTGTCCAAGTAATAGTGAGTAATTAGCCATGAACTACATCATCGCGAAGAGTGTTACCAAGAAGTGCTCCATGGCCAGAAGTGCACCGCGAGACAGAATTGTTCCATGTGAGAAGAGTACCCCACCAGCAATTGGAGAAGTAAAAGAAATAAAAAGGGCTTTGGAAGAAATGAGCTTCACTCAGCTAGAGAGTGGCTATGTGCAATCGCGCTTCCCTATGGAGGAATTGTTATCCCTCATGGTTACAAGGTGAAAAATTACACAGTTGCTCTTTCTCCTAGCACAGTGCAGCACTGTACTGTACAGCGACAATTAAGTGAAATTAAAGAGATACACCATGCATGAAATTAAAAACACCTAAAATCGTGTGTCAAAAGTCTAGAGCCTTGATCACAAGGGTTTCGGTCCAGGGTTATATAAAGTACAGAAGCAATTAGCACACATCGGCAGTGAGGTGGAAAACACGGTTCTGAGGAATTTCCTTTGCTTTATTTATTTATCTTTCCTGCACTGGAGAGGAAACTTGGCTGTGTTGTGGAATTTAGCATATAAACAAAAAGAGTGTATATGCAAGAGCATCGGTAGACGATGAGAATTATGTGGTGAGAATCGTGTATTAGAGCAATTAACGTGTGATGAATTCACGTTGGCTTCTCGTTTCTTGGTTCAGCTTCTAACAAATAAGGTTTAAATTAGATACTGGTAAAGTTTAAGTGAAAATTTCAATTCCTTCTCTCGCTATCTTACTGGTAGACCACCACCACCATCTTAAAATAGGTATAGGCTGCTGCATACCAACACACAACACTTCGTAGTGTCTGGTATATGATACATGAAATGTAAATAGTCGTCCAGCTAATAATGCACTGTTATGTAAACACAGGCAACCAGGCAATAACATGTTTGCATTCACCCCCATTGACTATTTTGCAAATGGCGTTCTCTATTTGTTCGATGCGCCCTTGCATCCCTTTGACCAACTGAGAAACGCGTACATTGCAACAATTCTTCAGCTGCACCACTTTAATCTTTTTTTTTTTTTTTTTTTTTCCGCATTAGATTCGCGTCTTGAAAAATTCCTTGAAGGGGTAAGTTACTCATTAAGGTTATATATATATGGGATGGTTGCGTTGCCTGAATTGGAAAAGGGTTGGTTCATCATAGATAGGGATAAAAAAGTATATCAACTAGTTGAGATCAGTGATTAGTTCTAATCCAATATTTTTCGTTCTTCTTTCTACTCAATCCACAAATCACCTTCAGCAGGAAACACTCTTAACGGGCTCAGCTTTCCAATTCGCCTACCCCGGACCAAATTATCATAACCCGGTTGCAATTTGCTACATAGTGAAAAAAGAAGCTTTTCAGTATTTTTTTTTTCATAGCACTTCGTTCTTGTTTCATCGACATAGAGAACTAGAAAGCTATCCATAGCTTTTCTTTCATCAAAACCGACCAAAAAGGGAATTCCAAAAGTACGTAGCATAGAATGTACGACTCCGAAGTTCTCAAGATTTTTGCTAGACAGCCTGTCTCACAGGAAATGGTGGCTTTCCTTGTTAGTACCACCAATTCGATTATCCAAGTGAAATCTTCCGCACCAAAAAGTTCGAAGACCTTGGACAACGGAAGCTTGGTGGTTACACCTAAATCTGAGTTTGTTTCACTTACTACTTTCATAAATAACTTGATTAGGTACTCAAACGTTCAAACTCCAACATTAATGGCCTCGTTAATTTATCTTAATAAGTTGAGAAACTTGTTGCCCGCTAATGCCGTTGGAATGGAAACCACTCGCCATAGAATTTTCCTCGCTGCGTTAATTCTCAGTGCGAAAACGTTGAACGACTCGTCCCCATTAAACAAGCACTGGACCAAGTACACCGATGGTTTACTTTCCTTACAAGAAGTCAATATGGCCGAAAGGGAATTAATCGGCTTATTGAAGTGGAATATCAACGTGAAGCAAGAAGATTTGGTAATTGTATTGCAACCTTTCTTAACTTCCATCAAGCAGTCTTTATGCAGGAAGAGAGAACAAGAAAGCTTACAGAAGTCGGACTACTACAGATTATCGAATGCTTACTCGAACAACAGCAAGTACAAGTTGAAATCCGCTTCTCCATCGCCTTCTTCATTATCGCTTTCATCTTCAAATTCCAACACATCCATCACATCATCCACTTCTAACTATTCGTTGAAAACAACCTCATCGATGTCCAGCTATAGCTTAGCTGCGGCTGCGGCTGAAGCGACTATAGAGGAAGCTTCTTACGCTGAAGACCCTAAGTCTTTCCGCTATAGAACTCCTTTATCGTCGATCTCGTCTGCTTCACTCAACAGGCATTTGTCCTCTCCCACTACTCAGAAGTTGAGGACGACCAGCCAAGTGCAAGGTCAAGTGCTTGACATGCATACGAATGCAAGAATACTAGTCTAAGACGCTCACGTTATGATACCACATTATTAAACATCTTCAGTTCTTTTAATCGACTTTTTTCACTCTGGTGAAATTATTTATTTACACATTTTTATGGGGTTTTAGTTTTTTTTTATATAAACACGGTCAATATTATTAATAAAGAAATAGAGTATTAATAAATTCAGCAACCTGTAGCATCAAAGGGAGCATGAGAGATCAACATTTGGATGTAGAGCCCTCTTCTCAAGGTTAAAATAGTACCAGAATGAGGAAGATCATTCAGACAGAGCAAGAACAAAGAAAAGTTGAAGATATAAAAGAGAACAAAATATGTGTAACTCTCTGGTTAAATATGAAATTCTATTATATACACTAAACTACCTCCTACTCTTTTAATGTTGGTGTGGATCTTCCTTTGGTGGCTCAGGATCAACCGAAATCATGGTATCAATTCTTAAAATGGCAATACATGCTTCCAAGGCAGACTTTAACGATTTGATCTTGGAAATGGTTGGTTCCAAGACTCCGTTGTCAATTGAGTCAACAATCTTACCCTTAATCAAATCTAACCCGTAGTACTTGTATTTCCTTCTCTTCAAATCCGTAGGTAATGCCAGTTGCAGTGCTGCATGATAAGTTCTTAACTTGGATACCAAGTCTGATGAATCCTTTGCTGCATTCACAGCTAAAGTCTTTGGAATAACTAAAAGTGCGTTAGCAAATTCTGCAATTGCCAATTGTTCTCTTGAGCCCACTGTAGTGGCAAAATTTTCCAAGTAGATATTTAATGCTGTCTCGACTGCTCCTCCACCAGGGACAACGTTACCACTTTCTAAAGTTCTCTTTACGACGGACAATGAATCATGCAAGGATCTTTCCATTTCATCCAAGGAATAGTCGTTAGGACCTCTCAATATAATGGATGCTGAGGAATGTTGCTTGGTACCTTTGACTAATATACATTCATCATCACTGATTCTCGTTTGAACAACTTCTTCGGCACTACCCAAGTAAGAGGATTCGAATGTTTCTTCACCTTCCAAGTTGGACATACTACTGATCAACGTTGCTCCGGTGGCTCTGGCAATTCTTCTCAAGTCTTCCTTCTTACATCTTCTAACTGCCATTGTCCCTGCTTCAACAAACTCCTTTAAACACAAATCGTCAATACCCTTTGTTGTTAATATAACGTTCGCTCCCGAAGCCAAGATCTTACGAATTCTTTCAATGACTATCCCGTATTCACGTTTACGGATCTCTTCTAATTGATCTGGATCTTCTATGTTGATTTGTACACCCATGGCCATTCTAGCCTTTTGTAAATTGATATCAAGACATGCGATCTTGGCATTCTTAATAGATTTGACCATTGCCTGGGAGGCGACGGTACAGTTCAATGCATACCCATCTACAAGCATTGATTCCAAGGACGACTTACCATGGGCCTTCAAGATGTTTACGGCTTTGACCGGGTATTTGGTTTCACCCTTACCATTGGTGGTCTTCACTGCTAACATAGCGTTGACTACCATCTCTGAGAAGAATCTCAGATCAGATCCTATTATCTTAGAGGACATGGACGTCTTTGCAATATTTATCATACATTCTTTGCCTAAAAGTTGGCTATCGACGGGCTGTGATAACACTTCATTAATATATCTGATGGCTTCCCTGGAGGCCAATCTGTAACCAGTAATAATGGTGGTTGGGTGGATCTTATTTTTCACAAGCTCATTGGCTCTCTTCAACAACTCGGCCGCAATGATTACTACAGAAGTGGTACCATCACCAACTTCTCTGTCTTGTTGTTGAGCCAATTCAACCAAGATCTTCCCAGCTGGATGCTGAACATCCAAAAGTGATAAAATAGTGGCCCCATCGTTGGTAACCGTGACATCACCAATATCATCAACAAGCATTTTGTCCAAGCCAACTGGTCCTAATGAAGACTTGACCACATTAGCTACTGATTGTGCTGCCAATACGTTTTGATTACGAATGTCATCTCCACTGATACGTTCTCCTCCCAAGAAAAGGGTATCTGATCTAGAAGCTGAGAACATGATTATCGGATCCTGATGCTAATAATACACTTTATCGTTGTCACCTTGCCTTCCTTTCACGCTGCTCTTTTTTTTTACAAACATTTTCCAACAAGATGGTCGTGTCGAAAAAGGTCGTGTGGGTAGGGAGAAAAAGGTGTATAGAAAAGTAGAGAAGCGTTGAAGGGCGACATGCAGGACGCGACAGTTTGCACCCAATTCTGGGGTCAATTTTTCCTAGGGTCGCTAGGGGTGCGTTCAGTGTTTAGCGCCAAACGTGCAGCAGCAGTGCCAGTGGATAATAGACTTTAGAGTGTATTTATACTACAGAATAGTGTGCAGAGTGTGCTTACGGAGTAATTGCTGTGTTCTTGTATGGAATGAGTTTCTTAATTGAAACACGCAGGAAATGAAACAAAGCGTGTAAAAGTGTATTTTTCTTGTAACTCCTTCTCTTACACACTTGAAACACCTCTGAGACACCGATTTAATGCAGCATGTTATCGATGTACAACCAATGTTACCAATCTCATACTCTTCACTTCCATTAATTGGCCCCTGCTTTACATAAATACCCCAGGCACGAGGGCCGAATCAATCCACTTCTCCCTCTCGACTACACCTTCCTTGTGGACCTTCTTCAGACCTGCAGGTTGTACGCAGCAGCTCAACTGATTGCTCTAGAGTCGTGTGATTTTCAAATCCTGATAAAGAGGAAAATCAAAACAAACTTAAAACTACACAAGCAAGAGGCAAAGACCTGTACTTGTCTGCTATTAACCATCAATTGTTTCAAGGTGTACCATGCTTAGACTCACACAATCGTTAAGAACACTCTCTTTAATTTCTAACAATGCAGCAAGAACTGCGGTTGTTAGAACACCTGTTCAATTGAGAGCGTTCGCCTCCACTCCAACCATTCTCAAAACTGCTGCTTCTCCTAAAGCTACAAAGCCAAAGGCTAAGAAAGTCAAAAAATCAAAGCCTGTCAAGACCGAAGCTCAACTTGCTAAAGCAGCGGAAAGGAAGGAAAAGAAGAAGGCAGAACTTAAAGAAAAGAAGGTCAAGGAATTGACCCAATTGAAAAAGGATCTCAAGGAGGCCATCAGAAAGCCAGTTAAGCGCTCTGGCTTCAATTTGTTCGTTTCTGAAAACTACGACACTGATTTAAAGGAAACTGTCAACAGGTATACATACTTGACAGAACCTGAAAAGGATGACTATAAGGAAAGAGTCAAAGTTCTTAATGATAAAAAGCTCGCTGAATATCTTGAAGGTAAGCCAAAGAAGCCTATTTCATCTTATGCCAAGTTTACTAAGGAAAACTATGCCACCTATAAGGCTGATAGTTTGGTTGAGACGAGTAAGATATTAAAAAATCAATGGAATCAATTGACTCCTGAAGAAAAGAAGTCCTACTCTGCTGTGAATTTTGATGCAGCTGCTTACAAGGCTCAATTAAAGGCCTGGAAGGAAAAGCGTTTAGCCGCTTACCTTGCAGAAAAGGCCATTCAAAATGGAAAGAGAAGAGGAGCCTCCAAGGCCAAGAAGGAATAAATTCGAGCAATTCCCTGAAGTCCTATGATATCTGTAGAACAAAAGATAAAAAAGAAAAGTCAACTTGTACTTTTAAACTGTACTACTACAACTACCAGTTATTTTGCTATGAAAGGACTCAAAATTGAAATTGAAAGGAATATTAACGAAGAAAGTATTGCACAGTATCAATCAATAAATGAATGAATGCATACCAGGACGTATGGTGTAAGAATTGAAAATTTATTAAGCTTCGATAAATATTTAAATATCTATGTATTAGTGAAGATCCTCTTTCACAAATTCTCTCTCTCCTACTCTAGTTAGAACTCTTTTAAGTTCACTTGGCAAAATCGGCTTCGCAATGAAATCAACCATACCACACCTCAAGGATTTCTCTCTGTCTTCACCAGCAACGTTTGCAGTCAATGCAACTATGGCTGGAAGAAGTTCATCCTTCCCATTGGATTTGAACTGTTCTTGGAGTTCAATCGCCGCCGTAAACCCATCCTTTCTTGGCATCTGAATGTCTAACAATATAATATCATACTTCTCATTGGACTTTGCCAATTCGTGGCACATTTCCAAAACTTCCACTCCGTCTTTGGCATGATCAGCTACGTATCCTAGCTTCTTTAGGTGCTGTAAGGCAACTTTAATGTTTATGATATTGTCTTCAGCAAGCAATATTTTCAACGGATACTTCTCTGCCAATAATATAGTACTAGAAATTCGCTTCTTTAGTCCTATTCGACCGTTTCCATCATCAAGGCGAACATTGAGTGTTTTTGTACCAATTTGAAGCTTGGACTTAACATCTTTCAATATGCTAGTTACTTTCAGTCTCTTGAATGGAATCAAAAGCATGGAATTCACAAAATTGGTGTGTAACTCCTCAGGTAATGTTTTACCATATTGGGCAACGATAACAATCTTACTGTTCAAAGTGCTCAAATCATTTAGCTTTTTGAATTCATCGAATTGATCAGCAAGAATGAATATTATCAAGTACTCTTGTGAGGTTATTGACATAGGTTCTTCAATAATACTCACATTTAATCCAAAGTACTCTAAGCAGTTTTTTAAAGCGATACTTCCTAGTTTATTGAAATCAATAATCAAAGATTTTGGTTCAAAGTCAAGGTTCTTGGTATCGTCCTTTGAAATTTCTATTTCCTTGGTGTTAGAAGCTTCCACCTGAGCGTTTACAATAAACTTAAAAGTCAGCCCAGAGCCTTCGCTACTTTCAAATGTTAATGAACCTCCCATAATGTCAGCTAATTTCTTAGAAATCGCCAATCCTAAGCCTGATCCTCCGTATATTCTTTGAGAGGATCCATCAACTTGGGAAAATGCTCCAAACACTTTATTGTGAGATTCCTTTGGAATACCTATACCAGTATCAGTAACAGAGACTATGATCTCGTATCTATCTTTTGTGATTTCTACTGCAGTGGTTTCAACTAATATATAACCCTCTTTGGTGAACTTGACTGAATTTCCAACCAAATTGATAACAATCTGTCTAAACCTAGTCACATCACCAAAAACGAAATCAATATCTGAACATCTGTTAAAGTAAACCAATTCTAAATGGTTGGTAGCTGCTTGTTCACTAACCAACTGAAGGGCACTCTCGATACACTCGTTCAACGAGAACTTTGCATTTTCTAAAGTGAATGAACCATGTTCAATTTTAGAGAAAGCCAATATACCATCGATAATGTTCAACGTTACCATTGCAGAGCTTTTGATCGTTTCCACATACTCTCTCTGAGTCAATGTTAACTCGGTATCTAATAGGAATATTGAACAGGACAATAAGGAATTGAACGGCGTACGTATTTCATGTGACATATTTGCCAAAAAGCTTGCCTTCTCTGCCGTAGCATCTTCGGCTGTTTTCTTAGCGTATTCCATTTGGGTATACAATCTAGCCTTTTCTAAAGAGACTGCAGCTTGCGAGCACAATAAGTTCAATAAGTCTCTCTTGTTTCCATCAACGAATGCCAGAGTTATTGGGGTGGTTATCGTATCCAAGCTTTGTCTTTCGTCCTGGATTTCAAGATACAATGCTCCAAATGTACCCGAGATACTTCTCAAGGGAAAACAGACAACTGAAAATACAGGATTTTCATGATAATAGTCATCTTTACCGTACTTGGTTATAAATTGGGCATAATCCTGCTCTTTACTTATAATTTCTCCTGATTGTAACACATGTTTGACTAAAGTCAAAGGACATAAGTCAGTTCTGGAGCTTAGCGGTTCATTATTTATCTTAAAAATGCTACTAGCGGTCCCGATAGCTAGAATAAATGGTTCATCATTGATATTCAAAGTAACTGCGCCGTAATCTGCTGTTGAGAAACGAATTGTACTCTCTAATAACTTTTGAACTATCTCAAAATCATTTAAACTTTCTGAAATTGACAAACAAGCATTCACTGCCTTGTTTAATTCAGATGGGTCGTCCTGTAGTTTGTTGTCACTAGTATCAGGAATTAACGCCTTAACTTCAAAGCTTGACTCGATAGGAGTGTGAACTTTAATCGGTCCATACAAACCAACATTATTCTGGGTATTATTTCGATCTCGAGCAGATTTGTGTCTAGATTTAGGGCCCACAATAGGCTGCAGATACATTTCATTTAAATTCTCCCCTTTCCTTAGTTGCGAATTGACGATCACACTATTAGATTGTATAACCTCGTTCATACTTCCATGAGTCGTAGGGAAATTAGATCCTGAGGATATAATATTTCCTTTCGCAGATACTCTTGGTGATATTACCGTGTTAACTAGCAAATTCCTCTTTTGATTTGTATGGAAACCTGCCCAATTGAACTCCTCGATGTATGAACTATACTTACGCTTTATCCTTGTAACAATCGCATGATCTCTACTCTTCTGAAATAATGTGTAAGCTCTGTTCACAAATGGTCTAGCTCTCTTCATGTTGTATTGATTGATTAACCAAGTACCACAGAGTAAATTGGCCCATGCAACGTCGTGCCACATATCAAACCTTTCTGACCATTCAATTGCTTCCTCGTAGATATCTAATATATCTAACACAGAGATACTCGTGTCCTCCAGTTTCGCCATAGCTTGAACTAGCAAGTACTTTGTTCTAAAGTTAGTGGGGCAGTTGGAATTCCAAACATTAAAAAAGTTGTTAATTTTATCCAACATTGACTGCCTATAGTATTCTGGGACTGTCGATGGTCGAACTCTTAAAACCATTGCAGCGTAGAAGAAATACTGCAAATGCATCAACATAAACGGCACGTCATCAATCATGTCACCTATCTTCAGATACAAAATTTCACCTGCATCTTCATATTTAGAATTCATGATAAACCAAAACAAACAAACCATGTAGTAGCAATAACTGAAGTCTCTTGGACATCCTTCGACGATATCAAATTGAGACGTAAATTCTTCATACGTTATATCTTCGTGGAGTAGTCTAAATCCTTGCAATTGAACAAAATTAACGTCTTGTCTCATATAATTTCCAGATGAGGAAATATTCTTCACCCCATACGCAACAATATCACTCACAGAATGACCAGTTAAATATAATAAGTGCATCTTAGAGGCGACTTTTTGAGAGTCGTAAGAATTTGAAATTGCTTTGACGAAAGGCCTAGTATCTGATATATAAATGTCGTAATACTTGAGAACTTCAGAAACAGGTTCCATCAATGTAGCCACCCCAGTTATATATACTTCATAAACTCGTTGTATGTATGAAAAGCTGACTCTATTATCAGAGTCCACGAGACTAAGAGATAATCTGCTGAATTCCAATACTTTCAAATATGAAGACTCATCATAGTTTCGAATGAACGAATTTGCATATTCTAAGAGTGGAAGGGCACAGTATGGAGAAACCCCATATTCATGCATAAGTAAGATAGCTTGAGATGCTAGGGAATGTCTCAAACTATCTTCGTTGATAATATATGTGGGAATTATAATTTCACTTATGAGTTCATAAATGAGTAATATTCTAGAGTTTGTCGTTCGTTCTTTTTGAACTAGTTTTCTAATTTCTAGTACTGATAATGGGATTTTGTTAGATAACTTTTCGGCAATCTTGCTATTTTTGATGGGATCAGAGCTAACTTCCACTTCCTTGACGAAGGAAAGTCCAGCAATGGCAGCATCGATACCTTCTTGATATCTCTCTAACAGGAAGAGACATCGTATTCTAGGTAATACGAACATTGTTGTGTCTATCCCTTTATGTTCCTTTTCAGAATTAGCTATTATATCTAAGCACGTTTCATAATTTTTCAAATAAAAATGGACTTGACATATCGTAAGAAGGTTTTTTAACTTTCTTTTATGATCTTTCAGATCTATAAATTTATCGGCCGTCTCAAACAATAATAAGCTTAATTCCATCTTCTGGGTTGAAGATGCATAAATTCCAGCTTGAACTAAAACTTCAAAGTACATAGAGGCTTCTTCAGGTGTGGCTGGAGTTTCCGAAGATAAAACGAAATGATTTGCCATGATTAAATATTGTGATATGCTTAGCTTATTATCCTTTACGTACTTTTTATAGCTCCGCATACCACATTTTTTATGATATTGCTCTATTTCACCAAGTTCGATCATTTCTTGGTGCAATTCTCTACTAATTGAATCATGAACAAATCTATAACGAGTTTGGGTTGCAATTTGCCAAATTTCACTATCCGAAAGCCCAAAAAGTTCATCATCCGATATTGACCTACGATTCTGAACAGAAGCTCGGTCGGATCCCAGTAAGTAGAAAGGAAACTTGTAAATTGTGTTTCCTGAGACGATAACTTTAGTTTGTAAACACAAGTTAAGCAATTGAACTGCCTCTTTGATCGCTAAATCAGACACCACCAGTAAGTCAGAAAGATAAAAGTGATTCCCCTTAGCTGCAATTACGGCAAATTTCATCAAAGACCTTGCTTCCTTAGAAAGAGCAACATCAAGGTAGTATTTAATCATATTTTTCTTTGAGATACCGAAGAGCTCTGGTTCATATGTTATATCCCATCTCTGTTCTCTTCTAGCATCACATTTGTCAAATTGAATTAATCCCTTTAAGTAAGCAGTTCTAAAAAACATTATGGTATATAAAATGCTTCCCTCTGTCTTCGTAAACAATAAGTCTGTCAACGTTTCTATCTTTGAATCTTTTGAGGTAGGTGTATTGAGAGTCGGAGGGTGGAATGAACTATATGAAGATAATAGAGTGCTGCTTGTTGATGAGGAATTGATTGACTTTCCACTATTACTTTCCTTAATTGGACTGAACCCCTCCACTACACTGCTATTATCACTACTAGATGAGGTATTCAAACTCATATCTGTTCTAACTCTGATTGAATTTTGATGAGAATTAACCTTCAAAGTTGATTCTATAAATTTCTTGTAGTAACCCTTCTGCAAATTCTTCAAATCTATGCAATGAAGCGATATATTTGTACTTGATATATACTCCAATAATTGCAGCCTATCAATCTTTGGAGAAGTTTCGGAAGCCAAAATGTCTGTCACTCCGAAGGTTGCAACTAACTTCACTGAGATATCATCCTGGATGTTACTTGCAGTGAAATATTCTAACGTCTCAGCGATCATACTCCATTCTTTATTCGAGCACCATTGCATATCTTCAAGAAAAACAGTATAACCATCTAATGCAAACAAGCTGTAAAGCACTTTAATTATATGCTTAAATTTTATTTCAAGATTTAACGTTTGATCATTTGATCCAATTATAAGACTATATTCGGAAGAAGTAATATCTTCATGATGACCACCGAAATAATCATTAAAGTCAGAATTTTGACTTAATGGTGTAGTTGCACATGTATTACTGGTCCTATTCTTCTCATTTTCGTATATGCTGCTATACTTGACACCCAAAATTTGTTTTAATTCTGGAACTGTGGTGAATAATACTGATAGATCTGAATTGATTTTAGAAAGTATCATATCTCTCCATCTGGTAATAGCAGTCAGTGATGTGGCAAGAATTTGCTGAAAAATGGACCTAATCCCATGTATCAAACATTGGTATACCGAAGTATTGGAATCGTAGTCATTGAACTTCCAGTTAAAATAAAACTCTGAGTTGGATAGAGGGGCAAGTCTTAAATCTTGCATCATTGTAGATTTACCAACTCCATCTTCTCCAGTAATTAATATCATGTTGACACCGTTACCCGCTGATTCATAGACTTTGTTAAGATTGATATACTCTTCCTTTCTTCCAAGTACCTTTTTGGGGATTAAAAACATTGTTGGACTTCCATTGCCAGGGTACTCATTAGGAGCAAAGATTTCTTCTTTAATTAAGTATCGAGAGAAATGATCATGCTTGCTCCAGTAATCGAATAAGATGCTTGAGCAGTTGAAAATATAGTCAATATACGAATTCTTAACCTGGGCCAAATTGTTTATAATTGAAACACAGTCTGTAAATCTGTCTTCGGGCCTTTTTTCAAGGAGACGTAGAATAATATCACTAAGCTGTTCAGAGACCCAACCTCCAGCAAGTAAGTGAGGGGCTATTGGCTTTTGCAATATGTGCATTCTTATTAAATTTGCAGGCTTTTCACTTTGAAACGGGAGGCATCCGACAATTAACTCATACATTATTATTCCTAGTGAGTAAAAGTCAGATCTATAATCTACCGATATATTTGCCTCCCCAGTAGATTCGGGAGATAAATACGGTAATAATTGAGGTACCTGCCTCAAATGACTTTTCCTATATCCATATGAACAATCTTCTGGTTGGATACTACAATTGAAGTCCCAACCAGTCAACACAATTTTGTCCTTTAACAAGCCTTTTGTCGATTTAAGGATATTAGTAGATGTAAGGCCATTATGAATCACCCCTAATTCGTGTACTATTCTCAAAGTTTTCAAAACATGTATGATATCGTCCACGATTTCAACAACAGTAATAATGTGTTTTGGAAATTGCCTTACTTTAAGTTGTAAATCTTCAAATATTCCATTCGCAGAAGAGGGGGTAATAGGCGTATTGTTTTTCGAAGGAAGTGAAAAATTAGTCGATAAAACAGTTGTTGCAGTAGATGCTACAGTATTGTCTGGATATTCCTCCCTGAAATTAAGGTCATGAGTTTGAGTGTGTAGATCCATAGCTGCTAAATTCATGGCTAGATTATTACTACCGATACTATTGAATGTTCCTGTCCTTGGTCTTGTTGATAATTTATGCATTTTGCCAGCTTGAAAATGAGGTATTCTATAGGTTTCTAATTCCTCCTTGTGTTCCAGTACATAATTCCTATAATATGTACCCACTCTTGCGTAGTCATTGTTCTCATATACAAGAACTAGCCTATTCATGGACAGCTTGTGTTTACCATTTTTAAAATAAGGTAAGCAAAATGCATGTATTGGATATAGTATTCCATCTATACCTTGCGGTAATGTTACTTGGTTAACAATATCATCCCTAGTATAATCGAATGTAGCAGAAAAGTCTTCACCCCTGATGAATTCGTTACTCAATGTGTTATTTCCCCAAAGTGGATGTCTTCTCGATGAGTTTGGTCCGGAAAGAATGTGCCATTCATTAAATATTCCGAGAATGTTCGTCGTATTTGAATAGGGTAATGAAATTCTTAATACCACTTCCTTTTTTTCTTCAGTTCTAATGTCTATAGCATGGTAAAATAAATCAGTTTTTAAATCCTGAGAAATTTTTGTTTTTAGCATATACCCATTCAATACGGAAAGCTTAGGTCGCTCATACTGGTTTCCATCCGACGGAGTAATAGATTGATCATGTAACTGTGACTTAGCTTGCTGCTCTTCAACTTGCTCCTGTAAATAGGATGAGGTTCTATCAACCTCTATCAGCTGAAGGTATTCCTCTATTTTGGGCTCTCTACTAATGCTAGCACTCAAGGGCTGTCCTGCAGCGGTAAGGACATCTACATCCATGATCGAGTCTACATGGTTTGCAACATAATTTATGTTACTGATGAAAGATTGGTACCCCAAAGTACCCCCCATTAAACTTTCGTCCGATATCGAGGAGGTTTCGGAATTATTCTCGCTTTCATTCAACATCAAGTCTGTAAGACTAGGTTTGTTTGAGCTCTCCAAGCTTAGTCCGGGAGCAAAACTAATGCTTAGCTTCTCAGGTTTCAGCGTCAGTACTTTTCGCATCAGCAATCTATAAATTCTTTTCAGTGATTTACTATATATACTTTTGAGCCCTCTATCGGAAAAATAATCGTAAAAGGCGATGGGTATCGAAGATTGCTTTTTTTGAGGTTTGATGGTAGGCAGATATAGAGAATATTGTTCCATTCCTGCACCTGGCGGTAAAGTTACATGCATACGCGACGTTCTGGAAGCCGAAATTTTTTATCAGTCGCGGCTTTAAAGGAACTTAATGCTTCGTGCAGCTTAGTGCGCAGTTCGCTCCCCCACACAATAGCAATATTTTTAGTGATCTCCGAAACGTACATCAATCTCACAATAGGGACCCGATAAGTTATACGTTGCTGACACACATTTCTCCAGGCTATACCATAATTCCGGTAAGTTATAAGGGCCAAATAAGCTCGAGATCTTTTTATTTAAAGAACATTAAGTTTCGTTTTTCTTCGCTTTCTTTCGGTTTTTAAAGTTTAGTTCTTCAGAAATATTTAATTTATCTCGATGACTACGATCCCTTCAATCACACTTGTATTGTTTGCAATTACCCTTCCAATAAGGATTATATATCTAATTGCAAGCCACTATATTTTGGGGTCGGGCTTTCAGAAATATCAAGGAGATTTGATCAACCATATCAAATTATCTTGCTTCAAAAGTTCATCTGATTTTTTCACCTCTAGTGACTACAAATTAATAGGTCTGTATAAGATTGGCAAAGTCTTTGAACGATTCAGATCTGGGTACCCTCATATAGTCTCAAAACTAAGCAACTATGGTGAGGAATACGATAGTCGTTCAACTTGGTTGGTCAAGAGTTCCCTGACTTTGAAAGATTCAAACGATCCAATAATAGTATACCTCCATGGAGGGGGTTATCGTTTGCAATTTACTCCCCCACAGATGCAGTCTTTAATTTCAACATACTTTCTATTGCAACCAGACAAGAAAGAGAAGTTGTCGGTTTTGGTTTTGGACTACAGGTTGTCTATTCTGGGTGACACTTTCCCTGCACCAATTGAAGATCTTCATCAAACTTACCAAAATTTAACCGTAAGAGATGGGAATACGAATATTATCTTTTTGGGTGATTCAGCTGGTGGGAATTTGGCGCTAACTTACTTACAACACTTGAAATCATTGAATACCAAAGATGTCGTTTACCCCAGTAACTTGGTTTTAGTTGCACCCTGGGTTAGGGTTAAACCTACGGAGGAGCAATATGTGCCTGGGTCATCTTGGTATGATAACAGACCCAGAGACTTACTTCAATACCGCAGGTTCTCCTCATACAATAATATGAAGCACATCTTCGGAGATTCTGACGTCAAGTCGGTAAAAGTATCTCCGCTACTGAGTCCATTCAATGTGCATGATTGGGAGGACATTCCTACTATCAAAAATAATACCTTGGTGATTTGTGGAGAATTTGAATCATTCAGAGATGACATTTTGGAATTCAGCAAGCTAGTCTTTGGATGTCCATTCTTTAAAGTAAACTCAGAAGCATACAATTCATCTGACGGAACGTACAATCCAAGTATTCACGAATATCAATCTGAAACTGAAAATGGGAAAGTTGGATTTAGGTTATTTGTTGAGCCAATGGGCATCCATGATAGTGCTTTCATGCTTGAATCAGCTGTGGATAAACTTGTGAAGGATGATAAAGTGGAAGTAGATGAGCTAGATGATAAATATTATTTCGGAATCAAGAGGATGGTAAACTTCTTAAATGAGGTACTTTAAAACCAATTTCTTCAAGCCACTCACGTTCAGTGATATGTGTATCGCTTTATGTGAACATAGTAAATACGAAACAATATGTGTATCTCTTCATGTGAGCATATTGAATTCATGGAGCAAACAATATGAATATAAATACAGATGAAATAGTTATGAAAATAAAATTAAATACATAGTTAAACTAATGTCTTTACAATCTCTATAAATAACCAGAAATGTGCCCAAATACCAAACAAGGATGTGGGAAAATGGTAACCGTTTGGCTAAACTAATTCTAGCCTATGGTTACCAAACAAATAATAAAACATGCAGAAAGTGAAAAATCAGGAAAAACTCTTAGTGGAGGAAAAGACGAAGTAAAGTCGGACTATATTCCATGAAATAGCTCTTTCTCCTTCTTCATGCCTTAATGATGAATCCGTCGAATAGGCCATCCTACCTACCTCTTCTTCTTCACTGTATTCTCCACTATTCCCTCAGGGTGGCTCATCGGCTGTGCATGTAGACCCCATGGAACCGTCGGTCGTATGTCCCACACTACAAAGCCGTCTATATGCAGTACGCGTCCCGACCAACAGGCATAACCAAGCTGGAAAGAAAATTGGCAGTCCTTGTGCAGCGTTCAAGGAGGTTCTTTTCTCCAGTATCTTGTTGTTCGTTGGATATTTCTGGTTGAGTACATAGCTGGTAGGATGATCACCGCGTTGTTTGTATTTGACCCCAAAGGGGATGTGATTATGTCCAAAATTTACAAGGCCGGAGTGAAGAGAAATATCTCTGATGTGTTCAGAATTCAAATCATCACATCTAATGGCAATAGTAGAGGAACCCTGGACCTCAGATCGCCAGTGTTGACTCTCGGATCGACATCGTTCGTTTATATTAAGTCTGGTCAGCTTTGGATATGTGCCGTGACCAGGTCCAATCAGGACTGTGGAGCCATAATGGAATTCTTGTATAAATTAGAACAGTTGTTAAGAACCTTACTACTCCCGTCATCATCGGCCAGTTCAATTACCACCCTGAAAAGCCTGCAGCTTGCTCAATTGAATGAAGAGCTAATAACTAACAATTTTAACCTTGTATATGAGGTGTTAGAAGAGGTGGTGGAGTTTGGATACCCTACAAACCTTGATCTAAGCTACCTCAAGAACTATGTCACCAGTGTATCGTCAAATGACGGGTTGTTCAAGAGATCGTTGTCCACTGACAACAGCAAAATCAAAGAGTACACCAAGGACAAATTCAACAGTATCACCAGCAGTAGCAGCAGCGTAGCTCCAACATCGGTGCCGTCGCATGTCACCTGGAGACCCAATGGAATCAAGTACAGACGGAATGAAATCTTTTTAAATGTTGAGGAGAGTGTGAATGTGTTGATGTCGTCTCAAACGGAAATTCTTAAAGCGTATGTACATGGAGCTATCAAGATGAAGACTCATTTATCTGGAATGCCGGACTGTAGAATAGGGCTCAGTGATGATGGTATAATCTTGAACAATAATAGGCAGCATGACCAGGACCTAATTGGTTTCGATGACGATATGGACTCTGTAAACGGGACAAGTACAAAGCTAGAAGACAGTAAATTCCACCAGTGTGTGGAATTGGACAAATTTGACTCCGAAAGAGTTATTCAGTTCATACCTCCCGATGGCGAATTCCAACTTATGTCCTACCAGGCACTTCACAATTTGAACCTCCCATTCGTAGTTTCACCGCAAATATTCGAAACGGGTGATAGGAAACTTCTGTACAAGATCACCATAAAGTCGTTGTATCCATCCAAAATATCCGCAAGAGACGTTTCCATCACCATTCCAACACCTAAAGGTGTGGTGAAGAATTCAACCTCAGCGCTGCTGGGTAAGGCCAAATTCCACTCGGAGGAGAATCAAGTCGTTTGGAAATTCAACAAGCTATTTGGCTTACAAGAACAATTTTTAACGGGAGAAGTTGAGTTGGCCAACGAACTGAATATAGTGAGCTGGGCCAGACCACCGATAAAGCTAAATTTCAACATTGATATGTTTTCAAGCAGCGGGCTTACAGTGAAGTTTTTGAAGGTCGAAGAAAAGAGTAACTATAGGACGGTGAAGTGGGTCAAGTATAGCACCAGAGCTGGGAGCTATGAAATACGATACTAGAAAAAGGCAGAGAAAGGAGGCTACGATACATGCACTTGTATATATGAACATAAGTAAAATATATATAACTATGCGTATTTTTTTGAAAGTAATAAAGCATGGAGTCCAAAGCTGAACTATCACTCATAAAGACACGACAAACACACCATTAGCAGGCGATAATCACCTTCTTCAACTGTCCTCAGTGTCTTCTGTAGTCCCCTATCACTATGGTTGAGGCACGTGCTCTCCACTTTCGGTGCGCCGACATTTGCAGCCACTTATGTGCAGGCCATATCGATTTATCGCATCACCTCCAAAGAAAAAAAAGTGCTGATGGGAAGACTTCAGACGAGAGGAAGGTAGCAGTACTCTTGAACATAGTAGGAATATGAGAGATCTTGTAGTATTAGGGGGGTCGTCACACCCTAGCCTTACCAAGGCTATATGCCGTAACTTGACTATAGAGCAGGGAGTAGTTAAGTCGGTGAAATTTTCCAACGGAGAGACGAGCATCGAAGTAGTCGACTCAGTCAGAGAGAAGGATGTATTTATAGTGCAGAGTGGATGTGGGGATGTAAATGATACTTTTATCGAGTTATTGATTATGATCGCTGCATGTAAGACCGCTTCTGCTAAGAGAGTTACTGCCGTGTTGCCTTTGTTCCCATACAGTAGACAGGCAGATGTGCCACATGCCGCAAACAAGACCGGGGCCCCTTCGATTTCACACCAGAAGGATTCATATACCTTTGATAGTGCCCCATCTACGCCCAGACCATTGTCCAGAGCTGCATCTCAGGCAAACCTGAACAGTGTTAACAACCCAATTGCCAATGGAAGCGGTACAATCAACAACAATAACCTTAAACAACCAACCCCCACCAGAAAACTCCCGTTTGTAGCCAAGTCTATCGTAACCAACTCGGCAGGCACTCTAGGAACTGTTGATGCGTACGGGAAGACCGAAAGTGGATATAAGCAATGGATTGCTCAAAATGGGACTTTGATAGCCAATTTGTTGACCACTGCTGGGGCCGATAGGTGTATTACTATGGACTTGCACGATCCTCAGTTCCAAGGGTTTTTCAATATCCCAGTTGATAACCTATACTCCAGACCGTTGTTGAAGCACTACATAATCGACTTCATTCCAAATTATCAGCAATGTGTGATCGTTTCTCCAGATAGTGGGGGAGCCAAGAGAGCTACCTCCATTGCAGATAACTTAGGATGTTCATTTGCACTTATCCACAAAGAAAGGAGAGCCAAGGTGGCCAAGAACCCGCCATCTACACTGATGTCATCTTCAAATTCAGTTTTGAGTTTGAATTCGAGTGAAGTGCTCATTTCTGGGCAACAAACGCCAGCTTCATCCAGTGGGCAAATGGTTGCAACCACTATGCTCGTTGGGGATGTAAAGGATAGAGTGTGTGTTTTAGTGGATGATTTAGTAGATACTTCATACACCATTACTCGTGCTGCCAAGCTATTAAAAGACCAAGGTGCAAAATACGTATATGCGCTTGTGACCCACTCTGTTTTAAGTGGAGATGCTATCAATAGGTTGCAAAAGTCATCTATTGACAAGATTATTACTACTAACTCTGTTCCTCAAGCTGACCACGTGAGACATCTTGGAACCGACAGGTTGGAGGTTTTAGATGTTTCCAGAATTTTAGCGGAGTCTATCAGAAGAATTCACAACGGGGAAAGTGTGTCCATGTTATTCGATCACGGGTGGTGAGCAGTGTTTGAGCTGTTCGAGACTGAAGAGTTGGAGATCAAATTTCAATATACTACAGAATAAAAGGAAAATATGTACGATAGAAATGTGTAATTAACTCTGAATTGGTTAGATACAGCTGTGTAAGAAATTTCGAATTTGTTAGAAACTATTGTGTAAGTAACTCTGCAATTGGTTAGATATTATTGTTATAGCACATTGAAAGATTACATGGAAGAGTGTCTCACCATCTGTGCACTTGCATTTCACAGGGCCATCATTGAACAATATGATAGTGGTTCTTTTTAATTACTTTTTTCAGCCTGCTCGGCGGATTTTCGTTTGAGCTATTTAACTGCTTAGCGGACAATTAGATAAGTCGTTCATTCTCTACACCAAGCATAAAATTTTTTATTATTGTTTCTCTTATCTTCATGCGTCGCTGTTTTACATAAATTTTTCACTATATTTTTTTTTTTTTTTTTTTTTTATGAAACAAGATGAGACAGTAATAGGGGAGTTATTCCTATACAGGGCCACAGTTGAAATATCAAAGAAGATGCAATTGAATGTAAGTCGAGCCTGAGTTCACATTCATCAACCCTTTGATTGCACGGCTCAATTGGCGTCTCATTTTCTTCAACCCATAACTGTGGTGATGCCCTTTTGACGTGTGATGAGGAAAAGATCTGTACGCAGATCGGTTACTAACGGAGTGAAGCAGGCAACCTGCAGGAGTTCGATGAGATTGCCCGAAATATCCTGAGAGGCGGTCCATATAGTAAAGAGAGCTAAGCTCAAAGGTACCTCATCTCCACCAAACACAAAAAATAAGAGACACGGCCAAGTAATTGGCAAAACTCAGTAAAGAAAGAAAACATAGAAAGCAATGGACAAATGATCCTTAGCGCATGGCTTCCATTAACAGCAGTACAGAACGAATTGTGAAATGTTGTGGAAAGGCATAGTTTTTACCCCCACATTTCGAAGTGTGGAGAATCCACTAACAACATTTCAATTGCCTTAGGCATCGGAGTTTGAATTTTGCAAAATACCCAATAGAACATGAAAATTCACCTTTGTTTGAAATATGGGGTAGCTGTTGCGGAAGCACTTCGGGGTGGGTCGGAATAGTTAACAGGAAGAAGCCAAACCGTGCATGACATTAATAGTTACGCATATGTTCATCAACATTTCTTTTTTAACCTTTTATTTTTAATTTAGCTATAGAAATAGAATTACGAATACCACCAATAGCGCACAGCGAGGGAACTCAGCTCCCCAGTTATTCCACCTTCTGCGTAAATATTTCTCTCGAGGTAAATTGCCTCAAATGACAAAGAGGTCATACACCTGTAATACTACTACTTTTTACTGGAAAGACCGTCACAGCACATTCCAGCTTTTTAATGACATTGTGCTGTTTCAATGACACTTTCTCTTCAAGGCGTTAAAGCTACCAGAGTGTAGGAAAATAAAAGTGCCGTTACTTAAAATTTGGTGCGAGCCCTGCCACGAATACTAAAACAATTGCAAAATAAAAAAAAAAAAAAAGAAATGAAAAATACTGAGCAATGTCGCTCGCTTGTAATTGCAGCGCACTCGGAAGTATGATACCGCAACCACGAGGGAATTACACTAGTATATAGTTCATCAGCTCAGGCACAGAATGGCCTTCAGACCTCCACCCTGGTACACTACGTCTCTGCCTATCAAAAAAGTACGAAAAATAAGCGCTAGTATTCATCTTCCTGACTCTAGCCTGAGCTGACCTATCCCCTCCTCTCACCTTCTACTTCATTCCATTTTGTATGCCCCCGGAATACATTTTCCGAGGGTTTCCGAGGGCTACCTGTCTATTTTCGCAAATTTGTGAGTTGTGCGCCAGAGCCGCACTGCGTACTTTGCAAAACATTGGCATACCTTACCTTAGATTGTCCCCTCAATGGCAGAAAAATAATGAGACGTAGCTGCAACACCCTCCTCCTCCTTCCTATAGATTCGAAAAAGAAACGCTAACGTTTACAAATTGAAAAGTGTATAAATAGAGTTGATCTGCTGTGCACACCTTTGAGAATTGACAAATTTGGTGAAACACTATTCAAAATAATTTGCGAATAAAAGCAACTTGATAATCTTATCAAGTGAAACCCTCCTCTGTAAATTTATTAATTAATTAATTGCAACCTTTTAAGTGACTGCAATTGTGAGTTAGTAGATTGAAACAACAACAAAACTAAAAAGACAAACCAATTAATAGCATTAGTTAGTTTATCACGTATAAAAGATGTCGTCATTACTCCCTGATGTCAACGCCCTTTCTTTGGATAGAACGAACTCAAACACGTCTTCCGTCGTATCTTTAAAACATGGGTACATAGATACACCTTTTTCTGGGAAGAAGGACCAATTCGATGAGGTTTTGGATATCTTGGACTCTACTGGCTTTATTCCCGAAGCATTGATCGAATCCGAAGCTAGATGGTTCTACGAAAGTTTGGGAATCGATGACGTTTTCTTTGCAAGAGAGAGCGCTACTGAGATTGCCAACCACATCCACTCTTTGTATTCCTGTAAGGTCCAAGCCTTTGCTAATTTGGATAGCATTGCTGCAACCGACGGTTCAGCTGCTCCAATAATTCTGTACAAGAGAGAAGCTGAAGACCATGCTGTTTACTTCGATACTTCATCTCCTGGTACCGAAGGTTACAAGAGAACCAGATTCGAGGAGAGAATCGATGATAAATACATTGATCCTTCCACTTCAATTGAAAATAGTTATAGATGTGAACTGTTTTCTGCTCCATTGAACTTCCAAACTGACCCAATCTTGAACGGTATCTTTTCCAAGAACCCTCAACTCATTAATAATCAGACGGTTAGATGTTATTTCGTGTATAAGAACAATTATAATTCTGGTGTCTCAGCAGACAGTAACGAAACCGACTTGAATAAAATTGGAGATTCCATTTTCTCGAAAATTGCTTCTCCCAACACCAAGTCCATCTATAGTGAAATCATTGGCAAGGTTGCCAACACCACTGGTCCAGTTATCAAGCACATCCCAATTGAAGACTCCGATGAATTTAGAGTTGTTATCGGTTTCAAACAAGGTTCTTCTGCCAGATATAATTCCGCTTTAACTGATTTAGCCAATTACTATAAATTACAAATCACTAGAAAATATGTTGAGCAATTTTCTAATGGTGTCACTGTGATTTCTATGTATGTTACTTCCAAACTGAAGAAAAACAGTCAATTGGATTTGTCTATTTTCCAAGTTATCAAAGAGGCCTCTTTATTATACTGTATTCCTCATAATTACTTTCACGAAAGGTTTACCAGTGGTGAATTATCACTTCAAGAGAGTATCTACGCTCAGCTGGGTGTTATTTTCGTTACTCATTTCTTAAACAGATTGGGACCAGAATATAATAAATTAACTAGTTTATTGGACCCTTCTAAGCTGATTGTCCATGCTGAAGCTTTAAATTCTTTAAAGAAAAGATTGAGACTGGAAACTTATACACAAAACTACATTAAAGAGGTATTTCAAGATAGAATCGATATAATTAGAAAGTTATATAGACAATTTGCTGATACTCACTATATTAGATCATCCATGGAGAAAACCTTATCATACCAAAGATTATCTCAGATTCAACCAGTCGGATCTGAAGAAGACTTTGAGAAGTTGTTACAGAGAGAATTTTCTCAAAATGAGCATCATATTTTGGTTTTAAGAGCCTTGTACGCTTTCAACAAAAGCATTTTGAAGACAAACTTTTATACTTCTACCAAGGTTGCTCTTTCTTTCAGATTGGACCCTTCCTTCTTACCAGTTGAAGAATACCCAGATAAGCCATATGGTATGTTTTTCGTTGTTGGTAGTGATTTCAGAGGATTCCATATTAGATTCAGAGATATTGCTAGGGGTGGTATCAGAATTGTCAAATCTAGATCAATCGATGCTTACAATGTTAACATTCGTAATCTTTTCGATGAAAATTATAACTTGGCTTCCACTCAGCAGAAAAAGAATAAGGATATTCCAGAAGGTGGTTCCAAGGGTGTTATCTTGTTGGATCATGGTGTTGCCCAAGATAGACCTCAAGCATGTTTCGAAAAGTATGTTGATTCATTAATCGATATTTTGTTGAAAGAATACATCCCAGGTGTTAAAGATTCTTATGTGGATTTGTACAAGAAGCCAGAAATATTATTCTTAGGTCCTGATGAGGGTACTGCTGGCTATACTGATTGGGCCACATTACATGCAAGAAAGAGAGGTGCTCCATGGTGGAGATCCTTCTTAACTGGTAAGTCTCCACAAATTGGTGGTATTCCACATGACGAATATGGTATGACTACGTTGTCAGTTAGAGCTTATGTGAATAAGATCTACGAGAAGAAGGGAATTGAAAGTTCCTCTATTAAAAAGTTCCAAACTGGGGGTCCAGATGGTGATCTTGGAAGTAACGAAATTTTATTATCTAGAGATGAAAACTACGTTGGTTTAGTCGATGGCTCTGGTGTTATTGCTGATCCAAATGGGTTAGATAAAGCAGAATTAATCAGATTAGCAAAGGAACGTAAAATGATTGATCATTACGATAAATCATTGTTAAGTTCAGAAGGTTTTGTAGTTTTGGTTGATGATGTTGACGTTAAATTACCAAACGGTACTATCGTCACTTCAGGTGTTACATTTAGAAATTCATTCCACTTGAAGTTGCCAGAGATCTTTGGAATCGATGGGGTCGATTTATTTGTACCATGTGGTGGTAGACCAGCAGCTATCGATACTAACAATGTCGAACAATTAATTGATGAGAGAACAGGAAAGAGTATTGTTCCATATTTCGTTGAAGGTGCTAACTTGTTTATTACTCAATCAGCTAAGTTAGTCTTAGAAAAGGCAGGATGTATCATCTTTAAAGATGCCTCTACCAATAAGGGAGGTGTTACTTCATCTTCATGTGAAGTCTTAGCAGCCTTAGCTTTTGATGATAAGGGATTTTTGCATAATATGTGTGTCGATCCAGACACTGGAGCAAAACCTCAATTCTACCAAGATTACGTCAAGGAAGTGCAAAGGGTTGTCGTATCAAATGCTCAAGCTGAATTTGAGCTGTTATGGGCATTGAAAGAAGCCACCGGAATCACATTCACAGAATTGAGTGACAAGTTATCAGTTACTATTAATAAATTAGCTGATGAATTAGCCAATTCACATGAATTGTGGAATGACGATATTGATTTCAGAAATGCTGTCTTATTGGATTCATTGCCACCATTATTATTGAGAGAAATTGGAATTGCAAACATCTTAAGTAGAGTTCCAGAAGCATACTTGAAGGCATTGTTTGCTACCCATTTAGCTTCCAGATTCGTTTACTCCAGAGGAATCGATAGTAATCCAGCCAAGTTCTTAGAATTCATTTCTTCAATCAGAAAGGAATACGTTAAGAAGAGCATTCTTAAATAGAAGCTAGAGGGCCATAGAAAAAAAAAAAGAATCATAATACTAATAGATAGAGATGTAATACGAAAAAATTATATACATGTAGGTCAAGTAATAAAACAAGAAATTTATACTTACACTGAATAATGCACAGTAAACGCTGTAAGATTTTTATGTACGAACCCAGAAAAGCCTACAATTGATTGGCCAATATGGTTTAAATTTATTATTATGAACTATATACAATGCAACCTATTCTTTGCCTTTAATCAATCATCACTTCTTCAAGTCGTCCATGACCTCCTTTCTTGCAGTTATCTCATCATTCACACGGGAAGTAATGTAGTCACCGATCAACGCGAAGATAAATGTAGAACCTCCAATGTAGTACCTTGCCTTAACTGGGAGGTTATTCCACCTCTGCCAAAGACTCATCGTTATCCTATTTACTTCTTAAAGAAGGGGTATGTTCAACATCTATTTCGTTTCACTTGATCTGTTGACCCAGGATTGAAAAATTCATGGGTTAGGAGCGCAAGCACTGCAACATACATGAAGACACATAGAGATGAGATGAGATAAGAGGACATCTTGTTACAAAGGTTATCTATGAGGTAAGAGAGTATATTGTTACTTATTTGTTCTATTGTCATCAATGTCAATCGAAACCAGCAGAAGGATTTCGGGAATAAAGACTCAACTCCCTCCTTGTTGCTTGCAAATTCATGAAGATAATACTGTGCTCATTGGAACGTACCAGCTCGAGAAAGAATCTGGAACTAGACATGGAAGTGTAGAGGTATACAAGTTTGATCAAGAAAACCTAGCAAAAGTGAGTACAATTCACACAGCAGGTGCTGTATTAGATATTAAGATAAATCCTCATGACAGCAGCAATGTTGTGACCGCCCATTCTACTGGGAACTTGATGGTCTGGAAATATGAGAATGGTTCCATCTCTGAGATCAACGACATGCATATATTTGAACCGGATACACTTGTCACGTCCATATTCTTCCTGCCGTTATCAGCCAACCTTCTATTAGCTACACTCACTACAGGGGAGCTGGCCATTATAAATATTGAGACTGGTACCCTCACAATGTTGCACACACAGCATAACCTCGAGTGCTGGACTGGCTCGTTTGGAGAAGTAGGTCAGTTGCAGAATGTAGTTTACACTGGAGGTGACGATGCAAGGGCTATAGCACACGATTTGAGGACAAATGAAATGATTTGGTCTACCAATACTCGACACCATACTGCAGGAGTTGTGTCTATCCTAAGTCCAGGTCCAAATTGGAACCTGTCCAATGGTAGCCAAATTTGGACTGGATCGTACGACGATCATTTGCGTGTGTTCGATCTTAGAGTAACCGATAAAGTAAATCCTGCTTTGATGGTGGGGATTTTTCCAAGAGCATTAAAAGAAGAGAATTTGGGTGGTGGGGTCTGGAGATTGATACCAAGTAAGGTGGATAGGGATGATAGAGTGTTGATTTGCTGCATGTACGATGGAGCTAGAATTGCTCAACCAGATAGCGAAAATGATTTCAGTGTCACAAGGTACTTCAAAGGAGATCATGAGAGTATGTGCTATGGAGGAGACTGGACAAATGAGGGCGAAAGGGTAGTTACGTGCTCATTTTACGATAATATAGTACAGACCTGGAGCCCAGATTTGATAGAATAAAAGAGTATAGACGTTAGATATTTTCATGTATAGTATATTGTTTATTCTGATACATACTCAACAGTACTTGCATGTCATAGTTTCAATTGCAATTTACTCTTGTAAAATATAGTGCCAGTCGTTAAGTAAATCATAGTATTTTGGATGTCTATGAGTAGTTACTCAAATCTAGAGGTACAGATGATCCCCTACCACTTGGATACAACTTTTCTGTTCCCTTTTCACCGAATCTACGAGGATTTGGGAGAGCATTAGCATTAACAAATCTGAATCTTTTGTCTTCAATCGTTATCATGCTAGATTTGGAGGAATTAATGTGAGTATTAATTGTGTAAGCCAGAGCAGAGATTTTTCTGAGCGATTGACCAGCAGACTGCTGCAGAGATAAGTTCGATGATAATGAGTTCGATGCATGGGAGGATGAAGGAGGTGGTGGCGGTGGAGCCGCCTTTTTAGGTTGGTACGAGTCAGTGGGAGCCGATGATTGAGGTAATGGAGGAGCAGCAACAGCAGGTGGTCGAATTGGGGCAGTAGAAGAAGCCGATATTTGTGGCGCAGATGCTACAGGTGGAGCAGGTGGAGCAGGTGGTGGAGCAGGTTTTGAATCTCTTATACTATCATTGGCTCTGTATGGAGAAGAAAAGGGCGCCTGTTGCGAGCTCGAGTTCGAATTTGAATTAGAACCGAATGATCCTGAAGGTATTGGTGGTGCTGCCACCGGAATTGGGGGTGCAGCAGAAGCAGCATGACCCAGATCAGACCTTTTGGCATTAATTTGGGAAAGAAATGGTAATGACAGAGGTGCGTCAGCTCGAGCAGAAGGAGGAGTTGGAGCCGATGATTGTGGAAGTGGTGGGGCAGCAGCAGGAACGGGAGGAGCAGCATTAGGTTTTGCTGAGATGGTCGATTCTGTCCTCTTTGCATTTATTTGCGCAAGGAATGGCAAGCTCGGTCCATTTCCAGCAGGGGCCGATGAAGGTGCAGGTGGAGGTGGAGCAGGCGGCACTGCAGAAGATGATGCCTTGCTGCCTGAAATTGTCGATTCAGTCCTCTTTGCATTTATTTGAGCAAGGAAAGGCAAGCCAGGGCCATTCCCTATTGGAGCAGGAGGAGCAGGAGGAGCAGGAGGAGCAGGAGGAGCAGCAGGAGCAGCAGGAGCAGCAGGAGCAGGAGCAGGAGGAGCAGATGGTGCACTGTCCCTCGGGTTAGATTTCAGACTTACCGAATCCACTACATAACTTTCACTTCTCTTAGCATTAATTTGTGCCAAAAATGGTAATCCACCTCCAGGGAGGGCAGGAGCCTGAGGAATACTTGAAGAAGATGAAGGCGTCCCATTACTTGGTAGAGGAGGAGGCGGTGGTGCCGTCAGGGATGGTAATGGAGGAGGTGGTGGTGCCGTCAGGGAAGGTAAGGGAGGAGGTGGTGGTGCTGACAGCGAGGGTAGTGGAGGAGGTAGTGGTGCCGACTGATTAGGTAATGGAGGAGGTGGAGGAGCTGACAGTGTGGGCAAAGGAGGAGGTGGTGGAGCCCCCAGCGTAGGTAACGGCGGAGGGCCATTATTTGATTCTTCAAACGATGAGGCCGAGTTGACCGACGTTGATCTCAAATGTGATGACTTCTTAGGTCTGCTGGGAGGCATCTTTGGAGCCAACTTATTTGGCATAGGAGGAGCCGACTGGGGTAAAGGAGGGGCAGATGTAGGAATAGGAGGTGCTGACGTAGTAGGCGGTGTCGATATTGTAGGAACAGGTGGACCGGACTGATTCCTTACCGGTGGTCTGGAGTTGGGTAACGAAGGAGGCAACGAGGGAGGTAAGGACGGAGGCAAGGATGGTGGAGCAGGCGGTCTTTGAGTATTGGAAACCACATTTCCAGGACGTGAGCTTGGAATGGAAGGGGGGAGAGATCCGGGGATCTTTGGAGCCGATGGTGGTACAATTCCTGATCTATTGTCATGTCCAACCTTCTTCAACTTGGGCATGCCTCCAGCAAAGATGTCACCAAGTGAGGGTGGCGGTGGTGCACCTCCCGATGAAATTCTGTTCCCATTTCCACCAGAGGGTGGTGCAGATGATGGTGCTGCAGGAGACAGAATTGCCACAGACATTTTCGAGTCCAATATTGGTTTGGATTTATCGACAGTCACTGCCTTCTTAAGTTTGGTTCCCTTTATAATATCACCAAACAATGCATCTCTTCCAGCAGCTGCTCCGGGTGGTGGACCAGCTGGCAATGAGGATGGCGGAGGAGGGGGAGGAGGAGGAGGTGGTGGTGGCATTGTCAATTGATTAATACCAATAGGTTTTGGTTTCAAACATGATCTACTTCCTCGATTCATTTTGCTTGAGGTTTTCGTTAGGCATGTTGCCGTAACCCTCGGTAGTGCATATAGTCAGCATCGCCAGGTTGCAGGTCACGGGGTCGTCCAAATACAGGTAACCGAAGTTGTGGATAGAGTCAGGCAATGGGATCTCTTCTTCTGCTGCTGACTGTGGGGCTAGATGTTTAGGAGGGATGTTTATTTCAGCTGTTTCTGAAGTCACTTGGAAAAAGAATAGCTTTTATCTGTTTAGCAGCTACCTGGAACTTTCTGCTGAGGCTCCCTCCTACAGAAGAATGGCTGCGAAAGTTGATAGTGCTGCAATCTGGCCCCAGCAGATGTGAGCGGAAGGATAGGAATCTAGGGCGGGGGAGCCATGGTTCCTGTGTTTTGAAAGCGTCACAATCTGGACCAAGTAGGTCTGAGCGTAAGTATAAGGACAAGCTGCATGAATTCTGAGGGTGTTGTACTCTTGTTGGGGTAGATCTGGAGTAGACAGGATAGTGAGCAAAGGTGCACACCAATAGTGTTGCGAATTTGTTCAAGTAGATCGAGTGAAGTAAGACATAGGGCCAAGGCGTTTAGGTTTCGACTGTGTAGTTGGATAACCTTGCTTGCTAGTGATTTTGATCCCTTGTGATTTCAGCTCGACATCAAGACATTGGAACTGGTAAATATACATAGAGCTAGGTACTTCTTCAATTAATTGTTTCTTACAGTTACATTTAAATCGATAAAGTCAAAAATTGAAAGCATTCATTTTTAAAACTTTTGCTTCTTCGTCAGTTTCTATATATAAATCTATTTAACACCCCATGAAAGGTTATCGTATCCGAACATCCATGGTCCAACCGTATGCCTTATAGCAATCATCAGCATCCCAGTGACAAATTGTGCACTCAAAATCAATAAACACAATTTATCCTCTCTCATTGGTCCAAACCAAACTAAGGACAAGTTTATCAACGTCAAATTGGAAAAGCGAGTAACCTTTCCGCCATCCTCAGTTTTCACTTCTTCAACCCTGACAAGTCCCAATTTATGTAGTATACTTATCAACAACGAGGGCTTCTCTAATTCTCCAAAACTTGGGTACATCAATCCATCTTCGGCATTGAATTTAGGCATTCTATGACGCGGACATGGAACTATATGGAATAATTGAGGTACAGAGTAAATAAAGTTGATCACCTGAGGTAATAGGAATATAAGCAAAGTCTTCAGGAAATGTCCTATGATACCGACGATAGCGAATACCATACCACTGAAGTAGCAATAGGTATCACCAACAAAACATCTTGCAGGGAACCAATTGTGCTTCAAAAGTGCACACAGTACTCCTAAGAATGGTATTACGAAAATGGCAGAGAATAAATGTGAATCATAGGCTGCTTGGGTAATATTTGGAGTCAATAGATAACAGAAATCGTTAACTAGAAACACCAAGGCCAAAACTACCGATTGTCCGACTTCCAATCCATTAATTCCAGCAAGAATATTGATAGAATTTGGCGAAAAGATTGAAATAGCAGACATATAAAAGTAATAAAACACTCCCAAATCAATCAATGTCGGATTCTCTGTAGTATCTGCGCCACTTGTGAAGCTTAGTCCGGTTACAGCTTTAACTATCCAATTTCCTAAATCTATAGTTCCTTCCAATATATCAATACCCAAGCCTCCATAAGGAAACTTGTAAACAAATGGTGGGACCATTACTTGCGTTACTGAAAAATCCACATAGTAAACAATAAGCAAGGGCAATGAAGCTACAGCTGGTAAGAAGAACTTGTGACGCCATCTAATATCAAACAAATCGTCAAAGAGCCCCAAAAGAATCGTCAGTTGGACACATAGTATAGCAGAAAGATACTCTGCCAACTTATTATGTGGGAATAATTTGGTATGTGGCTGCGATTCATATTGCGACGTGTAGGTATTCTCGATCTTCTCATCAGAGAACAAGACAAGGTACTTGAAGAATACAAATGGAATAAGAAAGAACATTATGAATAAGTAAGTTATAGCAGAAACCAATCCCATGGATTCGGGAAGCACCGGCTTATTGGTTTTCGATAAATCTGCGCCCTTCAATCCAATCTTGATGAAGCTTTGAGAGAGCCTAGGGACAAGCAGTTCAACCACCAAGTATCCCAATACTGAGAACGCCAACAGAGTTTGGAGCGGATTGTTTGGCTTGATCAAGGCCATAGAGCCGAGGGCAACCACCAAACGAAAGGATATTATTGACATACTCACTATCTCTACTACTTTGATCAATAATGTACGAAAGAAGGTGTCACTATCACCTGTGAAATTTCTAGCTACTTGAAAAATCGCGATATGGTGATTTTTGTACATAAACAATAACAAAAACTCTGGGGACTAGAGCAGGCACCATGGAAGTAATGAACATTTTCTGCAGTTCGGTCTATTTGAGTGCTCCAATTGACGGAGAGACCTACAAGGAAAGCAAAATGAAGAAGAAAAAGTGCCCTTTTATCTACATAATTTGGCTACAATTTGCAATTTCTTAAGTTTTGATATTTTTCACTTTTCGTGTCTAACACTTTATTCTTCTATGCTACTATTTAATTACTAGGCTACAGGAGCAGTTAGGGTAGATCTCAGGTCTACTAACTCTTGCAATCTCTTTAAGGCATTTGCATGTCTTTCCTCACAGTAGTCTCTCAGTTCATCGTATTCAGTCCATAACGATTCAGTTTCAACTACGAGTTTGGTGTCAGGTGTAGTTTCTATGCAAGTTCCTTCATCACAAGGTGAGCAGAGCGCCCAGTTAGTTAAGAGTTCAGCACCCTCAGCTAAGGCAATGGCTTCATAGTAAGAAGTCTTGTTAAATTCCACTAAGGAGGATTTGGTGTCCAAGTAACAGAATTGGTTATGGGTAATATTGGCTTCCTTTACAAAATCCTCTTTTGATTGGATGGACTTTTCAGATTCAGAAATACGTGGCTCTTCAATTGGTTCGAGATGACTGTAAAAGGCCAAGTAGTACGCAATTAAGGCAAACAAGACCACAAAAAAGGCATTAACATTACGATGAACCATTTTCTTGCACTATCTTCCAAGCAATAATCAAATTTCAACTAATTAAGTGTACTTGTAGGATATGGACAGTGCTACACTAGGTGGGTCCATTTTGGAAAATTCACTAAGAGACATTTTACGTGTTAACATTGATCGCGTCCTGCACACAGATCTAATCAAAAGATGATTACGAGATGGGAAAGAGTGCAACAGCGTTAAGCACACCAAAAGAAGGTAGGCAATTATGTAAGGTTATCTTCTTGTACGTTACAAATAGCCCACTGAGCGTTCTGATCCCACCTTCAGATCGCTTTCTACCGTTTCTCTATTAATTCTCTACCCTCTCAGCATGTTTTAATGAGTCCCTGCACACAATGCAGATCAACCTTGATCACGAGATGGGAGAGGGTGCAACAGAATAAGTGAGACATAGAAAAGACTGACATAAAGAAGACTGACAGTCATGTAAAAAGCCTTCTTTAACGTCACAAATAGCTCTCCCACATAGATCCCATCCTCCTACCTTCAGATCGCTCTCTGCCTTTCCTCCATTTATACTTTACACACTTAGCATCTTCTCTGCCAATTTCTCATCTCAGAGTTCCTTGCCCTGCATACTCCTTAGACTCCGAACGCACGATACAATTATTTTTTTCTAGATTATGCTCATATTAATAGAAAAAGATTGATCCGCATAACTACCAAGGTCAACATTAATGCAGCACTTTTTTCTTTAACTTCACTATTAAGAAGTCACTCTTCTTTGAAGGAACTTAAGTGTAAATTTGTCAGGCACATTCTTTTAAAGGTAGGAAGCAGACACTAGTGAGAATATTGGTTGAAATTGAGAAATCCAGCTAAAAAAATACTGTATTTAAACGAATATTTAGTACGTCTTGCCATTTTTATCGTTATCTATAGGTGAATTGTTCATTCAATACATAAATAAATTGTTAAGTTAGCAAAAAAGCACATTTTAAGTATTCGAGAGGATGCTCAGCAACTCCAATATTAGAGGCGAAAGTAGCCTGAGTTCACCGCTAAATTCTTACATTCCCAAGATCGAATTGCTAAAAGATCTAGAGAGCTTTGGCTCTGCACCAGGCAGACTGCAACTACAGCCAGCTACCTCCACTTCTTCTCCTGTATCTTCAACATCCACAGTAGTAGTTCCTTCTAACCAAGGTGATGCTATGAGCGACCCGAAATCAAACTTGCTAGTGCACGGATATGTCCATGGCCATATACACAAGCACAAAGATCACACACACATACACGGGCACATCCACAACCATGACCACAATAATTCTAATAAAGTCGCTCAAAACAACTTTAATGAACTTGATTCATGCAAAGAACTTGAAGCTGCTTCATTCTGTGACGGTATAGTCTGTGATGAACTTGATGACTGTTTCTTTTTAGATTGCCACGATGAAGAGGAGAACAACAGTACTAAGCATGAACACAGTAATATAGATTTCATACCTGATATGAGCTGTTTCGATCCTTCTTGTTCCATAAATCATCATGAGAATAACTTATGTGATTTCCAGATTGCAAAGAGACCATTATTCGAATCTTTAATAAATAATGTACACAACGAAACTGAAGAGAAAAGGCAATTGAAGAAATTGAAAAGTGACAAGATTATGGAATTACACTTTCCTCATATATGCCATACGCCCCTGCAGCAGCAACCACAACAGCAACCACAACAGCAACTGCAACAGCAGTCACAAGAGCAACCGCAACAACAACTGCAACAACTGCAACAACAACTAGGACACTTGGACCTGAATCTAATTTCTCTGCTGAGTTCATCCCCGCTGCTGACGTCGAACCTGTTTAAACTGCCAATTTCATCCAGAGCTTCTGAATACAGCACCAATCACTTGCCAGCGCACCATATCCATAATTCTTGCTTCCACACCAAAATACAACACGAAGAAGACATCAAAACTATTTCCGATTATGAATTTTATGTACAGTTTAATAATTTTGAAAAATCGCTTTCTAATAGTGTTTCAAATTTCAAAAATAGTGGAGCAAGCACGGAAATAGACCCACCACTTTTCCAGTGTCAATGGGATAATTGCTTTAATCAGATTAATGATGACACATTCATTCAACATCTTCTTCTGACTCACATTAATGATGATACGAATTTTCGAAACAATCAAACCCAACAGCACTTTCAGCAGCATCAACAAGAACAACAACAACAACAACAACAACAACAACAACAACAACATGACTTGCAAGATAGGTCCAAATTTCACTGTGAGTGGAACAACTGTGACTTTTCAATTGACACATTGGACTCTCTTTTAGAACATGTTACTACTCATAAGCAAAACTTTTTTATACCAGGTAACAACTTGTTTCCCACTCAGACACAAGTTTTCCCCACTCCGACTTCAGCTTCTCCCCCATCAGTTTCAAGTGAAAATCTAGTTAACATCACTTCTCTAAAGATCTCACCTCGAGAACTTCCAGAGCCAATAGATGAATCATACACCTGTAAATGGCAAATTGGAACCGACGAAGAAACAGGATCGCCCATACCTTGCGGTAAAAGTCATTCCCTGTCGGCAGAATTACAAGATCACTTGATAGATCACATAGGACAAGGAAAATCTATTTATCATTGCGAATGGGTAGGATGTGAACGTCACAAAGGGAAGGCATTTGTCCAAAAGCAAAAGTTATTACGTCATATTCACATACATACGGGCCATAAACCATGTAAGTGTGAAATATGTGGAGCTAAATTTGCAGTCGAGTCAATGTTGAAGCAACATTTGAGAATTCATACCGGAGAAAAGCCATTTCAATGCAGCATTTGTGGAAAACAATTCACTACTTCTTCAAGTTTATCCATTCACAATAGGGTGCATACCGGAGAAAAGCCATTGATCTGTAAATGGCCGGGCTGTGGAAAGAGGTTTAGTGAGAGCTCGAATTTAACGAAACACATGAAAATTCACATGAAATCCTTTCAGTGTGAAATCTGTGGGAAGGAATTTGAAAAGAAGCCTGAGTATACAAAACATTTAAAGCTTCATGGTTAACAATAGTTACATCATTGCAAATCATAGGAAGCCGAGAAACGAATCAGAAGAACAACAACTAAAGGATTTCTAAGCGAAATCAGCATTCAGTACATAATAATTAAAATTTTAGTATTTATATTATGCCCCAATCTATTAACAAATTTGGGAATATTCTACCTATCTACATCAATACATGTAATATTATTATGATATGGTGCTACACAGTGCTGTAGTAGATCCCAACTAGTCCATATCCGACATCATGCAGTACAAGTCGTGTGCAGAATTTTTCAGAGTTTGAGTATCATGAAAAAAAAAAAAGAAGTAGATGAAGAATGCACATATTGAGCTCAGCTCTTCTGTACTAGGACCAAATTATCGAAATGCCAGTAGTAAAGAAGGCCATAAAAACCGTTTACTTGGATACCATTCCACATGTAGTCAAACCTTTTGAATTTCCAGCTCTTAGTTCTATTAAAGCATCCGATCTCCCAAACAATGGATTTGGTAATAAAAACTACTACATACCGAAGACGAAGTTCGGACATTGGCCAGTTTATCTTAGAATTCAAAACACCAAAATCACAACTGAGATCAAACGTTTGAAGGGAGATCTAATTCAGTTCAAGTCTGATTTATTGGAATCCGTACCTGGTTTGGAGGCTAGACATATATCGGTCAACCAACAGACTGGTAACGTTAACGTCAAGGGTGACCTTGTAGATATACTAAAGGAAGTATTCACTCAAAAAGTGAAAAGTGAAAAGTTGAATGAAAAATAAGTAGGAACCTTGAGTTAATCGAATCAGGAAGGTGAAAAGAAGTGAAAACCGCCTTGGGTTTGGTGCAAAGGTGAGTGTAGAGAAATAGTAAAATGGAACTAGCCTATTAAATATTCTAGAAGTGGTTCTTGTACATAGACGTAATAATAAAAACAATCACACATAGAACACTGAGAGAAGAACTGTAGATTTTAGTAAGCATATCATAATTTGGTATATAGGTACAGCTCAGCCCCATGGCACTTAGCTCGCCTATTCCAGGTATCAACAGACAACCTAAGGGTTGATGTTCTGGGCGCATACTTATTTAATTTAGTTTCTATATTTAGAAGCTAAACCTACAAGAGAGGCAGTATAGTATAAAAAGCGTTAATTCTGGGGAAGTTTTGATTCTGACTAATCCGTGAATGTTTTATGTAAGGCTACTCTTGTCCTCAGATGATGGAGTACTTACTGTGTCTGAAGTGTCGAAAGCATATTGTCTAATTTCTACCATCCAAGGGTCATTGAGAAGCTCCATGGCACTTGGTCTTTTCTTTGGATCATGTTCAAGACAACGAGCAATGAATGCTCTACCTTTTTCACTTAATTGATCTGGTGAAGGTAATTGCGGCATATTTCCTGCAGCAATATGATACATAATTGCCCACTCATTATCTAATTGAGCCCATGGTCTTCTACCAGTTGCCATTTCTAAAATACAACACCCAAGTGCCCAAATATCAATAACACCATTATTACCAGAAGTTGGAACACCAGTGATAACTTCGGGTGACATATACATTGGAGTACCTGTCATAGAATTAAGATTGTTTCCAAATGGTGGATTTGCAGCATTAGGGGATGGCTCAGCAGGTGATGGAATAACTTCATTATCTTCCTGGTTGTCTTTATCACTGCTACTCTTGATTGAATTGTTCTTGTTGGAATTTATAGTAGTACCTCTAATGGTCCTACCAGTATTAGCAATCACCTTTGCAGCCCCAAAATCAACAAACTTAATAACTCCATTGTGATCAAGTAGAATATTTTCTGGCTTGACGTCTCTATGTACAACCCCGGATTGATGTAAATAGGCCAAACCTTCAAGCATCTGCAAAGTATAGTATTGGGTAACCATTTCATCTTCGATCCTACCATGAGTCAACAAGCCTGATAAAGAACCACCTTCACAGAACTCCATGAAAATATACACTTTATCTCTATGAACTTCAACCCCAAAGTATTGCACCACGTTAGGGTGGTTCAACATTTCCAACACTGTCATTTCATCTTTAATGGATGGAACAATGTTCTTAATAGATTGACTATCATGAAATCTGATTTCCTTTACAGCCATGACGCCACCAGTATCTAAGTTGACAGCTGCGTAAACATTACCAAACAGACCGCCTCCGATAAATCTACCCTTTTGCCAACGAATGGAAACTGATGAAAATGAAGACGCCAATAAAGTAACGAATTGGTATTCCAGATCAGAAATATCAAGAACACGGCCAACTGACTGTTGTTCTGATTCTAATTCTTTTCTGTAATTTTCCCTTTCTTGGATTTGCTTCATAATATCTTCCCTATAGGCACTCAAGATCATTTCATCATCATCCGTATTTTCCGTATTAGTTCTTGAGGAGGTCCATTTTAACATTCTCTTTTTCTCAGCTTCACTAGATCTAGCACCCATGATATCAAAATGACTAATGAGCAAGGACATACATCTAGCAACCTTCAACTTCAACTTATAAAATTGATCCTCATTCAATACGAATACATTGAATCCCTTAGTCATATCCATCGCAAATTCAAGAGCCAAAACACACCACCTGAACGTTCTACGATCAGTCGGTATACAATCATCACATATGAAACTAACCCATTCGATACTCAATTGCATTAACTTCATGATAACAGCTGATTTTCTTGTCAGGTCCATTGTTTTAACAGAGTTTTTCACGTAGCCCCTGGCATAAACAAAATAGTTGTTAATCAATTCTTGAAAATCACCTTTAGGAGCTATTTCTAAACATTTAGCTCTGACAATTTGAACCGAATCTAAAACCAATAATGACATTTTAAAGAAACTTCGAGTTATTCTAGTTAAATCATAATGAACCCTAGCCAAGGAGCACCTTTGCTCCATTGGCCTTATCATGCCATTAACCACCATTACATCCAGCACTATGTCAACGAATTTCTCACGAACTTCATGAAGTCTATCATAAGGAAGTTTGGTAATCATGAGCATCTGACCGACTGATATATCAGTGATTGGAACTTCATCAATCGCAAGATTATATACTTGACCCTCCCAAACAATTGCTTTTGGAGGGCATATGGCAAGTACGTAAGCATGATCAGTAGGTGTAGATGCTAATCCTGCTGTAGACTCTCTGTAAGCAGATGAAAGAACTCCTGCATTGGTGGTAACAGTAGCCATTCCATTATTAATCAAGGTCGAAGAAGTAACAGCGGCAGCGGCTGCTGCTGCTGCTGCCGCAGAATCCTGCGCTCTAAGCAAATCAACAAATTCCAGCTTTAATTCACTTTCTCCAACTCCCACGTAGCCACCATTAATGAATTTCAATATTTCTTCATCATCACCCATCAATTCACTACTGGCAAAGAAATAGATACCTTGCGTTTCGACTGTACCAGTATAGACCAAAAAATGATTGGTTAGCCTTAAAACTTCTAAGAAGTTTTTAGTTCTATTGTTATGAGTAGATGGCATATCAAAAACCAACAGGTTTGTAAAGTCCCTGGAAATCTCACCAGCGAATCTTGCCAATTTTCTTCTCAATTGGCCAAAGTTTTCCGTAGTAGAGCTATACCACCTGATTAAATCTGAAGCCGAAGTAGCTGGAGTATGAGGTGGATGCCTAATTTGGTTATTTAAATATGCTAACAACCTATGAATTAATTTCAGCGTCAACAAGGTAATTTGCTCAGCAACCACAACACTTCCACCATCAATATATGCACCAAGACATTTTAAGAAATACCAAGTCTCCTCCAACTCTTCAGGTTCCTTGAATGTTCTGAAGTTCGTTGGAGATCTTGACAGGTCCAATAATTTTCTATTGAGTAATCCAAGGAAGTATTTAACACATTGTAACACAACCCTATCAAAATCCAGTCGCTCATTCTCGAAAAATTCCCTTATATACCAATTCTTATCGGGGTCTGGTTTACAATATTCGACAATCACCAGCTTCACTTCTAAAGCAACAGTAATGTAAGACTTGAAGTCATCAATCATTTGATCAATCATCATAAGCGTAGGGTTTTGTAGCCTCATAGCATATTTGAGACGAACAGAGATGATTTCTTTAATGAGCTTAGCCGGGATAAGACATAATTGAATCAAGTCATGAATGTAATCTGGAAGCTTTAGGGACTCAAAAACTGGACCCAATCTAATGTAATTGTCTTTGGATTTAATCATCCATGGTGCAAGCGGCGAGAAGATACGTTTGTTGAACGTCAATTGTACATCTTTTTCCTTCATAAGACGTTCAGCTAGTGATCTTGAATCGTCGTCGAAAACCGGCGCATTATCAGTCATTGGTGTATTTTTCGATTTTCCCGTGGCCGGCGTCACATTAGAATTTGTAGATGGTGTGGTAGAAGTATTTGGTGTGACAGTGGTCGTAGTAGATGAAGCAGTAGAAGATGAAGATACAGAAGAGGATGTTCCATCTTTCTTAGGTGTCACTTCATTCAATGAAGAACCCTTCGTGATGTCCATTTCATCGTTTCCAATCCAGATTCTAAAACTTTCGCGTGCCCTCTTAATTGCGTCAGTAATACTCAACCATGCATTCAACGCATCAATTCTATCTTGAAATTCAACAGTCCTGCAAAGAGGTTTGTCATTTTTCATTTCTTCCATCGTCCTCCACTGGTCACAACATTTTTCCCATTTATCTAAGATAGATACAACTTGATCCCTAGGACTTTCAATAGGATTAGCACTACTATTTCCATCTTCATTATTGCTATTTTGGCCGCTAAAATTGTCATCATCCTCATCTTCACGATCTCCATCCTTATCCTCAGTTTTATCGTAGTTAACTTCAAATGTCATAATCTCATCCAAAACAGCATCTACCAATGTTCTCCTGTATGCAATGATCTTTCTTTGATCGTCCTCAGTTCTGTTGTATAGCTTAGCAAGAATGCCAAACCATAAATCTTCCTTGTAGGTAATATGAGCAAACAGTTCTTGTTCATTTTCAGGATTGGTTTGGATAATTTTCGTTTTTTCAGATCTCACAACATCTCCAGTTAGCACTGAAGTAAGCATGGATTGCCATTCTAACCTTTCAATTACTGCTGGATCATCAGTGTTATCCTTCAGAAGCTGCAGCAGATTCTTTTGTGGGTTAATATTAATGGAGTTAGCTGAATTACTACTCATCATTGACAATGCTAAACTGAAATCAATTTGATATTTATCCTCATCTATATCAGCCAATAAATCACTGTTATAGTTATTGTTGCTATTGCTTGTCATATTTGAATTGTTATTATTATAAGCTGCAGTGGCATAATTGGATTGGAAATCATTGATGGAGCCAGTGGATGTATCACTATCATTACTTTTTGAAGATTTTGTGCTGTTACTCCTATTTACTTGTCCACTATTCTTTTGACCCTGAATGGGGGGATAGTTGCTATTGTTGAAATTATTATTCATGCTACTACTGTTGTTGTGGTTGTAGAGAGATTTTTTGTTACTGGCGCTGAAATCGTTGTTCCCTTGGTTGTAATTCTGATAAATGTTGGAATCAGTATTATTATAATTCGAATTATTATAATAATTATTATCATTATTATTTTGATTATCATTATTATTATTATTAATGTTGTAGTTGTTGTTGTTGTTGCTGTTGCTGTTGCTGTTTCTGTTATCATTGTTATTGTTGTTCATGGTGCCGTTGTGTGTACCAGTGTCCCCATCAATAGTTTCGTCATCGTCATCGTCGTCGTCCTGGGCTCCACTTATACCTTTTGTGTAGTAGTCGTCAACCATCTGATTGCGTATCTTACGGAGATATGCCCTTTCTTGGGTTACGTACCCAACAGGGTTGGCAGAATTTGGCGATTGCATCGTAGTTGATGATGTAGCAGATGAAGGAGATGCAAAATGAAGACTTTGATTGAGCGTCAGCGTTAGCGATCTCGATCTAGTCCTGGACATTGATTGGGCCGAGGGGTGCGTTGGGGGTGCCAACGTATTAGACTGAGACTTATTCTCTAGATCGGTTGTTCTGATACTCAATGATCTCGCAGTCGAAGAGTTGCCACCACTTGGCGTTCTCTTAACACCTCCATTGTGGTGAATGCTAGCAGTGTTGTTGCTGCCGCCGTTGCTAGGATTATTGAGATTATTGTTGTGGGTGGTTATCGAGCTGGTAGCTGTCATTGACACGTTATCTTTATTCCCAGAGGATGTTGCCGCAGCATAAGCAGCAGCACTGGCAGCACTGGCAGCACTGGATGCGCTGGTAGCGTTACTGCTGGTGCCATTAGCACTAGAAGGGCTCCTTAGTAATGACGGTCTTCTCACGCTAAGATGATTATGCAGTTGTTGCTGAATGGGAGTATGTGGGGCATTGCCGCTATGGTTCTGTGATGCCGAATTCGCTATATTTCCATGATGTTCGTTATTATTCCCGCTACTGTTATGCCCAGCACTTGTATCTTTCTGATCTTTCGGGGCCTCCTTACTTGAGGGCCTCCTTGTGGCAGCGTCCCTTCCAACCACCACTGTCAATCCCGCACTGGCATTGGGTGTCTTAGAACTCATCGCGAGCTATTTCTTTTACAAATAATGAAGGACTGATTATGCAATGTGTATAGAACAAGAGAAACAACTAGACTTTCAAAAATCTAACCTTGTTCTTGGCCTCGAGCTTAACTTTCAACTTCTACACCTTCACTGACTTTTTTTCCTGGCTCTATTTATTTTTCTGGTTCGCAACCTCTGAGGGTGCAAGCACAAAAGAGGATTAGCATAAAGACGGACTGCAGACAAACGGAATCTATTAATGGTTATTGTTAAGGTAAGTAGCACAATTGCCGCCGCATAGACGGTGCTTGAGGGCCGGGGGTTTGGAGAGAATGAGAATGAGAGTGAGAGTGAGAGAGTGATAATGAGATTGAGAGAGACTGAGAAAGAGAGACCGAGAGTGAGAGAGTCTGAGAGAAAGAGAGACTGTGATAGAAGATTGTTCCAGCTCGGTGCATCGATGTTCTACTCTGCATGATTTCGCGCACAACGCAGGGCTTCGGCGGAGGGAACAGAATTTCCTATGGTAGAGGCGTGGACCAGGTGATAGGGCAGCAAGAGAAGAATTGAACTGGCCAAGTTTGCCCAGGTCAACCTTACGGGGTCACTGGCTTCAATCAGCAAAAGAAGGTTAACCTTTTCTTACGTACTTGGTTTTGTTTATTTCTTTCGTTTCCTTTCTTCCTGTATTTCTTTTACTCATTGCTCTTGATAAGATTTCGGCTCGGTTCTTTGTCATCGCTACGGAATTTCTTCAATTTTTCAACATGTTCCTTGTAACCCCAATTTGTCATGCTCTTCACGTTAAATGAGCATTCCTTCATTTTACCTTGAACCTTGCTCTATATCTCCCTCAGGCTCCCCTCTCGGCACCCTCTCCTCCCCAACCCTCCCCTTGCATGATCCCCCTCTATATTCTGTTAATTCAACTATTACTATCTAAACTTTAATGGCAACCCGCCTTAGATTTAGGCTGCTGTGCTACCTTTAGATAGCGTTGTGAGATGCACGACCCCGGAAGAACCCAAATCTTTAATTTGCTTCACTTGGTGTACGCGTGAAAAATAAAACAAGATCAAGAGACCCCACGCTACATGTGGAGTTAGATCTAAGAGCATACTCCCACATCATATGGTTACGCTTTTCGAATTGCTGCAGCGACAGCAAGAGGGCGCTGTAGCGAGCTTGGACTCGGGAATACCTGTATTGGATACCTTTCTACCTAGAAACATCGCCAATGGTGGTATTTTTGATATACATGCGGTGCCAGGATGCAGTGATCAGTTCGAAATAGTGTGCAACTTTATTTGCACTCACCTACAAAAGGATCCCAGAAAGCAAATTATTATCATAGACACCTTACATCCATTTCCATTCCATAAAATACGACAGAACAAAAACTTTGACACATCTATGGCAAAGAGAATCTCGTGGTACAATGCAGGAACGTTTTCCAAATTGTATGCGCTCTTGGAACAGTTAAACCACAGAGAAGACATTGTACATAACAGTATGGTTATTATCAACAATTTTCAGGAATTGATTGATTTTTACAAGATGGAAATATCGTACCTGTATGAGCAAATGCTACTAAAGCATCAAATTGAGGTTAACAATGTCTTACTAGCTAATGAAGAGAAAATCAGACAAGAAGGCAGTTTTCCAGTGTTACCAATAATACCACCAAATTCAGATCTACTAAAGGAAAATCCACAGAAAAAGTTCAACTCTCATATTTCCACGATTTCTAACCTACTTTCATCCTTTGTACGAAATTATTCGCTGATATTTTTGTTACTCGGCTACTTGGACACTCAGTATGAACAACAAGAGAACAATGCAAGTAATAGTAGTGTCAGCTCGCAGAGTTTCATGGAAACTCAATCGACTACACAGCTGATGACACAGTCAATTTCAATGAAAAAGCCCAGGAAATTGGTATTGGCTCCCAAGCCAACCCCACTAGATAAATTTATTATATGTAGGTTGATATTTTTCAAGTACTTGGATGCCAATGGGATCGAAGTTGGGGTGAAAGTCCAAAACTATAAAGAGGACAGGGCAGGAGAGGTAAACATTTCGGCCGAATATCTTTCAGATAACGAACAAAAAGAACTAGACGAACTAGATGAAGAAAGAGAAAAAGATCTTGCTAGAGCAACCTACTTACCTTCTTCTCCAGAATTGAGTGAGAGTCAGGTAGATCGGTTCCGTAGTTCAAACAATTTCAATTTGCAGCCTACTGGTGCCGACAACGAGCAACTGAATCAACAACGAACTCCTTCAACAACAGAAAAAGGAGTACCTGTAAGTGTCAACGCCAACGACGATATGCCAAATAACTATTCAGATCCAGCCAATTCATCTCCACTCTCTGAAATACCAGACTCCCAAGGTGATGTTAACGAAAGTCAGGTGCTATATAACCTGCATACAAAATAGCGAGTTTATACTTTTTTTTTTTTTTTTCCTTTCAAGTATTTTTTTTTCAGATGCTGCGATGAGGAACGGTTCCAAATTCTTGTTAAGCATAGTGAAAGATAGTTCTTAGCAGTACCTTATTAGCTATATTAAATACTTAATAGCATATTTCGTTGATACACAATGGCTACTGTAATACCACCACCATCTAAAAAGCAAAAGCGAGAAGCTCAACAGGTCAGAGAAGTCGATCTCGTACCAGATGATGTCCCCAACGTATTAATCAAATTCCAGGCCTCAGACACCGGTGAATCCATTGGTGGGTCTATAAGAGTTCCAGGAGGAATTACCGAAAAACAACTTGAAGAGTTGTTGAACCAATTGCATGGAGAATCAGATGAGCCTGTACCATATACCTTTTCCCTTTTAGGTGATAAGGAAGACCTCATTGACATTAGGGATAATCTTTATAAATCTGTATTGAAGCCTGGCCACAAAACAACCGAAGATTTTATGACTTTGGTGTATACACCCCGAGCAGTATTCAAAGTCCGCCCGATAACCAGACTGAATGCAGCTATAGCAGGACATGGTTCTACAATTCTTTGCTGTGAGTTTGCCCCAAACGATTCCGGAAGAATGTGCACTGGTGCTGGAGATTCCACCGCTAGAGTGTGGGACTGTAACACTCAAACTCCACTATACACCTTGCTGGGTCACTCCAATTGGGTTTTGTGTGTAGCTTACTCACCATGTGGTAGTATGATTGCTACAGGCTCCATGGACAATACCATAAGGTTGTGGGATGCCGATTCCGGTAAGCCTATCGGTTCTGCACTTACAGGACATTCGAAATGGATCTCCTCATTATCATGGGAACCTTTACATTTAGTAAAGGCCGGAGACTCACCAAGATTAGCATCCGCCTCCAAAGATGGTACGGTGAAGATTTGGGAAACCACTCGTAGGCACTGCTTGTTTACCATGAGTGGGCATACCAACGCCGTATCTTGTGTGAAATGGTCAGGAACAAACATTGTCTACTCCGGATCTCACGATAAGACCATCAAGGCATGGGACATCTCAGCCGGTGGAAAGTGTATACAAACGTTGAAGAACCATGCCCATTGGGTAAACCACATCTCGTTGTCCACGGACTATGCATTGAGAAGAGGATGTTTCGATCATGCATCCACTAGACAAACCAGCAAGACTATGAGCGCTGAACAAAGACAACAAAAGGCATTGGAAATTTGGGAAAAGGCAGCTAAATTGAATGGTGTGATCAATGAAAGAATGGTTACCGCCAGTGATGATTTTACTATGTATTTCTGGGAACCAACCAAGTCTTCTAAGCCAGTTTTAAGAATGTCTGGTCACCAGAAGCTTGTGAACCACGTTGCATTTTCACCTGACGGTAGACACGTAGTACTGTCATCGTTTGATAATTCTATTAAGATCTGGGACGGTTTGAGAGGTACGTTCCTTGGTACCTTGAGAGGTCACGTTGCGCCAGTGTACAAGACTGCATGGTCCGCTGATAACAGATTATTGGTGAGTTGTTCCAAGGACACTACATTGAAAGTCTGGGATATTAGAACCAGAAAGTTGAGTGTAGATTTACCTGGTCACGCCGATGAGGTTTACGCAGTGGACTGGAGTACTGACGGTAAGAGAGTTGCCAGTGGAGGGAAGGATAAGATGGTTAGGTTATGGTCTAACTAGCTTCATACGTGGCTCGCGATTGTTGTATGTGGGGGCAAGTTGCAGTAATGGCTGACGGCGCAGGTCTTCGTGTGAGAAGTAAGACACCAGTGGTCAACTGGAGATGGCTATATGAGTCAACCAAGTACTTTTGATAACAAGAAGATAAATGGCTGTGGGCTGTGGTCTAAAGTGAACTGGTGGATATGGCTACCCTCTAGTCATCCTGCTGAGCCAGTGCCATTCCCTCAGAAGACAAAGAGTAGACTAGATGTACATGTGGGAGGTGACTGCCTACTGAGCCAGTGGTCTTCACTTCAAGAGCAGCCAAGCACTGAATGGCTGCGAATCCATCGCCTATCCGTTTTGGGAAGGCTGCGAAAAATTTAAGCATTGGGCTTGACTAGTAAGCGCAAGACTAGTGCTTAGCTTACAGAGCTGCTCACTCTATATAGATACAGTTATACAGTAATGCGTGTCACTACGATGTGAAATAAGAAAGTAGTAGTCCTTCTTCTCTGCACCCACCAACATGATCTTTCCTCGTCCTTACTATACCTTCCTCTCCATATCTTCTCCACCCTTTCTACTCTCCGTCCACAGCTGGCTCCACATACATTTCAAAGTCGTGCGCCAAACAAGGCTGTGATAAAGAATTCCTGATCAAAATTTCCAAATTTCGATTCCGAGCACTTCCACCGTAAGGAGAAAAGCCCCAATTATAAAGTGCAACAGGTAAGGTAGCAGAAGGTTCATTCAGTAGGCATCAAGCACAATGGCCATCGTTAAAAGAGGAGGACGTACCAAAAAGAACGCTGAGGCGCCAGCCAGGATTCAAAAGGCCGAATTCGATATAGGCAAAAAGAAGGAAGTCGGAGTCTCAGATTTGACGTTGTTATCTAAAATCAGCGATGAATCCATCAATGAAAATTTACACAAAAGATTCCAAAACGATACTATCTATACATACATTGGACATGTGTTGATCTCGGTCAATCCATTCAGAGATTTGGGTATTTACACTCCGGATTGGCTCAAGAAGTACCAGGGTAAGAATAGACTTGAAGTCCCCCCTCACGTTTTTGCCATTGCAGAGTCAATGTACCACAACTTGAAGTCATACGGTGACAATCAATGTGTTATAATTTCTGGTGAGTCGGGTGCCGGTAAAACAGAAGCAGCAAAGCAAATTATGCAGTATATTGCCGCGTCGAGTGGTTCCTCGTCCACTGATAGTCCTTTAGAAGTCCAACAACAGGTGCAACAACTGGGACAAGGTATTTCACACATCAAGGATATGGTACTTGCTACCAACCCGCTTCTTGAGTCCTTCGGTTGTGCCAAAACCCTTCGTAACAACAACTCTTCTCGTCATGGTAAATATCTCGAGATTTTCTTCGACAGCACGCAACATTTACCAAAGTCTGCCCATATCACCAACTACTTGCTAGAAAAGCAGAGAGTTGTCTCACAAATCACCAACGAGAGAAATTTCCATATCTTCTACCAATTTACAAAGCATTGTCCCCCACAATATAAGGAAACTTTTGGTATCCAAGGACCAGAAACCTATATTTACACTTCCGCTTCCAAATGTGTCAATGTAGACGGTGTTAATGATGCAAAGGACTTCCAGGATACTTTACTGGCTATGCAGACTATAGGTATTTCATCTCTGGAACAGGATAGTATTTTCAGAATGCTTGCTCTGATATTGTGGATCGGTAATATTTCCTTTATTGAAGACGAAACTACAGGAAACTCCATAATAAGAGACGATTCGGTCAGTCAATTTGTTGCATATTTATTGCAAGTTGATCACGAATTATTAAAGAAAAGTCTTGTCGAGAGAGTTATGCAGACCTCTCACGGTATGAGAAGAGGTTCTACATACCATGTTCCATTGAATATTGTTCAAGCTATTTCTGTTAGAGACGCTTTGGCCAAGGGTATCTACAACAACTTATTCGAATGGATAGTTGAAAGAGTTAATAAATCCTTATCAGGTGAAAGCGGTTACAACAACCTTGATGGCCCTTCAATTGGTATATTGGATATTTATGGATTCGAAATTTTTGACCAAAATTCTTTCGAACAAATTTGTATCAACTACGTTAACGAAAAGTTACAACAGATTTTTATTCAATTGACCCTCAAAACCGAACAAGAAGAATATGTTCAAGAAAAAATTCAATGGACCCCTATTGAATACTTCAACAATAAGGTTGTTTGTGATTTAATTGAAGCCACTAGGCCTACCCCAGGTTTGTTCGCGGCATTGAACGATTCAATTAAAACTGCACATGCTGATTCAGATGCCGCTGATCAAGTTTTTGCTCAAAGACTATCAATGGTAGGGGCACAAAATAAACATTTTGAAGATAGAAGAGGCAAGTTTATTATTAAGCATTACGCTGGTGATGTTACATACGACATTGTAGGTATGACAGATAAAAATAAGGATTCTATGTTGAAAGATTTATTAGAATTATTGTCAACTTCAAGCAATCCTTTCATGGAAGTTTTGTTCCCTCCTGAATTGTTAACTGTGTTGTCAGATTCAAGAAAGTCCCCTCCAACTGCATCGGATAAAATCAAAAAGTCTGCCAATTTATTGGTTGAAACTTTATTAAAATGTCAGCCATCATATATTCGTACGATAAAACCCAATCAAACTAAAAGACCAAAGGATTATGATAACGCACAAGTCTTGCATCAAATCAAATACTTGGGGTTGAAGGAAAATGTCCGTATTAGACGTGCCGGATTTGCTTCGAGACAAACTTTTGATAAGTTTGTTCAAAGATTCTACTTGTTATCTTCAAAGACAGGATATGCTGGTGATTATATTTGGAATGGTGACGATATAAGTGCAGTTAAGGAAATTTTGAAGGCTTGCTTCATTCCAAATTCTGAGTACCAATTAGGTGTTACTAAAGTCTTTATTAAGACTCCAGAAACTTTGTTTGCGTTGGAAGACATGAGAGATAAGTACTGGCATAATATGGCCACCAGAATCCAAAGAGCATGGAGAAGATATCAACAGCGTAAAATTGATGCAGCTAAGTTGATTCAAAATGCTTGGAGAAACAAGAAACATGGAAATCAATTTGAACAATTGAGAGATTACGGTAACAGTTTACTCGCAGGAGGAAAGGAAAGACGTAGAATGTCGATGCTTGGTTCGAGGGCGTTTATGGGTGATTACTTGGGTTGCTCTGGAGGTTACGGTAAGTTCATAGTGTCACAGGCTGGGTTATCTAATGATTATATCATTTTCTCAGCAAAGGGAGAAATTTTGTTGAGTAAATTCGGTAGGTCATCCAAGAGATTTTCGAGAGTATTTTTGTTAACTAGAAGCTCATTGTATATCATAAGTGAACAAGTTGTTGAAGGTAGACTTCAAGTATCCAAAGAATTTACTATCCCAGTTGGACAAATTAAGTACGTTGCACTTTCTAACTTACAAGATAATTGGGTTGCAATTTCAATGTCATCAAGTACATTACCTGACGTCTTTATCAATTTGGATTTCAAGACAGAATTGGTCACTGATTTGAAGAAATTAAACCCTGGCGTAACTATTAAGATAGGTCCAACAGTTGATTACTTGAAAAAGCCAGGAAGCAAGAAATTGCATTCTGTTAAATTTGCAGTTGGCCAAGCTCCTGAAAGAGGGGATATCTACAAGAGTGGAACTGTTACAGTAGCTAAGGGTTTACCACCAAACTCCGTTAATCCTAAGAGACCAAAGGGTATATCAGCGAAAGTTGACTATAGTAAATATAGAAGAGGTACTGGAGGTAGAACTGTTAGGCCCGCTCCTAACTATGGTAATCAGCCTGTTCAGCAACAGTCATACCAACAGCCAGCCCAGCAACAATACCAACAACCTGTTCAGCAACAATATCAACAACCAGCTCAGCAACATACCGCTAGGAAGGTTCCGCCACCAGCACCAAATTCACAATCTCTCAATAGAACCGGGGTGCCACCATCAGCAGCAGCTTCAGCTGCGTCGGCTGCCGTTGCATCCCATGTGACTCCAGCCAGCAAACCAACATCCGCTGCACAACCTCAGCGCCCTGTGAAAAAGGCGGCTCCTACCCCACCAGTTAAAAAGACAGTGCCACCACCTCCTCCTCCACCACCTCCGGCAGCTATCAACAAGCCAAAATGGCCCACCTACAAAGCTGCATACGACTTTGCTGGCTCAGGTGCAGCCTCTGAATTACCAATTACTAAGGACACTATTGTCTACATAACTCAGCAAAATCCTAATGGTTGGTCTTTAGCAAAGTTGTTAGACGAAAGTAAAGAGGGTTGGGTTCCTTCAGCGTACATTGTTGAATGTGATCCGCCTGTCACTGGTTCTAATGGCCCACCTCCTCCACCTCCCCCACCAGCAGGGTTATCAGCTAATAGGCCCGCTGCTACTTCCAACGGGCTTGCATCTAATGGAACAAATGGATCATTAGGGAATGGTTTGGCAGATGCACTCAAGGCCAAGAAGACAGAGGAGACTACTCTTGCTGGATCTTTGGCTGATGCACTCAAAAAGAGAGGTGTTACTAGAGACAGCGATGAAGAAGAAGATGACGATGATTGGTGATCAATAAAATACTAAGAATTATATAAATAAATAAATATAAAAATGAAATGACTATAGAACTTATATCAGCTTTACCCATTGTAGACATCTCACATCCTAAATATTCCAATATACAGATAGCTTGGCGCTTATTTACGAGTACTTTTGTAGTGACAGTCTCACTTATGCCTACTTTTTTTTTTCACTATGAACATGCGCAGTACCGATTTCTCGTTCGCAGAAGTACTTAGAAATACCTGACAAGCTTCCTTCCAGTTGTACACTGTGTATCTCTGGTAAATATTCATATTTTTAGTTGAACTTTGAATGGCACATAGCTAACATGTCAAAAAGAAGTAAAAATTCTCTTCTAACGCCGAGTAACAATCGGAACACTCACCAAACCGCAGTAATTAAGGATGAACTATTGTCCATGAAATATACCATGACTGGACCCGGCTCCTCGATATATCCATACGACGATTACAATGCCAGCAACGCAACTAGTGGCGGGGCCAATTTGGAGCTGGATTCTGCAGTATTGGAAGATGATGATTCGGGCAAATTTAGATCTAAAGGAAGAACAACGCTTATACGGAGAAGTTCCAAATCGAAACCATCACCTGGTAATGGCGGGGTCGGCAGTGGAAGCGACGACGCTTCCTTTAACTTGATAACCAACAATCCGGATGGATCAGTTTTCACATACCCGGATTACAAACCATGGCTGGACCACACATCGCTCTCTAGTTCTGATTCAAAGCTTGAGAATGAAAAGATAACGAACAATGCATACTTGAATAAAGGCTATTTCGAGCCACCCCTGGTTTCCAACGAGTATTATCTGGCTCGTAATATGATTCAAAATACGATATTCCTGTCTACCAGTAATTGCCAAAGGGTATTAAATGACTTACTGAACCAATTGTCTAGTGCTTACAGCTTGAGAAATGATCAAGTGAATAGAATAAAATTCGAAAGTAATACATTCAAGTTGCCGCCAAGGGTTACCCTTACAGCTCTGAAAAAGGAGATATGGCTCAGAGATCTTGCCAACCCTCAAATCCCATTGCTGCAGCTTTCAACAAAGATACCACATGGGGTTAGAAACAAGATATTGATCGACAGCTTGTGTGCAAAGTTTGTCCCATTGCCTAGAGCAATTTGGTTTACTAAATGTGTGTTGCATTCCGAGCTTTTAGCTTGGAGAAAGAAAATTTCATTGAGACAACAACAGTTGTTGAGTTCATCAAGTGGAACTGGGGCTGGGGGAGCGATTAGTATTCCTCTGATTCAGACTCTAGAAAACCAATGGCTTCAAGAATGGACTCAACAAATGGTGGAATACATTCAGAAATATTCTCGAGAGATGACAAATATAGTCTCTCAAGAAAGAAAGCACATTTACACTCAAAAGCTAACTTATTTACTCTCATACGCACAGACACTTTATATTGAATCTTTATTGGAAAAAAGCACATTTCTTTCACTTTCAATTAAGTTTTTCATAGAAGGAATCCCCCAACAGATATTTTTTGAAGGAGAAAATGGCGATGAAGAAGAAGATGATGACTCTAGTGATGCAGAGAGAGAAGAAGTAAAGCTGGAACTGAGGCCAGACGATACTCATTTTGACCAACAGCAACAACATGATTTGCACATGTCTATTAATTATGGACAAAGACTTGTTGCGCTTACTATAGTGAAAACTTATTGGAACGACATACTCAAGTTGGATTATTTATGCAAAGAACTCAGTGAAAGCTTGCTTATAAATTATTATTTGATAAGTAAAACTTCGACTAAAAAAAGACAACAAGGAATTCAACACCATCACCAGCAACATCAACACCATAATAGCCAAAGTCAATATAACATTGGATCAGTGAGCAACTTTATGTCAGCATCGTCCCCAATGGGTTTAATGGGCTCGCCAATGTATAGCAACTCTCCGTCGGTATATGCAGCAAATACTCCAACAAGCAATCCCCACAACCACCAATCCTCAGCAGTCAATAATGCTTCCAGCGTGAATGCAACTTCATCCTTTTCTGTCGAGTTTAAGAATAAGTTACTCAAGACAATCGCAGAAACAATAACATTTTTAGTGAAATTCAATTCTAATATTTTCATTATACCTAATTATTGGCCAATCGTGGGTGGTACGCTTCGCTCCATTCTTGAGGCATCTCCGGTAACTTGTGATGAAGAGCGGGACGAAATGAACAAGCAATATACAATAATAAAGTACAGAAATGAAAGCTTGATGTTGAACCTCAGTGACCCAAACTCGGCACCTGTACCTACTCCAACAGCACCTCCTGAAACTCCGTCGGCTATAATTAGTAAAAATACTGTTGAGACTTACAGCAAACGTAGGTCAAGTAAAGATATTTTGAATATTATTTATCAATTGGATAACCTCAAGTTGAACGAACAACTTGCTGTTTTTCTTCGACCATCTAGTGGAAATGTGGGAGGCGTCAGTTGGCAGCAACATTTAAAGCTAGTGCTCTATTGGTGTGTAACATCTTATCGAAAGTCACGCTCCACATCTGACAGTATTTTAACAGTCTGCAATTTCTTGAAGAAGATAGTTTTCTCTAAAATTGAAAGCAATCGTAAAATGGAATTTGAAAGTGAAATCTTGCAAGTAATATATGACATTGCAGAAGAGTCTGAAAACGATGTGGTACCTAATAAATTATACATTTTACTTAATGAACTTTATCAGTTAAAATTGCTAACTATTTCGTCATACTTAAGGAAACTTATCGCCTCGGGAATATTCTACGTGGAGACTAATATCAATGTGGAAGACAGAAGAATTATTAACTCCCATATTAATATTTTGAAAAACCTTCCTGTATTGAATAATAAACAATGTGATAGTATTTTGAAGAAGTGGACAATAGAAGGCTATGACTTCAATGAAAAATTTGAGGAGGGAAAGACTATTGTCCTGAATCAGATTCTTTCTTTACTACTGCAACAACAGCAACAGCAAAATGATGAAAATTTAGAGATAATTAAGAATTTAGCAGTGGGAGTCAAATTTTTACTTGTTAATTGGACTACTTCCCAGGTAAAGAGCATGATCGCGAACTCGCCAAAGCTTGTGCATATGACTCCTGCAATATTATCACGATTATTTGAGTTTTATTCCGTTTGTGACAGTCTTACAGTCTTTTTCAAAGTCATTTTAAGATTTATTCTCAGAAATGATGGGATGGTGATCATCTACTATATGGACACGTTACGCCTTATTACTAGATTAATCCTTAAGCATTCAAAACTCGTCATGTTAGTTGATACTTCTGATAATAATGAATTATTCAGATTGGTCTTGACTTCCTATAAAGACTTGATAATGAGGGAGCCTGATTTTTTCAACTTTAGAGAGTTCTGGAAATATATGAGCCATTTGGTCGAAAGACTGAATTTGAATAACTCTGAATATTCAAACGGTCAGGTTAACGAAGGGGCTTTTGATAATGACACCACAATGAACCTTGTAGGGAATCTATATGGTTCTGCAATAACGGATGACTTAGAAGAGTTGTTGACCTTTTCACGAAAGCCACTAGAACAGGCTGAAATCTCAGAAATTGTTACAAACTTAAGCTTGAATGTCGAGCCAAATGATGAAAGAAAACTACTTTCCAAATTGCATGAGTTTAATAGCAAGTCTACAGATGATGTTGAGATTGGTATTGTGCGTCTTTTGGTTAACTTGAAAGACATGGATAAAGATACATTCTTTTCGATTCTTAGAGAATTCTTACAGGCTAATAGTGACTTTGGCATGAACTTCTTTCAAAAATTGATCAACTACGATATAATAGATATGCCCACATTGGCTGGTATACATCCTTCTATTTTAATTAACAGCGAATCCGCTTCCTTGTCAGAAAGTGTGAATCCTGACCAAGCTTTAGTTTGGAATTTTGCAGCTGAACAATATTTAACTAGAAATTCTCCTTACAGTCTTAAAATGATACTTTCTGGAGATGACATTCAAACCAATAGCAAATACCTTGAATTGTTAACTATCAAGCATACACCTTTCATAATAGAGGAACTTATTAAGAAGCATCCGTTGAATGTTGTGTTATCGCATTACGAGAAGGTTCTTGGTATTGAATTGCAAAATAAGAGTACAGAAGAAATCATTGAATTGATTGCAGTCTTAGTAAACGAGTTCAATCTTTCGATATGTCAGGTTATATTGAAGGCTCTACCTATTGAAGATTACAGGACAGTAAATTTTATGATCGATGCTGTCTTTCAACATTTACATTTGAAATTCTCTCCACATAACTCATACTTTGGGGACTTATTTGATCTTCTAGATTGGCAAGTTAAGTCCAAAATCCTTGACTACTTGGAGAATTTGTTTTTGACTGAAACTAAGTTTGATGAGGAAAACAAAATCACATTGAAACTGGTAAACAATGTGAATTTACTTCCTGTATTGAAGGATTTCTTTAAGAAATTTACAATTAGATCATCAGCTGGTATTAATACCCTGTCACTTTTGTTAGAATTACTGATTCTGTTTACTTCCAAGTTGCTATTAGTTACAGAAAGGACAGAAATTGAACAATATGATTCTGATTTATATAATACACTTTGCGTCTTCCTAAGAATTTTGATTATTCATAAGCAACCGTTAATGACAATTATTATTCAACATGATGAGAAGCTAGTACTTGTTCAAAAATTAATAGAATTGCTAAATTCTAGCTACTTTGCTGGAAGTAAGTGTGAAAAATTGAAAATTTTGCTATACGATTTGCTTTTGATATTGAAAGGTGGAATAAGTGAGATCTTAACAGAAAACAATACGAATTCTGAAATTTCTGGCATAACGCTGGGCAGTATGGGGTCGAATATCACCACTAGTGCTGGTGCTGGTGTAACGCAGCTCCTGCCAAATGAAGGTACAACTGGTAGAAGGAATTCTGGTGGTTCTCCCAACACCACCGCAATGCCTACTTCAAGCACTATTGCCAATCCACTGTTCGTGCAGGAGGTGTTCCATTTACCAGAGCCAACCCACACCAACCCACTTGAAAGGTATATTGGCAGTGACAACGTCAAGTGCTTACTTACACTTGACGAGAAGGAACTTACATCGGACGCTGAAATAAACTACGTTAATGGCGATGCTTTGGAAATTGTTTCCGTGGTAGAAGGCAGTGAAGGTCAAGCACAGCGAGCGGCTCAATCCGGCATGCACATGAAAAGTTTTGAGCTATTGGAAGGTAATGGTTCAGGTATCAATGGCAGCTGTATAAATTTACTGTTATTCCAAGCATATACCACGAGGCAGAACCCACCATGATATAGTACATATAGAAAATGAATCCTTTTTACACCTACTTGGCAGTATATGAGTACAATAAAGTCTTTGACATGTAGCCCTTCCTAACGTCTCTCATGCGCAGAATTCCTGCAGGAAGAAGCAATGCTATTTACATTTAGATAGTACCAACAAGGTTATGCGTGTTCCAAAGCAAGAGAAGAGAAAAAAACGAACTGGTGGACCCTAGAGAAGCTCGATTCTCATAGTGAACAGCAAGTTAACATATCGATACTTAAAGCGAGTCAATTGGAAGCAAGCATACTAGATCACTTTGGTCAACTAGAAATGGATTCTGACAACGAAATTGACACAGGGTACGACCAACCTTTCGATGCAAATGTCTTTGGGTCGAGTCGAAGCAACAGAACAAACGCACATTCGCGAGCATACTCTGCATTGACTGCCTCTGACATAGCAAATGAACCTTATACGAACCAGTTCAATAGCGGACCTCATACCCCTACGAATGCTATAGATAGCCCCTTCGATAATGCGCAGAACCTTCTGTTTCTTTCCAGTGCTAATTTTTCAACGGAGTCATTGAGCTCACTGCACCCAGCACCTCCACCGATTTCATTTGCAGGAAGTTTACCGTCAAGTGGACTTGGTATTGGAACTCTTCCATCTCCCTACTCATCCAGAAGGTTCTCTGGACAATCACTAAGTAATTCGCCTTTGCTTCCCTCCTCAAAACGTAACAGTTTCAACTCTTCTAATCCAACTACATCAAATACAAACAATAACAGTAGTAGCAATAGGGCTCCAAGGCCCAAATCTGCTATATTTATGATGGATTCTAATAACTTTGCCATTTCTGAGGATGGTAGTCCAATACAAGACGCCATAGACAGTACCCCTAGAGCTCGTAATTCATTCCATTTTGGGAGGTCAACTGCTGCGCAGGCATATGTTCCTACACCCCAGATAGCGCCTCCTACTGGGCCCTCCGGGTTCACGTTTGGTGGTGGAAATGCAAGTGTTGAAATTGGAGGGTCTAGATCAAATTCAAGGAGTACTTCACCAGTAAGATCTGGCTCCCCCGCTCGAAACGGTAGAACAGCTTCACCTATTAGGAAGCCTACTACTCTTGGCGTTGATAAGAGAAATACATCTCCAACAAGGTATCAGCCGTTTAACTTCCAGCCTCAAGAATTGATGATGAATGGAAATGGCTCGAACCATTCATTACTGGTAAAACCTGCCCATAGAAAGGGACATAAATATAAACACTCCTCTGTTTCCATGAACTTATTCCAGGAACCTCCACCGGCAATCGCAAATATTCATCAAAAAGTGCTCAGTATACCTGATCTGTATCCCATTCCTACTTTTAAAGAATCGATTAGATCTGTTACTCATACCCAAAAATTGAAATTGGCATGGTCAATCGGCCATGTTCTAGTTTCCGCATTTGTTTTTTTAGTTGGAATCAAGTTGAAAATGCCTACATTACTGACTTTAGCCCATTTGATCTTTTACGATGCATTAGGATCTTTGGTTATCGTTTTTGTTGATATAATGTCCAATTTTGAAGTGTGGAATTCATCATCAATTCAGTACCCATTTGGATTGGGTAGACTCGAAGTTTTAGTGGGTTTTGCTTTAAGCACATCTTTGATTATGGTAGGCTTGGATTTAATCAGCCATTCAGTAGAAGAATTTGTTATCGAATTAGCAGTTGGGGGCGAAGAGAATGTAAAAGATCACCTGTCACATCATATCCATGGAGATCATTCCACAGGAACAAACAGCTCCATTACTGGAAATTGGTTTGTATATGAATTAGTGTTGTTTATTTCTATTTGTATCACGATAGTATCGTCAAACTATATATTGTTTTACGATAGGATCAACAATATGATTTCAAATTCTACAAGAGTAGGAGGAGACGAACCGGTGAATGACAAGAACTCAAAATGGAAGAGGCGGTCAAAAATAAATGTGGGGATCATTGAAGGTGTCTCTACTACTTCCACAGAGAATGATTTTGTAGGATTTGCCCGTGTCAAGAACTACTTGAATGCAATTTCCAGAAATCCTACCCACATTCTTACATTGACGTACATATTATATCTCATGTTAGCGCCCTTCTTGCCTACTCAGTTAGGTTTAGATATTGATATTGATTTGAATGAATCTACTACATTGGTGGTAGCATTACTTCTTTGTTACAATGGATGGAAACTTGCCAAATCCCTCGGAGGTATTTTACTCTTGAGTTACCCACATTCAGATTACCAATACTATTTGTTGAAACTGAATATTGCGGACCAAATAGAACAGTTAGACTGCTTCAAGCAAACCTATTCCTTGGAACAATTATATCTCGCCAAATTCAACTACGAACTCATTGTGGTCGGGATCTTCATCTTGATGAGAGGAGGAACCAGTGAAGAAGAGAGTAAGATTAGATTTGAAATTAATCGTATCATAAAGGCGAGCGTTGACCGTAGCGGCAGAAAGAATAAGATTGAGATCACAATAGATATCAACAGATACTAGCACCTTTTTCAAGTCATATTCATACCTTACGTCGAATTTTGCACCCATCAGCTCCAATAAATATCTCCTGCATACAAATAATAAATTTCACCAAGTTTTGGTATGGCGCATGAGACAAACATTTTTCAGTTACAGATGGATTTTTTTTCATATGTTACTTCTCTTCTTTTGTTTGCCCATAATAATTTGTAGGATAGTTGTAGATGTCTAATTTTGTAGAGGAAGCTTCCTTTGAGGTTAGTTATGCACCAACGCATATAAAGAAGTGGAGATCTTCAAAAACTGGGCTCAGTATAACCTATATAAACCAACCCTCTCCTGTGGTAAATGGATATTTCGCAGTCGCTACTGAATGTGTGGATGACTCTGGATGTCCGCACACTTTAGAGCATTTGGTGTTCATGGGGAGTCATAAGTATCCATATAAGGGCTTGCTTGATACTGTGGGAAATAGGTTATACCTGTCAACTAATGCTTGGACCGCTGTTGACCAAACTGTGTATACGTTGACCACCGCTGGATGGGATGGTTTTAAACTGTTGTTGCCAATCTACTTAGATCACTTATTGAACCCAACTTTGACCGACGAAGCGTGTCTTACTGAAGTATATCACATTGATGGTGAAGGTAAGGAAAAAGGTGTAGTATTCCTGGAAATGCAAGGTATCGAGAGTCAATCCTGGTTCATCAGTCTCTTAAATATGCAAAGGCAAATGTATCCAGAATGGTCGGGTTATTCTTCAGAAACTGGAGGGCTTATGAGCGAGTTAAGAAAGTTAACAAATGATCAAATTAAGGACTTCCACAAACAAATGTATAGACCTGATAACTTGTGTGTCATTATTACCGGTACCGTAGACGAAACTGAGTTGTTGAATGTCATGGGAAAGTTTGACGACGAGCTTCCTTCACTTGAAGAAAATGTCAACAGAAAAAGACCATTTGTTGATAGCCCATCTATCCCAACCCTTGAGCAAACTATTGTCAAAGAAGTAGAATTCCCTGACGATGATGAATCGATGGGTGAAATTTTCATAGCTTGGATTGGGGCTAATTGTGATGACATACTTATCGCTACTGCAATCGACCAGGTTGGAGCTTATTTCACAGATAGTGCCATCTCTCTTTTCAATAAGAAGCTTGTTGAAATTGAATCGCCGTATGCCACTGATATTGATTACAGTACAGATGAGTACATTAATATAGCTTTTACTTTTTCGTTGAACGGAGTACCTACTGAAAAGCTAAAAGAAGTTGACTTGAAATTAAAAGAATTGATTCAAGAGCAATGCAAGCCCGAAAATATTGATTTGGAGTATATGCGCCAACTTATTAATCAACAAAAATTAAAATTTGTAAGTTATGTTGAAAATTCTTCGACAAGACTCTCAAATATAGCAATTTCTGAATTCATATACGGAGATCCGAAAGATGCTAGTACATTGGCTCGCTGGACTCAAAACCTTACGGAATACGAAGAACTTTTGACTTGGGATGCAAAACAATGGAGTGAATTGATTTCAAAATGGTTTGTTGAAAATAAATCTGTTAGTATATTAGGGAGACCATCTGTCAAGTTACAAAAGGCATTGAAGAAGGAAAAAAAGGAAATCTCCAGAGGTATAAAGGAGAAATATGGTAAGGAAGGCTTGGAAAAATTAGCTGAAAATTTGAAGAAAGCTGAAGAGATTAACGATAGACCTATTCCTGATGACTTATTACTTCAATTTGAAACACCTGATCCATCTAAAATTCAATTCATTGAAACGACTAGTTACAAAGCTGGTAAAAACCACGAAGTTGAATATGACAGCGTTGCTCAGAATTCTGAATTTAGTGCTTCATTGGAAAAAGATGGGTCATTGAAATCTCCATTATTCTTTCATTTTGAGAATTACAAATCTCAATTTACTTCAATTAACATAGTTATGTCTTCAGCTGTTGTTTCGCCTGAGCTTTTGAGGTATTGCTCAATCTTTGAAGAAATTTTCTCGTTACCAATTCAGGATGGTGAAAAGGTCATCCCGTACGAAGATGTCATTCAGCAATTAAACGAGGATTTGCTCGATCATGGCTTCTTCCCTGGTTACCAGGGCCGCTATGAGTTGTTGAATATCAAGATGAAGTTTGAAGCGTCCAAGTATTCCAAGGCAATAGATTGGTTGAGTAAAATTATTAATCATTCTATATTTGATTTGAAAAGAGTTAAAATCATAGTTGAAAAGATTATAAATTCAAATCCTGATAAAAAGAGAAATGAAGAATCCATGATGAACAGTGCTAGAGATAGAACTATCTACACTGAAAAATCTGTAAAAAAAGCTCAAGACTTCATATATACTGAAACTTTCTACAAGGAATTGTTAGAAAAGATTGAAAATGATGAATTCGAAGAAATTAGTAAGGATCTAGCAACTTTTAGAAATCAATTGTTTAATGTTGATAATATGAAAGTATTCCTTGTGGGTAATTGTGAAGTATTGCAAAACCCTATTTCTTCTTGGGATAATTTCATCAAGGAAACAAATGAAAGGGTCTCCAGCAACGGAGACCTTAGTTCAAGTATTTCTGCTTTGCCACGTTCTTTTGAATATAAGTCCAAAATAGGTGAAGAAGGTTGCAAATATGCTCATTTAGTCACTACTCCTGCCACAGAAACTTCACATTTGATTGCAAGTACTAGCATCTCCACGAATTACTTAGACGAAGATATTAACAAGATAGCTTTGGCCTGTGAAGTATTTTGTGCAGTTGAAGGTCCATTTTGGAGAGGTATTAGAGGAACTGGGCTAGCATATGGGGTTAGCATTCGCCGTAGTTTGGAAACTGGGTATCTAAATTTTGTGATTTACAGAGGTTCAGATGCTGAAAAGACTTGGCTTGTTGCTAGAGATATTATCAATGAATTTGCTGAAGGAAAGAAATTATTTGATGATATTACTATTGAAAACTCTATTGCATCTATTGTAAACGAATGCGCCAATCAGGAGTCAAATGCTTATGATGCTGCTAATAACAAAATCAATGATAACATCATTAGAAAAAGAGGGCCAAATTATTCATCTAAATTTTTACACCAATTGAGACAGATAACATCGGAAGATCTTGTGAATATAACAAAGAAATATTTCCAGCCATTATTCAACAGCAAAACTTCTCTCGTTTTCAGCTGTATCCCCGAATCTAATGTCGATTCATTTGAGAAGTTCTTGATTGAACAAGGTTTTGATGTAACAGTGGAAAAGGTAAATGCTGAAGGTAGCAACTCAGATGCTGAAGAGGAAGATAGCTGCTGCAGTGGAAGTGAAACTGAGTCAGGAAGTAGTGGTGAAAGTGATGATGATGACGATAGTGAAGAAGAAGAGACTGGAAGTGAAAATGAAAGTGAAGAGGAGGATTAGGCATGGTGGAAACGTATTATGCGTATATATCAATTTATAGACTTAGACTATTCAAGAGTTCAATATATATTTTAGATTTATTAAAAATGCTCTACGTAGGTGAATACCTGTCAAAATAGGAACATATGTATATTTTAATATGCCTTTCTATAAATTATAATTCTATTTTACTTCCACTGTTGGCTCTATTTCATTTATATAATGGCCAATTATTTTACAAGTATCTCCAGGATAACCATCAAGATCACCACTACTTTTCCAATATTTTTCATCTTTCAATTCTTCACATGATACCCACTGCACCAATTTCAGGAGTTTCAATTCCCAGTCCACTTGTTCTTTTTGGTTCTGGACGAGAGCACTAAACTCGTTTAAAGGACCAAGTACTCTATCCTGACCGTTACCCTTTAATACAGTTTTCATAAACCCATTCTTTAATTGCATGAAGAATGCCTTTGGTAATATATAATTTTGGGATACTAGCAGAACTGATTTGTCACCTGTCATATCATCAGTTGTAGTTTTTCTTTCGGTCAGAGCAAGAGACTTCACAAAATCTGCTCTTAACTCTTGAGTGAATCCGGAATCTTCAAATGCCAGAATTCTATAATCATAACCCTTGTCTGCTAAGAATACTCTCCATTTTTCATAGAAATCATCAACCATCACTGGATCTGCTTGTAGTAAGGCATTATCAATTTCGAGCTCATTTGAATTTTTAATAGGTCCAATAGATTCTGGTAAGTATTTCATCAAGTGGTATTGCTCTTTAAAGACGTGTAAAGCAGGAACATAAGTTTCTCTATCAGGCTTGTTGAAACCCAAGTTCAAATCTTCCAAAGTTGCACTATTCTGATAAAACAAGTGATAGTAGTGACTGGGACCCAACAAATTGTAGTATAAAGATAAAAGAAAACTACGGTAATGGGTTCTTTTGGAAAACACCATTTGACTTGATTCCACTGTAGTTGCTGAAGGTAACCCTTCTCTATCGTGAATGCATTGGTTCTTCTTATCTTCCTTAATATAAGCGATGAAAGATTTGTCGTTGGTGTAACAATCTCTACGAATTAACTCCCCATCCATACGCATGCCAGCAATTCTATAAAAAATGGGTGAGGTTGTCTTCTGCCAATGATGAGGCCACATAACCCATTTGGTTTCTAAAAATGATTTTGCTGATAATAATTTATCAACATTTTGTAGTGGAATATTGTTTGAATCAATTGAGATTATGTTATCGAAAGATGAAACAAGTAAACCGAATGGCTTCCAGTATACCCCTCTATCCAATAATTTCTTGAATGGACTTTTGGGACCGGCACTTAATTGAGCTTCTATTGATATACATTTGGCATTGAATTTGTCATGCATCATGGAGCATATGGACACATCAAGGTCATTCATAGGGAAAATGACCTCTATAGGCAACTTAGAGCCAGTATCTCTCAATTGCCTTAAGACGATTAAAGTCTGAGCGATATTGTCGTCAAACTTGTTGGAGCTATGCTCAGTTCCATCGCCTCCACTGTAAAGCACTATACCATCTCCCCACACAAATGGAGGAGCTTCTAAGTGATATAAGACGTTAACAAGTTTTTCGTGTGTCTGTCTAAGGTCTTGAATTTTCATTACATTTAAATTTACATGGCCAGCGAACAATTCTTCTAAGGAGAAGGCTGGAGTTCTTGTAAATTTTGAATGGATTGGAGGAATGCCCTTTCCAAGCTCCTTTTTATCAATACCAGGCAATGCAGGAGAGTTTGCAGTAAGAACGTCGTTCAAAATGTATTGATAATAAGATGTCTTGTCTAACTTTGACGCTAATGCCTTCTCTACCTTGTCATTACCATCAGAATTCTTCAATTCCGATAATAACTCACTTTTAATCTCTTCAACGTGAGATTCAAGGTACTCTTGTTTCAATTGATCGAATATGCTGAAACTCTTCGTCATTGAATCTGAAATACCCTTTGTCTTTTCATACTGAATTTGTAACTTCAACTGGTTGGTGAATTCCGCCAGCTTATCCTCATACACCTGTGTGCGCAACTCTCTAAGGAATTGGCTGTAGTAGGTATTTTTTATTGTAGTTCTCAAGTTATCGATGAGCTCTTTAGATTTTGTATTCTTCAACTCATTGGCAAATGATTCCCAAAACTCTGGGTCATCTACTGAATCTATATAACCTTGCAAAGTTGCTCCAGGTTTAAGCAAATATGACTCTGCGGATGTGAGAGGACCAGCTGCAAACGGAGACGAATGATGGCTCGTATAGAAAAATACGACATTGGCTGCTACAAGGTTTATCAATAGTAATGCTAGTATAATGTACACAGGGGAAGTGTAGAACCTTCTGGGAACCATTTTGGTTGGGAGTAATAGAGGTGAGCCATTCATGATGATTCTGTGCAAATAAATACGACGACACCTTTAAATTGTTGGACTAGGAATAAGAACGAAAGAAGAGCAAAAAGACAGAAAAAGAGGGCTTATTCACTCTCACTTCGACAAGGCTTTCACCTTTATATATGTTACCCACCCTCTTACACGGTATATCATGGTTTCAGCCTTCTTCCCATGGGCAACAATGCAAGGGGAAACCTTTTTGTAGGAGAACACAAGAAGAATGGTAAATATAAGCCTCAGGCTCAAAATGTTTTGCTGCATAATGTTATGTGCCCAAGGCTGAAAATTTCAGTTTAGCGTTAATTTCGACAGATTGGTGACAGGATCAGGTCGTTACGGATGGAGGGGTCCAACTAGGAAATATCCATAAACAGTTAACGGCAAGCATGAGCAACGCTAGTATGACCTGTAGATGGGGCAATATCTTCAAGCCCAAATTAGGTTTGACGTATATTGAGACTGTCATTAGTGGGGTAGGGTTTATATAGACAAAGCAGGAATTACACCAGATGCAGGGGAAAGGTAGGGTGTGGTGGATATATGAATGAAATGCATCGTTTGTTCGCGCTCTATTATATATTAAGTGCCCTTGTTTCCCAGCAGCAATCTGGAAGTTGGCATATTTTTAGCACTAAAAAATGCTCACAGCCTAAACTTACCCGAGCCTATGCGACTCCCACAGAACAGACTTCACCATCTGTTCACCCTCCCATCCACATCTCCTCCCATCTCTCTATCCAACCTCCACTCTTACGATGCACCCCTACGATGCAACAAGCATTATTCCAGTGTCATTCTACTAAGTGTAGTGAGCCCCCATTCCTCTTGCTTATTAACTAATTTGGAAACCTCTAGCCTTGTGCCAGGGCTTAGTCCTCCTGTATTGTTATTCAATCACCACCAATGCACTGTGGGTGTAGACTCCCATGCAGGACCGCGATTAGGCTTAGATTTATTTTCTCCAGGATTTTTTTCTCTATGTGGAAAAGAAAAAGCGAGTGTGTCAAAAACAAAAAAAAATAAATAAAAAGGAAAGATGGTAGATAACATGAGTACTGTTTTACACCTAAATCATGATTAATACCGAAGTCTTGCTAGATCGGGAACTAAGTGCGGGACTTTCCAAGTTCTCCGATAAGGTGATCTTGCCGCAATCGGTTCTTTCGCAGATTATCGACGAATATCAGGATAATTTGCCACATCCGTTGATTTTCAGGATGATTTGTAATGGATCGCAAAGTTATTTGGGTGTGAAAGAATTCGGTGGGGACGAACAGGAGCACAAGGCTGGGATCCCTTGGATAATACAACAGGAACTTGGAGTTAGTGATGACAAGGACCAAGCCGTACCATTGAACTTCACCCTTATCGACTCCATCCCAAAGGGTACCTCATTAAAACTCAAGCCAATCAAGGAGTACCCTGAGGTTCACAATTGGAAGTATTTCTTGGAGTCAAAATTGCGCAACTATACTACACTTACGAAGGGCAGTATACTCTACGTAGAAGATAAAGATCAAGTGTATGAGCTTTATGTGGAGGATGTAGAGCCTGCGAACACTGTGTGCATTATAGATACAGATATCACGCTAGATGTGATTGAGGAGCTCCACGAGGACAGCATTAAAAAGAGGAGTAGTGACGTGATCAAGGAGATTGGCTTAACTGTTGAGGTCGAGCTCGGATCCTCACCTGTTTACAAAATCCAGAAGGAAAAGGTAAATGGCAAGAGGATATCCGTGGAACCTATCGACAACGATTTTGATAATGTTGATGTGGTTTTGGGAGATAAATTTGTCAGCTTGGATCGCTATACAACTACCACTTTGGGCCTGGGCAGTCATTCACTTACTGTTCCGCAAGATACTGACTCGATGGAAGGAGAAAAGGACGACTGGACCTATTTAATCCCTTATGTCTGGGATCACTCTGTTAAAGTGAACATCGTATTGTCAGAGATAGAGGATGAAGAAATGGAGGTAGTACCTGAAGTAGGCAGCAACAACAACATGGTCCAATGTGGTAATTGTGACAAGTATATACCGAAAGCAAGCATGGTCTTGCATGAGAACTTTTGCAAGAGAAATAATGTGAAATGTTCTTGTGGAAAAGTGTTCTTGAAGAATATACCTGAGACTCATTGGAAATGTGAACACTGCGAGCAACATAGCGATACGCAATTATCTAAAATAAAACATTACAGGACATTTCACGAAGGTCCATATAAATGCCCTGATTGTGGTGCAAGCGGATTCAGTTCTTCCTTTGACTTGGTATTGCATCATAGAGCAACCGATTGTAGCTTCAAGCTCCATGAGTGCAGGTTTTGCCATTTAATTGTTCCTCAAGAAGAGTCCAACTACGAAGATAAATACAATAACTTGACTCATCATGAAAGTGATTGCGGCAACAAGACCACCGAATGCTTTAGGTGTCAGAAAATATTTAAGCAAAAGGATATTGCTACTCACTTGAAAGTACATGAATTGGAGAAGGTGCAATATGATAACATAGTCACAGTATCTACCGAGAAATGTTCCAACGACAACTGTATTAATATTTTAAATGGTCCAAGCAATCTGTTGAGATTGTGCGATTTGTGTTATGGTTCGGTTTACTCATCTGTGGACGACCCAACCAACTTTAAGTTACAGAACAGGATTGAAAGAAAGTATGTCATTCAGTTGTCCAAAGGTTGCGGAAATCTGTGGTGTAAGAATCCTGAATGCAAGTCTTCAGGTATGGCAACTGCAATGACCATGAAAGATATTATTCCTCACGTTAGAGACGGGTTGCTCAGTTTCGTTGTATCTCCCCAGCTTCCAATAAATAACCAAAGAGCTCATAAGGAGATCAACCAAAACCAATTTTGGTTCTGTGTGGATCAGAATACGACCAAGAGAAAGTTATTAGTTGAGAACTTGTTTATCCAAGGCGAGTACAAGCCCGAATTGGTGTATAAGGCAGTTAACGAGATAAGGGAGATATCTGAGGATAGAATAAGGAATTGGCTAGAATATAATGCGATAAAGGCCGGATAATTTATAGAAACACTAGGGTGTAAGCCGAGAGGCTGAGCATGTATATATAATAACGAATAGATACAACGTAATTGACTAGGGTGTAAGTCGAGAGGCAGAGCGTGTATGTACAATAAGAACTGAATCGAGTGGAAACATCATCACGGAAGTGCAACAATGACTTATGTAGTGTAGGCATAGGAGTTGCTTTGTGCAGGACCTGAGCAGATCACCACACTCTTTCGAAATCAACCTACACATATATAAAATCGAATAGGAACAAATCATTATCGAAATGCAACAATGTCCTCTCAGAGGAAGTGTCATTCCACATCTTATCGCCTATCACCTGCAGGACCTGCGTAGAGCACCACACTCTCGAACTCTTAAATCAGATAGCTTGAAACTGGCCCAAAATAGCACTGTATGCAGACCAAATTCACCTGATCCATCAGTCATTTTTCGATGACCGGGACGGCACCAACAAAAGAGCAAATATAAAAAAAGTCAGACAGAAAAGCAACACACAAAGTGAACAGCCCCAAATAATTATTCTGCCAACATGAATCCAAGCTGAACCACTACACCAACTCGCCTAGCTATGCAAACTCTCTACCAAAGTAAACCTGCAACCCCAAAAATCCCAGCCCATGTTTCATCTATGGACCTTAATTTCCTTATCGTCTTATGACTGATGGGTAGCACGCAACAACCAGCAGTAATGCGCATACTGCATATGGTGTCCTGCACGTACTTTATCGCCACCCTTCCTTCCGGAAAACGTAATCTCTCGGCTTTCACTTAGGGGATGAAGTGCGCGACTGTGGATTCTGGTATAATAACTAGCCCATATCCCTTTCTTTTCCTTCTTCTTTCTTTCTGGCTTTTTCTTTTCTTCCTTATCGTTCTATACTTTCTGATTACGGGATATCCAACTAACTGCAGTGAATCCCTTCAATCGAAAAGCATAAACAAAACATTTCCAAAAGAAGAAAAAGAATAAATACCCTCTATCTCAATAACTCACTAGACCCTAGACTAACTACGAAACAAAAATAAAGATGTTGTTAACTAAATCTGTTGCTTTAGCCATCTTGGCTGCCATGGGTGCTCAAGCTTTGGTCATCCCAGAAGCTGGTGTCATTGACGTTTTCGGCAAATCTAAGGCCGGTAAGGCCATTGCTGTTGGCGCTGAAGCTGTTGCTGGCTCTGTGGATGCTTTGACTGGTGCTGCCTCTGATAAGGTCAGCGCCCAATTCTTCCAATCTGGCCGTAAGCTTATCCCACATAAGTATATCGTCGTTCTCAAGGACAATGTATCTAATGAACAAGTGTCTTTCCACAAGGAAATTGTCGCTGCTAAGCACTCTGAACACCTTAGTGCCCTGTCAGAAGTTCCAGAAACATTTGTCGCCGCAACGAAGGATACTGCTGGCGGTATCTTGGATTCTTTCAACATTGACAATTTACTTAACGGATACACTGGTTACTTCCTTGAGGAAACACTTGAATTTATCCGTAACGACCCATCTGTCGCCTTTATTGAACAAGATTCTACTGTCTACGCATCTGAATTCCAAGTTCAAAAGGGTGCTCCATGGGGTTTAGCCAGAGTTTCCCACAGACAACCATTATCCTTAAACTCATTTAACCAATACTTGTTTGACAACAAGGGTGGTAAGGGTGTTACTTCTTATATCATTGATACCGGTATCAACGTTGACCACGTTGAATTCGGTGGAAGAGCCAAGTGGGGTTCCACTATCCCATACGGTGACGCTGACGCTGATGGTAACGGTCATGGTACCCACTGTGCTGGTACTATTGGTTCTGAAGCCTATGGTATTGCCAAGGAAGCTGACCTTGTTGCCGTTAAGGTCTTAAGATCTAACGGTTCTGGTTCCATGTCTGACGTTGTCAAGGGTGTTGAATTTGCTGCTAAGCTGCATCAACAAGCTGTCAAGGACAACAAGAAGGGATTCAAGGGTTCTACTGCTAACATGTCTTTAGGTGGTGGTAAGTCACCAGCCTTGGATTTGGCTGTCAATGCAGCTGTTAAGGCCGGTTTGAACTTTGCCGTTGCTGCTGGTAACGAAAACCAAGATGCTTGTAACACATCACCAGCAGCTGCCGAAAATGCCATCACCGTTGGTGCTTCTACAATTGCTGACGCTAGAGCTTACTTCTCCAACTATGGTAAGTGTGTCGACATTTTCGCCCCAGGTTTGAATGTCTTATCTACCTACATTGGATCTGACTCTGCCACTGCAACCTTATCAGGTACTTCCATGGCTTCTCCACACATTGCTGGTTTATTATCATACTTTGTTTCTTTACAACCAGGTGCTGAATCCGAGTTCTTTGTTGCTGCTAACGGTGTTTCCCCAGCACAATTAAAGAAGAACTTGATTGCCTACGCTTCAGAAGACTTGTTAACTGACGTTCCAGACGATGGAACTCCAAACTTGTTAGCATTTAACGGTGCTGGCCACAACTTGACTGGATTCTGGTCAGGAAAGGAAGTTCTTGAAGGTGAATCCAAGGTCGCCCTGGGTTCTGTTTCGTTAGAAGAAAAGGTTGAAAGCATGATCTCTAAGGTTGAACATGACTCCATTGAAATTTTCGAAGATCTCAAGAAGTTGGTAGGAGAAGCATACAAGGGTTTATAAATTCTAGGCGTCGGTTTGTCGGGCTATCGCAGGATGTGATAATCAGTGGCTTTGTATAGGCTTTTTTTATTATTTAAGTTCGTTAGAAGATGATTTTGTTTAGTAATACATGAAAGAAAAGAAAGAAACAGTTTGAAGTGTAGCGCCATATACCTATAGAAACTTGAAGAATGGATCTCAACCTACTCACCTTATACTAGTGCCAATTTCTTGGAGCGTATATGCGTAAGTTGTGGTTTATATGCAGTCCGTATCGTGATACTTTGCCCTCGCCACTAACATCAAAAAATCTCACTAAGACATAGCGATCGGTGCAGAGGCAGTGTATCTTTATTAGTAAGAGGGTTATTCAGACTTTCTTATTAGATTACATATAGTTTCATTTGTTTACACTATTTTCGCCTCCAGGACAAAAAAGTTTTGAACAACTTTGTGGAAGGGATATATATAAACACCAGAAAGACGACCACCATTTTTCATCCACGTTAGGTACAAGCTACATATAGGTGCACACAGTATAACAAGATGTCTACGCCAGCCAAACGAAGACTCATGCGAGACTTTAAGGTATGTATTTATACAGGTAGATAATATGAGAGGAAAAATAGAGGAAATTACTCCACTAAATTTTTTCAGAGTGTCCCACTCGATATGAAACACTTTACTAACATTATCAGCGTATGCAACAAGATGCTCCGAGCGGAGTCTCAGCTTCGCCCCTCCCTGACAACGTTATGAGTTGGAATGCAGTGATTATAGGTCCTGCTGATACCCCGTATGAGGACGGTACATTCAGACTTATACTTCAGTTTGATGAGCAGTACCCCAACAAGCCACCACTGGTGAAGTTCATCAGTGAAATGTTCCACCCAAATGTTTACGCAAGTGGTGAATTGTGTTTGGATATTCTCCAAAATAGATGGTCGCCTACTTACGATGTTTCCTCTATTTTGACGTCGATCCAGTCGTTGTTGAACGATCCAAATATTTCGTCTCCTGCCAATGTAGAAGCTGCTAACTTGTACAAAGACCACCGTTCGCAGTATATCAAGCGGGTTCGAGAGACAGTTGAGACCTCGTGGAATGAAGACGAAGATGAAGAAGATGAAGATTAGGGGAAAGCATTGGAGAATAAGAATATCAGAAGGGAGAAGTAGAAGATGGATACAAAAAGGAAGATGAAGATGAAGACGGAAACGAAGATGAAGACGGAGACGGAGACGAAGGCGAATTTAGGGATGAAGACGAATGGACGTAGGCTGAAAGAGCCGTTCTCATCGGCCATTGATGGCGATGAGATGTTAATGAGAGAAATATATAGATGAAACAAGATGTCAATGTCAATAGAAGAGTCCTTATTGAGACATTCATAATAAGAAAGATACAAATTACTCCCTGTGGTAGACCCAATAGTAGTTCAGCATTTAGGGCCACTGCTGTAGCCCCGGCGTACTACATGTACTCGTAGTTCGTCTGGTATATTTTATTTTGTCTTCTATATCGTTGTTTTGCTATATCTTATCTATTTATATGATCTTTTTAAAGTTCCCAAAGGGTATGGATTCGTTATTCTCTATTGGCATTTCCTTTATTTCAGTAGGGTATTCATCGGCATCAAAAACCAGCTTCATGGTTCCATCTTCACATTTTTCGTAGTAAATTCCGTGAATCATTAAACTATCCAACTCGACAAATATTTTAGTCAAATACTCAACGATAGGTCTAAGCTGATGAATAATGTATGTGGTTGCAAGGTTATCTATGTTCAAAGGCGAGGAACCGGTTGGATCGTTGACTGGAGTGGATGCAGTGTGGAAGCACTTGCATTCACAATCCTCGTCGGCATCGCCGCCATGCACATGCTTGTGGAACTGGTGATGCAATGTATGCAGCTGTCCTTTGTATATAGGGTAATATCTGTAATTCGATGTGTTCTTTTTAATTGGTATGCAGACTTCTCTGTCGGCCTGAAGCTTCCCAAGAATGAACCCGATTAACAAATAATATGTGGATTGAAGGTCCAATGCACTTTCCCCGTCTTCATCATCGTCATCTTCATCGTCTTCATTCTCTTCGTGTAATGGATAAAACTGATTTTCTAACAATTTTAAGACACCAGCACAACCTGAACATTGACAAGTGTGTAAGAATGACTCATAAAAGTCAGGCTTATAGTAGATGAACGAAGTCAAAAAGTCTGGAAGCTGAAGTGATTTCAAGTTCTGAACCACAGTCAGTTGCAGCTGCAGAATCGCTTGGGATTGTGGATTGTCATCGTGACTAGTACTGCCTGCCACCGTGGAGAAGAAACATAAGAAAAACGCCTGCATTAATCTTTCGTTCAATTTATTCAAGAGTACACTGGACAAACCAATCCCGTTATCAAACATTTTAAACCCAAGTGTTGAAAAATCTATACTGAGTCTTGAAAGGGATGACAACGTTTTGATAAATGTGCCCAAGGGTCCTAAGATACTCTCAAGCATCTGATGAGGTCTCAACCATTCCAAATTTGGAAACAATTCCAACTCAAAACTCTCAAGGTTAGGTAATCCGCCATTTTGGATCAGAAAGTCTGACAAGTCTTGAAAGAAAGTCGGGAAACAATTGCATCCCACATTGTTTCGATCCGAAAAGCAATCGATTTTCAAGTAGAATTGATTCAAGCAAGTTATATCAATTTTTTCTGATATTGTTTGGAATGTTATATGTTTATCAATGGAATGTATATAATCGTTCCTAGCTTGGTTTTCGTGATCTATACTGGATTGAAATTCCGTCTCCTCCAATGTACTGGCATCTGCTTCCTTATGGCAATGGAATATCGTCAAGCCCTTCAATTTCAACTTCTCACCATATCTGAGTTTGAATTTTCGGATTATCTCCAATCCCAAGTGATCCGTCGTAGAAAAGGTCAAAGTCTGCAAGGAATTGAAGATTTCATAGGGTTGGTCACATCCAATATCGATTTGCGGGGTCATACTCAACTCTAATTCGTCCAACATCAAAAACAAATTGGTTATACCCATGGGCAACTTCGGAGTGTATAATTCAGGCAAGCTATTGATAAATAGCTTGAACAACTTATTCCTAATGTTCCCATTTTGTAAGAACTTGTTCAATTTTTCAAGTCCATTCACGAAATCAATAAAGGTAATGTGGAGAAAATTCAATGATTTGGAATGAGTACCGAAAAAGTCAATCAAGTCGGAATGGAGTTGGTTGAGTGCCTTGGAGCAGAGAACCCCATCACTGGTGGGTACATTACCCTTCAAAGTGGAACATTTGTCGAAAACGAAAAACTTGATATTGTCGGTCAATTCTGGCTTCTCCATTAAAGTCTGGTTAAACTTGATCAAATTGGAGTAGTTCAAGATAAGTGCGGAATCCATGTGCTTGATTCCATTTTCTCGGATGTAGAACTTGGAGTCCCCCTCGTACCTAGTAGGGTACTCAGCGTTCAAGATAACGGTGACTCTTTTGTATAGTCTTTTATTTGCAATAGAATGGAACCTTTGACTCACCTGCAGAAAATGGATCAAATCAAATTGATCCACATACTGGAAAATACATTCCACAACGGTATCTGGTAAGCAAGATAAGCTGGGGGAATTGTGTATCGAGCACAATTGTAGATTAATCATGGACAGGAAAGGTTGCAAAGGAAAAGAAAAAAAAAAAGAAGAAAAAAATACTAATAATATAAATTTAAGGGTCCTAACGATATAATATAATCGAAGTCGAAAAGAGTTCCCCTTTTTGAATCATCCTACTAATTTGCAATGCCCTGACACTTTATCACAAATGGATAATTTGTACGACTGATGGAATGCACGGCGACCAGGCATAGAAGAAAAAAAGAAATGAATATAGGGGTATTTTTTTTCGCTCTTCCTGCAGATTTCACTTAGATAGCAAAGCAGCAACAGGAGGGGTGCAGGAAATTGGGTGCAAATAAAAAAGAAAGAAAAGCTAAGGCTACAACGGAAGGTAGTTGTCAAGAGAGTTACAAGTAGAGCATGTCGGGTCGAATAAGGTGAGAATGAGAGTCGAGATACACAGATTATGTTGTTCTACAAGCTGAAGGTAGTGCTGGGTTATTTTTATAGGCTAATCCAATAGTATTCGGGTCCGCTGAGAGCTGAGGAAGTACCATGTGAAGATAAGTAGCCTGTTCTCAGATATGCCGCGCTGAAGCTGGTCAGACTAGACTAGAGTTGTCTGGATTGAACTGCTCAGAGTACGTTGCTCTACAAGCTCAAGGAAGTGCTAAGTTATTTTCATAGGCTAACCCAATAAGATTCGGGTCCGCTGAGAGCTGAGGAAGTAACATGTGAAGATAAGTAGCCTGTTCTCAGATATGCCGCGCTGAAGCTGGTCAGACTAGAATCGTCTGGATTGAACTGCTCAGGGCACGTTGCTCTACAAGCTGAAGCTAGCGTTGGGTTATTTGGGCTACAAGCGGTTAAGGAAGCATTTATGCCGTTATGAATGACTTGCTCATCGGCATGCTTGGACTAGAGCTGCTCTACCATGTTTTACAGTTCAGTAAGCGATCAAGTACGGAAACATCTATACCAGTATAAATACCCTGTTCACCATACTACGCTCCTCAAGCTTTATTGCTCTACAGGTTGATCCAAGTTATTGAATGGTCAGGCCACAAATAGTCTTTAGGAAACACCAACTTGAATAACCTGTTTGTCACATATGCTCGGACTAAAACTGTCTACTCTCTAAGTGCTCCGACTACATTGTACTACAGGCTCGTTCAAGGTGACCCACCATCGTCAAGGAAGCACCTATATTAAAATAAATAAACTTGTTCAAATTGCATTATCATTTACACATAACTCAAGTGCGATACATATATCTATATAGATACATCTCGTTTGTTGTCCACATCTTGTTTCGCTTACAACTTGTTGGCTAAGTTGACGAAAACAGCCTTAGCTTGAGTATAAGTGGATAAACCATATTCACCCAATTCCCTACCGATACCACTCATCTTGACACCACCAAATGGAACATGGTGATCAGAGTCGTTGGAACTATTGATCCACACCATACCAGCTTCAACATCGGCAGCCATCAGGTGAGCAACTGCGATATCTCTGGTGAAGATGGATGCTCCCAAGCCGTATTCAGTTTGATTAGCATATTCGACAACTTCTTCATCGGTGGAGAATTTACCACATGCAACAACTGGTCCGAAAATCTCTTCGTTGACGATTCTCATCTTAGGGGTCACATCTGCAAAGATAGTTGGCTTAATGAAGTAACCCTTGGCCAATTCACCTTCTTCATTCTTTTCACCACCAGTGACAACTCTAGCGCCTTCCTTCTTACCAATATCAATGTAAGATAAGATCTTGTCGTGCTGCATTTGAGAAACTTGTGGTCCAACGATGGCTTCATCGTTAAACATACCACCTTGGGTATATACTTCCTTAACATGAGCACTGAACAAAGTTAAAAATTCTTCATAAATGGATTCATGGATGTAAATTCTGGAGGTAGAAGTACAAACTTGACCTTGGTTGGACATGATACCAACGGCAGCCCACTTGACAGCTTGGTCTAAGTCAGCGTCTGCTCTTACAATCAAAGGAGACTTACCACCACATTCTAAAGTAACAGCCTTTAAGTTGGAGGATGCCAATTGTTGGATAACCTTACCAGTAGCAGTGGAACCAGTGAAGGCAACCTTATCGACACCATGATGACCAGCAAGGGCCTTACCACAGGTGGCACCAAATCCGGATAAAATGTTGACAGTTCCTGGTGGGAATCCGGCCTTCTTGAAAAGGGTGGCCAAGTATAAAATAGACAATGGAGTGATTTCAGATGACTTTAAAATGACAACGTTACCTGCAGCCAATGCTGGTGCCAATTTCCAAGCGGCCATCAAGATTGGGTAATTCCATGGGATGATTTGACCACATACTCCATATGGTTCATGTACTGTGTAAGCCAAGGTCTTTGGGTTATTTTGGATAACTCTACCTTGGATCTTATCGGCCCATCCTGCGTAGTATTTGAACACAGCGACAGTTTCTTCAATGTCATAGACGGCGTTTTGAGCTAGGGTCTTACCAGAATCCCAAGCCTCAATTGCACTGACCAATTCTTGCTCTTCAGCCAATATTTCAGCAAACTTGAATAAGTAGTTACCTCTTTCAACACCGGTCAATTTCTTCCACAGCTTGAATGCAGCTCTTGCGGCATCCACTGCAACGTCAACATCTGCATCTTCGGCAGCGTAAACTTCACCGTTGACTACACCAGTAGATGGGTTTATAGATTCGAGGGTCTTTCCCGATTTGGACTTGACAAATTCGTTGTTAATGAATAAACCAGATTGCTGGGTAAACTTTTTACCATTGGGAAGGGTCACTTCGTATTCTAATGGGAGAGACATGGCTAATATTGATATGGAATCTTAAAAATCTGAAAGAAAATGTCTTTTTCCAAAAAAACTTTCCTTACCTTGGGGTTTATCATACTTCTCCCCACCTTTTATATGTAATGGGATGGCATATAATTCCCTAACTGGACAGCCGGTAAGAGTTTTCAGATTGATACGCCGCTTATGAGTGCCGAATGCAGCAGGTTTTTGCGACTGATCTGGGAGGGAGAAAATTTAAACTCGAAGTCTGCGCCATTAGCGGAATCCATCAACAATGTGCTTCGGACTTACCAATCAGGGACTGATGGAGCCCGAAGAAGGAAGAAGATAGAAAACGTTTTGGGAAGGGGAAATGTATATGTATAAAGAGAAGGTTATCGTATATTCGGATTAAATTGAAACTCTAGTTGAAGCTCTAGAGGACGTTATGGTTCAGGATTCTTCTGTGCGCTCTACCGCTGATTGCAGCGCACTAAGACGCATTCTTAGTTGTGCTGCAGTCGCATCACTTTACCCCATTGGAATTGGAACCATATTTGAGGGAGTGAGGAACCGAATGTGTGTGGAACCGAAGAGGGCAGAAGAATATAACTTACCTTACTTAAGGGATATTTTCTCCCCACATTCACTGCTGAATGCTGTGGTTGGTGCTCTCTATCTGAACTCTCGCATCAACTAGCTCACAATCAGCTTAGTCATCTTCTCTCTCACAGGTTACGTCATCGGAACCCTACATACATTTTTCACTATCTGCTCTCTCTTTCTATATAATGCCTAGTCTTAAAGCTCACTTATCTAGAAGCTTCTTAGCCACAAATTGAGGGTGCAATTCAACCTTCTCTCTATGACATATCGTTTCTTTTTCTGTTTCTCCGCTATTCGTCTCAGTCATAGTCCTCAGTCTATTCACATATGTGACTCGAGGCCCTCTATGACTCGCCTCGCCTCGCCCTTTACCCAAGTCAAATTTCATGATATTTTGCCATACTAAACCTTGTATACAAACCATGAGATAAGTGAAAAATATAAAGAGATGTATGCGGCACTAGAAATTTGATTAAAGTACCCTTCTTTTCATACTACATCGTTCCTCTGTAAGTAACTTTATCAATATGTCTGCCTTTGAAAACTCTCCTGCTTCTAAAGAATTCAGAAGTGATACCTTCACTAGTCCCACTGTTTCAATGGTAAATGCCATGCAGTTGGCTACTCTTGGTGATTCTGTATATAACGAAGACGAAACTACAATCGCCTTAGAAAAGAAAGTTGCCAAGATTGCCGACAAACCGGCTGGTTTATACTGTGTAAGTGGTACTTTATCTAACCAAATTGCTCTCAGATGTCATTTGTTTCAACCACCCCATAGTGTGTTGTGTGACTATAGATCACATGTCTATGTCCATGAAGCTGGTGGATTGCCAACTTTATCACAGGCCATGGTCCAACCAATTATCCCCAAAAATGGTATTCACTTAACTTTGGAAGATGACATCTTACCAGTTTTTATTCCTGATGATGGTGAGATCCATGGTGCACCAACCAAGGTGATTTCCTTGGAGAATACCTTGCACGGTATGATCTTCCCTCTTGACGAAATCAAAAAGATTAGCGAGTTTTGTAAAGCCAACGATGTCAAGTTGCATCTCGATGGAGCCCGTTTATGGAACGCATCAGTTGAAACCGGAATCTCAATTGCGGAATATGGGAAATACTTTGATTCTATTTCCTTATGCTTATCTAAAACGTTGGGTGCGCCTGTTGGTTCTGTTCTTGTCGGTGAATCCAAATTTATTTTGAAAGCAAACCACTTCAAGAAGCAAAATGGTGGTGGTATTAGACAAGCCGGGATCTTAACTTCAATGGCAAGTGTTGCAATTGATGAAAATTTACCTAAGTTGAAGCAGACTCATGAATGGGCAAAGGAATTGGGCCAACTCTGCGAGGAAAACGGAATTCAGTTGGAACATCCAGTTCACACCAACTTTGTATTTTTGGATTTAAAGGCTACTAAAATAGACCCAGACTTATTGGAAAGACTTGGTAAAGAAGAAGGCATCGTATTGGGAGGGAGCAGAATTGCCTACCATTACCAATTGTCTAAGGAAAGTAGAGAACTGGTGAAAAAAGTGGTTCTTGAAGCATTTGAGTCTGCAAAGAAGAATCCTTATGTTGGTAGTAATGTGCACAAGTTTTACAATGTTACTGGTGAAAAGAATTGAAATTGAGGAGGAAAGAAAATACCCATAAAAAAAGCAAAAAAATAGAGATAATATTATATACAGATCTTGGATAGAACACGAGCTAGATATTTAGAGTAGAATATATATGAACTTAAACCATAGAATGGGCTTGTAAGAAATATTATGGTGGGCCATCTAGAGCTAAGTAACGAAGTGTGATAAGCCTTAAGATTGCAACAATTTCGTGCATAGTGTGTTAGTATGCAGTATGCGATGGTATGACCTTTTGAAAGACCAAGATGAAGCAACGTTTAGTCATCCTTTAGGATGTCTCTGGCCATTGTCATATGGATGTCTGCCTTCATTGACTCGTTAGATTCCAAGACAATCGTAGTTGTTCTAAATATAGATGAAGAATTGAATAGTTTGCTTTCTGATGACTATAATTTTGAGCTATGTCTTCGTCTACTCTCATTAAAAGAGCAGCTTGCTGTGCGATCTAAGAAGTACGATCAGAAGAAGGAACTTATGAACAAACTTTTCACGAGGTGTGTTCTAAATATATGTTTGGGCAAGGAAGGCATTTTTGATGAGATTCTGTTTGAATATAATGAGTTTGGGAAACCTAAGATAGAGAACGTCGAGATGGGACCTAGCTTTCAATTCAATGCAAGTAGCTCAAATTCTACTTTGAGTATAGTAATCCAGTTCGAGTCAGAAACTCCAATTGGTATAGACTTATCCCACTCAGAGCAGAAAATTTCTCCAGAGACATGTGTTGAGGACTTCAAAAACATATTTGACGTCAATGAATATAATTATCTCTCTCATATTCAGAGCGTTGGGCAACGGTATGCCGCATTCAATCAGTTTTGGACTTTAAAGGAAGCGTTTACAAAATTACTAGGATGCGGGTTGAATGTGGATTTGTCACTATTTCGATTCGACATAAGTAGGGAGAATGGTTCTTTAAGTAGACTTGACGATACGAAGGTTCCATTGAATCCCTTTCTTGAAGCTGAAGAGGTGGTTTGGAAGTCAAACATCCTAGTTGATGCGAAAGGTTTGTACAATATTGACTTTCCCTTTATTAAGAATCTCAAAGATGAGTATTATTGTATTTCCTGTAACAGCTATGGTATTTTTATTTCAGTAATATCACAGACCCCCATTGAAGATACAAGACTCATTAAATTTAACATGAAGCAAGCATTGCATAACCATTTAAATAATATCTGAGCCTAGCACTGAACAATGTATAGCTCAAAACGAAACCAGAGTGGAGTATGCAAGTGTATTAACCTAGAAAACTAAATAGATGATACTAAAGTAGGAAAGTACATCACGTCAGTAATTCCAAGTACTACCCTTGATCATGCTACTGTCCATGAATCTTGAGAGAACTAGAAGAATCGTATACATAGTGTGGGGCCTACTTTGACATTGTTGAGTACTATTGTTATGTACTATTAATCCTATTAATCATTGGTAACACATTGAATATGTACTTTTATTATATAAAACATTTTCTATCTTTCATTTCACCACTTGAGCATTCTTAGATCAACAAAGAACCAGCAACCATGGCAACAGCAGCGAAACCATATCCAGTAGCAGAAGAACCGAAACCAGCAGCCATTGCCAGTGATGAGGATGAAGAACCTGAAGCGGCTCCGGATGATCCTGAAGAAGATCCTGAACCTGAAGAAGATCCTGAAGATTCAGAGGAAGACCCTAAAGCTCCTGAGGATCCTGAGGATTCAGATCCAGAAGCAGCTGAAGATGCAGAGTCACTAGCACCAGAAGCGGCTGAAGATGCAGAATCACTAGCACCAGAAACAGCAGAAGATGCAGAGTCACCTGAACCAGAAACAGCTGAAGATGCAGAGTCACCGGCACCAGAAACAGCAGAGGATGCAGAGTCACCGGCACCAGACACAGCAGAAGATGCAGAGTCACCAGCACCACCAACGGCTGAAGTAGCAGTTGAACCAGCACCACCAACGGCTGAAGTAGCAGTGTCAGCAGCTCCACCTACTGCAGAAGTAGCAGTGTCAAGAGCTCCACCAACTGCTGATGTTGCGTCAGATAAACCAGCTCTCTTGAGGAATGATGCATCGACGGAGGCAGCTGCGATGGCTAATAATGTGACTGAGGAATACTTCATTTTTTTGTTATTTGTTAATTATTAATTGTATAAGTTTGTAGAGAAAGAACGTTACCAGGAAGTGTAAAGAGGAGAATCATAACTGTATTTATACCTAAAATCTTAGCAGGAGTTGGTTAGCAGCAATTGTCTCTCCAGTAGTGAAAAATAATAAATTGAATGGATAGGAGCAAGGATCAAAATTAATCATGAGCACCGGCACGGTGTGGCATTCGCCCTTATTGCTCCTCGAGAAACGAGTAGAAAGCATAAATTGGAACCTTAGAAAATAGCCGAAAACGAAGGTTTGGTCTTGAGAATCAGGTTTGGTCAAGAGCTTTTAGATTATTATCCACATATCAGATACTGGGATGACTCCCTAGCGACTAGCGGATTGAATAGTAGAAGGTCTACTTAGATAAATAGGGAAAGAGAGACAACGGGGCAGGTAGGGTAAGACTTTCCCCGTATACTGATGAATCTCAGTGGTTGCAATTTTAGCAGCAATCTTGATGGCTTGTCATTAATTTCTTACGTTTTTACTGTGTATTATTCCTGTTTGAAGCTGTGTTACGAGCGTTTGTCAAGGTTTAGGCTGTGGTGGGTCTATAATGTTCTTTCAGGCTTAACAATGTTCTATCCACGGTTTAATGCAGGAACAATACCACCTGCAATTGGTGTTTACATGTGCATAAAACCTCAACCGCAGGTGTGGTTTGCTCTCTTGACATTTCTCCTGTTCACCACTTGTTTTAAAGTGCTCTTTCATATTTAGACTATTCATGTGTGTTTCAGGTCTGGTCATAGCCCATCTCAGGGTTCAATAGCGCATAGCCTAATTCAACAAAACGTGGATACAACGCCAAATCATGTTGGTTTAGGATTATACTCTAATACAAAAATGAAATCAAAAATAGAAGGTTTAGAGCTAAACAGTAGGTTTCGTGTTCGAATTTCACACTTATTCACTGCCTTTAGCTTCATGTTAAACTTTCAGCGTATAGGCGCTAAATATCTCCGCAATTTTCAGGATGCGCACGCTAAGTTAGGGCTCTTTTTTTTTTTTTTTTTTTTTTTTTTTTTCACTGTTGAAGCACCGCGACATGAAAGGTAAACGGTTTTGTAGACCTCTAGTAATGAGAGAACACTCTTTCTCTTTTCTTTTTTTCTGCTTCCGTCATAGTCTATTACCCCTATACTTGTAAGAATGGATGAATTTTTGGTTTCCAAACACCAGAAATACTTCCAATTGTGTTTAAATTCACTTCCGGCAAAAGCGCAATCGGAAGACTCGAATAAGTTAGCAATTGTGTATTTCTGTATACAGGGACTTGACCTTTTGGGGAAACTTCAATTAACGTTTCAAGAGAAGAAAATATATGCTGATTTCTTGTTTAAACACATGATAATTGACCCTAATGATGAAATTCAGTCTTTCAGAGCAAGCCAAACTTTCAAATTGCCTCTGTCCCAGAACAATTACGACTTGCCTAATTTAGCGGCTACATTGTTTGCTCTCTCTAGCTTGCTTGCACTTGAATCTGATTTTTCTCAGAACCTTAATCGCCATAAGCTAATGAGGTTTGTTAGTAAGTTGCAAATTCTTAATGGCCCAGAAAAGGGCGGATTCAAGCCGGTATTGGATCAAAAGGGTGGGCAAGTCGTGGGAGAGTCTGATTTAAGACACTGTTATACCGCACTATGCGTGCGAAAAATGCTTAAGTATGACGAGCTTCCGTTGGAAGAGAGGCTTCATGACATAGATGTAAAATTGGCCGAGAGGTATATTCTTGATAGAGTAAATTTCAATGGTGGGCTCAGTTCGAATAGATACACCGAATCGCATTCCGGGCTAACCTTCTGCGGTTTGGGGGCATTGAAGCTACTAAATTACGATTTTAATAGTAACGAAACCTGGGTTGCAAACACCATACGATGGCTTGTAAATAGACAGGTTGACTATCCTCAAACAATAGAAGCATATAGAGATGAAGAATATGAGTACTGGGATGAAGATGACATAGGAGGGTTCAACGGGAGAGAAAATAAATTCGGGGACACTTGCTACTCATGGTGGGTTACCGCTAGTTTAAAGTTATTGGGGGACCAATACTTTGAGTGTATCAATTTTGGTGCAGCTGAAAAATATTTGTTAAGCAAATCTCAAAGTAGACTTATGGGAGGGTTTGGTAAGGACAGTCAAAGTTTCCCCGACCCACTCCATAGTTACCTTGGCATTGCAGCACTTACTTTGTGGAAGGGAAGGTCTGGGCTAGAGTATACAGGAGAGAACAACTTAACAGGAATTGATGAGTTGTTGGTGATTTCTCAAACACTGAGCGATTTCTTGAAACAAATGGAGTGGAAGTAGTAGTAGTAGTAGTAGTAGTAAAGGGGTTGCATATAAATAGAATGAAGCATTATTTTTTTTTTCATCTAAGACACACTTCATAACTTAAAATACTTTGTAACAAGCTGCTGTATACCTAAAGGTTTCATTTCTTGTTTCAGCTACTAATAACACAGGCAATCGGCCCAATGCCCACTCCATGTAGGCCTTCGCTTCCTCGTACATCTTTTGGCAGTATCACGTGATGTGTCACGTGCGTCTTTCACCTCTGAGATGTAAAAAAATATAGTAATCCACCTTAGTGTCATACTTTTCAGTCACTCTCTTTAGTCCTTTAAACCAATTAAATCGATAACAATTATAGAAAGAGTTGAAAATTTTTGGAGTAATTTAATTTTTATATCAAAGCTACTAATTATTATTTGTTTCTTTGCTTTATTTATTTTTATTTATTTTATTGTATATAGAGTTGCATTTTCCAAATCTTTTAGTTGTAGACTCTTGGATTTTGCCTTTTTAAAAGAAGTGCCCATCATTTTGTAAAAATGTCTTCGAATTTGTCTACTGATAAAGTGCTTACGGAATTGAAAAATGAAGTGATAACGGCTTCTACTGAGGGTTCTGTGGCCACGAAATCAAAGCCTGCATCTCATCTTTTGGCTGGTGGGCTCGCAGGCTTGATATCTGCTATTTCTCTTCAACCTTTCGATCTTTTGAAGACAAGACTACAACAGCAGCAGAAGGCTAATAGTCAGTATAGAACTAGCATTTCCCGAGAACTTAAGAAATTGACCAAGATCAAGGATCTTTGGAGAGGTGCAGTGCCATCAGCTATAAGAACTTCCGTTGGAGCAGGATTGTATTTCACCTCTCTTTCACTTTCAAGAGAATACTTAGCTGCTTTGAAGGAAACCTCAAGTAAGTCTACCACTTCGGTGCTTCCCAGACTTTCAGCTTATGAGAACCTCTTATCAGGGTTTGCGATGAGAGCCCTAGTGGGGTTTGTAACGATGCCTATTACTGTGATTAAAACGAGGTTTGAATCCAATGCATATTCGTACAACTCCATGTACGAGGGGGTAGAGGGCATCTATCTCGACGACGTTAAGAACGGGAAGGGTTCCATGAAGAATTTCTTCAGAGGTTCCATTGCTACGCTAGCTCGTGACTGTCCATACGCTGGGTTGTACGTTTTGTTTTATGAATCGTTCAAGAATGATTTCGTGCCTAAGTTGGCATATACATTAGTATCAGACCTGGACGATAGAGAAAGCTTCATGTCCAGATCTGCGTTGATAAACTCTTCATCTGCAGTATTGGCGGCTTCTGTATCGACGACTATTACTGCTCCCTTTGACGCAATAAAGACTAGGTTACAACTTTCCACCCACAGGATCTCCATCTGGGAAGCAACTAAGAGCATAATTTCAGAAAAGGGAGGGTTTAGAAACCTTTTCAGAGGTTTATCGTTGAGATTTGGAAGGAAGGGGTTGTCTGCGGGGATCAGTTGGTGTATATACGAAGAGATGATCAAAGGCGATAAGTTGTTGAAGTTCAAAAACTGACGAATGGAGCAACTGGAACTCCCATAAGATGTATTGAACCTCGAAGCTTAACAGCACAAAAAAATATAGAAAAACAGATACAGCAGCCTGACGAAACTAATAACAATAAAGAACTTGTCTATACTGGATAGCTCAGCGGTTCAAACTGTCAACATTCACATTACTATTCTCGACTACAATTCCCACCCAGAGACAAAAAACAAATAACTTTAAATATGAAACGAAGTTTCTAAAAAAGAAAAAAAAAAAAATTCAATAACGAAGTACGAAAACAATACCCCTGCGCCTGGAGATGATACAACTAACATCAGGTAGAACATGCCCTCGGTACTCATTGCTTGTATGTCCTCCTCCATGCTGCAGCCCTATATATAGTTCCATGCACTAAGTGCTTTTATATTCCTGTGTATATTTTTAATCTTGCATAGAAAGTACCTCGGTTTTCTGTACACCCCCCGCAAAATGAAAAACGTTAAAATGACTTGTAAGCAGAAGAGTGCTGTTGTATAAGGTCTTGTATCTCTGTAAACACCATGAATGAAGAGTTGATTGGCAGTGCCGTTAGTTTCCTAAAGGATCCTAATGTAGGCTCATCTCCACTAACTAAAAAAATCGAGTTTTTGGAATCCAAGGGATTGTCTCAGCAGGAAATTGAAGAAGCCTTGAGAAGGGCTAATGGGGAAGCATCCGACTCCAACGCAGTAAGCAACGCTAGTAGTCATCATAATAGTAATAGTGCGGGAAATAGTAGCAGTGTCGCGCCAAACAATTCAAATGTGAGGGCTGCCTCGTATGTTCCGCCGATCGATTACTACAATGTTCAACCACAAGTTCCTGAGCGTTCTTGGAAGGACTATTTCATTATGGCCACTGCCACCGCTGGTGTAACTTATGGAGTATACCAGGTACTCTCAAGATATCTTATACCATCGATCTTGCCGCCCACGCAGTCCTCTATAGAGCAGGATAAGGCTAAGATTGATGAAGAATTCACCAAGATTGATAAGCTATTGGAACAGTTGGCTGAGGACCAATCTGAGATGAAGAAGTCAAATACAGAGAAACTAGGAGAAATTGATACTGTGATCAATAACGTCAATGACTTCTTATCCAAGTATAACAAGGACAAGTTAAGTTTTGACGATGACTTGAGGTTGATGAAATTGGAGATTGACAACTTGAGAAACAGCGTCGAGAAGAACATGAGTAACACCAAGGAGAACATCAAGGATGAATTGCTGGACATTAACGCCGAATTGGTTTCATTAAAGCTGTTGATTATCTCCAAGAATGCTATGAATACCGAGACTTCTAATCGTAAATTAGCACCGGTTTCTTCTATTCCATCTGCAAGTGAAATCTTAAAAAAGGCAAAGGAAAAGCAGGCGGCTGATTCAGCAAGCAAGGAGGTATCATCAGTGCTGCCACCTCAGCTGCAGCCACAGACCTTCCCTGGTAGAAGTCTGAATGTAACGAAAGGAAATATATTTGCAGCAGGTATTCCGGAATGGCAAATGAAGAAGAAGTTGGAAGATGAAGCCAGAGAGAGGGCCAAAGAAGAAGCAGAGGAGGAAGAAAGATTGAAGCTCAAGAAGAAGGAAGAGGAGAACGAGCAAGTCAAGAGAGACGCAGGTACTCCAGTGCCCTCAGCTACTTTACCAGGTTCATCGGGCATTCCTTCGTGGCAACAACAAGGAGTGCCACTTTCTTCCAGCCAATCCCCAGTTCAAGCTGAAGCAGAGGCAGAAGCCAGTAATCCAGTTGCCACACCATGGCAATCAGCCGCTTCCAGTGGCAGGGCAGGCGGAAACCAAGAAGAGGTTGAGGCGGCCATTGCAAACGTTGGGGTTCCATCGTGGCAACTCAATGCAAATGCTTAAGGCCCGTATTACTGAGACGAGGGTGAGGCATGGCGAGGAAAAGGTGAGGTAAAGACATGCCAAAGTGAGAACTAATTGAGCAGTAGAAGCATAATATTAACTAGGAAGTATATCTAATGACGCTCAGTTAAAGTATGCGAAAATTGATGAACATCATATGTAAGACTTCATGTAAGACGTAATGCAAGACATAAAGCAAGACTCAATCAAGACTCAATCAAGACTTAATGTAAGACTTAATGTAAGGCTTAGTTCAAGACTTAATGTAAGGCTTAGTGTAAGACTTCATATAAGATAATGTAGGCATAATTTTCGACTAAATGTAAGATACAGCGCAATGGAGGATAGAGAGAGCTCACAATGAAAGAGAGCATGGGGTCTACATTGGCTCCTTCAGGTTCTACTCAGGGCCCATTGACTCATAAGAGCCTACCAGAATCGTACCTGCACAACCATCTCAAATTTAGCGTATGGCGCGCTCTAGCTAGCGCCCCACCGCCCTAGCTCAGCGTATAGACCAACCAGCATTACCGAAAAATAAAAATATACTAGCACTATTACTGAAGAAACGCAGCCATTCGTACGCTAAATTATACGGCAGCAGCGCGCCAGACGGAAGCAGCCTATAGAATAAATGAGAAATCTGACACTCGTAAAAATCAGCAATTGGATCGACTCGGAGAGACAACACCAGAGCTGTTGCATTCGAGCAGGGAGAACGATTTACTGGGTCCAGGTATCATTTTTTCTATTAAAATGACCGCGACCATTCATGGAACACACCCAGGATGCTCCTATATCTTTGTTCACCCCAATTACCTAGTCCTTACACTCCATTAATTCCACACTCTTCTGATATTTCAGAAAGTGAAAAAAAAAAAAAAAGAAAAAGAAAAAAAAAAAAAAATGGATCATAGCGTTCTCTATTTTTTCTTCGAGCATCAATTTCTTTTCCTTGGATGTCGTTCTTCCTTTCTTTTCAAAGCATTTCGTAGCTACACCACTCCGTTACCTTGTCGTTCGCTAGTCTTTAAAGGGGGTCGCCTTTATTTTATAGTTTCTGTTCTTTGTTTCTTTTCTTCGGCCCATTCAATTTTGTTTTTGCATTTTGTTTCCGTTTTACGTCATTTGTTTTACTAGAGGAGGAGAAAGGTCAAGGTAGTCTAGATCAGAGTTGGATTAACAAGTTAATATTAGAGAACTTCGATCAGGATATTTATATAATCATATTGTTTGCGTTTTAGTATTTTATTATTATCATTATTACTATCATTATTGTTATTATTATCATTATTACATCATGGTGGACAGAACTACTTACCCCAAGAGGAAAGAGGAAGTGATACCATTCAATGGACAGCTCGAGATAATTGAACAAGTTCAGACTAACAACTCAAAAAGTCGATTAAACTCTAACCAGTTCACCAACTATAACCAATCTCGGTACAACAACCAAAGCGGCGGTGCTAATTATCAGGGTGGCTCGAACCATCAACTGAACAAGTACGCGTTGGCAGCCGTGGCAGCTGCCGCTGCTGTGCAACAGCAGCAGAAGTACTACCCCCAGGGTCTGTACTATCAGCAGCATCAACTGCTGCAACTGCAACAGCTGCTTAACCAACAGTATAACCAACATCACAGCCACAGCTCTCATCCGTATCAGCAACAGGGCAGCACACAGTACAGCAAGTTCGACTACAGCGGCCAGTTCAATGACTACAGCGGGAACGGTGTGAATCACAACAACAGTTCCAGTACTACTAACACTATACCGCCATATATGAACACCAAACACCAGACATTGTCTCACTCGCTGCCACATTTCTTCAACGAAAATGCTAACAACAACTCGAACAACGGTGGAAACGGCAATCTCTCTACATCATCGTCGCTCATTTCCGAGACCAACGCTCAACCGCCTCAGCCGTACGACTTTAAGAATCTCTTCATGTTGATGAACAATAATAATAGCAACCAATCACTCAATTCACCAACTTTCAACGCATTTAACCAGCCTCCAGTGGGTAAAGTTAATAGTGCCGGCAGCGGCAGCACTAGTATGTTCTTGGATAAGTCGAACTCACCTGTTCTCATTCAGCCGCAGCATACAACTACGTCTTCAGTTGGAGCTCTTGGTCCCAACAGTTCACCTCCAAGCATGCTTCTTTCGACCCCTGTATCCGCGGGGTCACTGAAATCCGGTGGGCCTGGCATAGGTGCAGGTACTGGCAGTGCTAGTGGAAGCGCTAGTGGGTTTTTAACCTCTTCCCCTGCATTATTACCATCAGATACTTGGAGCACGGCCGCCCCACCAAATAATTCGGCGTACACTTCATCGATTTGGGGAACAGCTCCGACATTTTCAAACTCATCTACAATCACGACATTGGCTGGCAGTAACGTGAATAACAATACCAATAATAATAATAACAACAGCAATAATAATAATAATCCTACCAGTGCAAGCACTACGAGTTTTGGAGGTTCCAGCTTATGGTAGAGAAGAAATTTTTTAAAAAAAAAAAGAAAATGCAAAGAAAATAGAGTTCAACCTGTTTATTTTGTTTCATTTTGGTGGGAGTGGGTATTGGCCTGGGACCATTGTCTGGTAAAAAGAGTTACTACTGTATTAATGTTTGCATAGAAAAGAAGAAAAGGATAATTAAAAAGAAAATTGACTGATAAAAAGATAAAGAATATAATTATCACAGATCGTATTCTAAGTGAAGTGATAAAACAATATTGATATTTATATAATGAGTGAGGGACAACGGTTTATTGATATATATTAGGTAGTTAGAGAAATGAAAAGTTTAGTTAAGAGAATGAGTGCACATGGCCAACATTATTTAGTCAAGGGGTTGCTCGTCAGATAGGATATCTTTCACGCCAAATGTAAAAGTGGCTGTATATTGCGAAGTAAACTACTACTACTGCTACTACTACTACTCTATGCACTACTTCTATCGGATGCTGTGCCAACTACAATGTGCCACTTCTACTGCTCTATCGTCCTCGAGAGAAGACGATGGCAGGCCATCAGCACCCTAATTGGTGTAATCCTGCATATACTCTGACACCAAATCGTTTTAGTGTCTATATGGAATTTTTCATTTTAGAGGCCTCCAACTTAGGAGCTTATCGAAGAATCAATTATCACAGGTAAAGGTTGGTATGACTGTTACTCTTCATCAGCTTTTGAAGGCTTCGGTCCCAAGAAAAACACCATGCAAAACATTCCTTTCCTTATTCAACCAATTAGATCAAAAATCACCCATAAGTGAGAACGAGTTCATTTCCAACTTGGTGGATAACCTAGAAGGGCTAAAGACAAAAACCAAGATACTTTTGGATTATAGCTTGACTATTGCATTCTCTAGTGAAAAGCGGCTAACTGAGTTCTGGACTAACTTTATTAAATTGTCTTCCAGTTTGCAAACTCAGTACTTAAAGAAGGTATCCGAATACTTACCCCACGGTCCCACGCATACAGTAAAGAAGGTGAGCAAGGAGTTGCTCAAGAGCTTTATAAACGTTCATTTAATGAAGTATACGAACACAATTTTGGATCGTAAAGATGCTAGTGACAAGGATGTCGTGAACCACTTAGTCATGTTGTGGTGTTTGATAATTCAAAGAGATATCTACATAGAACAGTTTGATAACTTGGGATCACATATCATCCATTCCTTGTACGAGATGAAACAGGAGAGTCTCTTGAAATATTTCGTTAAAGTCCTGAAAATCAGAGGAGACGAGGACTTTTCAATTTCCGGAGAGGGAATTGAGGCTACTTCTAGCAGTGTAGTCGGTCTCGAACGCGAGATTGGAAAGGGTAGAGGAATACAAACCATCCTGAGATTGTTCAACTCTCCCCAATCTGTAAAGAACTACCCAAAACTAGTTCAGATCAAGAAGTCCATATGGATATATTCCATAATTTCGAAATTTCTTTGCATTTCCACATCAGATTTTGTTAAAACATTTGAATCCAAGTTCTTTTTGAAGAATAATCTTCAAGAAAAGAAAGGTTATGCCTTATTAACTTCAATTATTACTTCTTTGTTCGAAGGAATCATCCCATCCACTTCTTCATCTGCATCATACCCATCTTATGTAGTTGCTAATTGGAAGAATTTTATTGTGACGAAGTTGGTCTCAATTTGCAGAGAGGTAGAGCTAACTAAATTAGAAATTGAAGAAGTCATCCAGACTGCTATGAAACAACTCCCTACTTCCTACAGTGACTTACAATTAAAACAGAACTTTGTGAAATCGTGTATATTCAATTCTGTATTGGATATGTCGAGTTTTAATAAGATTTTCCCCAATGATCCTCCAACTGTTTCACTCAACAGTGAGTTGCACCAATTTAAAAATAATACTATTAATGGTCTGATCGCTGATGATTTTAGTAAAAAGTTGATAGATATAAACTCAGAGTTCATTTCCTTGGAAGAATCGGGCTTGATTCAATATGTTTCTCTGTTGTCCAAACAATTTCAATTTTGTCTTGCTAAGCAGAGAGAATTGAATACCATCGTAAATAAATTGGTAGATGATTTTATCAGGAACAAGAATAATGAGAAATTGAATCGATTGTTACTACTGCTTTTGAATGAACCAGCTACGCTATCCATGATCTTCTTTGAAAAGGATCCTGTCCCATTTCTCTCTAAGCTTATAAAGTATATTGATCAGCTGGAAATCGACCAACAAATTAGAAAAACCAATTCGTCAAACGATGTTTCGGATGGAAATAGTGGAGTATCAGATGACTTCCAAGAAATATATTCTCAATTTGGTGTGATATTATTGAGTATTATTCAATTTATAGAATACTTTGATATCAACCTGCATAACGATTTATTATTGATTAAGAAATCGTTCACGATGGACTATTTAAACAATTTCCATTATAGATTATGTGACCAATTGACTCTGAATTTGAATATGAAATCTATCGGTGGAGAAGACATCGAAGATGACCAAACTATTATTACCAATTATAACAGTCTTGTAGGAGATTGGATTAGGTCATTATTTGACGAGACTAATGAAGATGGATTATCTGACGAATTGATTAAACAGGTGAATGTCAAGCAATTGTACAAAATAATCCCATTAATTTACCAACAAGCAATCATTGCATTCAATTGTGGTAAAATAGACATAAAAACTTTGAACAATGGCTTAGATTATTTAACTCAATTACTTTTGATTCCATGTTCCTTAAGTATTATTAACTGGCTTTTAAGGTATATAATAGTAGGTAATGGAAAATTGGTCCAGGTGTTGCATACAATCATCAAGTCGAGTATGAAGGGCGGATCTACTAAAAACAATGAAGAAGGCGTTGCAGGCGATGATAATAATGGTAATAGTGAAATAAGCGATCAGGTTTTAGTATTCAAATTGGTCCTTAATAGCTGTAGCAAGGATATATTAGCTACATTAAGTCAAATAGCCAAGACACCGGAGTCTGAAGAAATTATTTCCATTATTGAAGCCAACATTGACCAGGCTTTTATTACTCCTAGTCAACTGACCAAGATAGCTAACGAAAGAATTATTAAAAGTAATCCAATTGTTTCATTCAGAACATATTTGCGTGAATTGATAGAAGCCCCAATCAATTCTCCGGTAATACTAAATCAATGGTTGTTTGAATATATTTTACAATTTGAACAAAATGCGCTAATGTCCTTTCTTTACGATGAGATACATATGAACTACAATCGCGCTAACAGTGAAGAATCAATATTATTATTTAATATCATAATTTTCATGTTAAACGATAAGTACATCCTAAATGAGGAAGATAAGAAATTTTGGGAACGCAAGATTAAGGTTGCACATCATGCAACTTCTACGATCGGAAAGTTTAATAAAAACGATAACAAAGAAAATAATGAAAACCGCAATGAGGTGACAGAAAAACTGTTGCCTGAGCTGGAGCAGGTGGTCCCTGGCAAAAAGTCATTTTCCACTACAATGTCTTACCACTACTCCTCGATATTCAATATACCAGAGGAAGATAATTTGGAAGACGATTTATTCAACGAGCATATGAACTTTGATGACAACTCAAACATCACAAACCCTAGCGGGAGTGTAATGAATTCAATCATATCTGTCAAGGAGACGATGTTCAGAAAAACAAGTTTCTTGGCGGAACTTCTCAGAGTGAAAAATCAAATCGATGACGATTCCTTGAATGTATTCATAGAAAGAATCGTGGACTTTTAGATAATAACCGAAATAAATTTAGATAACATATTCTTGCCTTTGCCCTAAATAGCCTCAAACTGCCGTAGAAAGCTACTTCCGCAGAAGGTGCTTTATCTTTTCCAGATTTACATGCTTATTCTCTTCCTTTACCCCAGAAATGATTATGCGCTTCTGCTCTTACGACTCAAGTGGGACTTCCGGACATTAGCTCACCTTAACGAACCAAATTTCATAATAATTTTCATTGGTATGTGCCATGCTTTATCCGCTTAGAACCACCCCAAAATAGGAAGCCCGCTATAGTGAGGGTATGAATCTTGCGGTCCACCCGCTTAGATTCCCGGAAAATAGTGCATATAGATCTTTTCTCCAACAGAAAATTTTTCTTTCCATCGCGCTATCTTCTTGCTTATGGTCTTCTGCATGGACTGCATGAGGGGCGCCGTATTTCTTATCTAGAATAAGCTATCCGCCTATGGAAGCCCTAACTGATTATTGCGCTGGGCTAATGCGGCAGTTCAAATTAGGTTCATATAAAACGAAAGTAAGATCCCATGTAAAAGGGATGAAAAGTTGAGTTATAATTGCTCTATAAATAATTATATCGTAACTACTTTGTAATTATGCCTAATCTTAAAGCAGTTAAGTCAACTGTGAGTCTTCACACAGTAAGATCCAAAGCTGGTGATCATGTTCACCAAGTTCTTTCAAACAGATCTGAACTTAGAGTTTTAAGTGTAGATGCTGGGAAAGTAGGGGATGAAGACTTGTTAGCTGACATTGGTTATAAGCAAGAATTAAACCGTAGTTACTCCACAATTCAAATCTTCGGTATCGCCTTCTCCATTATGGGTTTATTACCTTCTATTGCTTCCACTATTGGTTCTGGTCTTGATTATGGTGCAGTTGGTTTAACATGGGGTTGGTTTTGCTCTGGTTTCTTCATTCTTTCCATTGGAGTCTCTATGAGTATCCTTTCTTCTGCCATTCCAACTTCTGGTGGTTTGTACTATTGGACTAATTACTATGCCCCAGATAACATGAAGGTCATTTTAAGTTTCCTTATCGGATGCTCCAATTCTATGGGTTTGATTTCAGGTTTCTGTTCTATCAACTACGGGTTTGCCTCAGAAATTGCCTCTGCTGTGTATATAAGTAAGGATGGTGACTTCGATATTACCAACCCAATCTTATACGGGATTTTTGCAGCTTGTTGCGTCTCTCATATTGCCCTTTGTTGTGCTACATCTAAGCACACTGCTTACTTGCAATCGTTTTCCATCTATATTAATGTGTTCATCATTGTTTTATTCATTATTGCTGTTCCAATTGGAGCCCTGAAAAAGAATGGATTCAATGACTCTTCATTCATCTTCGGTAACACAACAAACGAAACGAACTGGACCGCTGGTTGGTCATTCATGCTTTCCTGGATGCCTGCTATTTGGACTATTGGTGCATTTGATTCCTGTGTCCATATGTCAGAGGAAGCTAAGAATGCTACCAGAGGTGTTCCAATTGGAATTATTGGTTCTATCACTGTATGTTGGGTCATTGGTTGGATCATCTGTATTGTTGCCTGTGCATGTATGCAAAACGGAGATGTTGATGCTGTCGTTTCACCAACTACTGGTCAAAGTATGGCTCAAATCATTTACGACTGTTTAGGGAAGGAATGGGCTGTTGCATTTATGTCATTAATTGCCTTTGCCCAATATGTTATGGGAGCCTCTATCTTAACTGCAGCCTCAAGACAAATTTGGGCCTTTGCCAGAGACGATGGTTTACCATTCCACAGCTACGTTAAGGTTATCAATCCTACCTTAAAGGTTCCATTAAGAGCCACTATCTTCGGTGGTCTTTTTGGGTTAATTATCGGTTTATTGATTTTGATTGATGAAACCGCAGCAAGTGCTCTTTTCTCTTTAGCCGTGGCAAGTAACTACTTGTCTTGGGGTATGCCAGTTTTCTTGGTCTTATTACCACATGGATCTAAGAAGTTCAAGCCAGGTTACTTCACCTTGGGTAAAGTTGGTAACACTATTGTTCACTGCATTACTGTCGTTTGGATCGTATATGTCATTATAATGTCTATGTTCCCAAGTAGTAAGACTGTCGATAAGGAAACCATGAACTATACCGTCGTTATTAATGTTGGTGTTTGGATTCTTGCCCTTGTGTATTATTTCGTGTACGGTTACAAGGTCTTCTCTGGTCCAAAGTCCAATCTTGAAGGTGAACACGATGGTAGTGTGGATGAAGATTTGGTTAACATTGATGCTCAACTTCTTGAAGATAAGTCATAAGTAATATGTATATTTCGATGAATATTGATGCATGCTGTGATTTGCAGATATATTGTGTGTACTTTAGTGAATAATAATAATGATAATAATAATAATAATAATGATAAGAGTAATGATAAGAGTAGTGGTAGTAATGATAATAATACTAATAATGATACCAACAATAATACTAATAATAATACTAATGATAATAATATCAAATATGAATAATGATACTAATAATAATACCAATACTAATGATAATACTAATGATAATAGTATCAAATACCAATAATGATAGTAATAATAATAGTGCTAGGTAATGTACAGCCGTACGGAATACCCACCAGTCTAATAGCCTACATAGCAGAGTAAAATAAGCTCTCACCAACACTTCTCACAAAAGCTTCAAAATATTTTCTTGAAAAGCTACTGCTAACTGACTGTCAATCCTGAGACTATTTATACCCACCCGTAACTGTGGATCTGAACAATACATTACTTATACAACAAATTACTAAGCAGAAGTCTGACTAATAAATTCGCAGCCATTTGCTTTCGTGCTGCATGGAGTTGCAAAATGAAAAAGTTGCCATATAAAAAAAAAATCACTAATGACGATGGACCTGCATATAGTCGCGATACAGACGCGTTTCTCTGTAGTGGTTGAAGTTTTGTAAGTGCAAAGCAAATCAAACAGAAGTGGCGTCTGATTCATCAATATATAGATTGGAACTATCGGTATGCTGCTTAAAAGACAATTAACTGATGAAGACTTTCCTGGTGAGGTGGACCAGGCACATTCGCTTCCACCATCTGCATTAACACAGTCCTTTAATGGGTTGACTTCCACAATTCAGCTTACTAGTAAGCAGGAACAGTACTTGAAGAAGATAAGGCCCAACGGTACTGAAGAACCTACGGAATTTGAACGTGAACTTCTCAGCATGACTGAAAATGATGAGGGTAGGTTGGACGGGATTCCTAAGTCGGAAAACCAGGTTAAAGGCTGGGGTAGGCCTCCGATCCCACTGGACTTTAACCCCGAATCATCAAATATCACGTTCCAACAGTTGGATGCTGAGGAGACCACCATTGGTGACTTAACCGTGGCTAGATTCTTCGGGATCACTGAAAAGGGACATTCCGTACTCTGTAATGTCACAGGGTTTTTGCATTATTTCTATGTCCCCGTACCCAAGGGGTTCTTTAGGGACGTTCACCTTAACAAGTTCAAAGACTACATGTTGGCTAGTTGGCAGGGGATTGAAGACATTCAAATTGTCCTCAAGGAATCGATCTGGGGGTATAATAAGTCTGTGAAATCGCCATTCTTTAAAGTTGTCGTCGAAAATGCTAAGAACATAGCAAAGTTAAGAGGTGCCTTCGAAAGAGGTGATGTCAGATTCGATAACCTTTTCCCGCCCCAGTGCGTTTCGTATGATAACATCAACTATCTCTTGAGATTAATGGTTGATTGTAAGATAACGGGGATGTCGTGGATAACATTACCCGCAGGGGAATACGACTTGATTTCTGATGGTCAAAAGATTTCTACCTGTCAATTCGAAGTGAACATTCGATACGATAAGTTGATAAGTCATCCTTCTGAGGGAGAATGGCTCAAAATGGCCCCATTGAGAATTTTGTCATTTGATATTGAATGTGCTGGTAGAAAGGGAATATTTCCAGAAGCTGAGCACGATCCAGTTATTCAAATTGCTAATGTGGTACTGAAATTTGGTGAACTGAAACCGTTTGTAAGAAATGTTTTCACTGTGAATACTTGTGCATCAATTATTGGGTCTCAAATCTTTGAGAACGAAAAGGAAGAGGATATGTTGATGAAGTGGAAAGATTTTGTGGTGAAAGTTGACCCAGATGTTATAATTGGTTATAATACTGCAAACTTTGATATACCGTACTTGCTTGATCGTGCAAAGGCACTCGGTTTAAAGAATTTCCCATTTTTCGGCAGATTACCTTTTGTTAAGCAGGAAGCTAAAGATTCCCTTTTCAGTAGTAAAGCATACGGTACAAGAGAAAACAAAGTTGTGAATATCGATGGTAGAATGCAATTGGATTTATTGCAATTCTGTCAAAGAGAATATAAATTGAGATCGTACACATTAAATTCTGTTTCTGCCCACTTCCTAGGAGAGCAAAAAGAAGATGTTCAGCATTCCATTATTACAGACTTACAAAATGGCACGAAAGAGACAAGAAGAAGATTGGCTGTCTATTGTTTGAAGGATGCCTTTTTACCATTAAGGTTGCTAGAAAAATTGATGTGTTTGGTCAATTATACTGAAATGGCCAGAGTTACAGGGGTGCCGTTTTCGTATTTGTTGAGTAGAGGGCAGCAAATTAAAGTCATCTCTCAATTATTTAGGAAATGTCTTGAAGATGACATTATTATTCCAAATATGAAAGTGGAAGGTACGGACGAAATGTACGAAGGTGCTACTGTTATTGAACCAGAGAGAGGATATTACGATGTACCAATCGCAACCTTGGATTTCTCGTCTTTGTATCCATCCATTATGATGGCACATAACTTGTGTTACACGACCTTATTAAACAAGCAATCTATTAAAACCTTCAACTTAAAGGAAGAAGATTATATAGAGACTCCGAATGGAGATTATTTTGTCAAATCCCATAAAAGACAAGGTATTTTACCAACAATTCTTAATGAATTATTGAGTGCAAGAAAAAAAGCAAAGCAGGATTTGAAGAAGGAAACCGATCCATTCAAGAGGGATGTATTGAATGGTAGACAATTGGCATTGAAAATTAGTGCAAATTCTGTTTATGGTTTCACTGGTGCCACGATTGGTAAACTTCCATGTCTTGCTATTTCTTCATCAGTCACTGCATTCGGAAGAGTTATGATTGAAAAGACGAAACATGAAGTGCAAGAAAAATATTCAATTAAAAATGGATATCCTTATGATGCGCAAGTCATATATGGTGATACCGATTCCGTCATGGTTAAATTTGGGTACCAAGATTTAGAAACATGTATGAAAATTGGGGAAGAAGCCGCTGCTTATGTTTCAACAAAGTTCGTAAACCCTATCAAGTTGGAGTTCGAAAAAGTATACTTCCCTTATTTGTTAATTAATAAAAAGAGATATGCTGGATTGTACTGGACTAATCCAAATAAACCTGATAAGATGGATACTAAAGGTATTGAGACTGTTAGAAGAGACAATTGTAGGTTGGTACTGAATGTCATAACGAAAGTGCTTGATTACATTTTAGAAGAAAGGAATGTAGATAAAGCAGAAAACTTTGTGAAGCAAACTATTGCGGATTTGTTACAAAATAGAATTGACTTATCTCAATTAGTTATTACCAAGGCATACTCCAAGCAAGATTATACAGCAAAACAAGCTCATATTGAATTGGCTGAAAGAATGAAGAAGAGAGATCCAGGTTCTGCACCTACCTTGGGAGATAGAGTTGCATATGTAATTATTAATGCGCTGGCTGGAGCTAAGAATTACGAGAAGTCAGAGGACCCTTTGTTCGTTCTTGAAAATTCATTACCTATTGATGTCAAGTATTACTTGGATAATCAATTGACGAATCCTTTGATGAGAATTTTCGAACCAATTTTAGGTGAAAAGAGGGCGAAAGAATTGTTGGCTGGAGCCCATACTAGAACAATCAGGATGTCTGCTCCAAAGACTGGTGGGTTAATGAGATTTGCCAAAAAGGCAGAGCTTTGCAAAAATTGTAAATCTCCTTTAAAACCAAACAACAAAGGGGCCATATGTGAAAACTGTGTTTCAGAAGCTCCTAAATTGTACGGTGAAGCATTGGCTCAAATGAATTACTTGGAAAACAAATTTTCAAGATTGTGGACGGAATGTCAAAGGTGCCAAGGTTCTTTACACCAAGAAGTGCTCTGCTCGAATAAAGATTGCCCAATCTTTTACATGCGTAAGAAAGCGCAGAAGGATGTATTTCAGCAAGGCCTGGAATTACAAAAATGGGACTTAACTAATTGGTAGATAGTAATGAAAGCATGGTTTATTAAAGTTTTTTTTTGTACTGTAATGTATTTTAATAGCCTTTTACATCGGTTTAATAAAGATCATCATCATTTAATTTACAAATATTAATATAAAAAGGGAAATATATAATGAGAATTAATCCAAATATTCAAACTTTGGTGGTTGTTCTTCATTTTCTGTTGGTCTAGAATTGAAAATTATGCTACTTTCAGTAACTGATCTATTTTGAGCAGAGAGCTGGCCAGGTCTAGAGCTGATTCCGTTTCCATTGTCCATTGAACTTTTCTTTGTCCCCGGTGAGCCCGAATAACTACTGTCGTACAATATTGGAGTAGTCGACCCCGTAGATCCACCACCATTTACATTTCCATTTGGTGATGATGTAATTCCAGACAAGAGGTTTGTGGTAGAATGTTCACCACTCTTTATAGATCCTTTCTTCAAGTTCTTGGCCAAGTCTGAGGTTCTATTATTCTGCTTTGATAATTCCTTCAATTGCCTGATATTATGAATACACTTGCTTATTGTTTGCATTAAAAGCTTTGGTTTCAAAGGTTTGGACACGTAGTCATCCATTCCCTTTGCTAAAGACTTTTCACGATCACCCAACATAGCATGAGCTGTTAAAGCAATAATTGGAGTTCTGAAAGATAAAGAGTCAATAGGATTAGACTTCTTTTCCCATTGTCTTATCTTTTCTGTAGCTTCAAAACCCCCCATTACAGGCATTTGAACATCCATTAAGACTACATCGTACTTATTCTTCTTGATGGCATTATAAGCTTCCAACCCATTCTCGACAACTTCGACTTGATGTCCTTGCTTCTCTAAAATTCTAACAGCCAACTTCTGGTTAACTAAGTTGTCTTCAGCTAAAAGAATCTTATAAGAAACAGATTCATCTGTATTTTGAGAAATAGACCTACTTTCCAATGCAGGTATTATTGCACTTGCCAAATCTGTTATCGAACAAGGAGTATTACCATAGCTGGAGATACCCAAATCAATGCAAACTCTCATGTTTAATTCTGGAATGGAATGATGTAACAAGACCAAGGGAATGTATTTCACTTCTGGTAATAGTCTTAAGTTTTTAGCTATTTCAATAGAATCAATCATAATGATATCATACTTCACTGGCTCTTCCAAATTGGCGTCTGAGATGTCCCTAACAAAAATTGGGTTCAATCCCAATTCTATTATACCATTCTTGATTTCTTCCAATTGTGCATCTGTGTGTTCAGTAGAAATAAATAACACATAATGGGAACTAAAAGGTAATAATTGTTCGGTTTGTCTAGTATATCTAATGTTAGAAGGAAACACACTAACAGTAAAGTAAAAGTTGGAACCTTCACCGTAATCAGAGGTAACCCAAATTTCACCACCCATCAAATGAATTAATTGTTTAGAAATAGAAAGCCCCAATCCTGTACCACCAAATTTTCTGGTCGTAGAACCATCTGCCTGACAGAAAGTATCAAAAATTAAGCCAAGTTTATCCTTCTCGATACCAATACCAGTATCACTCACACAAACTTCCAATAATAACTTTTCATTATTATTATGATCTCCATCGATCGTTGATTTCGTTGATTTCTTAACTGAAACACTAACTTTACCTCTTTTAGTAAACTTGATAGCATTACCTGCTAAGTTCAAAATGACTTGTCTTAATCTAAATGAATCACCGATTAAATTATCTGGGAAGGATGAATCACATTGATAAGTCAAATCTAAAGATTTCTCAATTGCCTTTACTGCTAAAGTTTTCAAAGCACCAAATACTGTTCCTCTCAAAGAGAAGTCGATTTGCTCCACAGTCATTCTGTTGGCTTCGATCTTTGAGATATCCAATATATCATCAATAATTGTCAAAAGTGAATTGGCCAAATTATGGACAATAGATAACATTTCTCTTTGATATTGAGTCAACTCAGTGTCCAAGGACAATTGGGTCATACCAATAATACCATTTAATGGGGTTCTAATCTCATGAGACATGTTTGCTAAGAATTCAGATTTAGCACTATTGGCTAATTCTGCAGCTTCTCTTGCAGCAGTATTTCTTTGAATAGATTCTCTCAAATTCAACACCATTTGATTGATCTTTGTCTTCAAGGCATCCATTTCACCACTTGCTTCAACAGTAATAAATCTCGTGAAATCACCATCTGTAGCTGCTGCAGTAATTTGAGCAAACGCTCTCACTTGTGACGTCAAATTTGAAGCCATAGTATTGACATTAGAAGTAATTTCCTTCCAAAGTCCATCAACGTCACTGACTTGGGCTTGAATACCTAACTTACCATTAATACCGACATCTCTTGCGACTTTGGAAACTTCCAGAGCGAACAATTGTAAAGAATCCACCATCTTATTGATGGTATTCTTCAACTGTAAAATTTCCCCTTGGGCATGGACATCAATCTTCTGAGATAAATCACCATGGGCGACCGCAGTCGTAACCGTAGCAATAGATCTGACTTGGTTTGTCAAATTAGTTGCCATTAGATTCACATTTTCTGTCACCGCTTTCCATGCACCTTCAACATCTTGAACATTCGCCTGCCCTCCCAAAATACCCAATGTACCGACTTCTCTGGACAATGTTGTAACTTCTAGAGCAAAATTCTGTAATCGATCCACCATTTGATTGATAGTTAATTTCAAATTCAAGATTTCACCTTTACAATCCGCAGTAACCTTCTTAGACAAATCACCTTTCGCAACAGCAGTAGTCACATTAGCAATATTTCTAACCTGGGTCGTCAAATTCAAGGCCATAGCATTCACATTATCAGTTAATTCCTTCCAAATACCTTCAACATTTTCAATAAAAGCCTGACCACCCAAAATACCCAAGACACCGACGTCTCTAGCAACCTTGGACACTTCAAACGCAAAAGTTCTCAATTGATCCACCATAGTGTTAATAGTCATTTGTAATTGTAAGATTTCTCCTTGGGCATGAACATTAATTTTCCTAGACAAGTCACCACGAGCAACAGCTCTAGTAACATCAGCAATTTCTCTAACTTGATTAGTCAAATTTAAAGCCATAATATTCACATTATCAGTTAAAGATCTCCAGATTCCGACTGAGCCTTCGTTTTTCGCTTGGCCCCCCAATTCTCCATTGGCGACTTCGGTTGCCACCTTCGTGACTTCATTAGCAAACGCCTGTAATTGATCCATCATTGTATTGATAGTGATCTTGACCTTCAAGATTTCAGGATCCAGTTCAACGGTGTGGATTTCCACTTTTTTGCTCAAATCTCCCATAGCGACTGAAATAACCACAGTACCAATTTCAGATAATGCCTGCTTGAAAGCCTTGTTGGCAGTTCTCGATGTTTCTAAGTCATCATGTACCTGTTTCACGGTGATATCTTGAGCCTTAATGTGTGCTAAAAGATCTTTTCGTATATCCCCAGCTTTTTCTCTAAAGAGATCGGGGTCCTCTAGGATGCTTAATAGAGCCAGAGAGTCCATGATATTCTCTTGGACAAGTTTCTGTTTTTTGACTAAAGGCGATATTTTGGAAACTTTTTAAGTTGTTGTGCTCAGCTATACTGTTGAGATATAGCAGATAAAAGAAATGTAGTCCAAAAAATTAAAATAAAAATCGTTCAGATAACAGTGTATTAATAATGTAAACTGTTTCTAGCTGCTGGGTAAAAGTACCTGATTATTTCAATTTTTGATTCTGTTTCTTCGTTTTCGGATATTGCTCCTTTTCTTAGTTAGTTATTCTTAGTTTATCTTCCCTATCTTGTGGCAGATGGAATGAAAATGAAAGAAATATTTTTGTTTACTTGGAACTAGCTTGTCAGTAATAGAATGTGCACGTAGATATATTGCCCTAAGATTTCGATATCTTATCTGATTTACTCTTTGCCAGAACTGTCGCCCTTGTGTTTAATTAATCTGTCAATCTCTTCTCTTTTGTACAGACGCAGCTCGAATGGGTGGGACAGTATACAGGAGATTTCTATTTTCCCCTGAAGTCCAGCTCGCTTCTAATGCACTACCAAAATCGATAAACGTTTGTAGTACCCCAGATTAAACAGGACTGTTCCGTTCAATAAAAATATTTGTATGTAACAGCACACTTTTTTGGTTTTCGGTCAAAGTATATCCAGAAAATGAACAGAAATTCCACTTCACACTCCTCAGTGAAGAACAAATTAGAAAGTAGGCGGTACAGTAAAATAAGTAAATATGCTTATTATGAATTCTACCTGTCTTTTATTTTTTAGCTTTTTTCGTTGTTATTTTAGGAAAATATCAAAAAATCAATAAGAATTTAAATGAAAAAGGAAAAAAGAAAAAAAAAAAAAAAACTTTTTACAATGACGTTGTGCTAAGGAACTAAGCGTGGTTGTGTTGTTTGCATGGTTAAGAAGGTTGGGTAAATGCCTTTTGAAATTGGGGTGTTACTATGGTGACATGTTGTTTCCCATTTCTTTTACTCTTTATTTTTCTTAGAAGCTAATCTAACTATTATGGCAGGGATAGAGCCAGTCATCAAAGATTTTTTTTTTCTCTAGAGTATAAAAATAGGATAACACAATATCCGTTCTTCCCCCCTTTATTAGGGTGGGTTAACTACAAGGGGACTGTACAAGGGAGAATATACAGGGCAAAAAATAGCTACTATACGAGATTGCAAGCTTGCTATGCCAGTGGCTTCGACGTATACCTCACGGTTTTGTGTTGCCAGGCACAACCTGAGTAAAGTGACGATATCCGCACTATGCAAGCTAGATAATGCCTTATATACAATCAATTTCTCTACGCTCTGATGAGCCACGAAATCATTGCCATCGTGATATCTTGGGGGAGAAAACAATAGACGAGACTGTAGTTCTTTTAGTATTTTTTTCTTTTTTTTTTTTTTTTTTGGCTTCTCTTTGTTTGTTCGTCTGTTGTTTTGAACACTTTGATTTTTAAAAAACGTGTACGATAAACTGGATTTTCAACAAGAACTAGTCATAAACAGTGGTTCAGATCTTCAGCAGGAAGTTCTCTTTTCTTCTGTACGGCGCTCCATGTCTATCCTCATAGTTTCATGTTTAAAACTGGTCCGAGTCTCACGAATACTTACCCCTAAATTCACTAATGAAATTGCATGTTCCCCTTGGTTTAGGATAGAAGATTTATCTATCATGCTCACGACGTAATTGTGCATAAATAACGGTGCACTGCACATAAAACAGTCTGCCATCTCTTACCACAATTATTTTTTTTTTGAAGCATTCTCGCTGAGAAGTTTCATTACTGGCACATGACTAGCTACGAGAATTTACAGTTAGGACGACCTACTCAATAGAACGGGCTAGCTGAGCTGTTTAGAGGATTGTCTATATGATGATTTTCAAATTCTGTAAACCATAAAAAAAAAAACGAAATAGGACTCCTCATCAGGGGCTCGAACCCTGGACATTTCGGTCGACTTTTTAAACTGTCGAAAGAAAATTCCTTAAAAGCCGAACGCTCTACCAACTGAGCTAATAAGGACGGTCCGTTCGTATTTCTCTCGGAAATCACACCTATCGACATCTGGTTCTGCTATTGCATATGGAACACTTCTAATGACCATATCTCACCCCAGTAAGTATTGCCTTGCAATTAGAGCTGCTTAGTTGGGACTAGCCCATACTCATATATTACTGGGCGGAGAGAGAGCGGTGTGTCCGAAGTTTAAAAATCCACCTCGCTACCCATTCTGAACTTTTCTGTTCTTAATTGCTACACATCGTACCAGGGGCTAGCCATACATCTTGTTGCACCTATATATGTATATGTATATGCATATATATATACGGGCCTTATCCACTTCCTTGAGAGCTCACATTAAACAGCTTGCCTGTGTTCAGATTGACAAAATTCAGCTTCATGCATCAGAACATTTGCAGCCATTGTCGCACTTTGGAAATGCTGCAGAGCAAAATATGCACGAAGAATGTCAGGAACTCAAGGCAACTGCCTATAAATTCTCCATTTAGACTGTAGCTCTCTATTGATTTGAGTTCGTGGTATGCCATGTTCAAATATACTTGGAGCCAAGCATTTCGTGTACAAAAGAATCGCTTTGCATAAACTATTAACTCACTGAGAAACCCTCCCAAATACTTCTTTGCCATATATTCTCTATCCACCACAGTCCTTAATCTACTTTGATCACAGTCATCTTATCAAACATGAACAGAAATACAATTCTAGTCTTATGTCTATTTTTCTTTAACAGCATAGTTTCATCTGCTTCTGTACAATACGCTGGATTGAATGGAGCTGAAATGAATGGAGTTGACCTGGAAACTGAAGAGCTATCAGATCAAAGTGACATCCAGTTCGTATTGCCAGGTATTAACCTTAGCTTGTCATCAGAAGAGTTGGTAATCGATGAACAACGATACTTCACTGCTATAAATAGCTTTTCTATCACTAAGGACAACTCTGGTGTCAAAAAGATGAAAACTGTAGGGGAAGGATTTATCAAATTCGAATCCAGTGTTAGGTCAACTTTCAGTCCCGAGAAGTTCGAGTATGTAATCTCTAAAAGTCCCAAAAGCATAGTTCTCTTCAAAGATAGTAATACTATTCTTGTTCCATCTGAGGAGATTATTGAGGCTGACGATAATGAATTGGAGCTGATTACCAGCTATGAATATCTTGAATTGAATTTGGATGAATTGAAGAACGTTCATGCAACTCTTGAATCCCCATTAATTCCTGCTAGCTCATGTCTTTCATTGAGTCCGAGAAATGGTACATCAGGTTCGGTTTCGTTATCGTTCTCAAATGGTGTATACATTAGAAAGTATGGATCTGGTACGGCTTCTCAGTCTTTTGTTCCTGCTGTAGCCTATTCTATGGCACTTTCAAGGAGTGTGAAAATAGCAGAGTCGTTCTCTGGAACACATTCATGTTCCGTATCAGGAGGAAACTCCGTTCGTTTGTTCTACAAAGTCTTCACATTTAGCGGCTCCCCCATGTATAGGAAGGTTACTTATGACAGTGTGAATGGTGAAATTTCCACTGGCAAACTAGTTAAAATGCAAACCAGAAAGTACTTAGCAGGAATCCCTCCTATATACTACTGTGTGACATCTGCTAACACAGACTTGATGTGTGGTGTTCCCGGAATTCAATTTGAAGACGACAATGGCGATCAGATCACTAGTCATTCGCTTTAATATGAAAGCTTAGGGCTGACAATGAGAGCCTTTCACTTACAATATACTCTGTTCCTACTGTTTATGTATTTATATTATTAATATTATTGGTTTTGTTTATTTGCTACCTCCCAGCACCATTAGAGTAAATTCAAATTCCTTAACGCTTCACAATTTGGCATTGCCATGTTCTCTGCTTGTTCCAATCTAGCATAATCTGTGAAAAAGAATCCCTGCGCATCTTCCATAAGTTCATTCTTTCTGACTTGCTCTCTTGAACACTTGTTTCTTTTATCTTGTACATACAAGTTCTCAACTTTTTTATCAAAATTCTTCAATTGCTTCGTATCCAACTTATTAGCTTCTTTGAAATTGGGCGTCACATAAAACGGGATGTTATATCTAGGGGTTACCCTTTGAGTATTATATTTCCTCGTCTGGGTGAATGAATAATCTGGTGTGCTATCAGAAAATAATGCTGAAAGGATTGGGATTAATAAGAATATCAATATTGGTGCTAGATGCCTTAATGTGGTTAAAAATGATGCCTCTTCTTCGTCCCCATCTCCTGCACTACGTCCACGTTGTCTTTGTTGAGATGGGTGAGTTCTACGTTGACGTACATTTGGCTCGAAAAATGGATGTCCACCACCACCGCCAAAGGACTGGAATTGGAATCCATTACCACCAAATGTAAACGTTTGACCACCTTGTGGTCTGCCCCCTCCGAAAAATAAGTTAAAAATATCATCAACGTCTGCTCCACCGCCAAATGGACTGGCGCCTCCAGGGCCCCTTCTAGCAAAGCTCGTACCCCCGCTACTGGCACCGCCACCTCCTCCCATACCTCTAGAGTCAGGGTCTTGTCCCGTTTGGTCATATATTGTCTTCTTATTAGGATCGCTCAACACACCCCATGCCTTATTCAAAAACTTGAAAGCTTCTGATGATCTTGGATGTGGATTCTTATCAGGATGGAGCTTAATAGCCAATTTACGATACGATTTTTTTATTTCTCCATCTGAGCATGTTTTCTCTACAGATAACACTTCGTAGTATTGGTGAGATTTGTATGACAATGTTTTGAGAACAATTTGTTCTTGTTCTTTAGTGTAAGATGCCATTCTATGCCACACCAGTTATCGAGAAGAGCCTATTCAACAAGTGGAACTTTGAAAAAATTCGAAAACCGATCTAAAATACACCCTAAATAACACTTGAACCGAACACTACTATGATGTTACTTGTGAACAACTTATCTATGCAATTTAGGCGAAGCTGGATAGATCGTAAGGGTATAACAGCGTCGTATACCTTCTCAACATGAATCTTTTTCATCAATGGCAGAATCTGTTGGCAACTTTACATGTAAGCGTATCGGTTTTCGGTAGGGGCACACAGATCAATACAACATATCGAAAAATTGAGTGTCGCAGCTTCTTCAGCACTGATGAAACTTAGTGGAGAAGGTACTAGAAAGTGTAACATGTACTGCGAAAAGAAGAAAAAAATGATGTCGGGGCGAGCTGGGAATTGAACCCAGGGCCTCTCGCATGCTTGAACAACCTGTTAGAATCAGAGACTTTAGCAGGCAATACCCAAAGCGAGAATCATACCACTAGACCACACGCCCTGTGAGAAACAATTGGGGCGAGCTGGGAATTGAACCCAGGGCCTCTCGCATATTTGAAGTCGAATGAACAACCCAAAGCGAGAATCATACCACTAGACCACACGCCCAATTTGTTGTAGTTGGGAATTGCTTGGTTCAAGGGGCCGTAGGACTTTGATGGGGCTGGAGTTAGACCAACACTGCTCTAACTTTGCTTCAAATGTATGAAAGCCAAATCTGCTTACGACATTGGCCCGTAGAGAGTTAATGAAAGAGATCAGTATTCAAGTTGAGGTGTGGTCATTGAAAAAGCAACGGAGAAATACCTTCGATTTGTCTTAGAAAGTCGCAAAATGTTCCGATGGCCCAACCCGATGACCCTATCCCACCACCTAATTCTAGCCTTCAACTGCAGAGAAAGATAGAAAGTCGAAGGATGTGATGTAGCAATTAAACAGTGATTCAAACCAGACTTATGTCGCTGTCATCTATTCATTCCCCAATACTGAATTTGAGCTTTATCTCACACGAATCATGAAATGTACTATTTAAGGTTTAGTATAAATAAGTCTTAGAATTAGGAAAAATGAGCATAATTAAGCTTTAACCCAGTATAGATTCGGAGTCAACCTGAAGTAATCTGAAACAGGCACATGTCTGCTAATCGTGCAATTGTTACCCGAAAATCGGTCTAGAACCATACATGTTGAAATGTAAAGATAGCCAGCATGTGTATAGTTTGTGCTTTAAGCAGGAGACCATTGTAATGGTATTCAAAAGCTACTGCATCCTAGGCTCACTCCATATCGATACTCATTTTCTTAGTGATTATCTCCTACAAGTCGGGGCTTCTTTAGACTAAGACAAGGTTTTAAAACGTGGATAAAGAAGAGAAGAGCTGAAATTAATTCACAACAACCACTTAAAAGGGGAATCATCATCTTCCTAATTACCTAGATCTTTCTTATCTGGATAGATAGTATACATAAGAGTAGTTCGATTCACATGGTGAAGAGAGGGGCTCAAGGAATATAACAAACAAATCGACACTACGGCATTGTACTTTTACCGGACTTAAGTAAAACATTACACCACTTGTATAAATCTCCCCATCATACTAATACACCTTTTCAATGATCTGCCATTTGCCTATATCTACCCATTATGTTAATGCATATTTTCAGTGATCTGGCAATTCATTGGTGCATCTGCTATCATGCATCATCTCCCTTTTGGGTTTGGTTGACATGTCACATCTTCTTTGAGACTGTTTTGGTGATTGAAATGTACTCCTTTAAAAGTAAAACCTTTGTATATGGGAAATTAGGTTCCACTAATCGCAGTAGCCGTAGTTACGTTCCTTGATCCCAGGTCACGGTTGGTAACGATTGTGATTCATTCTGGGTATAAAAAGGTCTCACCGAGTCCCTGATATAACTCGTCTTGTTATTCCTTTCCACTAGTATAACAATTTACCCTCTTAGTAAATACTAACAATAACCTCTTTATCTTACAATGGCCGCTTTAATTAGAAACATGAACAACTACGGATGTGAAAGTTGCAAGAGCTGCTCATCTTGCAAAACCTGCAAGGGAAAGTGTAGCTGTTCAACTTGCTGCAAGAAGTAAAGAGATATGAGAACAATTTGTTCCAATCTTGATGGCTGCAAATTCATCTTCTTCTGAATGGACGAGATATTGAGAATGTAGAGAAACGGTGAACATCAGAGTACAATATACCTTACGAGACTTTTACAAATAGGCAATCTTCATTCATTCAGCATCCCTACTTTTGCACCATGTTTCCTTATATTGTTTTTTATATGAATAAATGAAACTTAAATCTTATCTATGATGTAATACAATGGTTTTTTCTTGAATCAAGTTGTCATTTGTTACTCAACTGTATTGGTTATTGAGCTTTATGCAGCACTCACTCACCAGAAAAGAAAATAAAAAATACAGATAATCTACGACTGTTTGATGGCATTGTATGCACTACTTATTCTGTGCATCTTTCCTGCCGATCGCAGAGCAGTGAGATTTGCATATGAGTCTATTCCATCAGCATTGATATACTGCAACCAGTACACATTTTCCCTCTCCCTCTTCACATTTTCGTTTCCCCTTAGAGTTTTTGCTTTCCTGGTTCTCCTTGTCCAAACACTTTGCGTCAACAAATAAATAAATGACAAGATGAATAAAAATGAAGTAAATCAGTCAAATGGGTCCTTTCTCATATGCCTTCCCCATACTTTTTTCATCCGACGGGGGTTTCTCATACCCGCATTGCGCTCACGTTACCTCCACCGTTTTGTAGTATTGGGGTATAAAATTATTCTAACTAAGCACAGAGTATACGGTGCCGAACGAAGACCCATAGAAACCCGTGTATGCTCCCTTTTTATTATTGCAAATACACCTCGCTTCGGGTCTCCATCTCTCTCTCTAGGCAATTTTGTCCTACGCTGCCGAGGTTAATATTCCCCACAAATTGTTATATACAGGACCATATGAAAGGGAAAAAATCGCTATATAATTTTGCAATTTACCAGAAAATGAAAAAAAAAAAAGGAATACTCTATCACCTCTCTATACGCTTTATAGCTTGAAAGTATATTTATTCAACCGCATTATTCATTATGACAACACTCGATTCCTCCTTTGTAACGAACTCCAGTTGGAAACCAGATCTCTTCAAGGGTAAAGTTGTTTTCGTGACCGGAGGTGCTGGTACTATTTGCCGTGTTCAAGTTGAAGCTATGGTCTTGCTTGGAGCCGACGCCGCCATTATCGGTAGAAACGTTGAGAAAACTGAAAAGGCCGCCAAAGAGATTGAAGCCTTACGTCCAGGAGCTAAGGTTCTTGGTTTGGGTAATGTTGACGTTAGAGACGTTCATTCCTTGGTCAAGGCATCCAAGGAAACAGTTGATAAGTTGGGCAGAATCGACTACGTTATTGCAGGTGCTGCAGGTAACTTTTTAAGTGATTTCAATCATTTATCAGCAAATGCGTTTAAATCTGTTATATCTATTGATTTATTGGGTTCGTACAATACCGTCAAGGCCACATTTGAAGAATTAAGAAAGAACAAGGGTGCAATTCTTTTCGTTAGTGCTACCTTACACTACTATGGTGTCCCATTCCAATTGCACGTTGGAGCTGCCAAGGCCGGTGTTGATGCCTTATCCAATGCATTGGCTGTTGAATTGGGTCCATTGGGTATTAGATCCAACTGTATCGCACCAGGTATGATAGACGGTACTGAAGGTTTTGCCAGGTTAACCCCTCCTGGTGCTGAGCCATTGGAGAAAAAGGTTCCATTGCAAAGATTAGGTTCCACTAAGGATATCGCTGAAGCTACAGTCTACCTCTTCTCCCCAGCCGCTGATTACGTCACTGGTACCATCCAGGTTGTTGATGGTGGATGCTGGCACATTGGTGGCTTAATGGGTAGTTTGTACCCAAGTGCCGTGCTCACCCAAGGTCTTGATACCCCAAAGTTGTAATATCGAGAGTGTGTATATTAAATGCGTTTTTCCTATAACATGACAGTTGAGAAAGAATCAGCAAGAGAAATGAAAAATAAATTTCGGAAGTATGTCCCTATGCAAAATATGTAAAAGCGAAGAAAAAATTCAAAGAGTATGTAGTAGCTGATTTACATTGTAGACACTATTCTATGATACTACCCTAAATATACGATGGCCGATCTTTTCTGTCTATTTTTCCTACTGCTCCCTATCTTATATTTCTGCTCCTTGCAACAATCCTCAGCTAATTCCTCTTTCTTGAATTTTTTCTTTCCCCCATGGACGCTCATCTATTGGGCTGCTTACCACTGACTTTCACTTTTCTTTTTTCCACTTCTCATCCTCGCCCTAATCCTTTCGTTCCACCACCCTTGCACGTATCCCCCTGCCCCTACGTAGTTGGTCAGTTCGCGCCTAAGCCTAGTTGATGAAAGTTTCGTGTCCCCCTAAATTTATTCGTTTTTGTTCACTGCATAAAAGGCGCTATACTTGTTAGCAAACGTGAAAAGAAAAAAGCAGGTACAGTAGAGAAGAACAGTACTGTGTAAACACATTATATTTACGAGTTCGATGTATCCAGGATCAGGCAATAATTCATACGGTGGCTACAGCAGACCACTGGGCCCACCACCTAGCCAATACCAGCAAAGCGGCAATGGAGGCTACGGGAGACCACAAGGTGCTCCACCTCCACAAAGCTACCAGCCTCAACAACAGTACTCAAGACCGGCCGCTCCTCCTGCCTCTACGTCGTCCAATTATCACGGCAACACGCAAGATGGGAACTACAATGACCCAAACAGCAACACGCACCAGTATCAACAGTACTCGAGACCACTGGGACCTCCACCACCTTCCGTTCCTCAAAGCTTTGGGCAAAATACCGGAATGACCTACCAGTACTCCAACTGTACAGGTAGAAGGAAGGCGCTCTTAGTCGGAATCAACTACATCGGGTCATCGAACGCCTTGAGAGGTTGTATCAATGACGTGAAGAACATGAGTCAGTTCTTGAACCAAAGATTTGGTTATCAGTACGATGACATGGTTATACTAACTGATGATCAAAGAGAGATGGCCAGAATCCCAACCAGAGAGAATATCTTAAGAGCAATGCAATGGTTAGTCAAAGACGCCAGACCAAACGATTCGTTGGTTTTCCACTACTCCGGCCATGGGGGTGTCACAGAAGATCTTGACGGAGATGAAGAGAGTGGTTTCGATGATGTGATCTACCCACTTGATTTCCAGCAGAACGGTCACATTGTGGATGATATCATGCACGATATTATGGTTAAGCCATTGCCAGCTGGTTGCAGATTGACTGCATTGTTTGATTCTTGTCATTCTGGTACTGCCTTAGACTTGCCTTATGTATACTCAACGAAGGGTGTTGTCAAGGAACCAAATTTATTGAAGGATGCAGGTGGCGATGCCTTGCAAGCTTTCCTTTCATACGAAAGAGGGAACATTGGTGGTGCTATTTCTTCGTTGGGGGGAATTTTCAAGAAGGTTAGCAGACTGGGTAGTACGAACAGAGACCAAGTTATCACCATCAAGGCTTCACCCGCGGATGTTATCAGTATTTCAGGTTGTAAGGATGACCAGACTAGTGCCGATGCCACCGAAAATGGTCAAAACACGGGTGCCATGAGTTGGTCATTCATTAAGACTATCACTGAATACCCTAATCAGAGTTATTTATCGTTGTTGAATAATATGAGAACATTGTTGAGTGGTAAATATTCACAAAAGCCTCAACTTAGTAGTTCACATCCACAGGATATGAACCTTCAATTCTTGATGTAAACTGGACATTGTGAACTGATATAAACTAGATATTTATGGAAAGATGAAAAGATGAAATGATGGAGAGATGATTATAGATGAGTAAAGATCTAAAACCCCAATGAATACAAATGAATACAATATATAAAACAAAAGAGACAAACATGAAGAAAAAGAAAAAGACAAAATCTTTTCTACGCCCTCAAATATATGTAGTGTGGAGTCCCATCAGCAAAAGATACCCTGACCCAACGCAACTTCTACACTCCTCTCTCGTACCTGTCCCATCTCTTGCCATTGGCAACCTTCCAGTATACACCTACTGTTTATGTTATCCTGCACATACGTCTTGTTCACATGCAGGACCCGTCATTTAAACTCGCCTACTGCGCATACTTGCCAGTATCTAAAAAATAAAACAGCACAAGTAGCACCGTAAACCCTATTTTACTTGACTAAACAAGCCACAGAAGTATAGCTATGTCTGACAACGTTGAAAGACACAACTCCACTCGTTGGGCAAGGGCCTCAGTCCCAAATTACGGGGATGAATGGGGAGATGAATACGACTATGATGAGCACGACGAAGATCAAGTCGAAAAGAGTTACAGACAGCTCCACAACTTATCGTCTCACGAAGAAGAACCTGAATTGGAGGAAAATGTTCAAACTGGGCATGAATCTTCTCAAAGGATTGTTGTAGATGATAATCACGTTCAAAATGCCTCGTCTCCTCAAAGTAGCAGAACTCAGGAAGAACCATTACGTGTCCCTGGGGAAAACTTGGTACTCTCCATTGACAATTTCAGGTCTAGACAGGATTCCGATAGTTCGGATGATGAAGACTTTGGAATTGAGCCGATCCCTGAGGAGGTATTGAGACAGCAGGCTAATAAAGAGGAAGGCCTGGGATATAAAGAACAGGGAGAACAAGAAGTAGGAGAGGAAGAGCAGAAGTCAGACGTTAAGAACTTGCCAAGTATACCAAGTGAGCAATCCAGTTCGCATCCACAGGTAGCGCAACACAAGGCAATTGATAACCGAATACGCTCCAGCTTTGAAGATCATATCATGCCACCTACTCCGACGTATAATAACCACTTTACTCCAGAGACACCCCAGTCGGAAAGAAGCTTTGCCTCAGATACTGACTCCATTCAAAAGGAAAGCGACTTGAATGTGATAAGAGCCTCGTCGAGGAAGAGACCACCTGAACCAATGAACGAAGCTGACTATAATGTAGTCGATGTACATAAGCACGATACTATAAATGAAAAGTCACAACGTCAGAATGAGGAGGAGGAAGATGTATTGCCAAGAGAACCCGCTGGAGCTGCTGCCTCCGTGCATGATACCCTGGATTCTTCAGATAGACACCTCACCACTTCGAGTTCAGGACCCACCTCTCCCATCTCCGAAGCCCCTACTCCATTGGTGCTTTCAATTGATAACAAGGACCTTAACGATTCTGACTCTGACTCCGATGATGATGATGATTGGGGATACAATGCAAATAATGCGTCCAATTCTGATTCTGATGACGATGACGATGACAAAAAAGGAGACGGGTGGAGCTTCAAGAGTAAAAGTAGTGATGTCAATAAATCGCAAGAAGATGTAGAAATTGCAAATACCTCATCAAAGGGAAAGGATATAGACAACCTAATCGACGATCTCCAAAACAATTCGCTTATAATTGATGAAGGTGAGTCTTCTGATGGATACCTTCCATCGATTACACCAGCTCAAGATACCGAATTGCCAGATTTCAGCAATTATGATGCTCGTGATAGCGATAGCAAGGCATTAGATGACGATAAAGAACTTGATAGTAGCAAGGATGTGAGCCCATTACCAACAGAGCCTTTAACTATTTCACACAAAGGTTCAATCAGGAAACCTCCTCCTGGGAGAGTTGACTTGGTATCTGTTGACTACTCTAATATTGCAGATGCCGTCAGAGACTACTTAAGTGATGAAGAGCAGCAGCAAAACGAGAAACTTAACGATATAGATGAAGATAACGAGTCGTTGGCGCTTCAACCTACAGAATCCTCGGGATCATTGTCTACTGGCAAGTTTTCATTCGCTCCCTCACATCTGTCTGGAACTCAGTTCAATGAAATCAAGTCAGCGGCTCTTCCATCATTACCAACTCATCAGCATGGCAGCCAATTCAATGAAATTAAGACTACCGGTCTCCCATCCTTGCCGCCTCAACCTGACTCTGCAGGTGCTAGTAGCAGTGTTTACAGTAGTGTTAACCCATCCCCTATTGATTTTATGCCACCAAGGTCTTTTGATAAGAGTGATTTATCAAGAAGAGATTCTACTATGACTACGAACACTTTCAACATGGGAGCTTGGCAACCAAATACAAATAATTTTAGGGATCAGTTCATCAGTGATAATGAAAACGATGGAAGAATGAGTTATAACCCTGTCTTGTATGACAAGGAAACAGCTGCTAACTACAACAAGTTTACACAATTGGGCGAGGTAAATGAAGCTGAATCGGATGAGGAAAATGATAGAACGCAAGATAATTTTCACGATAACCATTCGAGCAATCTGGACCTTTCAATCCCTGATACAATAGATGCTGCCTTGCCACGGGTTCCTGATGAAGATGAAGATGAGGATGAGGACGAAGAAGGGGATGCAAACATTAGTAAAATAAACAAAATCAAGACTGTGGATACTCTTGATTCCAAACCTTTATCATCAGGAACTTTTGGTGAGTCTGTGTTGAAAGATCCACCACATTCTAAAGGATTGTTCAAGGAAGAGAAAGTGACTCCTATGTCATCCATGCTAGATGTAGGGAATAGTTCTGGAAAAGAATCTAGCGCCACCACTCTCAAGGAATCTGGTGAAACTGAAAATGGCGGCCAGAGAGTTGTAAGTAAGAGTTCAACTAAATCAAACAACACAGTTGTTGGGGGCGCATACCCTCCGTATGATTGGAAGAATATAATGTCCAAATCTCAGAGTATAGATAGAATTCGATTATTGAAAGATGCTTCAGCGTTAGAATCGGAATATGACTCAGGTTTAAACCATTGGCTAAGTGCAACATTGAAAATGTCCGAAGAATCTCCAACTATTCATATTGGAAAGATTGCTACAGCTGTCTATCAAAATGCTCCTCATAGTGATATAAGGAGACATAATTCGTTAAGAACTACACTTTCTATTGTGAAGGATAAGGTTGAGACGTCGGGAATGCAAACATCTTCACTTGGGAAGAGATTTTTTCATAGAAGTAAGAAGTTTATCAAGTCAAGCGATTAGGAAAGAGCGAGCTTGATTCAGATGTACTATGTTATATGTTTTGTACTATACCCATGAATATATATCATTTTAGGATGACGGGAGAGTGAGCGTAGAAAAGGTTTTGTAGAGTAAGCAGTAATGTGAGAGATACAGTAATAAAGAACTGACATCCAACTTACGATCAGTAAGTAGAGATCAGATACAGTAATGAAGAACTGGCAATAAAAAACTTTATCCACTTCCAATGGTTGCATTATTTTTTTTTTCTTTTTTATTTCGCTCGCTTCCTTCACATGCATCACCCCGCGTCAAAACGGCATCTCATTATCAATCAGCTTGAAATAATCAACACTAAAGGAAAGTTTATTCTTAGTTTACAGTAGCAAAATAAAAAGTATTTCGGTATAACTTCCCTTCTCGATACCTAAACAAGGTAGAACAGATCTCTAGTTACGCATTCATCTGGACTCCCTTACTCTAGCTTTTCAAGGTCCGCTATTTCCCTGTGAATTTTATTTCTTTTCTCGTATCGGACCTCCTTCAAAATTTACCGAGGTACAGGGTCCAACCACAAGGAGGAACAACAGCAAAATCCAGAAGTCATAGCAACCAGCAACTAATAGCATTCAATATCGTTTAGTATTCTCTTGAAAGGAGGAGTCGTATCGCTGTATAAAATAAGTGGTCTATGATTCGTTCGCTAACTAATGGGTATATAATACCACTCATCACTTACACTGTGAATCATGTTCCAGCATTCATCTGGTTGATTGTGGAATTTGTATTTGATATATGCTTCTTTTGGGTCAAGAAATTGTACCACTTTTACATACGAAAGAACCCATTAAGGGAAAAACTAAAGGAATTGAAGAATGTATCAAACTATACTGAATGGAAGAAGACTGCAACAGAGATAGATAAGTTGACTAGTATGGAGCTCTGGAGACAAAACTTTATATCAAAACACTACGATTACATTATCATAAACGATAGATTAAAGCTTCTTAGACAGGCAAGGTTGGACGGAGATTCTCAACTAATAATGTCACTCTTCAGGTCAGGACTCATAAGAAACTTTGGTGGTATTCTGCAGAAGAAATTGTACATTAAATCTTACATGGGAACCAAGTATAAGATTGAAGAGTATATTAGTGAAGTGTTGAAATGTCTTAATTTTTTGAATGAATCCATAACTGATAGTAGTAGAACAAATCAGCAACTCCCAAGAAGGAAAGAGTTTGTGATGAATTCCAAGCAGTTGAAATTGGACTTTTTCCATGACGCTAGGCAATCTTTTGGATGTACTGCCTTGTTACTTCAAGGTGGGTCATTATTCGGATTATGCCATTTGGGAGTAGTAAAGGCGCTTTACTTTAAGGGTTTACTCCCAAGGATCATAGGTGGAAGCGCAGTTGGAGCTGCTGTTGCCTCTTTGGTTTGTACTTTAACAGATCAAGAGTTGATCCCTATTTTGGTATCCCCCGCTGACGTTATGTGCGATATTGACAGATTGAATCATGACGTTGATGAAAGGTACGGCAATGTCATTGAAAACATAGTGAAAAAGGGGTACAGTCAAGATATTTTGATCTTCTTGAAGTTTGTTAGAGATACAATCGGAGATTTAACATTTGAAGAAGCATATTTAAAGACAGAGAAGATTTTAAATATCGTTATTCACCCCACACACCAGTCTATACCCCTGTTGCTCAACTATATTACTGCTCCGAATGTCATAATATGGACTGCCATTTACGCCTCCATTGGTACAGGGGTGTTAAGTGACAATGTTCAGTTGTATGTAAAGGATTTTAACAACAACATTGTACCAAAACTGCCCTCCCTTGACGTTAAGTTTTTGAAGCCTCAAGATGTGAACTATCTGCAACAATACTTCAGAGAAAATGACAATGACGCTACAGGAGCAGGCTCGTTTTTCAAGTATAATTTCAAAGAATCTTCTTCCTACACAAGATTAACAGAATTATTTAATGTAAACCACTTCGTTATTAGCTTGGCAAGGCCGTACTTGGCACCACTAATAAGTAATGATCTAAAGCATTACCATAACTATAGCGCTGTTTCGTATACCAGCATATCGAAGAAGGACTCCAAACTGTCACCTACTTCAACGACAAAGGCTGCAATTCCGATTGACAACACAGATGGTTCAACATCATCTTCAGCTTCATCTTTAAAAGATAGTCCTACTACTTCTTCCACCACTACACATGCGTCCATCGAGAAAACTACTAAAGATACCAACTATAACTTCAGGAAACATTTTACTAATATCATTGGGTTGGAGATTCAGCATAGATTGGGCGTGTTGAATAAATTAGGAATATTGTCTGATTTCATAAAAAGATTGTGCATAGATGAGAGGCCATCAACTCCTCAGTCGTTGACTAGTATAAGAGAAATTACGATAGTTCCTGAGCTACTGTATTTGTTGAAAGACTTTGGCAGAATATTCGATGTCCATAAGACTATGGAAAATATTCCCTACTGGGTATTGGTGGGGGAGAAATCAGTATGGCCCCTCTTTCCGCTTTTACTCACAAGATGCTCTATTGAATTTGCATTAGACGATCTATATAATATACATAGAAAGAAATCGTGATGAAAGCTTTCCGTTTTGTTGGTTTGGTGTGCTATCTGAAGAAAAGTTTCACGTTACCATCTTTGGAAACTAAATAAATATATTCCCTTTCTACAACTTGTAAATTGGTACCTATGTAAGGTACCGTCCCCTTGCTGATGGTTATACAACCAGTAATATCCTTAGCTCTGCCTGTTGGTAAGGGCATTAGATTGATATTCAATTGTGATTTATGGTAAAGCTTAGCCAAAAAATCTGAAACTTTGAAGATCAGATCCCCTGGGTTGGTGACACTCAAATCTATCGATTGTGGATAATCTTGGCCACATATGATAAATAATTGCCTACATATTTTGTTAATTTTGTTTAATTCTGAAAGCAATACGTTAGAAGTAATTGATGTTGAAGTTAACAAGATTTCTGGAAACTCTACAAAGACAGTACTCTTGGGGTCTGTCACGACTGAAGAAATTTTCTCTTTGAAAAATGACTTCAACTGGATTTCCTGATCTCTTCCATCATCAGTCAACACTTCAGTAAATAATTTTGAAAAAGCATCAACAAATGTAAAATTTTCCATTTTTGTAATGTCTAACCCATTCTTAACGCAACCGGAACTATAGTACTCCAATGGATGCAAAAATGATATGAAGTAGACATGGGATCTGTGCTTTCCGTTAGGTAATCTCTTTAATTCTGAGTTTACCAAATTAGAACTACCAACTAACGAATTCTCAACTAACGAGTTTAGTAACCAACTTGGTGAGGTGCCTTGTTCATGCGATATAATGGAGAGGTATGATTGTGAATCTTGATTCAATACTGCATCAGATACAAGAGAGTGATCATTATGGAAAATTAGATCTTGGACTTGAACGCTAGACATGATGCAGCGTTATATACACGGTGAATGGAACGTTTAGGAGAAAATATGAGAGAATCTACTCTACTCTCTGGATTTCTGATCGATCTAGCTTGTTGCACTCTGGAATCGATGGGGAACCAAAAGAAAAAAAATTAAAGAAGACTCTCAAAAAAAAGAATGCGCAAACCCGGAATCGAACCGGGGGCCCAACGATGGCAACGTTGGATTTTACCACTAAACCATTTGCGCAGTAAGAAAGAAGCTCCGCGACGGGGAATTGAACCCCGGTCTACCACGCGACAAGCGGTAATTCTAGCCACTAAACTATCACGGATGATCTCTTGCACTTTCTTTTGCAAGAATCAGTCGAATCTCCTGAGTGCTTGATTTTGACTTCTTTTCCTATTTACAAAGATGAATAAAGTAGCTTGGATGGTTGGGTTTAGTTACTCTCTTCCACCATTGTAACTGTAATTTGCTTTGATATTTCAATCTATGACTAGGAAATTAGAGATTTCTGGGGCTATTAATATTGCAGTTTCAATTGATTTTAATATATGACTATTAAATTAGACTTTTCGGAAAAGCACTGCAGCTTTAAGGTAAAATCGGAGTTTCTCCAGCTGCTGTACAGGCTCCAGCTGCAGGTATGTCTTAAATTGCATCTTCGAGGTGTTTACTTTAGTCTTTGTCTTCTTTCTCATTTGCAACGATGAATAACGAAACATGAGCAATGAATAGCTGGGCTCAGTGATTCTTTTTCGTATCGTAGATCCATTTGGTTTCAATATTTCAAACTATGACTAGCAAATTAGACATTTCAGGGACTTCTGCTACAGTTCAAAAGAATTGAGTTTCTACAGCTGCTTCAAAGGTTCTGGTCATAAGTAAGCAGAAGAGCAAACCAGAGTGGAAAACACATGGGTCAAACTTATTCTGGGCCAAACCCACCCATTACCAAACAAGGTCTTATCACTTTAGTAGATGAGATAAGACAACATCACCAGATTGCGTAGCGCATCAATATAGAGAGCTACTTCCCTTCAAACACGGAATTCAGCGTGTAAATCAAATCCAAAGTACAACTATCCCAAGATATGATAGCCTTCTCTAATTTTATGTAGATAACATTTCTGTACATTTTTCACACTTTTACGTCTAAGTGACAGCCAACGGCGAGCAAGCGGAATTGTTCTTGGCGGTATGCTATTTTTGTCCTCTAGTACTATTATGCAAGGGAATGTCAAATATGTCGCTATATCTCAACTACGATCACATTAGGCAGGGAAATTCCGTGAATATGCAGTGAGTTGAAGAAAAGTCAAGATCAGTATAGGTAATTAAAGTTCCGCGCTCAATTCCGCTTTCTGCTGCATCTCTTGAAAATTTTCTGGAGATGATAAGAAACTTGCCGATATCGATGCGGAAGATACCATGATGATTGGGTGAGGGCCGCAAATCATGTTGCATTCATACCTGCAAGCTTAAAGAATAATAAAGTTGCATAAATACATCTGAAATGCCCGTTAGACTCATCTGAGAAAGGTTATTTGATATTCATACATTCTCAGACCATTTAGTAAACATGTCTACATTTAGCAACAGAATTAAGAGGATTGTAGAAAAGGATGATAAGACTATTGAGGTGGTTAGTGATGATGGATCAGAGACAAGTAATGGAGACTTTCAATCTAGAATCTCTAGGAGAAAATTACTCCCACGTCAAGTTTCACTCATAGGTATAGGTGGTGCTATCGGAACTGGTCTCTTTGTTTCCATTGGAACGAAATTGACTCAAGGTGGACCTGCCTCGTTGCTTATTGCATTTTTGGTGTGGTCGGTCGTTTTAATTGGTGTTTCTAATGCCACTTGTGAAATGGTGACATTTTTGCCGGTATCAGGTACATTCGTCCACTATGCAGAAAGATATATCGATAAATCTGTCGGGTTTGCAATCGGATGGGTTTACGCAGTTTTACAAATTGCCAATGTGTGTTACGAAATCACGGCGGTGTGTATGGTGATCGAATATTGGACTGACAAAGTACCTAAAGCCGTTTGGATCACTATTTTGTTACTATTGTACACCTTTTTGAATATCTTCTCTGTCTTTATGTTTGGTGAAGGTGAGTTTTATCTTTCCATTGGGAAAGTTATCCTCGCAGTCGGCCTTTTACTCTTCACATTGGTAGTAATGTGCGGAGGAAACCCACAGCACGAGGCTCTAGGCTTCAAATACTGGAAAGACCCTGGTGCTTTTGCAGAATACCTTGACACTGGATCAATGGGGAAATTTCACGGGTTCATGGCATGTTTGATCTTTGCTACCTATTTATTTTGGGGTCCGGATTATTTGAGTTTAGCAGCTCCAGAGTGTATTCGTCCTAGACAAACCATGCCTAAGAGTTTCAACAAAGTCTTTGGACGTTTATTGGTTTTCTACATTGGAGGTGCTCTCTGTGTGGGAATCCTTATTCCATACAATGATGCAACTTTGTTGGCTGCCATAAATGCTGGAAGTGCTGGTGCAGCCGCTTCACCATATGTCGCTGCAATGACGGAGATGGCTATTCCAGTTTTACCACATATTGTCAATGCATTGATTTTAACATCAATTATATCCGCTGGTAACTCATCTTTATTTTCAGCCTCGCGTACATTGCAAAGATTGGGAATAGAAGGGCAGGCTCCAAAATGCTTTGCTACTTTGAAAAGAGGGGTGCCCATATATAGTGTTGCCTTCGTATTGGTATTTTGCTTACTTGCTTATTTATCGGTCTCCAATAACTCCAATACTGTGTTGACCTGGTTTTTAAATATTGAGACTGCCGGTATGATTATTGTTTATATTGGAATTTGCGTATCGTACTTGAACTTCCGTCGTGGAATGGAAGTCCAGGGCATATCAAGAGATACTTTACCCTACAAAGCGTGGGGTTTACCGTATCTTACCTACTATTCCTTAGCATGGTTGTCATTGATGCTCTGGATTGATGGATACACTGTGTTTTTGAAAGACAACTGGGATACTCAGAGCTTTGTATTCGCTTACTTTATGATTGCATTCTTTTTGGTTTTGTTTGCAGGACATAAGCTAATCTATAGAGATCCATTCATCAAGCCTGAATTAATGGACTTTACTTCTAACATCAAGGAATTAGCCGAAGAAGACCAATATTGGGAAGACCATCCTGCAGAGTTGAATTGGTTTGATAAAGCCTTTGGCTATTTCTTGTGATTTTATTTCATATATACAAATTTTAATGCTACGGCAACTTTAGTGAAAATCATTCATTTGTAAGAAAAAGGTTAAAGCCAACCATACGACCGGCGTAATAGAGTTGAAAGCCGAAAGTCTACTTCAAAGCCACCAAGGAAATAACGTGGATAATTCTAACATACGCTAGCCTTTTCATGCACTAGCCTTCTCTTTATTATTGCAGCGTTATTCACAACTCTTCTTTACATCGATGTTCCAGTGCTTATCTAAATGGTGCATACAATTTATGCGCCATACTAAAAAATATGAAATTTCTTTTTCTCTCAAATTCTGCAAGGTTGCAGTTTTTTTGGAAAATGTAACCTTGGTCGGATTACTTGTATAAATAGAGAAGGATTTCTCTCAAGTGCCAGACGATGAGGATAGTGTGTATCCTCTCTCTCTCTTTCTCTCTTTCTCTCTCTTTCTCTTTCTCTGTTTTTCTTTTTCTTTGTTTTCTTTCTGTCTATATCTCTTTCAATTAACCTAAACTGACTATCCTACCCCAGAGCGGAATTAGTAACAACTATAAATAAAATTAGCTAATTTCCGAACCTGCATATTATTCACGCTTAACTTAAATATGACAACTACAAGCACCACATTGGTTTCATCTCCCACGCCTTCTTTTAATGTGTCTGATCTTAAAACTCAGTTTAACTTAAAAATTGTTCATTCTCCAGATATGCCTCCGTCAAAAATCAAGGAAGCACCTTATACCTGGGAGCAGACGAGGTATATTGTGGAGCTAAACGAGTTGGAATTATTTTCCAGATCTGCAGAGCAAACGCAGAGATACCAGGAGTTTAAGAAGGGCTTGAAACTTAGAGGAATCACTATATTCAAGTATTTATTGTGTCATCAGTTGGATTGGTATAAGCCTGAAGATAATGGGAATAAGAGTGTTGAAGAAATAGAATATGACTCACAGATTGTAATTAAGCCAGAAGGCTCGAAATTATTTGCAAATGATAACGATTTAAAGGTTTTGTACAACCATTTCCCATATTATTTCGGGCCAGATGTGGTGCATTTATGCATTTGGTCAAAGATTCCCATTCCTGCAGATCCTGAATCGCCATTCGGTGATATCCTGTCTGAAACTAGAGCACAGGTAGAACTGTACATAGATAGAATTATAGTGAAGAGATTTGGAATTCTGAGGGAAAATCTCGTCTGGTTTAAAAACTGGGAATCTTTACAGAGTGTGAAGGCAATTTCCCATATCCATGTAATCATAAGAGGTATTACCACAGAGCAACTTAAAGAATTAAATGTGTGCTAGATTTACACATTTGCAACCCCTGCATACGCTCCAAAAAACGGGCACCACTAAATTTGAGCCACCTAGATTGAAGAAGAAGCAATTTGAGAGGAAACTGAGTATATGAGAGCATGAAAAATGAAAGAAGAGAGAAGTTAGAAGACAGAAGAAGTAGTCTAAAAGATGATAAAAGAGTTATAGAGAATCGCATAGAAAATCGTATAGACTTATAAATTAGTTTAGATACCCATGAAATAAAGTAAAGTTGAAAGTTCAAAACGCATCATGTAATACAAAGCACAGCTCTTTTCGTAAAAAGGAGTCCTGCATATGGGGATAAGCGAAACATGAGCATGGAACATGCGAAACTGGAAATTGTAAAAGAAATGATGTTGCGTCGCACCGGGAGTGAACAATCAGTTGTCCCACAGTTATATTAAAGATAATGAACCCATCAGGACGGAGGAACCAACGGCAGGAAGAGCAGAAAAGTCTACATACCTACAGTAGTGTAATCAATGAAAATACTTGTCATCTCGTAATTAATTCATTTTCTTTTCTTATATTATATTATCATAAAATTCCTAAAAAAATATTTAACCCCCAAAACCGTACAAGGTTCTACCTTGTCTCTTTAATGCGTAAACAACATCTAAAGAGGTAACAGTCTTTCTCTTGGCGTGCTCAGTATAAGTAACAGCATCTCTGATAACGTTTTCTAAGAAGGACTTTAAGACACCTCTGACTTCTTCGTAGATAAGAGCAGAAATACGCTTAACACCACCTCTTCTGGCCAATCTTCTGATAGCTGGCTTTGTAATACCTTGGATGTTATCTCTCAAGATCTTTCTGTGTCTCTTGGCACCACCCTTTCCTAAACCTTTTCCACCTTTACCTCTACCGGACATTGTATATTATATGTGTATTTATGTAAAAAAACTTAAAAAAAGAAACTAAAGATATTTCTAGTTGCTTAGTTAAAGATAATTAAAAGAAGAAAGGAAAGGGAAAAAAATTTACAACTGAAGGAATAGTGCGAAGCTAACTTATTAAATAAAAAAGGGGGAGCGGGCCCAGCTTTAGATCAAAGTGGCAAGGGATTTGTTTTTTTCCCAGTTTAGTACTAGTATTTTTTTTTTTCGTCCCCATTCTTTAGAAAAGAGACTCTCCCCGTAATATTTGGGTGCGCAATATTGAGACTAACGAAAAGCGACCTTTTTTGTTAGCGTAGGTTAACTTTTGCTAAACTTTTAGCGTACTATATGCCGGAGGCGCACTCGAAAAGACAAGCAAATTCGCAACAGGCATCCTTTGTGTAATATTTTCTAGATTCCAATGTCTTTTGACGTTTGAAAAGCTAAATATTCGCGATGCTGCAATTTACACTCGGCATGTCGTACATTATGGCACTGCGAAAGTTAGTCTTTCGCATTGTTTACATTAAGGAAAAGATACGAAATTCAGGGAAAATCGAACAACTGGCGCTTCTCAATTTCTCCAGACATCGTGCGCACTGGCAGCTTTTGTTTTGTTTATTTTTCGGAAGCATCAGTGGCTGCGTGCAAACGCATATAAAACAGAATTGATCGCTACTGTTATGGAAAGAATAATTTAAAGTTTTTTTTTCTTATCATCAAAACATATTTTACAATGGCTAGAACCAAGCAAACAGCAAGAAAGTCTACCGGTGGTAAGGCTCCAAGAAAACAATTAGCTTCTAAGGCTGCTAGAAAGTCTGCACCATCTACCGGTGGTGTCAAGAAGCCTCACAGATATAAGCCAGGTACCGTTGCCTTAAGAGAAATTAGAAGATTCCAAAAGTCTACTGAACTCTTAATCAGAAAGTTACCTTTCCAAAGATTGGTCAGAGAAATTGCTCAAGATTTCAAGACTGATTTAAGATTCCAATCTTCCGCTATTGGTGCCTTACAAGAATCTGTTGAAGCTTACTTAGTTTCCCTTTTCGAAGACACTAACTTGTGTGCTATCCACGCCAAGAGAGTTACCATCCAAAAGAAGGATATTCAATTAGCCAGAAGATTGAGAGGTGAAAGATCCTAAGGGTTTTAATTCGTAAGAATGTGTATATTAGATAATATTTTTATTATAAGGAATTAATGAACAGAAAATAAATAAAAAAGGAAAAAGAAATCACTTGTAAGCCACACTAATAGATAGTAGAAAATTTAACTAATGACCAAGAAAAGTGAAAGTCTAGCCAGAAACTGGCCAATCACGAATGCATAACTCAAAATGATAGAGATCCCTACAGAGATCCCTACAGAGTGCGATGCTTCACTTTGTGAAGGATTGTCTAGGCCAGTAGGTTAGTTCTTCATTTAGCTATTTTTTTTCCTAATGACTAGTACTAATATTATTTGTATATAGTCTTACGTAATGATGTTGCAATCCTGTATATAATGTCTATGGTGGGTTGTACTTCTGGGTATACTACTTAGAATGGATACACTTCTTTCTCTTGTACTAGGCCATTGGCTTCTTGTTCTCTTGCTTTTTCTTCTAGGTAGGGAACTATGACGTCCTTGTACTTGTGCCAACCCTTGTACTCTTGTACGTCGGTGTCCCAAGTGCTCATCCCGTTGAGTAACCTTCTTGGAATGTACGGTTCCTGAGCCAACTCAGCTATGGGTAAGAAATAGGTTCTAACGGTGAATACAATAGCACCAGACTTTGGTAGTCTTCTTAAAGATTGTCTTTCGCTTCTGAAATACAATTGCTCAGCATGTGTAGCTGGTTCTGCGGTGTACCAACCAATTCCCTCTTCACTCTCAGAGCCAATAGATGTGGACCATGGCAAATGATCATCTGTTTGAATAAAATAGTTGTTTCTAACCACAGGCTTATCGCATGGTTGTCTGATGAAAAACTTTTCCATCCCACTCTTCAATTTTTCATTATACTTAGGAACATCACCAGACGTATGGATCATACTCAATGGCATATTTAGCTTATCTTTCAACCTCCAGAACCCAGCAAGTAATATAGCACCCGCTTTCAAGTGATAAACACCCTCTTCGTTTTCCATCATTATAGCAAAGTCATCTTGAATCATTTTCGCAGCTGTAAGGGCCGGGTCTTCTTGCTTTTCCGTACGGAAACCTTCCTTGAATACATGAACTTCGCCAGTCACAAGGTTATCCAAACCGTACTCTTTTTGTTTGAATAAAGTCGGGTATCTATTTGGCAAGTATTGCCACATTTCATCTAAAAGTTCATAGACAGCGTCCCGAGCAGGTGGTAGGGTTTGGTATAGCTCTGTTCCTCTTTCTTCCACTCTCTCTAATTTATGGATGTGGAATTTTTCCCATTCATTGTCCAATTCAAACCAGCTGTCCCATTCCATGTTCCTAATACCCATATTAATTGCGTATTTGTGCTTAAACGCTCTATAAGGTATTGGCCTGGTTTCCTTGATACTCCAATTTTCGAATGCAGGTGGTATAGGTGTTTGAAACTCATAGTCTGGTATCCAATGCCCAAATTTTCTGTTTTTGTTCAATTTGGCCGTTGGTTCTGTAATACCTATGGCAGGTTTCACCTTCCTACTTTTGTTGATGCTCTGGAAAAAGGTCACCACTACAAAAATTATGATCCCACCAAGAAGTACTAGTTTGGCATTCTGAGGGTTTTCCTTCAATAGCTGAACGATAGAAGTGGCTGACGTGCTATTCATCTTGAGGAATTTAATTATACCTTTAGCTAAATAGCTCAGAACAGTTCAATATGCGAATAACAAAATAACATACTTCACATTTATCTGTCAGTCATTAACCTATTTATTGAAAAGCAAATCATTGTTATCAGTGATGTGCAACCATTTTTGGACTTTTTTATCTTTCGCATTTTCAGTCCTAATTTGGATAAAAATCACCATGGTGGGGTGTTAAGGAGTGCAACCAGTTATAGTTAAAGTAATATAGTAGCGTAATAACCTTCTTGTTTGGTACGTCGTAAGATTTCAGGTCAATGAGCTGACAAAACAGCCTTTAAATTTAGAACTGGGTAATCTTGAGAAGCGACAAAGAAAAAAAATTGGTACTTTTATTATGCTATAATACAATCAGATTCACTACTATTGGGGAAATTTTACCCCATACTTTATTTTTCATATATTACGAAGCTCAGCTCAGCTGAACTATTACATTAATACAATTTTATGCCATTACCAACTTAACCCCAAACATACAATATCTCTGTTATTACAACTTGGTAGGTCATTTTTATTCTCTATATAATGTCTATGCTGGTGGTAAGAATGCTCCAAATAAGGCAGTTTGGAATAACCCCCAAATAATAAAGTAGTTTATTGTCCAACTGTAGATCCTCTCATCTTCATGGCTGCTGCCCACTATATCCAAGCTCGCAACGTACCAATACATCAATGGTAAGAAAGTGGATATTCTTGTCAAAATCTGTGTGTGCCACCAAAACACTCCACCAATAAGCAAAATGATATTTACCAATATTATTGGCAATATATTCTGGAATGGGTACCTTGAAGTAAACCATTTAGCACCCAAAATTGTAAGTATTATAGTTGGGAGCGGCAATATGAAATTAGGTATGTTATTAGGAGTCCAATAGCTTAAGAATCCGATATTCCAGTAATGGCTTTGGGCATACAGGAAGATGGAGGGTATATAGTAATGGCACCATTCCCTGTCTGCACCTTCACCAGTGCAGAAAATTGAGTACGGATACCACAGTGCTATGACAATAGACAATGCAAGTTGTGAGCCAGCTAATGTAGAAAGAATTGCATCTCGAAGACTGTCATTTCTCAAATAGAATGTATATAAATCGTACAAATATATGATTCCCAAGAGCAACGAATTGGCTCTGATATTGTATGCAATTGCAACTAAAGTACCCGACAAAACGTAAATACTTGTATAAGCTCCAGTTCTTATCGAAAGTTTGGAGTTAATTACATTAAAATCACTTCTATTGAGAGATATTTCTCGAAGTAAAAGTGCCAGGTATGATAATAGAGCACATGGCGCTTCTGAGTATGAAGCGGTGAGAAATACTCCAGCTGGGGAAAGTATATATATGCAACTACTTTTCAAAGCAAAAGAACTCAATTTCTCCTTGTTGAAGAACTTAGAGCTCTTGAAAGTGGTCAATGTTAAATAATATAGCACTATACAACTAAAATAATGAGTCAAATTGGAAATCGCAACACCAGTACAGAGCCCTGAGTAAAAGTTTCTGCTTGGGTTTACATACTTTATTATCCTCCACCATAAGGGACAGAATACAAATTGATGCTCATACTTTATTTCATTCACGAATAGGTCACTGAAGTAAACGTTATCCCAAATAACAAACTTTTCTAGTACTTCAGTAACTATCCTTCCCCAGCCAAATGGAAAATTGTTTATGTATTGAGATTTTTCTACGGTGTAAGATGCCAACAAGAGTGTCGATGATGTATCAAATTGGCACGGTACAAAGTATATTATTACAAATTGAATCGATTTATAGATAGCAAATAAGTAAGTTATGGTTATTAGATCATTTAATCTCATCCTTCCTATGTTATAGACACCGAATAGGTAACGAATAAAGTGGATAGCATTTCGTCTTTTCCATAGAGCACTGAAATTTTTCAAAACCTGCAAAGACGCGAATGTAGAAAGTTAAAATGTTGCAATCATGGACTCCATCAATCGAACAATTGCACGAATGAGTGTTTAAAATTGCAATCATGGATAGAATCAGTGATACAACTACACCTACACCTACACCTACAAATACCTTCGTGCTTAACCTCTTTTTTTTTCTCTGTATTGAGCATCACAATATTAATCTTATATATATAAATAAATTCTATAAACTACAATTCGTGCTATTCCCCCTCCATTCTCTTGAAAGTGTCTTACTACCTTCGTATTGGATCAAACTTATTTCTTACCAAAGAATTGCTGGTCAACAGCCTTAATAATCTCAGCAACAGATTGTGGATTAGCTAATGTAGTAATATCACCAAGCTGATCAGCTTCACCTGCAGAAACCTTTCTCAAGATTCTTCTCATGATCTTTCCAGATCTGGTCTTTGGTAAATCAGCGACTATAACAATGTATTTTGGTGCAGCAAATGGACCAATGACAGTTCTAACTTGTAAAATCAATTCTTTTCTGAGCTTTAATAAAGCTTCTTCTTCTCTAGCTTCAGCATTTTCATCCTTTAAGGCAACAAATGCAATAACTGCTTGTCCAGTTAAGTCATCGTTAATACCTACAACAGCAGCTTCAGAGACACCATGGTGTTCGATTAAAGCAGCTTCGATTTCAGCAGTGGATAATCTGTGACCGGAAACGTTAACGACATCATCAACTCTACCTCTGATCCAGTAGTAACCATCATTATCTCTGGCAGCACCGTCACCTGTGAAGTAGTAACCTGGGTATGGGTTCAAGTAAGTATCCATGTACTTAGTGTGGTTATTCCAGACGGTTCTTGCCATTGATGGCCATGATGACTTAACGGCCAAGACACCTTCGACGTCGTTACCTTCAATTTCCTTACCGGAGACTGGGTCAATAATACAGGTTTCAATACCAAAGAATGGTAATGAGGCACTACCAGGCTTGTTTGGGGTAATACCAGCAATTGGTGCAATGAAATGAGAACCAGATTCAGTTTGCCAATAAGTATCAGATATGTGACATTGTCCCTTACCCACCTTTTCATTGTACCATTCCCAGATATCCGGAGAAATTGGTTCTCCAACAGAACCCAATGTTCTCAAAGAGGTTAAATCATACTTTTCAATCTCCAGTTCACCAGCTTTTCTCAATAATCTTAAAGCGGTAGGAGCAACGTAGAAATGGGTAGCCCTGTGCTTCTCAACAATTTGCCATAATCTACCGTAATCTGGATAAGCTGGAGTACCTTCGAAGACAATAGTTGGGACACCAAGAGATAATGGACCGTACAAGGCATATGTGTGACCGGTGATCCAACCAACATCACCTGCTGTGAAGAAAACATCTTCAGGTTGAACATCGAAAATGTATTTCGTTGTCAATGCTGCACCCAACAAGTAACCACCAGTCAGGTGGACTACACCCTTTGGAGTACCAGTGGAACCTGAGGTATATAATAAGAATAATGGGTCCTCAGAATTGACAGGAACAGGTGCTAAGTAACCTGGAAATTTGGCGGATTCTTCATCCCACCAGAAATCTCTACCTTCCTTCATGTAAATACCTTCAGAACCAGTTCTCTTGAAAACAAGAACCTTTTCGACGGATGGACATTGAGTTAAAGCATCATCACAGAGTTTCTTAATATTTACAGTTCTACCACCACGACGACCTTCGTCACAGGTGATCAATGCCTTACAGGAGGCATCATTTACTCTGTCCTTAATGGAACCAGATGAGAACCCAGCAAAGATAACTGAGTGAATAGCACCCAATCTGGCAACTGCAAGCATGGCAATAATGGCCTGAGAGGTCATTGGCAAGTAAATGGCAACAGTATCACCCTTTTTCACACCCCAACTTTTCAAAACACCGGCAACTTTACAAACTTGTTGTAATAATTGGCCAAAGGTCAAGATAGAAGAGTCCTTTTCATCATCAGCTTCGTAGATGATTGCAGGTTTGGTTGGGTTAACGAAGGCATGTCTATCGATACAGTTGAAAGAGGCATTCAATTCCCCGCCGAGGAACCAAGAAACGTCACCATCGGTCAATGAACCGTTTTTAACCTTGGTGAAGTCCTTATCCCAGTGTAACAATTCCTTAGCTAAAGGACCAAAGAAACCCTCTGGATCTTGAATAGATTTGTTGTACAATTCATGGTAATGGTCAATTGAGTTGAGAAACCCCTTATTTGGTTGTCTTTCGAAGAATTCAGCTGGAGTTGGACGTGGTTTGACGTCGTTTGCTTCATGGGCGACTTGATGAACAGATTGAGTCATTTTGAAAAATTTCCGCAAAAACTCAACTCTTTATATTTACCTTTTGAAAGATACGATTTTCTTACAATTTCAATTGAAGTCTTTGATTTCTAAGTGCCTAAAAGAACAAGAGACGTTTGAATATGAAAGATACAAGTACAGACTTGGAAATAAAAAGAAAATCCAGAAAGAAAGAAGAAAATAAAAATTATATAAATCCTATACGAGTCTGGTCCCCAAACAGTTTCTCGATTTTTTACGACGAGATAAAAAAAAAAATGCTGCGAATCGGATGGTGGAAAAATTCCATGACGTAGAATTTAAGCTTTTGAACAAAAGTCCGTTCTTAGGCGTTAGGGTCAGCGGAAAAGCGGTGATTGATGCTCCTATGGATAAGATCGGATTACCAACGTCCTCGGGTACCCCAGATATCGCTTAGGGTGTGATATTTTTACAGTTAGAGGTGCGTTTCCTTCTCGTTCGGTGTGGTTTATTAGTTAACTTGGTGTATTACAGAGAGTGAAAAATCGCCAAAACTCAGAAAATGTTGGCTCGCAACAAAAAAATTAAGCTCACCATAACTCGGAAAATTTGAATTAGAATTTGAATCTTGTGCTGCAGATCCATACAATAAAAAAAATGGAAGAAAAAAAGTTTTGGCATTTGAGAATCCTGCCAGTGAGTTATCAATACAGAATAGTAGTGAGAAAGAGGGGAAGTAGGGCTCCTCACTATATTTAGATGGGGGTGCTTGTGGGCTGGGCTGACATAGACTGAGCAAGTGGTATTTAAAGGTACCACACTGTGGTTCGGTTTCTTGCCGGCAGTGTCGTACGATTATGTCATCAGACCTGAACTGAGTATATATTTACACTGTGCTTCACATATAGTGAAAAACTTTCGATGCTAAGAAATTTTTCAAGTACACTTCATACTGAATTTATTTCGTCTCCCCCCTCCCTCACCAATTTTAGTAGATGAAATTACCCTTCTCTGCCAAACATACATTCTTCACGAACATCTCACGTCTCGCATGTCCTGTGTGTAATGTAGTTGCTCTAGCTCTTTGTTGGCTATACCATACTCTAATCATATACGAGTTAGAATGTTGGCCCAACGATTTTTTGGCTAGTTATCCTTTTACCAGAATTCATTCCTGTACAGAGTGATAACCGGATATCTGCTTTGGTTAACTTTTGGGCCCCTAAGCAAGTCCAATTCCGTTGTAGACTACTTGTCTCGTGCAAGGAACGAACCAATCTCCTTCTCCTTCGTGCTGTGACAATCTGATCTCTACCAGCCTCAAGTCCGTATGTATTTCTCTTAACGCCTTTCTTATCGCACTCACATTCCTAACGAAGTATTCTGAGGACTCCTTACCGCCGAAAGAAAAATGTATTGAATATTATTCCGGTCGCTTAACTGCGATTGCCCATCGGCCACTAACTACATTGTCACGAGCCCGCTTACTACACACTGAGGTGATTGGAACGGTTGATTCATGGTCACTGTGACGTGATGTGAGCTTCTCGGGACCCTTGGATATGTTCACTATGACGTATGTACCGCTCTTTGGAACGGCTGTTGTTCGTGGTCAGCGTGACGTTCCATTGGGCTTCGTCTCTATTCTTTTCTTTCCCTTACTCAGTGGTGACACATAGCCTTTCTACAAGTCATACTTTACTCATCAATAAAAAATACTCTATTCTTTATCTATACATACATAAGTTATTATTTTACTCTAAATAATCCCAATTTCACCTAATCTCTCAAACTCTAATGTTTTCGTGCTTGATAAATTTAATCAACTTCTTCGACGGTTGGTCCATCAGCAGAAGGTTCTGGAGCACCACCAGCGGCACCTGGGAATCCACCTGGAGCAGCACCACCTGGAGCGGCACCAGCTTGGTAAGCCTTGGTCATGATAGGGTTGGCCTTACCTTCTAATTCCTTTTGCTTGTCAGCGAATTCTTCGGCAGTGGCGGTTTGGTTAGAATCTAACCATTCAATGGTTTCATCGGCAGCCTTGGTAACTTCTTCAACTTCAGAAGCATCAAGCTTTTCCTTGAAGGTATCTTCACCTAAGGTAGACTTTAAGGAGTAAGCGTATGATTCTAAACCGTTCTTGGCTTGAACTCTGGTAGCTTCCTTTTCATCTTCTTCCTTGAACTTTTCAGCTTCGTTAACCATTCTTTCGATATCTTCCTTGGATAATCTACCCTTATCGTTAGTGATAGTAATCTTTTGAGTCTTACCGGTACCCTTTTCTAAGGCGGAAACATTTAAGATACCATTGGCATCAATGTCGAAGGTAACTTCAATTTGTGGAGTACCTCTTGGAGCTGGTGGAATACCAGACAATTCGAACTTACCTAAGATGTTGTTATCCTTAGTCTTAGCTCTTTCACCTTCAAAGACTTGAATTAAGACACCTGGTTGGTTGTCAGCGTAAGTTGAGAAGGTTTCAGACTTCTTGGTTGGGATGGTAGAGTTTCTTGGAATCAACTTAGTCATAATACCACCGGCAGTTTCAATACCTAAAGATAATGGAGCAACATCCAATAACAATAAATCTTGAGTCTTGGAAGAAGTGTCACCAGAAAGGATAGCAGCTTGGACAGCGGCACCGTAAGCAACAGCTTCATCTGGGTTGATAGACTTATTTGGTTCCTTACCGTTGAAGAAGTCAGAAACTAACTTTTGAACCTTTGGAATTCTGGTAGAACCACCAACAAGAACAATTTCGTCAACTTGAGACTTGTCACACTTGGCATCTCTCAAGACCTTTTCAACTGGGTCTAAAGTAGATCTGAATAAATCTTGACATAATTCTTCGAATCTAGCTCTGGTGATTGAGGTGTAGAAGTCAACACCTTCGTATAAGGAGTCAATTTCAATGGAGGTTTGAGCGGAAGAAGATAAGGTTCTCTTAGCACGTTCACAAGCAGTTCTTAATCTTCTTAAGGCTCTTTGGTTAGTGGAGATATCCTTCTTGTTCTTTCTCTTGAATTCGTTAACAAAGTGGTTAACTAATCTGTTATCGAAATCTTCACCACCTAAATGGGTGTCACCAGCGGTAGACTTGACTTCGAAGATACCTTCTTCAATAGATAAAAGGGAAACATCGAAAGTACCACCACCTAAATCGAAAATAAGAACATTCTTTTCAGTGTCATCCTTCTTATCTAAACCGTAAGCAATGGCGGCAGCGGTTGGTTCGTTAATGATTCTCATAACGTTTAAACCAGCAATTAAACCAGCATCCTTAGTAGCTTGTCTTTGGGAATCGTTGAAGTAAGCTGGGACGGTAACGACGGCATCGTTAACCTTGGTACCCAAGAAACCTTCAGCGGTTTCCTTCATCTTGGTCAAGATGAAAGAAGAGATTTCTTCTGGAGTGAAAACCTTGGTTTCACCCTTGTATTCAACTTGAATGTTTGGCTTTCCTCCCTTGTCAACAACCTTGAATGGGAAGTGCTTCATGTCACCTTGGACATCAGCATCATCGAATTTTCTACCAATTAATCTCTTGGCGTCGAAAACGGTGTTAGCTGGGTTCATAGCAGCTTGATTCTTAGCAGCATCACCAATTAATCTTTCGGAATCAGTGAAAGCAACGAAAGATGGAGTGGTTCTGTTACCTTGGTCATTTGCAATAATTTCAACTCTGTCGTTAGCAAAGTGTGCAACACAGGAGTAGGTAGTACCTAAATCAATACCAACAGCCTTAGACATAATATCGGTTTATAATAATAAATATAGAATTTAATATATCTAGAAAGGGGAAAAAGGAAAAAAAGACAAGTCCTGAAAAATTTTTAAGGGAGAATTTCCACTGACATTTATATACTTGTTGCAATGATCGTCGACTTTTCAAAATGCACAATGATAATTTCCAAAAGCTTCTGCGACCTTCCATGGGGCAAGTAGGGTGGGCCAGGTGGAAGCGGTGAGAAGTAAGAGAAAAGTGAAAAAAAATAGATTGAATATGGGTCACGTGCGAAGCTAGTTAAGCTATATTAGGAAATTTGTAGCACTTTGAAGAGTATGCGAGAATAATCTGGAATGTTAGAAAATAAGGTTGACTAAGTTAACATGGATGAAGTGGGGAGGATCAAGAGGTTTTAAATTTTGCAGCCAAAGGATTTGGCAGAGGCAACGGGGGGCGAACAGATTGGAGAAGAGACTGGATAAAGGACTCTTTGGTAAATTAGGTTGGCGTTTATGTTGGATGTTGCTTGGGCTCTAGTTTGGTGTAACTTATGTGGATACTTTGAGAAAATAAGAGTGAAAAATTTAGGCGAAGATTATGAGCTTACAAATTCGTCGATTCTTGCTGCACTTGGCATGCGCCACATCGAATAAATAGTTGCTAATATGGAGTATGTTCATCGATTTTACTGTCATCCATGTCAATTCGGATGTAGTGCTGGTACATAGCTTTAATTGGAAAGGAACCTTCAGCTTTATTCGTCAATCGTCAATATCTAGTGCTCTCTGGCTTTCATTCAGTCGAGCCGGAACCGCAGCTATTTTTTCCGGCCCCTACAAACTTGCTTGTGCCAATTTGCTTAAATTTCGTGCAGTTGGCTTCTTCGTATTCTGGGTCTTTACTTGAGTAATTCATTCATTCGTCTGTTGTTCATTCGTTCATTCTTTCATTCGTTTGCTCACTTATTGGTTTATTTGGACGTATTATTTCTTGTACATGAATATTTCAGATTTTCCACACTTTGCATTCTTTCCTCTCTGATATGCTGCGTAGTCCTGTCCTCCCTCGTAATAGCCACAACCTAGGTCCTACATTCTACTAATGAGACACAAGTTAACGTTCCCTTCTACATTTCACAAATAAGAATAAATCATAGTACTAATATTATTTTCACTTCTCAGCAGCTAAACAAATAGTAATGAATACTTTGGCGAACACCACCAAGAATTCTAGAATTTCGAAACTCATCCACACTTCAACAACGAAAACCGTACTTCAGAACCTAGATAATCCAAAAGACACAATTATTATCTCTTTCTTTGGGCAATTTTGGTCTACCTTTCCGGTCTCTTTAATTCATTAAATTTATACTCCTCTCTCACTTGTTCAATTGATTTAGGTTGTCTTTTCCTTGGTGTAGTTGTTAACTAAGTAAATACCACCAATTCTTCTGAGTGCTTCCTTAACGTTAACCCATACTTGCTTGACAGCTGGTACTTGAAGCTTGTTAACAAAGTCATCAGTGTGGATTTCAGCAGACTTGAGGTAGTTTCTAGTAAATTGGGAATGTTCAAATCTGATCTTAATGAAAACCAAATAAGCAATGAACGGTAATAAAGAATTTTTTCTGAAGGTCAACAATCTGATAAGTAACCAACCTAAACCGTAAATTTCAATTAAACTTGCCACCTGAATGGATGTGGAATTGTACTTGGATGTAATGGCCACAATAGTTTTGGAAGGAGCACTGGATGAGTCAAGACCAAAAATTGGAAGCAAATAAGATTCAGTGTAAGCCAAAACGTGGAAAATTGAAAAGAGACCAAATGGGATCAATTGGATCCAGACGTAAGGTCTTAAAATTAAAAAGACAAGCCCAATTGCTAAGTAGTGGGTGTTTTCATCCTTGGTGATTGGACCGATTTTGAATCCGCTTTTCTTCAAATTTTGGAATGTAAGAATACCGAAACTCTGGACAACTCCAAAAAGCGCTAAAATGTACCAAAAAGTTGCAGCTTTTGCACCTCCAATCTTGAAGTAAGTCAAGGAATAGAAGAGGGTACCGATGAGGGTGAAAAACTGACCAATAAACCAACCGAATTGTAAGGTCTGTAACACGTTAGTAAAATTGGAAGACTTCAATGGGCAATAAGTGGGCCCTTTAATAACCAAAATAAAAAAAAATTGAAATATAAAAAAAAAAAAAAAAAAAAATTATGAGGTTTATATTGGGTAGCAAAGTTACACTGCTGTTAAATAAGACCAAATACTTACTTGGACTGTGGCGACTAATTGTCCTTGATTGAATCCTGCCTTCTTTACTGGTGGTACAGAGGAGCCTGCAGTTGCTCCACTTGCGTTTGTTTTGGAAGTTTTGATTGATTCTGACATGTTTAAATCTTGTTCTGTGTGGTAAGAAGAAGGAGTATTAGACTTTTTTTATCAACTTTTTCGTTTGATGTAGAGAAGGTTTAAGATCGAATTTGTGTGCGGCGCACGACTTTTGGCTATGACGTCAAAGAGCGTATTGCTGCAACAGTTATTTGAAGACAGGTATTTGCTTGGACTGGGGCAACCCTTCTTCTTGATTCAATGCTGCCCCCTTTACAGGTGGTACATACTATCTTGAATTTGTTCGATTAGTGCTGTTTTACTTTAGAAGTAAGAGAAAGTAAGAAGAGCCTGAAGTTAGCGCTTGGTGTGGGCAGTGTATGCTTATTTCCCCTTAAAAATTCAGCTTCTTCATCATTTACATCGTTCCAATAATTTGAATCTCTCCATGTAGTAGGCACATATTCCTTCCAATAATCTGAGTCTCTATCTATAGCAGATTCATCTACAGTAGATTCATCAAGAGAATTTTCAGAAGGACTGATGTCGCTCCAGTAGCGTTTGTGTCGGAGGTTCTGGTTGCAATTGACATGTTTAAATCTTGTGCTTAAGTGTAAGATAACATAGTTTCTGTTTCGAAACTTTGCCTTTTGATATACGGAGGTTTAAAATCGAGTTATATGTGCGCAGGGTTCGAATTTTGGACATGTGAAAGAGTATGAGTCAACAGCCTATCATAAGTCAATGAAAGTATAGCCATAATAGTCTAGCGTGAGTCAATGAGAGAATGGCCATATTAGTTCAACTTGAGTCAATGAGAGAATGAGTGCAATCTTTTGGCCGAGCCCAAGCTGCTCTCTTTCTATTTACTCGTATGCTATCCGTAGAGTATTCAGGTGGTTTGGTTTAGTCCGGAAGAGCTGAAACTTTGGGGACTTTTTAACTTTGATGCTCGGACTTCTAATGTATTCTATTTGTCGTGTGCTACTTGGACAAATACGGTAGTGTTTAATTTCCGGTTCACTAACTATTCATCAGTCATCTGCACTGTCATTTTCTTTAAAAATAGCTGTACTGTCGAATCCTACCAGTTCAGTGCACTTTTCAGAGAATAATGATATTATATTTAAAAATATTATAAGTTTATTGTGCTATACTCTTACCAACTCATTTTCGACAGTGGAATCTATGAAAACCCTTCAATATGGTGAGTTCAAACTATATGGTGCTTTTGCATAACTCATCTAGCCCCTCTGGATATACAGACTTACAGACCTACAGGCTCCTATTTTGCTCACTTATTCATTTAAAATCAGACCTATGTAAATATATGTATTCTTCCCATACTCAACTTATCCCCATCTAACGTAAAAATCCCTTTCTACTCTTCTGTGCTGGCGCAGGGGCAGGAGTTGGTTCTTGTGGTAATAATTTTTGCTTTTCCAATTGGATCTTCTTATCTTCCAATAACTTTATTTGCTTGGTCAACTTATCCTTCATTTCCTTGTGTCTTGAGAACAAATCGGCTTCAGATCTTTGCAATTTCTTTTCCTTTTCACTGACCTTTTCTTGGAAAACCAGTTTCATTTCAGCTTCCATCTTTGCCAATTTGGCTTCATGTAACGCCTTCTCTTCTGCTTGTCTAGCTAATGGATCGAATTCTCTGAACACGGATTGATCTTGTTCAATTCCCATTCTACTTAACTTTTCTGCTCTATACTTCTCATATAATACATTAGCTGTATGTTCTTTCAATTCTTCAAGGAATCTCTTAATTAACAATTGACGTAATTTAATAAAGTCACAGTGTTGTTCATTGTCAACCTCAATGACACCCCATGGGTATGATCTACCTCTAACAACTCTTCCGTCTGCAGTACGGACTTCGCTGGTGGATCCTACCACTGCAAATGGTAACTTTTCCATGATTTGCTTGGTGTATGACAAAGTTTCGTCATCATCATTATCATAATCAAGCGGCTTAAAAGTTTTGATGTTCTGGAACTTGATATCATTCAAAATTCTTTGCTTGAAATCGTAAATTTCTTCATCGGTCAAAGTGTCTGATTTGGCAATGACTGGGATTAAGTTACACTTTTCATGGATTTGCTTCATTAAGGTGATATCCAAGGCATTCAAAGAATGACCGGTAGGTTCGATGAAATATAAAAATGCATGGATTCTTTGATCTTCGATTGTGGAACGATTTATTCTACTTTCCGCTTCCAAGTACTTGTCGAATCTTTGGTTAATTTCATCTACAATTGGTTTCCAAGAATCCAGGTTGTTTACTGACCCTCCAAATCCTGGAGTGGTAATAACGCTTAACTTCAACTTGACTCCATCTTCTTCCAATGTGGATTCCGTAGTTTTGATCTTGACTACATTTTTCTTGTGAAGACCATTGGGTCCATCAACTGCATCTTCTTCATCCTCTTCATTGAAACCAGGAGTTAAAATCTCTCTGTTGAAAAGAGTGTTGATCAACGTAGCCTTACCCAATCCACTAGCACCGGCAACCATGATGTTCAAGAATGAGCCCCTTCTAACGGACTTTCTGTGCCATTGCTTTGGCAAATTAGCGAATCCCACATATCCATTCAACTTACGCTTAATGATTTTGATGTCTTGTTGGAAGTTGTCCTTAACTGGATTAGAGTAGTCGGTTTGTTCTGGTATGGCGTCTAAAAGAGCACGGTTAGTAAATAGAATGATAGGAAGGGAAAAAATGGAGCCATGGTTCCACAAGGATGGTGCATAATTCATAACTCACTGTTGCACTGTGAATTATCTTTATTTTACTAAACATTAGCCAATATCAGCCTATGAAGCCAAATATGTGCCAAATGCTTCCAGTCTCCAGTTTCATATTCCGGACACGTACCTGAAGTCATGGTGTATTAGTCTGATTCGATTTCCCTTGCTCTTATATGGTCGGGTATCTTTATAAGTCGATATTGCTTAACAAATCTGGATGCTTACAGTATATCAATGAGCTTATAAAGGACTGACTTCTTGTAAACAAGTTATCCAATCCACAAACAACTTTTACCTTTTTTTTTTCTTTTTTCTTCCCGCTTGCTGCGTCTATTTTGGTTTTTTGTTTTGAATCAGAATTGAGAATTTTTGACAAAAACACGTCGTTTCGAAATTTTCCAGTAAGGTACACGAAAGGGTAGCGAACAATGCAGTGTTACGTGGGGAGAGAATGTGTATCTGGCGAGTTTAAGTTTTCTGAATTAAGGTTTAGATACTTATGATGAAGGGAATAATCGATCTGTTTGAGGTGTGCTACATATTTCGAATGATCTAGTTTGCAATTTATTTTAAGGTTTTAGTTAAGCTATGTGATTGTTTCACATGGCGTATTATTTTTGGGGGTTGATATGCAAAATGTTATTGTATGTAGGAAACTCAACTAGGGGCCTATGGGTCTAGGGGCCTAGAAGAGGTGAGTATTGTGCTGTGAGTAGGCCAATAAAGAAATCGTTGTAAACCCAAAATCCGTCGCTTCTTGGATCTCATATCCAGAGCAGTGCTTGCGGTTCCTCGCTTCCAGATCGGTTCCAGATCGCTATCAGCTCGCTACCAGCTGTGCTAACAAATCCAGACTACACTCTATGGCGGCATGTTCCCTTCGAGCCTTGTCGCCCTCACACATGCCCCAAACGAATGGTAAAAAAAAAGTATGTGTCACGTGATCTCCTTTTTCTTTTGCTAACGCGTTTTTTCACACTCACGCAGGACACACTGAAAACAAAACCACAGCTGGAAAGCAGCTACTGTACTTCATTCTGCACACCAAACCATGTATTCCAAAGAGATTCAGACCCTCCTTTCGGAAGGATCTGTGTCCTATGCCGCTAAAGAGTATGACGCTGCTTCTGAAAAGTATGCAGAAGCGTGCGAATTGTACAGCACCGAAAACGGTGCTGATGACGCAGACTTGTTGCTTTTATATGGTAAGGCCTTGTATCAAGGTGCAGTTTCCAAGAGTGAAGTTTTTGGGGGACAACCGCAGGGTGATAATAAAGAAGCCAGCGGTGAAGATAAGGCAGAAGGTGAAGGCGAAGGCGAAGAAGATGATGATGATGGAAACTTCCAGTTCCTTGATGTTGCTGAGGAAGTTGGAGATGAAAAGGTAGCTGCTGCCGATGAAGAAGATGAGGATGAAGAGCAGGTTCCCTTGGCTGAAGAAGATGAAGAAGACGAAGAACATTCAAAAGACCAAGACCAAGAGCAAGAGCAAGAAGCAGCGGAGGGCGAAGAACAATCGGACTTTGAAGTCGCATGGGAAATACTCGATTTAACAAGATCCCTCTTTGAAGCAAAATTGGCAGACCTTTCAACCACATTGGTACCTCCATATTTGGCCTCAGACAACGAAGAATCGTCAGATGAGTACATAAACCTTACCAAGAAACTCTCAGAAACTTATGACTTGTTGGGAGAAGTTTCGTTGGAGTCAGAAAACTTTACTCAATCAGCCATTGATTTGGAAAACTGTCTTGCTTTGAGAGAAAAGCTATATAACCCGGACAAATCGTCATTGATATCTGAGTCGCACTACAAATTGTCCCTTGCTCTAGAGTTTTGCGTGGAAGATCCTAAGCTGAAGAGCAAAGCCATTGAGCATTTGAAAATTGCCATCAAGTTGGTCCAAGAGAGAAACGTCAATGAGACAGATGCAAGGAAAAAGAAAGACAATGACGAACTTGCACAAGATCTTCTTGTCAAGCTTGATGAATTGCAAAGAGAGGAAGAGCCTGACTTTGACGAACAAAAATTGGATATATTGAAGGGTATACTAGGACAGCCGACAACCGCCGACGCTTCAGGATCCAAACCCGCTGCCAGTGGAAGTTCAAACGCGATAATAAATGATTTATCGTCTGCTATAAAAAAGAAAAAGAGTCCTAGCGCTCCTCAGGTGAATGATCTATCATCAATGGTGAAAAAGAGGAAACCTGCCTCAAAGGACGGTAAAACAATGAAGAAGCCGAAGCAATAGAGCCACTGTGAATCGTGATATTCACCTTTACACCGTTGTTTGATGGCCATCTTGAACTGACCAACAGTGGTACAATGTAAGTCCATGTTAGTGGTATATGCAGTACCCCATGGATCTTGGGTATTTTTTTTTGCTAAGAAAAAAAAAATACAAGATGAGCAACCCCATCTTGATTTATAGATAGATATATACCTAGTACATTACAATAAAATATGTCTACTCCTATAAGAAACGACAAAAAGAAGAATAGAAGAAGTAGGAAAAAGAGAAGAACGGAAGATTTCTCGTCAGATTCATCAGATTCATCCGATTCAGAATCATCTAGCCATACACAGGAAGAGAACATTGAAGAAGTTATAGAGGAGAAGGCTTCCATCCCTAAGCAAGCAATTCGTAGCCATGCAAGTCTTAACCTTGATGACATAGACGTCTTATCCGATGACGATGAATCCAATACCTCCTCTACCCTTCAAGCTATATCAGACGATACTCATAAGAAATTACGCCAGGTAAATTTAACAACCACTATGTTATCGAATACTACTGGATTGGGAGGCAGTCAAATGAAAAACATTGACACCAACCAAGTCAAAGAAACCATATCTAAGGATAAAACGCAATTAAACAACGAATACTTAATGTTGATGGCTTCAACCTATGGCAATGACTTGGATGAGCTAAGAAAGAAGCCAGATTTCACTCAGAAATCTTTAGTAATTTTAGCTAAGGCACTTCAATCTGGTGCCAATATGTTTGATGAGGACACTTTAAATGCTATTCTTAGCAAATAATCAAGAAAACGGGTGGTTTGTATAATAATTTTAAGTAATAATAGATATTTTTTTTAATTCAGTGGTGTACGGATGTTATGAGCTCAGCTATATAATTTGTGTTGGGTGTAAGGATGAATTTAGTCTTCTGAAAAATAGCTGCTAAGGACTATGGCAAATGAAAGCTATTACTACCTCTATATGCTGATTTTATTGCTTCCAGAAGAAAGAAATGATAGAAGTAACGATAATCAGTGATAAGAGTTGGATTAAAGAGTCTTTTTGAGCAAAGAAGTGACTAAATCGATAGAACAATATTACGCTTCCTACGTGCAAAGCTGGAGAAAAATTATTAATATTCTACGAGTAGTTGATTGCAAGGAAAAAGAAATCCTTTACTAAAAGTCTATGAATCTATTAGCAGTACAGAAACTGAATAGGACACAACTACTTCACACCAGGACCCGCTTTCATTATTACTTCATCATATCGTTCTTTGCTTTATTTGGTTGTCAGAAGCCCTCGATTGTTGCCCACCAAGCATCCAACAAGTTGCCTGGTTAGCTCAATCGGTAGAGCGTTTGACTCTTAATAAGAGTGATATCAAAAGGTTGCGGGTTCGACCCCCGCATCGGGCTACTTTTTTGCACTTTCAACCTCTTCTCAATCAGCTACTTTGCTATTGGTATTTTTTCTCCAGCCGTAGTATGGGTATATCAGTTTTTTTGCACTGAGAAACTCATCACCGATGCGAGATGAGGTTTTTCATTTTGATGTCACTGGATTGCACGGATCGGGTCAATTTAACAAACAAGTGAATTGCCTGGTTAGCTCAATCGGTAGAGCGTTTGACTCTTATAAATAAGTCATCAAAAGGTTGCGGGTTCGACCCCCGCATCGGGCTGTCCACAATTTCTTGCCTGGTTAGCCCAATCGGTAGAGCGTTTGACTCTTAATAAGAGTGCTATCAAAAGGTTGCGGGTTCGACCCCCGCATCGGGCTAGAATTTTATCTTTTTTTATTTTTAGGCTAATATTTCACTTACTCTCTTTATTTGGTCCACATCATCTTGGCGCTTAGTGCATGAATTTGGGTCCATTAAATTAAGAGACTTAATTGAACGCATGCTACAATTTTCATTTTTTGCAATTATAATTTTAGTGTAATATTTCTATTACTGTTCATGTTTATTACTTTTATGCTTCTATTGTACAAAATGGATCGAAAAGACCAGCTACTATGAGTTAATGTTCTCACCTCCAAATATATGAGCCTTCCCCACGCGGCATTGAATTACCCTTATATATTGAATATTCTATATTTACATCGATTGTTTTATTCCTATTATCAAGTTTTGTCACCTTTTTTTTTTGTCAGTTCCCCAAACTATTTCCATTTTTTCTATTCCTTTCATTGGATCTGATTCATCCATTTTATCTTTTGTAAATACAAGTACGATATAAATCCAACCAATGCCAATGTCACTAGCATCACAAATGTGAAGTTTCGTATTATTATATTCTTTTTCCATTTCGGTTTCCTCTTCTTCTTTTTTAGTTTCTTAGATTTTTGGATTGAATTGGATTGTGTTGGTGAGTGGACATAATTTGATGAAGGGTTCTTGATGTGTGAATACACTTGGCAGTCATCTCTATGCAACTCTCCTACATAGTATGGATCTAACATAGAGAGTGCAACATCGGAATGTGCAACATCTTCGAATGCAATAGTAGCATCTATTCCTCCACAATCGAACATAACTTCTGCACCTCCTGGGTGCTCACTAACGAAGTCAGTGATGTCGTACACTTTATTATATATTACCATCCAAAGGTCATTCGGGCTGTCATGGTTTGCGATATCTTTCAATGTAAATACCTTTGACGGTATCATGGCGTAGCACAGCTGTCACTTAATGTTTATGTCTATCTAAATATTGTCTCCTTTTTTTTTTTTTTCAATTAGGGACTGAACAGCTTGACAGGGTTCAATTGAATTGACGTTGAGATAGGTGGTCCCTTTCCACTGCTTCTTTCTGTTAGGTCTTTTATAAGTTCTCTTCTCGTCCCTTCTGAGCTGTCTATATCTATTTTTCTACTTTACTCTATTCAATTTTAAATTATACCCTATCCTCAAGGCTATCTACTCTTCTTGCAATATCGTTTCTCTTCACTAGAAACGTAGCTAATACGTTTGGATTACTGCTCGAGAAAAATATTTTTTTCTTTCCTTTTTTTTTCCCTCTGTCTTTCCTTGTATTAAGATTTTGGGTTCTATGAAGTGAAGAAAAAGAAAAAGAAACAGAGTGAAAAAAATAATCAGAAAGGTGTGGATTAAAATAAAAAAATATGCAATGCAGAAGAAGTTTTCCGTGGGTACGGGGTTTGAATGTGAAAATTGGTGTATATTGTAAAGAACTCCTCAGCGTGTACATGGCGCGAGTGCAGTTAGCGATGATTTCCACTTGATTCTCAGAGTGGATCCCTTTTTTTAATTCCCTCTTTTCCTCCACAGTTGGCCAAAACTGCACACTCTGCGTTTCCTTGCTATCTTAGGCACCCTGGCTGATTATGTATAGAGATTTCCATTTCTGCATAGGGGCTCTCGAAACTTGTCCAGCGGCGGGTTTTTGTGTAAGTTAGCAACGACAGTAGCTGTTTTTTTTTTTGACCATCAACCTGAGAACTGTTCCTGCCGCTAAGCTAATAGACTTTGTTAATTTTTTTTCCTAATTTGCCCTTTTCGTTGGTGAAAAAGTAAGCGTAGGTTGTGTGCGGTTTAAATCTGATCCAGGAAAGGAAAACAAAAAAAGCAGGATCCTCTTCTACTTTCCAAGTTTATCGATTTTTCAAACAAGACTCCGTGTATATATACAGTAAGTCTATTGCATCTGTTTCATTTCTTACGTCTCACTGTTCGCTGACATGAATAGAAACGCCTTACCGTCGTCCAAGAAGACGCACTCGGAGAAACATAAAGCCATCTTGAAGTCACTCCTCAAGGAAGGTTCGAATAAGACTTGCGCTGATTGCAAGACCGCGGTGCATCCCAGATGGGCATCATGGAGTTTGGGATGCTTTGTTTGCATAAGATGCTCAGGAATCCACAGAAGTATGGGTACACATATCTCCAAAGTCAAGTCTGTGGACTTGGACGCGTGGACTGATGAACAGGTTGAGAATATGCTTAGATGGGGAAACGACAAATGTAATTTGTACTGGGAAGCAAAATTGCCTGACGGGTATATACCAGATGGACTGAAGATTGAAAATTTCATTAGAACCAAGTATGACATGAAGAAGTGGGTGGCTTCGTCTCAGATCCCTAACCCTAGTACTTTATCCGTTGGCCAGACGCAGACCAGAGCTTCTGCTCCTGCTCCAGGTGCTTCTGCCGCTCCAACTCCAAGATCATCACAAGGACCAGCCGTTACTAATAGTAAGTCAAGCACATCAGTGCCAATAAAACAAAAACCATCCACTAACCTCCTTGATGACGATTTCGGTTCATTTACCTCGTCTGTTTCAAGCTCCCCCAAGCCTGCGAGCACTCCAACCATTGGGAAGCTACCAAGCAATGACTCATTTAAACAGCCTGGAAGTGGTGGTGCACAATCGGCGCAATCCACCGGTGGCAGTCTCAATAATAATAATAACAATAATACCAGCAATGGAAGACCTGATTTGAAGAAATCGATATTGTCATTGTACTCGTCCCCATCTTCATCTTCTTCCAGTATTATCCAACCTCAGCAACAAAGACAACACCAACAGCAACAACCATCTTACTTGTCTCAGTCTTCGGTCAATTCAATTAGTAACTCACTCAACGGATTGAACTTTACTTCGAACGCAAAACCTAGTCCAGTGATCCAACACCAACAGCAGCATCAACAGCAGCAAACTCAGAAACCTGTTGTCCAAAACTCCTGGAACAACGAATGGTCTGAGACAAGGGACAGTTCCTCAGCTGGAAACTGGACTTCAGCTCCCACAACGCAACCAATGACAAATTCAACCTACGGCGGCTCAAATACAACCCTAGACGACGACTTATTCAAGAATGTGTGGGGTTAGCACTTTGTCTAGTTTAGAAAATCTACTTACTTTAATTCATTTAACCTATCTACATAATAAAGCTGCTCATTGTAGTATATTTCTATATAATTTCTTATAATAATATCTTCTAATGTCCACCTGTGGTTGGTAAACCTATGTAAACCTTGAAAGAATCGTATATCAACCATTGGAATCCAGTTAAGGTACCAATCATTACAATTCTAACTGGTAATCCATTCCAGACACCGGCAAATCCGATTTCTCCGTAAATTCTCTTCAAGGCGCCTCCAACGCTCTCATTGGCTTTTTTCAGAGAGTTAATCTTAGAAACCATAACATCAGCAGGGTGAGAGACAACAGCACAGAAAATACCAGCAATGTACCCACCTAAGAACGAAACCCCAGTCTGTTGCAATGGAGTGTAGTATGATGCAGGCTTACCAAGGTATTTATAGATCTGTTCAACAGTTTTCTCAAACGATGCAAATTTAACCATAGTGTATGGGATTTGTCTTCCCCATAATGGAACCAACCCCTTATATAAACCCCCAATACCTTCAGTTGCAGTGATCTTCTTCCAACCATCAAACACAGAATTGGCATAAGGGGGAATGGTAGTTTGTGTCTTGACCTTAATAGTTTCCCATGGACACAAGGCAAGGTCAGCCAAAAACTCAGCAGTAGCTGATGCACCAAGGAAAATACCAGTTTTGTACTTACTAGCGTATTCCGGACCAAGAAGGTTACTGTAAGTGGTCTTGAAGTATTCATAGAATCCGTACTTACCGGCACCTTGGAGCGAGTATCCAATGAAGGTGGCTCCGATACCAGTGAAGATGGAATCACCAGAAGTCTTTAAAATGGTTTTCCAACCTTGAATATTGGATTTATAAAGAGATGAATCCACTTGACGACGACACTTGACCAAATCTAATGGTGTCATGGCAGAATGCGTGGGCCCACAGGCAACAATCCCACCAATGGTACAGGCAGCGTAGTATTCAGGAGAGAACAAGGCAATTCCCGCTTTAGCTGGAGGTTCTGGCACAGAGCTCCCTCCGGAACCCCCAATTACATCCTTAATTTTGTCATTGACTGGTTGGACAATTGAATCTGCTAAACTAGATCCCATTATATCGAATTCTAATTCTATGTATCTAATAGTCTGGTTGCAATTGTGTACGAAATACAAAGCTAAAATAAATTAATATATATATATAAATTGACTTAGGGATCGGAAAAAATTTGGCAAAAGAGTGAAAAACGGATTCTCAATTCCCCTTATATACCTCTTATATACTTCCGTAATCTGCCCTATATATAAACCTGGATTTTAAGCTTTTCTCCACCTGGTAATCCTAGCAGCTCCTTATTTTTCCTTCTATTGCAGATAAGCTTGCGATTTGGAGAGCCGATTGAGCCGAGCCTGCAGATTGAGGTAAATTCCGCAAGCTCCCTGCAGCAATTCACGATGGCCGAGCACCATTCTGGAGTGAGAACGGAACAATTGCACACTATTAGGGGTCCGTAGTAGAGCTATACATAGACGAATAGGCTAATTGGACAGACTCAATTGCGCTATTTTCGATATTTTATACTAAATTATTTTATTTTGCTTTATTTTATGTTATTTTTTATTTATTTATATGTGTCTAAAATATGCAACAGGAAAAATGCAACTGTTCGACAAGTTAGCAAGCTGTGCCTATGAATGGGCGTGCGCTATATAGGAAGAAAGAGTCGCTATGTTTATCTTATTTTTTTTTTTTTCTTGGTGTTCACGGCTTTACGTTAGGCTCAATTGTACCAGTATATGGGTAAGGCATCCGAGGAGAGTTAGTGTGTCTGGGCTTGTTTGGTCTTCTTTTTGGTCTTTTGCTTTCCTCTCAAGGTGTCTGATGGGTGCAAATATCAAAAAAAAAAAAAAAAAATTCAAGCATCATAATTCTCTCTCTAACTTCTCAGGATATCCCACTTCACATTCTCCACACTAACTTCTTGGGACGTCTTGTCATCATAGTCGTACCACTCCTTATCACTTAAGTCAACCTCATCGAATACAGTACCCGATTCAACACCTTTACATTGGAATCTTCCATCTGCAACAAAATCCTTTAATTCAAACCCTCTCGAGTCGATTTGCAAGAGAGCCACAGACTTCCCCGAGTCTTCTAATGTATAGTTTAAGACAGTTCTTTCAATATTTGCAGATCCTTCTTTCTTACAGCTTTTACACCTGAACACAAAGTTCGACACACCTCTTGAATCGCCATGGTCATAGCTTTCAAATCTATTTATGGAAACTGGCTTTGGGTGTGTCTCTCTACAGTTGACGCATTCCACTGAGAATACGTATTCGTAGGGATTGGTCGCATTGTCAAGAGGCTGTAAGTCTGTGACGTTAGATAAATCAGCGGTAAGCTTTAAGTAGTAAATACCCATTGTTATTGTTCGGTGTTTCTATGTTTTAATTCTATGATTGATTAAACAGTATTTTATTCAGTCTACAGAGCAATCACTGGCACCTTTATAGTGGAGATTTCCCTACGTTGAGATAGAAGATAAAGTTTTGCCTTGCCATAGTGGAGGAGTCATGTGACCTACATGCAGTATACGCCCGAAGCCACTGGTAAACCCCGAGCTGCGATCGAGTCACAGCGAAGGGCTCTGTACGCACAGCATAGACAAGAGGGTAGGGTCCTGAGATGCTTTCGGAATTAACGAATAATAAAGGGGAAGAAGTTCATCTCTTCGACCGAGCAGTAGAAGCTACGGTTAGATGACTGCAGCAGAATGTGGCCGTGCCAGTGACTCAGCTAGAGCAGAGCCAGGCACCAGGTAGAGCAGAGTAGATGAGGTGCAACAAAAAAAAAAAAAAAGAATGTGAAGATAAGACAACCAGACATCAGTACAACCAGACATCAGTCAACCAGTGCAACCAGACGTTAGTCTACCAGCACAACCAGTGCAACCAAGCATTAGTCAACCAGTACGCCAGTGCGACCAGTACATTCACTCAGTATGTACTGGCTACCAATATTCTAATTAGAAGCTTTGGAGTGCTTACTCAGTTGACTCCATTGAATTGGTCCAGAGTAATTTTTTTTCAAGAGCATTATCTATTGTCATAGCAGTGTGCTTACATCTCTCTATTCGCCTCTTTCGTAACTTCTCACGCTTATAATATCTCTACTCTCTGCCTGTAGGTGATTTTTTCAAATCTTTTTTTCCTTTACTAAAATGTAAAATCTGGATCAAGGTTTGTATGGGAATGGAGATCCGAATGTCGCAGAATCTGAACATGCTCATTTAAGGTGCTAAGATTACTGGCCGTTCCACAGCAATGAAGAGCTTTCAGCCAGAACAAACTACGTATGGGCTTTGCTACTTCGCACCAATGCGATAACCATACTCCTCATCGACCTGGCCCATCTCGTTCCCTTACCGAACAAACATCCATCTCGAGCTTCGATCTGCCACAACTCGCTTAAGACTTCCACTCCTACGCACGACCTATCAACTGCAATCTTTGATTTCTGAATTCTCTTTTCTTTTTGTAATTTGTAAGATTGTGAATTTCGTATTTGAATTTGTCGTTTCTCTTCTTCAATTCGTATTAATAGACTGAAAGGTACAACAAGGAGGCCTAAACTAGAAAGCAAGAGGCCACATCGTAACCATACGTGCCTGATCCGACCATTGAGCATTATTATTTATTAGTTTTTCTTTCTTTTCTTCATTATTTATCTTGCTTGTAAAGTTCAAGAGTATTTATTTGAAACGGCATTTTTGTATTATATATCCCACTACACTCAGTGATAATTATTTGATGGTAATAGAAACCCCCTGATAACAGAAAGAACAAAATCAAGCTGAACCGAAGCTAATTAACTTGCACCACACACATTCATATTTCATATTACTTATTCATAATAAATGGCGCCTTCGAAGAACGATGTTGATTTCTCAGATAGAATTCAAGGCGAAGACTTGGAGTTCAATAGAAACACAATGGAGGATTTCCACGTAAGGCATAAATTTAAATCCATTGGTGCAGCAAACAACGCAATAATACAGAATCTGTTCGTGCACAAGGTATTGTCGAACTGTTCGGCGACTCAGCTAGTGACCCTCTCCGGAGCTGCTTCCGGGTTCCTTGCTGGGGTGGTCGTATGTCCGCTTGATGTGGTCAAGACCAGGCTCCAAGCTAAGGGTAAAAAGTCAACCAGAGGGTTTGTAGGGGAGTTTACGCACATAGTACATAAAGAAGGCTTAAGAGGACTCTATAGAGGGTTGGTCCCAATTACCATAGGGTATTTGCCTACATGGACAATATATTTCACCATATACGAACGAGCTAAGAAGTTTTACCCGGGGTTTATGGAGGAGAAATTTGGCTTGGAGATGGATTCAGTAAACCATTTCTGTGCTGCGTTGACGGCGGGAATGGTATCGTCGATAGCTGTGAACCCTATCTGGGTGGTTAAGACAAGACTAATGATTCAGACCAGTAACAAAAAGGGAACGGAAACCTCACACTACAAGGGAACTATCGATGCATTCAAGACTATGTACAAAGAAGAAGGTATCAGAGTGTTTTACAGCGGACTTATCCCCTCGTTATTTGGATTGTTGCATGTGGGGATCCATTTCCCGGTTTATGAGAAGCTAAAGGAAGTTACCGGGTGCACAAGACCAGCATTACCACTTTCTGCCACATCTCATGAAAGTGACGAAATTGATTTCAACCACGGACCAAACCACTTGTTGCTAAGATTAATCTTTGCATCGTCACTAGCTAAGATGATTGCCAGTACTATCACCTACCCGCATGAGATTTTGAGAACAAGGATGCAGCTCAGATCATCAAAGGAGCCATACGGGACCGTACATGAGGGACAAGATAAGGGAAAATTATTGAAGACGTTATTCAAGATATACCAAAAGGAAGGATTGAAGGGGTTTTACGCCGGTTATGTGGTCAACTTAGCCCGTACCGTACCAGCTAGTGCCGTAACATTGGTGAGCTTTGAGTATTTCAAGACATATTTACTAGAAGTCAGTGGTAACAAATTGGCATGAAGTGATGGATAGCGCAGAGAGCAGCAAAAAGGGCAAGATCAGGCGTCACAATAATAGCATAATTGCTGAATGGTACAGCGTATCTAAAATGCAGCGTGTGAGAGTAGAGTCAAAGAGAACGAAAACCTGACATAGCATAGTTGGTGGACGATACATCGTATCTAGAATGCTGTATATGAGAATACAATAATAGAGTAAAAGGGGTGAACCGACAATATTGGCCAGGTTTGAATAACGAACAAACCATCATTAAACCAGAGTCCCTTTGAAATAGAATGCAATAGGATCCACTGCATTCTCTATTCTACTTGAAGTAGAGTGCAGTATAATTCAATGCATGATCTATTCTACGTGAAATAGAGTGCAGTAGAATCCACTGCATGTTCTATTCCACTTAAAATAGAGTGCAACAGAATCCACTGCATGCTCTAATCTACCATAAAAAGAACTATAGCATACAGTACCAGAAGGCTAAATAAACAATTATTTATTAAGTAAGCATACGATGCACCTAATATTACCACTAAATTCTTTTTTTCACTTTCTTATCTTCTTAAGTAATTTATGCTCTCTGCAAACAAGCCAGACGAAACCAAACCAAACCCATCTTTCCCCCTCTTTTTGCACCTTTTCATCTCCATATCATATTCCTTACTAATGCACTTTCAAGGCGTCCCAGCTGCTTGAAAATTCTTGGTGCACGAGCATTTTTCGCAGCCACTGGTGCCAAGCTGGGGTCGTGCACGCTAGCGATTGTACAAACATATCTGGCGACTTTTAAAGTTTTGGTTTCTCCATTTCTGAACGGGGAAGGAGGATACGTATAGCCTGGGTAATATAGATATGAAGGTTTCCAATCTCGTAGTATTACTTTCCTTCGCCTTTGGAGTATTGTCCGAGATACCTGGAGGTATCGACGATAAAATAGGACAGAAACGTGAAGATTCGGGGAAGTCAGCCAGCTACCTTGTGAAGAGAGAACCAGACGGAATTCCCAAGGCACCTGGAGATTTTGTTGTAGTTGGTGCTAAGAGCGAAGCAGAATTAAAGAAGATTGTGCCCCCAAAAAAGGATGATCAAAAGGGCCATGAACCCCAAGGTATTCCCAGAGCTCCCTCTGATATTGTTCCAGCCGCAGATAGTATGGCAGCGGCTGCTAAGGCTGAACCACAGGGTATTAACAAGGCACCCTCTGATGTGATAAAGAAGGCACCTGCTGCGGTTGTGAAGGCTGAACCACAAGGAATTAATAGGGCACCATCTGATGTGATTGAGAAGGCGCCTGCTGCGGTTGTGAAGGCTGAACCACAGGGAATTAATAGGGCACCGTCTGATGTGATTGAGAAGGCGCCTGCTGCGGTTGTGAAGGCTGAACCACAGGGTATTAACAAGGCTCCATCTGATGATATCCCGGTTGCGAAGAATGCTGTCTCAGACGAAGCTCAAGGCGCTTTCAAAAAGGCTCCCGCAGATGAAAAAGTCAAGGAAGCTGCTCCACCAGCACAGGAACAACCAAAGAAGGATGCCGAGCCTGTAAAACCAGCTTCTGGTAAGAAACCAATTAGTGAAGAAGACGACATTGTACCCGACGATGAAGACGAATCGGTGACGAACGCTAAAGCAGCACTTGCTGAAGTGGAACTTCCACCTTCTTTGACAATTGAGAATTTCGATAAAGTCGTCAGTGAAAGACTTTCATTTGTTGAGTTTTATTCGCCATACTGCCATCACTGTAAGAGCTTGGCTCCAATTTGGGAGCAAACCTTTAAAGAGTTTCATTATGAGATGAAGAATCTTAACATTCAAATGAGACAGATAAATTGTGTTGAAAACGGTGATCTTTGTGAGAGAGAAAGTGTAGGATATTACCCTAATTTAAGATTATATACCCCTAAGAGAGACCCAACTACGAAGGAAATTATTCCCGGCCAACATAAGAATGTTGCAACATTCCCAAGATCTATAGTGAAAACACCTGAAAATTTCAAGAAGTACTTGAAAAATTCCGTGGCCGAGTATGACGAAGGGTCGATTGATTTACCATCTTCTTCAGAGTTATTGAATTCTGATTCGATGTTGAAAATTATGGCTGGAGAAATTACTGAGCCAATATTTGTTTCATTCTTTCCACAATCTGATGAAGGATGGAAAATCACCGATGAAAGTTCCAAGAATACTTTTATTGGTAGATGCGTTGATTGTTTGGATTATAAACAGATGTGGGATAAACTTTCAAACCAAATATTGAGTACAGTCAAAACTGGTCATTTCAATTGTATGAGTAATGAGGACTTGTGTATCAAATTAGGGTTTCAAAAGTTGACCCATTATGATAATACTTGGGGAGTTAATCCCAGATTAGCTATGTTCTTGCCTAAAGACACAGGTATAATCAGACTTGATTATCAAGAGGATGTTGATATCGAAAGTATAAAGCAATGGACTGCGAAATTGAGGGAAAATTACAGATTTGAAAAGATCAAGAATAGAGCTTTGCAAGAAATACTAGATGTTAAGAATTCATTACCATTCCAACCATTGAATGCCTACTACCCATTGGCCAATAAGATGGCTTTAGTTTTAGTCAATGACGAAGAATTGACCGACGAGGATAGAGGCATTTTACCATACATTTTAGATTATGTTACCGACCTGCCTTTCAATATTAACATTTATACTTCAACTGATGCCAAACTTGACAACTATATTACGCAACAGTCCAAAAACATAATTGAATTTATTAATTATGATCAAGAAGCAAAACCTTACGAATATAACCTCCCCATGCATTTGGCCACTACATTAACATCCAAACCTACTTTGTATTTGTTCAAAGAAAACACTTTAGTTACTCCTATATACCAAAATTTTGCAATTGAAGATATGAGGAACGATCTTAAAATTAAGGAATTCATTGAAAAAAATCAATTCCCCTTATATCAAGAATTAACCCCAGAGTTATTGAGCACTTACTTCCCCAAAAGATTTTCTGATAAAAAATCTAAGGGCTTCATCAACAACGGGGTTGATGACAAAGTTGTGATTACTTTCATTAAAAGTGATGACGCTAGTCTTACAAATTCTGCTTTGTATAACATATCATTGATTGCCCATGAATATCATATTTTAAAGAAAGAATATTATTTTATGGACTTAATTAATAAGAGACAAGACAAGAAGCAAATAGTACAATCATTGTTGAAACTGGATGCATCCAGTGGGGATGTTGTTACTGCCATGAGGAATGAGATTCCTCACTTATTTGCAGATAATGAAGTGTTATTCACCTTTATTGATCTTGCAAAATATCCTGAGTTGGCCGCAAGATCTGGTTGGGATATTACTGGTGCAAACTATACAGTAGGTGATACTATTGTGGTCAGTAGGAATGATAAATTCTACTGGAACAAAGATATCAGTGGTCAAGCTCAATTGAGAAACGACCCATCTAAGATCAAGTCTGTCCTACAATACTTATTGGATCCAAAATTGGTGAAAGAGACCAAGGTTAATGTGAATTCCTTGTTGATTGGAAGCCCATACCATAACTATTTGAGGTTTATGGATATAGTACATGCACACGGATTCTTTGGCTACTGTTTGTTTTCCATTGTGATTTATGGGGCTTACGTGGGAGCTAAGAAATTAAGAAGAAGGAGAATTATAAGGTTACCTAAGAGCGAGACTGGCCTAGGAATATTAGGCAAAAGAATTGATTAACATGAATTATCAACTCCATGTTAGTATAATATAGCTAGATAACTTCAATGTATGAATAATGTTCAACGAAGATCCATCTTTTTTTTTATTTTATTTTTTATTTTTCATTTTTCATCACTGCAATAAGAGTTTCATGTATATTCCCCCACGTTAGAGCTACATCATGCAATAAAGAAATGTGTTGAATGTAGCGATTACCCAAGGAGATACCTTTCTCTAGCCTCCCCCTCTATTAACTTTCTATAACTATTACTTAATTCTGTACATACAAAATCCACACCTGGAACTCCAGACACTTCGCTGAAAGGTGGGATAACTGCCTTGGGAGGGATTATGCATCCCTCCCTAATGAAGCAGCAGTCGTATATTATACTCAGGTTCCCAATCTTACAACCTTTCTCTATCAACACTCTATTTCCGATACTTACCAGCAGTATTTCACAATTCTCGCCAACGATAGAGTAAGAGCCAATTCTTATTGGGCTGTGGATCTCGAACGCTACGTCTTCTCGCTGTTCTATGGAAAGTATGGGAGGCATAATTTTGCAACCTTTCCCTAAGTAGGAATATTTTCCGATGGTTATTATGTGGGAGTCTGTTCCTCCACTAGTGCTCTTGCCAATTTCGACGTCAGCATTCAACGTTACGCTAGCGTTTACGGTGACGTTCCCGTTGAGTAGAATCTTATGAGATCCAGTTATGTGGGCGTCCCTGGATATTCGATTACCATTTGACGTCTCAACCCATGACATGTTGCCCAGCACCTATTCTTTACTCTAACCAATACCAATCTTTAGACCAATTCAACAATCCGCACTGCACTGTTCGCGAATCCTGTCCTAATCACTGGTCCCGATTTTCTGGTTCAAGAACACAACAAGCAAAGCTTACTTGACGTCTTTTTTCCCTCACCATACACGTTTTTTCATCCCGGATTATTTACTCTTTTAGAAACGTTTGTAGTCCGAGACACGAACGAATAAAATTTTCATCTTTAACAATTACGTGTTGCAGAAAATAAAAGTATTTTTTTTTTGTGGATAAGCAACTTTGTTTACTCTTTTCTTCTTCTTCTTCTTCTTCTTCTTCTTCTTCTTTTCTTCTTTGACTATCTTCTGATAGAAATCAACACCAGTAACATATACAATATATACTAAACATGTCAGTATTCAGAATTGATTGTGGCTATCAAAACTACGATTGGGGAAAGATTGGATCCTCTTCAGCCGTAGCCCAATACGCTGCTGCATCTAATGCAAGCACCAAGATTGACGAATCCAAACCTTACGCCGAATTATGGATGGGAACTCATCCTTCCGTCCCCTCTGTTGCTGTCGATGTCGCTGAAGGTAAGAGCACCTTGAGAGAACTTATTGGCGCATCCCCAGAAAAATACTTGCACCAATCTATCATTGACAAATTCGGATCATCTAAGGAACTCCCATTCTTATTCAAGGTGTTGTCTATCGAAAAAGTGTTATCAATCCAGGCACATCCTGATAAGCAATTAGCTGCACAACTACACAAACAGGCCCCACAACACTATCCAGATGACAACCATAAGCCAGAAATGGCTATCGCTGTTACCGATTTCGAAGGATTCTGCGGTTTTAAACCATTGCAAGAATTAGCCGTCACTTTACAAACTATCCCAGAATTAAACGAAATTATTGGTGCAGAAACTGTAGAAGAATTTGTCTCACAAATAAAGCCAGAAGCTGAAATCGGCTCTTCCGACGACGTTGCCAACAGAAAGTTAATTCAAAAGGTGTTTGGTAAGTTAATGAATACCGACGAATCCGTAATTCAAGCTAAGGCCAAGTCCCTTGTCGAGAGAACGTCCTCCGACCCAGAACTTTTCAAAAAGATTGATTCTAGATTGCCAAGTTTGATTCAACGTCTTAACAAGCAATTCCCAGATGACATTGGTTTGTTCTGTGGATGCTTGTTGTTGAACCATGTCGATTTGAAAGTCGGGGAAGCTATGTTTTTACAAGCCAAAGATCCTCATGCTTACATCTCAGGTGATATAATTGAATGTATGGCTGCATCCGATAACGTCGTCAGAGCTGGTTTCACTCCTAAATTCAAAGACGTTGAGAATTTGGTTGACATGTTAACCTACTCTTATGAGTCTGTTGAAAAGCAAAAGATGCCATTATTGCCATTTGCTAAGGCTCATGGTCAAGCAGCTAAGTCCGTCTTATACAACCCACCAATTGCAGAATTCGCTGTTTTACAGACGATCTTTGACAAGGCCAATGCAGTACAACAACACGATTCATTTGATGGTCCATCCATTGTCATCTGTACCAACGGTACTGGTAACATTAAGGTTGACGGAAGTGACATCAAGAAAGTTGAAACCGGATATGTTTACTTTGTTGCTCCAGGAGTACCTATTGAGTTAGAATCAACCAGCGACGACTTCACTACTTACAGAGCATTCGTAGAAGCAGATATTTAGAAGCAGAATGATATTATAAACAAATATTGTGTGCAATATTAATTAAATAAACAGAACAGAAACAACCAATGAGATAGATGTAGCATGGGAGAGTGAATACAAACACTTATTGTATACAATTTCAATTGAACAAACAGAAACAGAAACAGAAACAGAAACGACCATAGTGAGGTTTGTAGCACCAAGAATGATAATACAAACACTTATTGTATACACACTACATAAACGAAACAGAAACAGAAACCTCCATTGATGGCTGTGCAACATTTTCTATAAGGCTGCATAATTTTGCACCCATTTAATTTACCGTTTTGGTGCATATTTTGCATATGGAGCGATTTAGAGCTTAGCATTCTTTTTTCCCTACCGAGCTACTTAAATTGTGGCCACGCGCAATGCGACTTTCTCTGGTATGGATCTTGTCGACACGAAGGCGCCGCTCTCCCTAGCCAATCACATCACGATTGTTGATCGTCCTTATTTCTCGTGTACCTGACCACTCTGATTTTTTTTCATTTTTCGTTTCATTTTTCAGTAGACGTGTACTCCTCAAACCACGAATGTATAGCGAACAAACCTTAGTGGCTACTTTCCAAAAGGAGCCAACTCCACACTGATCTCAATTGATATCGGTTTGGCAATTGGATTGAGAATTAGTTACGTATATATAATATATATATATAGATAAATATATATATATCTGAAAGAAAGAGGAAAATAATGTCAGAAGTTGTTGAAGATAGTAGTAATATCGCTGCCAAACCTTTCAGAGCTGTAGAAACTGAAGAAGAAAGAGCGGAGAGATTAGCTAAGCAGGAGGAGATAGATCAGAGATCAGTTTACGTAGGCAATGTTGATTACCAATCCACACCAGAACAATTAGAGTCGTTCTTCAATTCGTCAGGGACAATTGAAAGGATAACTATTTTATTTGACAAGTTCAGCGGATTACCAAAGGGCTATGCTTACGTTGAATTCGATACTAAGGAAAGTGTAAATACTGCGATTGAAGAATTGCATGGTAAGGAATTCAGAGGCAGAGAATTGAGGGTCACACCCAAGAGAACAAATTTACCTGGATTCAAGCCGAGAGGAGGTTTTAGAGGCGGAAGAGCAGGATTCAGAGGTGGCTTCAGAGGCGGAAGAGGCTTCAGAGGTGGATTCAGAGGTGGTAGAGGTAATGGATACCGCGGTAGGGGAGGATTCAATGGCGGAGCTGAAACCAGTGAAAATGGCCAGCAACCACCAGTACCTCCAGCAACAGCACCAGCACCAGCACCAGTACCATCAACATCAGAAATCTCTACTGAATAAATAACGAAGAAAACAATAAAAAAATAAAAAGGAACTGCTAAAATGATGAAAACACACTTAATTCAAGAAGTCCGTTCCATTCCACTGTTCAAATTTTGGTTCACATATTAAAATGGTTCGTCTTTATATTGTATAATTGTACCTATTCTTCTAAGATATAAACCCTTAGACAGCCACATTCATGTCCAAGTACCTGTAGAGGAATTCTTCCTTTTTTCTTTTTTTTTTTTTTTTTTTGCGATACAATAATTGCTTCTAAACTATGGTATTCCTACAATGGCATTGACCCACACTGTAGCTTACTTTGCAGCCTACCTGATCTCTTCTCTACTAACCTGGGCTTCATTTGCCATACTGTGACAGATTGACCTGCGTATGAACCTGCATATACATTACTTTTGAATTTTTCACTTTCTTTTTTTTTTTTTTTATTTTATTTTTTTTATTTTTGAGATGAGTTCCACCTAAAGCGTATACAAAAATTAATTGATAGAGCATCCTCTTCTTCTTCTTAGCTTAACACCAATAAATACATCTTAAACACGTCCAAGATGGTCTCCGTAAGAAAAAGAAAGATGAACCGTTCGTCGGTCAAGAAAAACACCAGAAGAACTAAAGACAAGCAAAGAAACATCAATATACATTCTAACCCCATTATTGCAGCCAATTGGGACAAATCACTTACATTGAAGCAAAATTATAAGAAATTAGGGTTGAAGGTCAAATTGGGAACATCTGCTGGTGGTCTGGAACAGAAGGTGGATACATTGTCAGAAATTAGGCAAAGAAACGCAGAACTAGCTAAGCTCACCGATATAACTCTTGAACAAATTGAAAATGCAACCAACCCTGAGGAAATCCCAGAGGGACAAGCTCGTATAATCAGAGATCCAGAAACTAACGAAGTCATATCCATTATACACGGGACCAAAAAGGTTGGTCTTTCATCTGAAACAAATGAAGATTCTCTGGTCATCAAGCAATTGGAAGAATATGCCCAAAAACACTCTGAAATCAAGAAGGAAAGAAAGCAATCTGACAGAGAAAACGATTGGTGTAAGTCTTTATACAACAAGTATGGTGATGATTACGAAAAGATGAAGTGGGACAAGAAGCTTAATATCTACCAGCAAAGTGCCGGAGACTTGAAGAGACGTGTGTTGAAGTGGAAGAAAGCCGAGGGAATCAACTAGTCATCTTGTATCATTACTATAGCATAAATACATAAATACATAAATACATATTTACTTATAAACCAAATACATCGTCAGCCAACCAGAGAGTGGCAAGTAGAGGTCTTGGCCCTTCTATTGTTTCTATTATTTCAGTCTCTGACAGCTGTTTCTCGTATTATTTTATAACAGTCCGTGCTTACCTATCAGTTCAACTATCTCCCATTTATCAAGATTAGTTCATCAAGATTAGCTCCGAGTCATATCAATATACCTATCAAGGTCGGACAGATCAACCTAAGTGTCTATTCATTCAATATCTCGATTCACGGACCGCTAACTTCCTCATTGAAGCCTCGAAGGTAAATTCTTGTTAACCACCTTGGCTACAATCTCCGCCATGATCGGCTTTAATTCACTCTTATCATACAAGCTCACCAATTTCTTCTCGTTCACATCATTGTTTTGGGTTTCGACCATCTCCACAAACGTGGGGTCTATAGGGACGTTCCCAAGGAATTCTATGTCAAGCTGTTCACTCAAGAGCTTTCCACCTCCACTCAGGAAGATGTCTGTACACTCTGAACAGTGAGGACATATGAAACCACTCATGTTCTCGACTATCCCCAAGACATTGAATCCCACTTTCTTACAAAAATTGATCTCTTTTCTGACATCTGCAGTAGAAACTTGTTGTGGGGTGGTCACTATCATGGCACCATCTGGCTGTGCCCAACGGAGCTCTTCGGCAATAGCTATGTGCTCGTCAGAAGTTCCCGGTGGAGTATCAATGAGAAGATAGTCAAGCGGAATATCGTCCGTTCCCCATACTACATCTTTCAAAAACTGTCTTATCATGGCAGTCTTCTTTGGCCCTCTCCAGACTACTGAATTGTTACGATTGCCCAAGAGGAAACCCAAGGACATGAGCGATAAGTTGCCCCTAGGACTAGCAGGATCGTTGTATACAGACACAGGAACCCACCCTAACGTCGACTGGTGAACCTGCTTGGATTCCACACCAAACATACGAGGCAACGAGGGTCCCGTCAAATCAATGTCTAGCACACCAACGTTAAACCCTTGATTGACTAAAGAGAGGGCAGTCTGGGTCGTTACTGAAGACTTTCCTACCCCTCCTTTCCCAGAAAGGATAAGAATAATATGCCTAACGTTTTTGAGCGAGTTTGGCGCTTCTTGCAACTCCATAGTTTCTATTTACAAGTTCTAGAGCAGCTGGTACGGTTACTCGATGATCCCTTACTAATGCTCTTCGTTTGATATAGGCCACGTCTACATGCAGGACACAAAAGTCAGACGAGCTGGATAGTATATGCAGGAACATCACACTTGGTACCTGAGCTTTTTTTTATTTTGCTTTTCTTTATTTTTTTTTTTCACCTTTTTGGCCAATTCGTGTCCAATTTCTCCACTCTATACGATATACAATACCAATTATGAGTTCTAGATATTCCAACGCTGGAGGTGCTCATCAGAGAGATCTCAGGACCCAGCTTTTTGCGGCACCGCCTCGCGGGATCAACCCCACACCGCCCTCTAGATCAGAATCACCATATGATAACGCCACGCCCAGTAACAGCGCTAAGTACAACGAACTGTACCTTCTGTCTTTAGAATCGCAAAATAATGACGAGCTCGATACAATGGGCGCCAAAGTGCGCTTACTAAAGGATTTAGGTGTAAGAATGGGAGGAGAAATCAATAAATCAATCAAACTTAACGACGAGATTACTGATTCCATGGAGAAAGGTAAGTTACAGCTCAGAAAGACGTGGAACAGGATGATTGATATGAGCCAGCGTGCAGGAATAACGTGGAGAATGTGGTTGGTGGTATTTGCATTGGTCGGGATTTGGTTCTTTTGGGTCTGGATAACTTAAACTGCCCGATATTTTGGTTGCTAGGTGAATAGTCTCCTGGCGCCATATTGTACATTAGTTGGAAATCGGATTCCCCATCAAGGGAGTCCTCTTAATATTGTCATGCTACAAAGGCAATACGTAAACACTCTCTTATATACACATTCTATTATAAGGATATAGCTAGACGGTAATACACATGCACTTTAATAAATACATACCTCTTGCAAGGGCCCACTTTCAAAGTAGTCCTCGAAGTCTCTGGATAGACCTGACGCTCCTAGCATCAGATTCATTGTCTGAAAGCAAATCGCCTTCTTCATCTTCTTCGTAGTGTCTGGCTTCATCTCCATACAACTCATTGTCTATGCTCAACATAGTGCCTAAAGCAGCTTCGTTGTTCACACGAGGAGCAGGGTTGAACAGAGACTGTGGTCTGAGAAACTTGAAGCCTGCAGAAGGGTTCAGCCTACCTGGAACAGCAGATACTGAGGGTACTGTTGCCATTAATGGACCACCATTTGGGCGAGATTTGATTTTCACACTAGAGCTTAGATTCAATTCCAAATTATTGACCAATTTCAGCTGAAGACTGTGCTCTGCTTTGGCCAGAGAATTCTCCTTAGGGAACTTAAGGATAGATTTCTTAGGTTTTAAGGTGTGATGCGATGGCTTATGTTTAGGGGTGGGTGATTCTGCCTTGAAAGCTCTTGAATTTTCTCCATTCGTATCACTTCGTTCAGAAATACTATTCTTAAACAAGTCACGCCTGCTCTTTCTCTTTTTCTTTCTCAAGTTGGACTTGAGCGACTGGTAGTACATATCAGCAATTGAGTGTCCATTCTCTGCATCACTGTCGGAAGAGTCCGTGGAAAACACGTCACTCTCGTCTGTTGTCAAACCACTCGAATTGGTATATTCATCATCTGAGTGGAGTATGAGCGTGCTTAGCTCCAGAAGGGATTGCTGGAGGGTAGGCTCCTTATACTCTGAAGCTCCAATTTCCTCATTGCCGTTCTCGTCTAATGAAACAGCGCCTGCTGGCACTGATTCGTGCTCATGAGTGTCCGAGCAGTCACAAGTCGGAATAGTTTTCATCTTGGAGTATGTCTTAGAAGTGATGGGCGATCCATTTATTCTCAATTTCTTAAAGTGTGACAGTTGCAATGTCAGCAGCGTAGTAGCAGGAGACTTGGCAGTCAATTTCATTGAGTTTATAGGTGTGTTGTATGCACTTTTCCTTTCCCCGAGAGTTTTGGGTGTTTGCGGAGTCTTTGGTGTTTTAGGTGCTTCATAACTAAGATCGTCTGGAACTATTATATCTGGAAATTCGAACTGTTGACGTTCCTTTTTGGATTGCTGGTCTCTGTACTTCAGAATAGAACTCGACATAAACTCCTCAAAGGCATTTTCATCCATTTCGCTGCTGAATGGATTATGTACAACGGATCCGTTAGCCTTACCACGGCCAGTTTTCACTGCGCTTCTCACTACCTTTTCGTGCTCAGCCTTATCTACTTCAAAGCGACCATTCTTTTTACCGTTTTCTTTTGAATTCGAACCGACGTTGACCTTAGAGATGGAAGCGGCATGTGGATCAATATTTTCACTTTTTTTCTGTTTCCCCCATAGTTTATTTATAGTAGCATACTTTTCAATGCCATCGCCACTGGTCCCCTTTACCTTGTGGATTCTAACCAACCTGGGTCCCAAATTACTTATCAACCCGTTGCACTCACCACTGAGCTGTAACAAGTCCTGCAACTCACTGTCAATGTCACTGGTGTGGATCAATTTCTCTAGCTTTCTATTCCTAGTCGATATTTTCTTAGTAATCAGTTGAGCTAGCTTCGCTACCTTGATGTTACTATGTTGCACTTTCTGTTCCGATGACAAATTCCGTCGTATCTCCAACTTAAGATCTTTCTTATAGTTGGACATCACTTCAAGCAAGGCATTGACAACTTCGGAAGATTCATTTTTAAGCTCCTCATCTATAATGGTATCTAACTGGAACATCTCCACAGAAGGGAGCTGGATCATATCAGACGGCCATTGTATCGAGTACCTTGAATTTTTCCGCTTCGACTTCGGATTCGACGACGAAGCGTTTAAGTGAGCTTCCCTACTCATCCAACCTAACGATAACTTATATGCGTGGTAAGATAACTGGGGTTTCAACTCAAATACTAATGAATAGGTGCAAGCGTGAAGAGTGAAATTTCAAAATATTTGGAGTGCACTTTTTTTTTAGCTGAAGAGGAAAAAAAAACTAGCCTGCGGAGAGACGCTAAAAAATTTGAAATAGTGCCAAACTTTTATTTTATCCGCTGCTTGTTGTTTATCTTAGGCTGATTTACCCCGTATTTTTTATGACGTAGGGTAGTGAGTGAGGCACAAAGGTGGCTGTAGGGAAGAACGTACTTGGGAGATGCGAATTGACAGGTATGTATTGTATTAGTCCATTAAGCGTGTGCATGACTATTGTGTTAGTGGAGCGTGTCGTGTGCAGCTTATCGTGTAGATAGAGCTGTGAAGTGTGTCGTATGCAGCGTGTCATGTAAAGCGAGTGTGAAGCTTGAAGTGTGGTGTGTTGTTATGATACTGATATGGTGCTTCTTATCTTTCATGCTGCATTTTCTTAATGAGTGAAAATTAAATTTCGGGCACTGGGAAACTGGGGCACTGGGAAGCGCCTAGCGAGCGGAACAGCAAGAGAGCGCAAGCAGAACAGGAGATGAAGGTAGAGAATCTTCAAGACCTTGATATTTTATCTTTCGACTAGATGAACTGAAGTCTCCATCATTATTAATACTATGCATACAAATATATATATGTGTGCATAACGTGTATGTACGAGTACCATTGTACTATTCTATCGGTGCTGCTCTTCTGGCCCATCTCACTTTCTGCCCTAGCGAGAGGGAAAATTTCAGATTGCACGTCTCGATTTTTCAGTGAAACCTTAAAATTATCTGAATTGGATGAAATCATTATGCACCAAGTGCTACATCAAAACACATATAATATTGACGTTCTTTATTGAAAGCACCGGTCGTTTATTCCAGAGATTAAAGTTGTTTGTCTTTTTTTGGGGGTTTTTTTTTGGTCTATTTTGAATTTTATTATCGTAATATTGTTAGTTCCACTCTATGATATCATCTTTGGTCCAGGTCTTTGGTGGGTGTTGTACAAATGTCTTTGTTTTAGATAAGCTCATGGCGAAGAATGATACCATACCGTCAGACAATTCATCCAAATCGCTTGCGAGTCTTATAACATTTTCTCAATTTTTGTTTGTCTCAATGGCTTCGTACACCCATAATACAGACTTCAAGAATGGCCAATGGTCCCGTTTATACTTAAAGAAGTCCAATGTGCCCATGCGTAAATGGCTAGCTTTGGTTTCCATGTACTTTGCAATATCGTTGATGAGCAACTGGACCTTTTCCTGCAATATTAGCGTGCCTATGTATATTGTATTCAGACTGTCAGGGACAGTGATAACCATGCTTGTTGGTTGGATGTTTGGTGGAAAGTCGTACAATACTTCACAGGTGGTGTCATGCTGTGTTATAACCCTTGGAGTCCTTATCAACTCGCTACCAGCTGACTTAAGCGATGAAAGGTCGTTATCCTTCGAAATAGAACCGAAGTTCTTACTTGGGATAACACTACTCATGGTGTCAACTTTACTTCTGGCATTTATGGGACTCTATAGTGAACTGATCCACTCTAAGTATGGGAACCAGTGGAAGGAAAGTTTATTTTACTCCCACTTTTTAGCATTACCACTATTTCTCGTCGTTTTCCCACAAATCAAGGCAGAGTTCATACAAGTATGGAAGGTTGATAACATATCTCGAGATGCATTCCAATATCTTGTTCCCTTTGGAATCGTTGTATCGGACCAATCTGTGAGTCTACTCTTCAACGTTGTTTCCCAATACATCTGTATCAGAGGAGTCAGCCTACTTGTTGGTAGTAACAGTGCCTTGACCGTGACGGTGATTCTACTCATTCGAAAGATTCTTAGCTTGTTCATTAGCATAGCTTGCTTTGGACATGAGCTAACGAGGAATGGATTAATTGGAGGCTCAATGGTACTCTCAGGAGCAGTGTTATACTCGCTAGCGGGCCAAAAAAACAAAAAGAAGTCATTGAAAAAGGGAAAGAAGGATATATAGAAAGACATGGAGGGACCAGACTATTGGAAGGTAAGTTTCTGTGCCTGTTGATTCTGTTCAGCTCTTTATTCATTTATTTAATAATACATACATAGAGTAAAACGAGAATGAAAATATCTAGGATAAGAGTATTTTGACATTTGTCTAGGTGATCATTACTTAATCATAAGGCGAAAGATCCGTGTTTCCGTCTCCAAATGGATCACTTCCGATGGTGTCATTGGTAGCATGCTTTGTCAAACTTGGTGGCACCGGAGGTTGCTGTAATTGTTTTGTTCCTAAACCTGCTGGTTTGACAGGTCTAGGAGGCGGAGGTCTTTTACTTGAAGAGCCCTCTTGAATTGTAGCATTTTTAAGCCTTTCACTGATGTCTGGTTTGACCTCTTCTTCCGTTTCCGCTTCCCCATCCTCCTCCTCCTCCTCAGTGCTGTCGGTGTAGTAGCTTTCGTAGCCATCGTCATCTTCATCATCATAGTTAGGAGCCGGATTTTCCTCAGTGTAACCACAGGATGCATCAAACTTCTTGAAGATCTGTACTAATTGTTCATTAGCATAAATTAAGCTCCCAAGGAATTCCTCATCCATAGCAAGTACGGCAGACGATTTGTCTTCGGAACTACCTGCACCGACGTACTGTAAGTACCTAAGCACCTTTCTTCTGATGTAACGACACTTCTCAAACTCGAACGAGCATTTCTCATCGTTCAAAGGTGAAGCTCCCACAGACAAGGTGAGAAGGGCGTTTTGAAGTGCTGTTGTATGCGTGTGACAATCGGCAATGACATTCCTAATTTTGGGTGCTTCTACTTTATAATTGATTTGCGGAATCTTGAACTGCTCGTCGGCATACACGGAATTGCCCTTTCTCTTTCTCTTCTTCTTATCCTTTGCCTTTTCTTTATGTTTATGTCTTCTGGAGGTGGAAGAGGATGAAGACGTAGATTTAGAGTACGGAGATGCAACTGTCGGTCTAGGAGGTGGGGTGTTTCTGGGGGAAGCTGGACTAACACGAGAGGGCGACGACTTTGGCTGGTTATCTTCCACTGAGTCGAAGACATTGCCCCCGCTTTCTGTTCTTCTATGGTTCCTTGAACTGCTACCATGACTACCACCGCTGCCCTTGATATTCTTCCATAAAGTAGCAAAGTACTTGTATCCATCCAAACCTTCCAATTCGTTCTTCCAGCCTAGGGCCAAGCCCTTGACCTTCTTGTGGACTTTGGGGTCGTACAGCGAGCCCAATGCTGTCTTACCACTACCATTTAAAACCCCCTTCAATACATCGATAAGCTTATCGTCTCTCGCAATTACAGGGCCAATTTTAGGACCAGAATTCAATATCAATAATTCCAATAATGATAACGCACGCAATTGCTCCTCGACCAGGTCCCCGTACTTTATTTTCTTTCTTATTGCTCTTGCAGCTTCTGCAGCTCCACTGCTAGGCTGGATCTTAATCAAGTCTAACAAGTCGCTCAAATAGAGCTCCATAGATTCGTCTATTTCGTCATTTCTATGCGGTGTTGACAATTGGTTTATCTTTATAGTAACCGAAGTTACCTGTTTTTCTCCAAAGATCGGCATCCTTAACGAATGCTATGCTCTAAGTGGAAGATCTCGGAGTGTTTCAAATCAGGTCCGATAGAGTCTACCTACTTGGATTTTCTTTGACCCTCGTACTGATAGTGGGACCCAAAATGGAAATAAAACGTGACGATGAACATGTGATGACGCTCCAGCAAGGCTAATCTCGAGTAATCGGCAGGAATAAAAAAATAAAATTCACTTCTTCGTTGGACCAAGTACTTTAGACCCCGGCTAGCCGCAGGTGTGTTTCAAGTAGTTTAGACCCCGAATTGCAGCAGACTAATTTCAGGTAATTTGAAATGAAAATATTCGCAAGGATACGTAAACATAGCCTTTGGCGGTCCAGGAAGTTCAAGCAAATTCTATTATTGACCATAGTAATTTTGCTTGTTGTACTACACCAGATCGCGCAAATAGATAGCGTTAAAGTATTCCGAGCCAAGGTTACCAGGGGAGTGAAAGAAAAAATACATAAATTCGTAGAAAAAACGTTCAAGGACCAGGAGAAATTGATCCCTATCAGCAGCTTAATAAGAGACAGAGAAGACACTATGGTGTGGGATCAAGAAATAGCCGAGAGAATAAAGTTGCATGGGCCTATCGATAACCTCAAAGTCACTTAAGACTGCGTAGAAGAGAAGAGAGAGAGAGAGAGAGAGAGAGATAGAGAGGGCGGAGAAAAGTAAAGCAGCCAGTACGTTAACACATAAAGAGCCTCGATAAACGCTCAATTAACATACCACGCGCTATCTCGCACAAGCACTGTACCCACGCGCGATGTTACAATTTGTGTACTTAATGCTTACCATAGTTGCTGTGCTCATGGGGTCTCGAGCATCTCATGCCTATTTAGTGTACATGCATGTTGCACGATCTGTTTCATGTTTGCAACCATTCGTAAAAACACCGACAGTGACATATATATACCCACTCCCTTAGTATCGCGTCGCGTACTTATGTTCCTTTTAAGTAGAACGTAATTTCCCAGCTATTCTAGCGCTCTTTAGTCATAAATACACGTTAAGCCAAGAAGTGCTTCATTTCCACTTGTGCCTCTTCTCCGCCCAGCATGTACAACTATCCACCAACTTAAAAATCATTCCTCACGTGGACTTAAACACGTGACTGATCTCTGAAAATTTTTTTTAGGACAATTCCTAAATTTTTTTTTGGGGCCCACAGCTCATCAATGATTAGCAACGGTGTTTGAAGGAGATCTGTAGCTAGTTTACACATATACATATCCGTAATGTCTGACCAACAAGGCTACAACGCAGACAAATTGTCTCAAGATTTGGGAAACGCCAACATTGGCAGCGGGGATGCTCAGCAACAGCAAACCCCTGGCCAATACCAGTACAACCCAAATAATGCTTCAGCATTTGTTCCTGGCCAACAACAAGGTTCTTACAACCAATACCAACAGGGAGGCTACCAAGGTGGTTACCAACCACAACAAGGTGGATACCAAGGCGGATACCAACAAGGAGGATACCAAGGTGGATACCAAGGAGGATACCAACAGGGAGGATACCAACAAGGAGGATACCAAGGTTACAACAACAACAGAGGTGGATACCAAGGTGGCAATGGGGGCAGAGGTGGATACAACAACACCTATAATAACAGTAACTCCAATAATAACTACAACCAATCATACAATTCGTACAATTCTTACCAGCCCCAAGAGCAAGCCCAACAACCAGCCGCAGGTATGTCCTTAGCTGATTTCCAAAAGCAGCAGTCTGCCAGTGCTGCCAGCTTGAACGCTCCAAAGAAGAAGTTAGTCTTAAAGAGCTCTAGTGGTATCAAATTGGGTGGAAGTAGCACCGTCAAGATTGGTGGTGCAAAGAAGGAAAGCACTCCTGAACCAAAGGCCGAAGCAGCCAAGGAACCTGTGGCCAAGACTGACGCTGACGCTAAGGCCGATGCAAAGCCTGAAGCTAAGGAAGAAGTCAAAGAAAAGGCCAAGGAAAGTACACCTACACCAGCAGCAGCAGCAGCAGCTGTAGCAGCAGCTGTAGCATCCCCAGCCGTCACAACTCCAGCTTCCTCCAAGGCAGGCAGTCCAGCTCCAGAAAAGGAATCGTCTGCTACTGTCGCTTCTGCTGACGCATTGATCAGAGAACAAGAAGATGAGGTTGACGAAGAAGTTGTCAAGGATATGTTTGGAGGTAAAGACCATGTCTCTATTATCTTCATGGGTCATGTTGATGCAGGTAAGTCCACCATGGGTGGTAACATCTTATACTTGACTGGATCAGTTGACAAGCGTACTGTTGACAAATACGAAAGAGAAGCCAAGGATGCTGGTAGACAAGGTTGGTACCTTTCGTGGGTCATGGATACCAACAAGGAAGAAAGATCTGATGGTAAGACCATTGAAGTTGGAAAGGCATATTTCGAAACTGATAAGAGAAGATACACTATTTTGGATGCTCCAGGTCACAAGATGTACGTTTCTGAAATGATTGGTGGTGCTTCTCAAGCAGATGTAGGTATTTTGGTTATCTCCGCTAGAAAGGGAGAATACGAAACTGGGTTTGAAAAGGGTGGACAGACTAGAGAACACGCTTTGTTGGCAAAGACTCAAGGTGTCAATAAGATCATCGTTGTAGTCAACAAGATGGATGACCCAACTGTAAACTGGTCTGAAGATCGTTATAAAGATTGTACCACCAAATTGGGTGCATTTTTGAAGGGTATTGGATATGCCAAAGAAGATATTACCTTTATGCCAGTCTCTGGTTTTACTGGTGCTGGTATCAAGGACCGTGTAGGTGATGCTTGTCCTTGGTACAAGGGTCCAGCCTTGTTGGAATTCTTGGATGACATGAAAACAGTTAACCGTCACATCAATGGTCCATTTATGTTACCAATTGCTGGTAAGATGAAAGATATGGGTACTGTTGTCGAAGGTAAAATTGAATCTGGACACATTAAGAAGAATGGTAGTTTGTTATTGATGCCTAACAAGGTACCAATTGAAGTCCTTACCATCTATAATGAAACCGAACAAGAATGTGACGCTGCTTACTGTGGTGAACAAGTTAGATTAAAGATCAAGGGTGTTGATGAAGAAGATTTATCTCCAGGTTACGTGTTGACCTCCCCAAAGAACCCAGTTAAGCATATTTTGAAATTTGAAGCACAAATTGCTATTGTTGAGTTGAAATCTATCTTAGCCAACGGTTTCTCTTGTGTTATGCATATCCATACTGCAATTGAAGAAGTTAAAATTGTTCAATTGAAACATTACTTACAAAAGGGAACCAACAGAAAATCCAAGAAGCCTCCTGCATTTGCCAAAAAGGGTATGAAGATTATTGCTGAATTGGAAGCTACTGAAGCTTTCTGTGCTGAGACGTACGCTGATTACCCACAATTAGGTAGATTTACCTTGAGAGATCAAGGTACTACTATTGCCATTGGTAAGATTACCAAGTTGTTGTAGGGAAGATCAGGTGAAATGATGAAGTAACCTTTCTCAAAGGCCATAGCTGATAGATAGAAGGAATAAAAATAAAGAATCCAAAAGAATTAAATTTGTAGCTGATAATCTCATCAGTAGTTACGTACTCTTTGTATCTATTGCTTACAATTGGAGTGGTTTGACTGCTCTCTCCGTAGTGTCATTTGTACTATTACATAATTCTAAAATATATTAATTCCTGTTAACCATATAGAAATCCTAATTTCATTGCCACTCTTCTAAAGATACCCAGCTAATGTTTATGGTTATTAATCCATGCCTTCATTTATTTTTTCAAATCTGCCTTTTTTGATTCTAAATTTCCATCATTTTTCAAGTCTTCAACTAGTTCTTCGAATATCCCAATAAGATTCAATATTCCTTCAATAACATTTTCATCGTACAGTTGGGTTTTAACGTCTTCGACATATTTCGAATGTGCAAAATCTATCAAGCTAAGACTACTCAATGGAGCACTATATTCATCCTCATCATCGCTTTCAGAGTCAGCAAAGAAGTCATCTCTAAGCAAGGGATCTACCTCATCGTATTGGTCAATGTCTTGTACAACCCTTTCCCATTTAGTTACATCATTTTCGTAAACAAATAACAACGAGGTCGCAATCATCCTTGATTTCGATTCTAAAAGACAATTATACACTGCCTGTAGTCTTACTAAGAATTTTTCAATCAATTTTGCAGAGAACAGCATAGGCAATTGAGTCGATTTGAAAAATAATAGTAAGCCTTGCTTGACATTCTCCGCATTTAGCGATCTACCAAAGAATTTGTTGAATTCCAAGTAAACTGATTGGGTTGCAGGTTCTGGCACAACCTTGATTGTTTTGCTGATATCAGAGAAAATTGGTGGGACGTCAATTAACAGTGACGGGTGGTCAATCAGAGAATGATAGAGCTTCATCCCACATATTCTAAACCCAAGACTACCACTAGTAGTGGAGTCTGCTACTTTTTGCAACCTCGTCTTCTTCTCTGGCTCTGCATTGTCGTCGTATAAGATCTTTCCAAGTTTTATGTCAAGTATTGATGGTTTGGAAAATCCATAGTAGACATTTTGCAATACAATATACTTTTTATTTGGGTCAGCGTTAGCTGGAATCGGCAAAGGTGCTGCTAATGGCAGGGGTAACACTTCCTGATCCAAAGTGGGCAAAAGCGGTTGTTTGAGGCCACTTGTATCTGGAAGGGAGCTAGACATGATTTCACCCTGAGTCAATGTCCCCATATAAACAGGCATCCAATCACCCAAATGAGAGCCTAATGGAGAATTATCAACATTTTCATCGTCATCAAGAATTTGGGTTTCAGTATAGAAATCTATCTCCTGTTGGTTAGTCAACTTTGCGAAGACTGTTCCATTATCTGGAGACACCAAGCAACCAACATGTCCTGCGGCCTGATGAGTCGAAGGAACAAACGACCTTTGCATTATATGATAGTTAGTAGTTTAGCTTACAGTATTTATATCTCTAGCATGAAAGAAAAGGGGGTTTAACTTTTGAAACTATTTGGATCTTTAATTTTTCTAAACTTAAAACAAAAAAAACTCAGGTATCGTAAGCGTGGAGCTGGTGATTCAATTTACTTAGTATGAAAAAGCAATAGTAAAAGCGAACAAGTAGAGCAAAGGAGCGAATGGAAGAAGGAAAATAAAAAGTAATGAAGCACAGCGAACCAGAGAGAAAATAGAAAAGAAAAAAACATAAATAGCAAACAGGAACGTCACCAAGGTAGATATGGATGTGAAAAAAAAAAAATCTGAGATAGCAATCATGCAAAAGGCCGTCTCAACACTGGACATGAAAGTGGAAACTGAGTATGCAATGAATGCAAGAAAATGTGAGCTCCATGAAGAGCCATGTACGGAAATATCCAATTAAGTTTGCAACTTTGCAACCTTCCTATAGAATTTTTCTGCCATTAATGCCGCCGTTCTATGCATACTCATTACTTTATTCATGGTATTTGGTTACTCGAAAAAGAGGAATGAACCCGAAGATGCATATGCACTTCTCGAGGGCTGCATCGGACAATGATTTAAAATAATATTGCAATGATTCGAAGTAATAGAATATTACAACATTGATCCCTTAAGCAACAGTCAGGCGATAGATACTTTTGCATATTTAAGAATTGTGTTTTAAGAGTCTTTCACTTGAAGATCAGACCAGATTCAAAGAGTTAGTCAGCGAGTTCAGTGATGTAGAGAAAGGATTATTGATTTTTGGTGTGAGGCGCAGAAAGCCCAGGACAGCAGATTTGCACCCAAACTTGCGAACTGAGTGAATCCACTGGGCACGCGAACTGAGCACACCGGGAATGCCAACTAATTGAGCACTTACACAAGGCATGATGACTGAGCACGCCAGGCAAGCCCACTGAGCAGTACACTAGCCACTACAAGAGCGGAGCTTACTCTCCATACATCTGCTAAACATAAACCTTGCAACCCCTTCCTAAAAACTACGATACTTCACCTACTGCTTTCTCTAGCTGAACGGGCTCATCTATCTGCTCCCAACCCGAAATCGAGCTTCTATAGCTCTACTCTTCTCTACTTGCCTGCCCCAGTGTCAGTGTCTAGAACAGCGACGTGAAAATCCTAAAATTGCACGTGATTGAACATGTTTTAAGTTCTGAATGAAAAAAAAAAAAAAAAGCTGGTGCGCCTACTGCTAATACTACTAAGCATTTCTGGTTTGAAGCCGAACACGAAACTGGAAATTACAAGACACAGTTCGTGAATAATAACCCAATGGAAATATCATTCTACGTGGGTGATTTTTACATCTAGCCAACGTATGACTTCGTGATAACCTCGCCATTATAAAATCCCTCTAACTGTAGCCCATTAACCGTAGGCGAATACCTCACTGTAGTCATGTCTTGCTGCTTAATTGAGGAGGCTGAGACGAGTGGTACTCTAATTTATTTTTTCCTCTTTCATTAATTTGAGACACAAAACACAAAAAATTCTATTTTTGTTATTTTCATGGCAGACTGTCGTTTTTTCTCGTTTGTATTGCTTTTTTTGACGAAGTACACATAGCAGTATTGCCATTGGAAGTGTGGTATATTTATACAAAAGGATAGCCGTGCATATATAAATATATTGACATATTTCTTACAACACCTTTTAAGTGGTATTTAATTAAAAATGGCGTACAATAATAATTCGTATGAATTGAACAGTTATAAAGAAGACGATTTTGTCTCCTTTATGAATGAAATTCAAGACATCAACAATCAATTGGATTCTTATCAAAATTTGATTAGTTTGATTCGTAACAAGCAACGTCAGTTGATCCAGGAATTAGACTTAAATGAAGAAGATGGTGATTATTCATCTAGGCAAGTTGATAACCTTGTGGCTGAAGCTCATTCTATGCAAGTGGATTTGAAAAATAGAATTAAAAATGTTCAAACCCAAGCTGTTACTAGTCGCGACCAAGCTAAATTGGACCAAGCTGAAACCGCTAGAAAGAGATTTTTGGATTTGATTAACGAATATAGAATCGTCGAATCCAACAGTAGAGAACAAACCAAGCAACAATCTGAAAGACAATACAAGATTATCAAGCCGGATGCTACTCCACAAGAAATTAAAGCTGCCGTGGAAGATGGTGATTCATCCCAGTATTTCCAACAAGCTTTGATGCAATCTAATAGAAGAGGTGAAGCCAGAACTGTTTTGAATGAAGTCCAAGCTAGACACCGTGAATTATTGAAGTTGGAGAAGACTATGGCCGAGTTGACTCAATTGTTCCATGATATGGAAGAATTGGTGATCGAACAAGACCAAGCTATACAACAAATCGATGAGCAAGTTGGAAATGCTCAACATGATATTGAACAAGGTGTGGGCCACACCAATAAGGCAGTCAAGAGTGCAAAGGCTGCTAGAAAGAAGAGAAAGTGGTGTGCTTTTATTATCTTCATCATTGTTGTTATTTTGGCGTTAATTTTAGGATTGTATTTTGGTTTACATAAGTAATCTTGACAGTAGACCTGAATACATTGAGAAAAGAAAGGAGAAGAATTGGAATGAAAAAGAAAAAAAAAGAAAACGTAAGGAAGAAGAAAGGTACTGAGATGATAAAAATTATACGAGACTATCGTCTCTAATTTAATTCAATTATATTACTCCATGATGACCACCTAATTAAATGTGAGTATACTTAGAGTATGACTTTATGGTATTTGATGTAACTTAATAGCCAAGAACAAAAGAATGTTTAATATAGAGAAATTTGTAAGAAATAACAGAAGAAAACGATAAAGATAAACTGTATACTTGAAAGAATAGGAATATACGAATTTGAACTTTGAGATCAACGATAGCGATAAAGTAGAGGGAAAATGTTGAGCAAAAGTAGAGTAGAGCTGCGATATTCGAGCAACTCATGTACCATGATCAGAACTAGGTGAAATTTCGTATGGGAACGAATGTGTAAGGAAAGTAGCCTTCTACATATACCGTGAGATAGCGGGTCCCAAGTTCGTATTGACACACTATCGCTCTATAAAACGATTAGTCAAGCTGATTTATTCTGGAATCGATGCAAGACTCCTAGAGAAAAGTGCTATTGAGTAGCTGAGCAAGTAGATCATGCCAGATAAGGTGAGGAAGATGAGAAGGTAAGGAAAGTGAGGAATATGAGGAAGTTGAGGAAGGTGAGGAAGGTGAGGAAGGTGAGGAAGGTGAGGAAGGTGAGGAAGGTGAGGAAGTTGAGGAAGGTGAGGAATGTGAAGAAGGTGAGGAAGGTGAGGAAGGTGAGGAAGGTGAGGAAGTTGAGGAAGGTGAGGAAGTTGAGGAAGGTGAGGAAGGTGAGGAAGGTGAGGAAGTTGAGGAATGTGGGACAGGAGAAAGTGGGTAGAGAGGCACAGAGAATTTGGGCTTTGTCCATCAAGTTCACCAGAATTTGCAGTCTCAAGCCTGGTATAAGGACATTTAAACATTAACTAGGTCACCACTGTGTGATATTTTTCAGCAACAGATGGTTAGAAAGTAAGAGAATAGTGAGGATGTACGATAGAGTCTGTCAGGCATCTATTGCGATAACAAAGATAAAAGAAATCCTGTCCAGCATAAATAAATTTGCAATCCACAATGCAGCGTTTCTTAGCAATGTGAAAAGAAGGTTTACTCCGAGAATTTAAGATTGAAGATTGTATTGATAACTTCCCCATATTTCTCTGCTCCGCGGAGGTGGATTAGAGATGGTGCACCCAATATCCAAGGGCTGCAGAGTAGTGGAGATGTCCGTTAACATCAAATATTAAACTTTAAAAAAAAAATAAATAGCTATCTAAACCTTATTCGCACGAAAACACGATAAGAAATGCCTAGCAACCCAATGGCTTAAAACTTTTAGATTTACTTAGCGAAGATTCACGCTAGTGAATTACGTTGGCAAAGTGACAGCGCTGAGTCTCAATTAGGACAAGAATTTCTTCTTCCCGTTTGTATAATGAAATCTAAGCCCGTTCAGGCGTCATCACGGATAGATATCTACCACTGTAGCCAATTGTTCATACACAGTAATTTTTCTTTTTTCAACATTTCTGCTAGATTAGCGTAGGACCAACTAGTGCACTGCGAAGCTCTCTCGCTAGCAAAGATCGATGCGCTACGCTATAAAACATATCGTAATCCTACCTTATCTTCCAATATGGCTTAATCAATTAGATGCTTAATCTTCCAATCCCTCTTTTTTTCTACTCGTCCCCACCTTTCGCTATCGATAGCTACATTCCTGATAGTGCTTTGAGCTGTAGTGATCTTGAAGAATTTAGGTGCGCGGCCGCGGGGAGGAAGTCTAATTTCTCCAGAGATAAAGACCTCAGTAGCGTGAGCTTTAGTATGCGACAGGCGACAGAGGAAAAAGAAAAAGAAAAGTGAGAAAAAAAAAACGTTAAGGCGCCCCTGCATAGTAGCATGCATTTAATAGATTTACACGGCAAAAAAGTGAACTTAATTTATCGCGAGTCAAGGGACTGCCAGAATGGCAGGCGAGGTGGTGCCAAAAAGGAAGCCCGTACCAAAAAAAAAAAAAAAAGGAAATAGTTAAGCCATTTTCTAGAATGCTTCTCGATGACTCTGAAAAATAAAAAGATCAACAGATTCATCCACTCTTTACTATGATCGAAACAAAGTGCACGAGTAGCTAGATCAAACGCTCTTCGGGTAGTATTGTTTCATGCATTATCATGTAGTCAATTTAGTAGGATAATTTCTTTTTTTTCTTCTCCATTTCTTTTTCGAAGTGTTGCATCTATCTCTTCCACTCCCTTATCATGGTAATTTTGAACGGATAATGAAGATAAGATGCGGCTCCGCGGTGCTGATTTTGACCAATGTAAGTGGTTCATTTTTTATCCTATAAACTTTCTATCACCTTAGACCAAGGGCTAACATGGGAATAAAAAAAAGGAAACGAATATAAATTAAACTACAAATTGATCTGGTTATCCTAAGTTTCGATCCTTCATCCTTCATCTTTCCATCCTATCATCATCTCCTGATTCCTGGTTTCCAGACTAATCCAACCATCCCAAAATTCGCTGATTTTTCTCGCCTACTTTACCGCTAAAAATTACTGAAAAGAACTCATCTCATTTCAGTATTTTCACTCGTACACGACGACGCATAGCTGATATTTTTTTTCCTTCCAACTGCATCACAGGAAAAATATCCTGTCAGAAGAAGGTCCTCACCACTCGCCGTACCATCGAGTTTATATAAAGAAGGAAATATTCCTTTCAGGATACAGAAGTGAAAAATAGATTCTTTTTTTTTTCTTTCTTCCTTTGTTTGTTACTTAACGTCCTTCCAAACTTAATACCCTCCATCATCCCCTCCAACTTAAAGTTGTATCGCTGAAAAGCAATCTATTTCCAACCCGAATCATCCTAACAAAAAAATTTGAAGCTGGTTTTTCCGAAAGTTTAATTTTTCAAAAAACTACTTACTTTCCAATATCAAATCAAATCAGATCAAATCTACCTAATATAATATAAAAATGTCAGATCTCGAAAAGGCTATGCCTACCGAAGTCATCGATAAGAAGGCTTCCTCCGACGAATCTTATAACGTCGAAAAGCACGAAGGTGATGTTGAACAAGCCCCAGGACTTGGATTTTTCAACAAGGCTGCTCTCTTTTTAAACGCTGAAGTCAAGGGTGTTGAAGTTGTCACCGATGAAGAAAAGACTGAAGACTCCATTATCAACGCTTTGACTATGTGGTTGTCCGCTAACCTTGTCATTGCTGCTTTCTCCTTGGGTGCCCTTGGTGTTACTGTTTTCGGTTTAACCTTCTGGCAATCCTTTGTCGTTATTTTGTTCTTCACTTTGCTTGGTTCCCTTCCTGTTGCCTTTTTCTCCATTTTTGGTCCAAAGTTAGGTTTAAGACAAATCTTCCTTTCCAAGTTTCTCATTGGACATGTGACCATGAGAATCTTTGCCTTTATTAACATTGTTGCTTGTGTTGGTTGGGGTGCTGTTAACATTATGGCCTCTGCTCAATTATTGCACATTGTCAACAACGGATTATTACCACCTTGGGCTGGTTGTTTGATCTTGATTCTTTTGACTATCTTGGTTACCTTTTTCGGTTACCACGTTATCCATCTTTACGAAAAATGGTGTTGGATTCCAAATGCCATCATTTTCCTTATCATTATTGTGAGAATGGGTATGTCTGATACTTTTACCGGTGTTAACGCCGATGGTGAAAAATTCCCAGGTGGAGCTGCCACCATTGGTGGTGTTATGTCTTTCGGTGGTACTGTTTACGGTTTCGCCACTGGTTGGACCACTTATGCCTCTGATTACACTGTTTACCAGCCAAGAAATGCCAACTCTACCAAGATTTTCATTGCCATCTTCTGTGGTTTATTCTTCAGTTTGGTTTTCACTTTAACTCTTGGTGCTGCATGTGCTACTGGTACTTTAACCAACACCAGATGGGCTGAATTGTACGATAACTACTCCATTGGTGGTTTATGTTACGCTATTCTTGTTGAAGATCAATTACATGGATTCGGTCAATTCTGTTGTGTTCTTTTAGCTTTATCTACTGTTGCTAACAACATTCCAAATATGTATTCCATTGCCTTGTCCGCTCAAGCTTTCTGGTCTCCATTAAACAAGGTCCCAAGAGTCTTCTGGACCATTGCTGGTAACTTCGTTACCTTAGCTATCTGTATTCCAGGTTACTACCATTTCGAAGCAGTCATGGATAACTTCATGAACTTGATTGGTTACTACTTGGCTATCTACCAAGCTATGTGTTTCTCTGAACATTTTATCTGGAGAAGAGGTGATTTCTCAACTTACGACTACATGAACTCCAACGATTCATCAAAATACCCAGTTGGGTACGCTGGTGTGTTCGGTTTCTGCTGTGGTGCTGCCGGTGTTGTCCTTGGTATGGATCAAACCTGGTATGCTGGTGTTCTTGCCAAGAAGGTTGGTGACCCAGCTTATGGTGGTGATATTGGTTTTGAATTAGCTTTTGCTTTCGCCGCTCTTGGTTTCAATGCCGTTAGACCATTAGAGAAGAAATACACTGGTAAATAAGTGATTAAATACAGACTTTCCTTAAAGTCCTTAGTTTGATGTACTATAGTTTCAAAGTTTTTATAATTTTAACATTTTGATAATAATATAATTTAAGAAATAATAAAGAAGATGAAAAATGTAGTCTTAATCCCACTATCTGCTTCAATCACTATCACCACTATCTTGGCTTTAAAGCAAGTGAAAAATTTCGAGAATGCAATGGAATTTGACAAAAGAAAAAATAGTTTTGGAAGAAGGTTTTTCCTAAGTACTCAGCACGGCATGCCCTACGGCTACTTAGCACTAGAGTACTGGATGCCCTTGGTGCAGTATGGAATAGCTATGACGTTGCTCCTTTCAATTGGAGCTATTTTGACGGTGAAAGTTGTTCCTTCACTAAACGTATTACTACTCTACGGAAAGACAGCCAAGCAGGTGAAAAAGAAAGATTCATACGTCAATCAGATTGCCCATTTAACCGTACCGAAGAGTTGGTTCTTACATTTCTACATTGTTTATTTTGGGATCTTATCCATAGGAGGAGCCATCGTATACCTACTGAGTGGCCAAAACTGCAGTGTCTTCGTAGCATACAATATGTTGCTAGTTCAATCGTTCAGAAGATTATTGGAGAGCTTGTACATTACGAAATTCAATCCAAGCGCAAAGATAAACATTTCTCACTACTTAGCTGGAATGATCTTCTACACAACAATATCTATAAATACGTTCCTCGGGATTCTTAGGGAAGAGTTGGCACATTCTCTGGAAAGCGCTAGCGTGCTTACATACTTCCTTTCCTTCTTGTATGTCTGCGCCTCATTAGATCAGTACTACAATCACCGTTATCTCTCTAAACTCGTGAAATACACAGTGCCCACAAGAGGGCTATTTTCCATATTGGCCGCGCCACACTACTTCGATGAAGTGGTTATCTACTTAGTAGTTGCATTGCTTGCCCATATGGAATGCAGTGCTCCTTTGTCGATAACTGAAGGGAACTTTTGGCTCAGTGCAACCTTCGTTCTCACTAATCTTTCCATAAGCGCACTAGAATCGAACAAATACTATGAGAAAACGAATAACAAAAAGCCATGGGCAATCATACCTGGGCTATTATAAAGCCACCAAAGACCAGCAGGATCCGCTTAGTATCTATCATGCAGTTCTGCTTTACGAATACCACACCAATATACGAGTTTTCTGGAACCTTAAATCCCGTAATTTTTTCGACATGCCCCTAACAGTCTACCTACTAAGCCTAAACCGTAGGGAGCCAAATTTCGCGATCGCTATTTAGTGGCGGGTGTATATAAAATTTACCAACGGCTTCTTTTTCTCACTGACATCAGACTACCGTTACTTTTACAGTTGAGTTGAAGCAATGGTAAACACTAATCCTGGTGTCTCTGTAAGCCTAAGAGCTTCGAGCCAGAGTATAGTGCATGGATGTCCCGGAGTACCCAGAAGTATCGTAAGTGTTTCGAATGAACGGGCCAACCTGATAACAGCTTGGGCTTGTTTAGATTTGATCTGATTTGATTTGGCTTTGCTTTTTTTTTTTGGTGGCATTTTTTTATTTTTGAAGGCACTGAGTTTTTACTAACCGTTATTTGAACAGCCTCGTATTGAAACTGTAGTAGAACTAAGACCCGTCAATGGAAGGCCATTCCACTTGAGAGCTGTAGTTATAGAACTCAGAACAATCCAGAAAATATCCGTACCTACCACACTTGGGTCTCAAGATACCTTCAGGGAATACAAAGTATATGAGGACGTAGTGTTTAGCCCTACTGTGGGATCTTTCTCACAGGAATTGTTGGGAGTTGATATCCCTATCTTATTCACAATCCCCAGAGAGATTCTGTCTTCAGGGATGGCTCCGCTATGGAGTGCATCTGTCTCACATCGACTCTGTGTCAAAGTGTTTTTGGGGAACTCGTACAACGCAGAGACTACCCATATGGAGACATTCCCAGTGGTGATCAAATTGTATGACACTTTACCGCTTTATAGGCAGTATAACGAACCCTTGGTTAGACAAGTGATATCACCAGATAACCAGGTTGAGGTGAACTTGTTGATGCCCATTACCGCCGTTGGGCCCAAAGATATATTCTCCATTGATGTCAGTATTAAGGCAAATGCATTGCATAATAGAGTTAGCAAGTTCTTAAAATTGAAAGAACTCACCTTCCAAATAAAGGAGATCTTGGAATGTCATGAGGGTGGATTACCTGCGAGGAAGGAGGCTAAGCTATTATCGGACCACAAGGATTTTCTGGGGATAAAAGAAAAATTGACATCTTCACAGTCTATACGATGTCAGTTCAATGTGGCATTTCCCGTGGAGAATGACTCCTTGCACATATATGATAGCAGCAGAAGTAATAATGACGATACTGGTAATTTTAACCATAATAGTAATTATTATGGCAATCTTGAGTACAATCTGCAAAACAATATAACTGAAGATGCTTTTAGTGGGTTGGATGGACTAGGCTCTTCGAGCTCAGCGACAGTGACATCTGCGAATATTGCCAAATATAATATTATGGATAAGTTGGATGAAGGTATCCCACTTACGCATGTCCAAGGTTTTACATCGCTGGGTAAATTGTTCCTGCTTAGGTATGAAGTTGTCCTTAAGATCAAATTAGCGCATAGCAAGGATATGGACCTTAGAATTCCCTTAACAGTAAGTCCATTCGACAGAAAGAGCAGTGCATATTTATTAAACTGGATAAAGAAAGAATGTGAAATGGCAGCTCAGTTATTTGGGAGAGAAATGGTAAATTGGTTTATTCAGAATGAATCTCGAGCTAACGACATACTACGAAAGAGGTATTTGGCACCCCCGATTCTTTATAAGAACACTAGAAATGATTGGATAAGGCTAGGCTTCAACGGTGATGCATTCGGAGGGCGCCACCCTTCAAAAATGGTAGAGTACATCGATTAGTGCACTGGCACTGAGCAGGACATGGGATATCAATACGGATTAGTTATGGATATAGACGAAATGGTATTGGAAATACTGTAAGCACAGTTGCATTCTTTCTCTTGCACCCATTTCTGACGCCTGTAAAACCTTTTATCTAATGTACTGCATATAGACAACTTGGATATGGGTTTACAAAAACCGCCCTCTCTCACACTCTAGACAACTTCCCATCAACCCATTCCTTTACACCAAATTCGCCATTGGGACCTTTCTATCATATAACACAGCATGTCTATATCACCGCCCTCTTATGCGCCTACATCCACGACTTCGTACGCACCGGCAAACGAAAACCTTCTTAAATATCACCAGGAGATTACGCGATCGTCACTCTTGAAGCTGCCTCAGCACAAGACTGTGTACGATTCTCTTGCTGAAGTGTACTCGATAATCACAGTGTTGGAGATGGTTGAAAATGCATTCATAAAAGACTATATAACGGGGAAGGATAAATATACGTCGACCGTATTGCGGTTAATCAACCAATACCTGATAATCCTAAAGTCTTTCGAAAGTAGCTCCGATGCAGCCTTGTTGGACTCCATTCTTGTTGGTAGAGCCGCTGATAATTCCAATTTCTTGACGTTGTTCACGAATAAATTCAATCTACAAAAGTGCCAGTTAAGTATCAAGCGATTGACCGCGGGAATACCTGCTACTATAGAGCATCTTGGCATGCAGGTACAGAGCTCATCATCAGAATCGAATGGAGGAAAGAGAAGTGCTAGGTTGGTTGCTGAATCAACAGGAAATTTCATCACATGCATGGATGCTTTGAAGTTGAACTACAAGACCAAAGAGCAACTACACCCATTGTTGTCCAATTTGGTGGTTAGTCTAAACGATCTTGTGATGTCAAACGAAGGCGGTGGTCTGGGCAGCGATGTTACAGGTTTGGATTTTGTAGGGAAGTCGAAGTTGGTTTCATGGTTGATAAAGTTGAATGGATTGGAGTCAGGGGAATCGTTGGGACAAGACGATATCGACTCTTTCTTAAACGACTTAGATACGGCGTACAGGGGATTCTACAAGTCACTTGAAGACTGAGACGCTACAATCCGAAGGGCATCCAAATTATGGTTTGTTATTGATTTCTATATCTAGTTATATATAGCTGTAGTTATCGGTCATTTCTTAATATCATCTATACTATCGATTCAATTTCTCCAGCATAACTTAATACATTATTAATGATAGTGGTACTATTCTTCTCTCCTTCTAAGCTTTCTACATCTTTAACATTGAAATAGATCTTCCCATCGAGAAATTCCCAATTTTCAACTTCCAACTCTTCTTTCAAGATCTTTTCAAATACTTGGTCTGACTGTTCCTGTGGGAAGTATAACAAGCTTTTGCAGTTATTGATTGGTAAGAAATCATAGGTTCTCTCTAAAGACTTCGAGATTTCAAATCTTAAGGCGGTGATCAAAGTGCTAGTGAAGTGGGTGTATTCTTGGCAAGGTAACTTGGAGTCCGATTCATTCAACAACTTCCAGATCTTAATATAATTACCCTCCATCAAGTTTCTTTCCAAGTTAATTGGGAATTGTAAGTACTTATCCTTCTCAGCGTCAAACTGGCTGGAGTTGTAGATGGTTTCCAATTCTATGTGGAACTTAGAAATTGAACCTTGCGATAATAGGTAAAGTAAATAGAGCGAGACTATTTTAGTGGTTTCGGAGTTTAATAAGGATTTCTTTGTTGTGGTAGATGAGGATGTGGTTAATTTGATGCTCTCGTAGAATGGCTTTAATTGGGCAAAGTAGTTTTCGAATGATTGGTAAGAATTCGACAATAACGACGACAAGGCACCAATTTCCAAGATCTTCTGGGCGATTTTTAAGTCGTTGAGTTGGTCTGTTGTGGCGGTATTTAACGTGGTAGGTACCAAGAGGTTATGCTTGATAAGTTCTATTTTGATTGGGGGTAATAATTTTTGACATTGCTCGTAATTTTTCGATTCGAACGACTGGTAGAGCTCAGCTGTTAGCTTTTGCAAAGACATGATGGCAGTAAGATGATAGATGAAAGGGGGTGTGGGGCGTACAGTGTGTGATTACACCCTTTAACTCGTTGCTACACCGTTTGTGTGGGTTTGAGTGTTCGAGGTGTCGCTGGGATCGCCACTGCTATGTGCAGGAGATTGTTGGTTTATATACAGGACCAACTACGTTATATGCAGTATGCGAAGGTCGGTGAAGAACGGTAGAGAAGATAGCAGAGCAAGTGAAACAGTGAGTGGGGAGAGAGACTGAGTAAGAGGCAGCGATGAAGGTAAAAGAGACAATATTAAAGTCGTCGAAGGAGCAAAGGAAAGAAGTTCAGTATTTTGAACCAAGCCAAATCAAAAAAAATCAAAATTTCCCATTGTTCGGATGTCTTGTTGGTATAGTGGGAAGTATATGGTACTGGTTCCAGTTCTAACCTTACCATGCACTAACAAGCACAGTGTACTTCGCTATTTCTCTTTTTTCATTTTTTTATTTTTTTAATTTTTTCATATTTTGCTATTTTTCCTTCTTCTTTTTGGCACAACGAACATCTTGTCTAGACTGCTTGGTTGGTGCTACTTCACACGTCCAGGGACCTGCACTCACCTCTGCCCTGCCTGTTCACCGTCTGCGTCATACACCACTGTTTGTTCGCGCACACGATCTTTCCATCTCCCATCTCCTGCTTATCAAGAAGCTTATCAGGAAATCCACACCGAAACATCAACTCTATATGACTCAAGTTTAAGCAACAGTACAAATTACTCAGATGACTCGCAGTTCGCTAACCCAGTTCCATTTCTGCGGCTTTCTACCTTGAATCTCACTCTTTTTCTTTGACTTGGAACCAATCCGCCGAATCGTCTTGCTCGCTGTCGTTTGCCTTGAAAAATATTTTTTTTCACTTTCTTTTTTTTTTTTTTTTTTTTTTTTTTTTAATCGAATGTACCAAATTCCGTTAGGTTTGGTATTCATAAAGAATAAATACAAATTTAAAGATGAAAGGTGGGGAAAAAAGCAATTAA